AACCCAGTCAATAGTATTGTGCTCATCAACAAGCAAACAACCGAGCGCATGACAAGTGGCGGTCATTTCATCATCTTGATTGAACGTCATTTCTTTTCCCTCTCGCTGAGATGACTGAGTTCCCCTCTCTTCCTCTCCTCCATGTCCTGCACGCCCGGGCCCCCAGTGTCCACCACAACGTCTGATATCACACTCATCCCACGAGAAGCGTTTCACGGACCACGCCAGGCCCTGTGGGATTTTCCGCGAGGGCTTCGCTGTCCCCTCCCTCGCTTGTCTCTTTCCGCGTCCGTGCGTGCCAGGATCACAGGATTTACCCAACTGACAGTCCCGCCGAGAACGACATGCGGGACATCCTCGGCCTGTGGCTCTCTGACGGCTCTTTGAGAACATCGTTCCGGTGTCATTCATCACATCATCACAGCTCCGTGCCGCCATCGGGCATGCCATCCGCGGGCGAACAGACGCGCCCTTTAGTGATATTCGGCAGTCTCAAGTCGATGCTATTGACCAGGTGTCGTACTTGCGCGCGAGTTAGAAGGGAACCTCTCTACCGCCTCGGTAAACGGCCCTGCATGCCTCCCTTGTATCGCTTGACAGACTGCGGGGCTCCCAAGAAGCAAGCAAGGCCACCGACAGGCCTTTAGACAGCTGAATGTGGACGCGCGGGGGTTAGGCACTAGGTATTTCGCACATAAACCACCCAAGCTCCAGCTGTCAATGCGGGCAGAAAGCGCGGTTTCGCAGCCCATGTTGCGCAGCGAACAGCAACGCTGCGGTGGCTGTCTTTTCTTTCCTTCTTCCTTCCCGCACTGACCCTCCACACCTCCAGAATAGGCCAATACGGCCCTCCCTCCCCCCGGTTCCCTGGCGGGCCTGGTCTGGTCCTTGTCGATATCCCTTTTCGTGTTAATAACTGGCATCGTGGCCTTCAGGGTTCTGAAGCTGTCTGGGCTGAGAAGAGAGGGGTGGGCGTGGACATAGAATCAACACCAGCAAGTGATCGGGAGGGACCACCTGCAGGTCGAGACAAGCAAAAGATTCAATTAAAAGAAGGTGAGCAACGTGCTTCGTGCCATTGACGGGGGTTCGATTGACGCTGGTGAAAGAGTCCTCCTGCAGGGCAATGACACGACACCCCACTGTGATGTCCACCGTTTGACATTGAGATCGGCCCTGCACATTCCCTCCAACGGTGCGAACGCATGGGGGACTCTGCCTGTGGCATGCTCAACGCGGCATATCAGCTAGGCATGGTGGCATGCTATGACAGTGAGCAACTTCATGTGTGTAATATGCCGCGATAAGACGAGATGGCACGTTTTAGCATCTTCAAGCAGTGTGTGTTTGCCGAAGCATATCGCGGCGTATCGATCTAATCTTGCAGCTATTGCTACTCTATTGCTACAGAAGATGCGGTGCATGCTGCGCCTTTCGGCGAGAGATCGGGACGTGTGTAGGTGTTCCCAGTCGCTGCGCAGCGGCTCGCAAGTGTTCTTCTAAAAGAGCTTCGCCGGCAAGTTCATCATGTGATACTCCCCGTCCGTATCCATCCCGCTCCAAGGGCCAAGCTGGCCTGGAAACCTAAATGCAAAAGGCTTCGCCGCTTGCCGAACATCAGACGGAGACCAAGAGCCAGACCAGGCCCCAAAAAAGTGCGCCCGCCTCTTCGCTTGCCTGCCGATGACACAACTCGGTAGGGATGGCCACATGGAAAACTCATCAGCCGAAAGAGAAGGACTTCGGGGTTGAGGGGGGAGAAGAGAACTCCACAGATCGCAGATGGCCAAGGGAAGGAACATCAGGCTCACGTTTCACATCTCGCCGGTAACAGCAGGGCCCCGCGTCGACGTGCTTTTGGGGAAATTTGATCATTATGCACTTAGACGCAACGGAGGGTTTTGCCTATTGACCGCTGGCGTGAAACGGCAATTGAAGGTGACGATTTGCCTTTGTGGCCATGTGGTTTTGGTGGGCGTTTCGACTCGTTCACTTGATGGACGTTTTGGAACGGTTGTGATTTCAGGGCCCGCGGCGTTTTGGAGGGTATAGCGGCTGTCAGTAAAGAGTGTTTAACGTATGATGTCGGGCTGGAAATAGTATGGCGTCTTTCAATGTGCATGATATAGTGACGTGCTTATTGCCTTAACATATTGATAACGAGCTATAGAGTTTCGGGAGTTGGGGTATTTTCGTTCTGAGCGCGGAAAGTTTTGGGGGCGTATTGACAACTCGTTCTAAGGGCTGAGATTCATAATAGCATAGTTTTGTCTAGTGGCTGACGTGAAGGCCGGCTAAGAGAGATAGGCATAGTGGCAGCTTTTAATGGCCGAGGCCGCATATGTTTTCATTTGCGACTTGGCCAATCGTGGTTGTGGGATGTCTGTCGTTGATATCGTGATGCTCTGGTCATCCTCTAACCTCGAGGCGGGAAGCTCCGCAACTAGGCAGTTGCCGCAAGTTTCAGTTCTCGTGACCATTCCACAAGAGGCTAACACCCGTCCTGTAAAAGAATACTGCATACGATGATTTGAAAAATGACAGAAACAGAAACGCCAGGGAGGCCTTGGGATAAAAGGGCTTACCATAATCATCACAAAGCTTATGACGACGATCATATTGACAGGTGTACGCGGACCTTAGCATGAACACAGGGACTATAGTATCAGTCTTCTAGAAGAGAGGTCTTACACGACGATCATGTTTCGTGAGTCAAATCCCATGTTGGAATCACCAACTTCTGGGAAATGGATGGAAAGGTGTGGCCCTTTCCTAAAGTTTCCAGCTTCGAGATGCAAGGCCACCACAACGACGCTGTATCCAAAATGAAACGCAAGATTATTAATAGGAATCTACAATAGTAATGTCCCGCCTGTGTATGGATTCACTTAGAGATGTTGGCTTTGATACGTGCGCATAGCTTGAACATAATGAAGATCTTAATCGCATACACGCATTTGATGATGGCCTCAAATCATGGGGCATTATACAGCAAAGCCCTTGAGTGAGTCATCTTGGTTGATCAGGCTGGGAGTTCGAACGACGCCAAATCAGTGCAGCCTTTCCTCAGCTGATACCTACTTTCGTTCTAATTCGAGCTGGTCCGTTGTGTGCCATGTCTGTCTTTGATAGTTGGAGCTACCCGAGGTTAGGAACTAAATTTTGAGACTGTTCTCATTGCTGAAAAAAAGTGAGGGAACCGTTGTGTGTACAATAGGACAGTCGAAGTTGCCTTCATTTGACTCTGTGTATGCGCATCGGTTGAGCACGCATTGACTGCGTTGAAGTTGTAGCATCAATAGTTAGTTCTCAACATCCTCCTCATCATCATCATCGTTCTCGTCGTTATTAACACTGTTGTTATCATGCCAACGACTTCATTACTCAACAAGCGTCAAAAGGATCATATGGACTTTGGTTTGAGGTTGAATAAATAGCATGAACGTGAATAAGCAAAATGACGACTCGTATAAATATTCCTTCAACGTAGCTGTTTGAACCGTTCGCAACCGCCTAAGGTGCCTACGTATATTGCCAGCGCCCTTCCGCCTTCGAAGAAACAAGTAGACACTTAAACTTGAACTTGAACGTGAACATTCTTTACGTGATGAAGTTTCAACGGCAACACAATGAAATTTGCTTTGATGACAATATGAACTTATCCGAGGAAAAACCACTTCAACTTACACTCCTTCAGGTGGGTACACTAATCCTGACCAACCCTTCTCACATCCATTCTTGGGTCGAACGAGCCGCCGCAGCCCAACTAAGAACTACATTGAACAAGCTCAGGGCCAGAACAGCACACAGTAGTCAAAGAAAAACGGTTTGCGCGAGTCTCTGTAGTGACGAAGGAAGACAAGATGCAGGGCGCCGACCCAAGTTTCCACCACCACACGAAGCTCCGCCCGCCACACCTAAGGCTCCGCAACCTCGCAGGTCTCCAACAACCAATCCGATATGGTGTAGTGGCCAACATGATGCCCTCTCATCTTCGAGAGGCAGGCATAGCCCCGAGTTCGATTCTCGGTTTCGGAAGTCGTCCGCAACGCATGTTGAAATATGTCTTTTTGCCTCAATTCACGATATCTCTCAACCAACGCCTTTTCAGGTTCATGATCCGCGACTACTAACTCCTTTGACAAAGTTGCCTGCTTGGACATGACGTGATTGAGAACGACGGTATGTCACCCAACTTCTTGATGAGGAAAATCGCTGTATTCGCCTCATACCCAACTTCCACACTGCATGACATGCAATGCATGCAACCTCAAGTCCGTAATTACGCGCCCAGCTCTTGGTCCCATGTTCCAACTCGCATCAAAACATGCCCAGGACAAGAGTATTGAAGAGCAAGTTACTAAACGTCAACGCCTCATTGGCCTGAAATGCACACTCGTTGGTCTTGCAGGACAGCGTCGTGCGATGTTACTCGCTGCTGACGGCAGATCCCGCCTAGATCCGGATCCCGAGGCCAACCCGCATGTGAAATGCTTGCCCATGCATTGGTGCTGACGGCCCGCATATCTTTGATCTGATATTTGCAGCTCTCGTGTCTGATCTCTTTGGCTCGCCAGTGCTGTGGGCTCCACGGCAGCCTGCACGGCAGTCGCAATCGCAACTCTCAGCCTACTTGAGGTTACAGTGCCGGGCAACTCGTGTGGAGGGCAAATGCGATGCGGTCCACTAGGAGGAGCCAGTTGATCGCACTGCGCGACGTATGTAATTTGCGTAAAACTGCCTATATCGGTAGTATGTTAGGTTACACAACGTTGGTTGTTGTTACAGTTGTTGATGCCAAGTGATATCAATGATGGCAGCCCAGAGGCTAGATCTTCATCGGTGAGGAGGAGACTCAAACACAAGAAAAGAGGAGACTCAGACATAAGAAGGCAGAGGAGGAGTTGGTTCATGGACCTTTCCCCAGCTCTCAAGTCGCTTCCGTGCCTCCCCTCTGCATTTCTCCAAGTGAACCGTAGCACCCAGCCAAAACCGACATCATGAGCTTATTTTCATCAGTGTTCCTCCCAGCCGCTTTGGCATTCATCCTCCTCCCATTCATCTACCTCATTGGAAGTTGGGCCTTCGCAGCCAGACGTCCCAAAAACTATCCCCCAGGGCCACCCGCGATCCTAGGCCTGGGCAACATCCTCCAGGTCCCACCCGAGAAGTCCTTCCTCAAGTTCACAGAATGGAAGCAAACCTACGGCGACATGGTCGGCCTCAAGATGGGCGGTCAGAACCTAGTCGTCCTCCAGACCGCCGAGCTCGTCCGCGAGCTCATCGAGAAGCGCGGCGCAATCTACTCGGACCGGGCCACGCCCTACATCCCCTCCCAGATCATCAACCCGGGCACCGTCATCTTCCAGCCCAACGACCACACGATCAAGAAGACGCGCACGGCGATGCAGTACATGTTCCGCCCTGTGGAGCTGAAGCGCGTCTTCGCGGTGCAGACGGCGCAGTCCGCGATCCTGATGCGCAAGATCCTGGATGATCCGAAAGAGTTCCGGACGCATATGAAGTATTGGGCGCTCGCGACGCCGCTGTCGATCCTGTGCGGGCGGAAGATCCAGGAGGAGGGCCCGAGTTCGACGGAGGAGTACTTTGCCACGCAGGCGAGGTGGCTGCGGTTTCTGAAGCCCGCGCAGGCGCCGCCGGTTGATTTGTTTCCGTTCATGAAGCACTTGCCTGACTTTCTTGCGAAGTGGCGGAAGGAGGCGCTGGTGTTGAGGAAGGATATGTGGAAGATGATTTACTACATGCTCGATGGCGCGAAGCTTCAACATGGTACTATTGCCAAGGGGCTGCGGAGTCATGATAATGAGTCTGTCATGTCGAGGATTATCATGGAAGCTGAAACGAATGAGGATATGCGGATGGGTGACCATGAGCTTGCGGTTTTCGGGGGTGGTACGTTGGATGCGGCGGTTGACACGGTCATCGCCTCCACTTCCAGCGTCGTCATGGTCTTTGCCGCGTTCCCTGAGGTTCAGAAGCGGGTTCAGGCCGAGGTCGACTCCATCTGGGGAGATTCTCCTCCCACAGAAGAGAGGCTTCCAGAAGCCAAGTTCTTGAGAGCAGTCATGATGGAGGTAAGGTATCTGCCAACTCAGATGCCTGTGAGTGAAGCTGATCATGATACAGGCCATGCGCTGGCGCGGTGCCGCACCTCAAGCTGTCCCGCGAGTCTTGGCTCGCGACGACACCTGCCGCGGGTATAATTTCACCAAGGGCACCGTCTTCATCATGAACGTCTGGGCCATCCACCGGGATGAGAAATGGTACGAGAACCCAGAGGAGTTCAACCCGGACCGGTACATGGACAATCAGTGGGGCGTCAGGCCCGAGATGAAGACCGCAGCCGAGAAGGAGAACCGTCGGCCCACGTACAACTTTGGGGCGGGCCGCCGGATGTGTCCAGGCCTTGACTACGCCGAGAACCAGGTGTTGATTGTCTTGGCCAAGCTGGCCTGGGACTTCAATGTCGTCGCGAAGAAGCCGCTGGATCTTGACATCAACACTGGCTTCCATTCTAACCTGGTCCTAGAGCCTAACTCGTTTGATGTGGACTTTTTTGCCAGAGGGGACTTCAAGAAGAGCAAGATTGTGGAGGATGGAGAGAGAGCGAAGGAGGTTGTGTCTGCTTGGGTGGAGTGATGAAGCCTGAGAGATGTATTTGTCCTCGCCATAACCTCTTGGAAAAGGGCTTACTTGAGTTTCGAGACAGCACCAACGTCTACATATTCATGTAGGCTTGCTTGAGTCTTACTTGAGGAGGAATCCAAATTGCCACACGATAGTATAATTAAGAGCAGAGAACACGAGCTGAGTACATGTAAAAACGATAATCGCTCGCCATCGTTTCGTGAAAGATCAACTTAGCACACCTATCTTGATGACCTTACCTTACCATTGGAATCTTGCATCCGGGCAGATAGTGGTAAAAGGACACCGGGAGTAATAAGTATGAAGACGGTGAAAGTAACGACAGCATAACACCAATTCCGACGACGATAATAAGATCAACGTCGATAATGATGGCGAACACAACAATAAAATATGATTAGTCGCCCGCCAAGTTAGGTGCAACTGGGGACCCAGATAGCAAATTTCAACCATGAATTCACTCTTGCTCCAACCCAGTCTTCAAGATCGGAGAGGCAATTCAGCGACAGTGACTACAAACCGGACCACGTGAAGGTTTGCTTCAATGCTTGGTGAAGAGGTTCCAGCTTGAACTGCCCAAGACGGAATGAGCCCCCTGAGTTCTCATGATATGCCTCTTGTGATAGCCCACCTAACTCAGCCGTTGAGTTTACCCAGTTGGCTCGTCGCTAAGCTAGGCGTTGAGGTTAATCGAGTCATCCAAATAAGCTTTTGCTCCGCCCGTCAGAAGCAAGTTCGCCCCAACCGAGGAAGCGAAGACTTTAGACGATCTAGATCGCCCTCGGAAAACGCTATCAGAGTTCGTGATCCGAACTTTTGCATTGAATTTGAACCCATAAACATGCTCCATGCTCCGGTTCTGCAGGTAGCTTTTGCAGGTGGCTCAACATATTCAATGCCCCATTACACAGTGTGACGGATACCTCGGCGACACGCAACGTACAATACTTGGCTGATGTAACCACCTGCAGGTTCTCCTCACCCCAGAAATATGCATCTCGACACAGAAAAAAGGAGTTGAAAGAGACGTGTTCTTTGTCTCAAAGACCAAAAATTTGGCTTTAGGACTGTTCATGAACACCGTCTTAAAGCCAACTGAAGAAGTAAACGCAAGTAAGTGTACTGCGTGGAGCCAACCGCCAAGCATGACTCGAGGTGTATGCTGCTGCAAGTGATTGACTGACAGTCCCAATAAATGACGAATCACCTGCTGCGCATCACAGCACGATCGGAAAACAGCAGCGCAGAGACCTCTGCCCATTGCGAAAGCGATTCCGTGCGACGGGGGAGAAGAAACAAACAAGAAGACAAATGCTGTTCCACAGCCCATCGATCGCAACCCGGAGAAGCCGCAATCCGCCCTCCTTTCCGATTCGGTAGCGTCTCCCGGGGCGTCGGCAGGCTCGAGATCGCACTTGATTGGCTGAATCGGTCGTTCCGTCCCTTGCTTTTAATTACCCATCAATGCGGCGGTGCGCGCCTGCGCCTCACGTGGTCCAGCTCAAAGCAAGGCGCCAGCGCATCCAGCAGAGCAAGCAAGCAAGCACTCGCCCAGCAGGCAATATTTTGTGTTGCCGCCGCCCTGCGTTTTGCGACAGCCACACCAAAAAAACGCGTAAGACGGCGCCAGCAGCCGCTCGCTCCATTTTTTCCCTCTTCTTTCCCTTCCAAACATTTCATTTTAGAGTGCCTGCCACAGTTGTCGTTCCAAAAGAGTTGAGGCCCGTACCGGCGTGCTCCGTCCGTTCCCCATTCCTCTCAACCACCATCCCCTCCGCCGAGATTTGCGTAAGCCGCCGCACTTGAATCGCCATGTCAACGACCGTGTCAACGATCGGCTCCGACGAGGAAGCGAAGAGGAAGCGGGATAAAGTGGGAGAGTTCCTGTAGGCGCGACCTTTTTCCCCTTGCTGTCCCCTGCCAATACTGGGCCTGGCGCACACCGCTTTTGCGCACCCTGGCAGCCCGTTCACTACGTCATCGCGATCCATTCGCGATGGTGAAGGAGGCCGCTTGAGATTGCTCTCACTGACACGGCGAACAGGCAGAAGAATCTCACAAAGGGTGAGCTCGCTCTCAAACACGCCATCGGCCTCGGCCACAAGCCAAATGTCGTTCCCGTCACACAGCCCATCCTCAACGGCCCGCCCCGGCCGGTCGAGGTCGGATGGCACCCTGTCGGCGGCCTCGCCGGAAAGTGGTTCGCGGAGGACACCGGCCTGGGGAAGATGATCACGGAGAGGATCAGGTACTACCCGGACCCGACGCAGCATTGGGCGGTACTCGTTGGAGAGTATGCGCACCAGCTCTGGATGGTTAGTTTTTTCACTGTTCGGGATCGTCGGAATGAGTTCGATGTGGATCCCGCGCATGGATGGTGAACGCTGACTGAGAGGTTGTCGCGCAGGATGAGCAGTTCCATGTCATCTACACCAACGAGAAGGTCAAGCGTGAGGAGTGGCGTACCTTCCCGGTGGGTGAGACGCGCTTTAATGATGATGCTCTGCGGCGAGCTGGTGAGTTTATGCGCTCGACCTCACTCTAGAGACTTGGTTGGCTAATTTTACGCAGGTGAATCCGTGATTCAAAGCATCAGAGAAAGGCAGCCTACCTACAATCTGATCACGAACAACTGCCAGACATACGCCTTGGAGCTACTCGATGCCATTAAAGTTGACGGCCACAAGGACTTCGGTACCACTCTCGCCGTCTACGAGAGACTCACTGGCCACGGCAAGGTCATGGACCTCTTCGCTGCTCCAGAGCAACAGCAACAACAGCAACTCGCCGCGATCCAAGGCCCGCCATCACAACTCGCGCTTCCGGCTCCTCCAAGTCAACCGACGACACCGCAATATGGTACGCCGCCACCACTCTCCCCTCCATACGGAACACCACCCCCAGGCGCAATGTACCCACCTCCGCCTGGACCTCCCCCTCCGGGACATCCTCATGGACCTCCTCCTGGACCCCCGCCTCCAGGACCTTACCCCTACGGATACGCCTCACCACCCCCGGGTCACTCCCCGTATGGCACGCCGACTCACTCCTGGGGACCAGGAACCCCGCCTCCAGGCCCGCCGCCCGGCATGCACAATCACCCGGCATACGGGCCAATCACACCGCCTCCGGGCTCCCATCCATACATCCCCGGCTCGCCGCCACCAAGCATCTCCTACACGCCTGGTGCTACGAACGCGGGCACCGTGTCATACGCCCAGCAGCTTATGCATGACAACACGACGCAGCTCAACACGGAGGAGCAAGCGAAGAAGCACGATGGTGAGAGAGGGATGAAGGGGGATAAGAAGAGGAAGAGCTTTTTCTCGCTCTCGCGGTTTACTAAAAATTGAGCGCCGATGCTCTACATGGGGATACTCGGATACCCTTTCTCACGGCCTAAACCTCGCGTTTCCTGAATCCCTACACATGATATCCATAGAAGAGAGAGCTCTGTAGCAGATAATGAAGTAATGATTTTCATAACCGAAGCTCTCAGGGTCGCATGCCCAGTCAACGCCTTGTTCTCCAAAGACAACTGCATCCTGTCCACAACGTCTTCGGCACCGAACGCTTTGCTGGTTTTTGCCTAAATTGGGGGTCGAATCTTGCGGTACTCGGACCAAATCAGTGGGAGTGTCTCCTCCGCTTGCCACGAATAAAGTCTGCTCTGTTCCACATCTCTAAAGTTGCCAATATCTTCCACCCAACTACCAGGGACTGATATTGGTGGCTCCTCTATCAGTTGCCAGAATTCTCCTGCAAAGTCTTCATACTCCCAAGTCCACCAAACTCTCCAGTCTTCCGGACGGTGGCCATATGTGATCCCGATGATCGAAAGTCGGGTATAGAGCCCCTTTTCATGGTGAATGAGACAACATCGCTGATTAAATACAACCCCGCGTTCTTGATAAATCTTCTTTTCAGTTCGACCGTACTTGAGAAGATCTATGCCCGCTAAAGATACGGCGGTCGCCCAAAATCGAACTGCCGAGGAAAATCTCCTGTTACGTATACTCTGTTTGCCTTCCGTGCGCCACGGAGAGCCCTTGGTTGTGAGAATGATGACGAAGAATGGCGTCAGCGACGTCTGACCATAGTATTGGTACTTCCAAGAAGAGTCAATATGAAACAGACCTTCCGGATCTAAAGAAATGTAAGCGTGAACGGCCTTGAACCAGGGAAACTGAGTGAGAGGCGCAATCTGATTAAAATTCCGGAACACAAGTTCTCGTGCCATATAGTAGGCGAAAGTATGAATAAAGGAATAAACCCCGGGGGCTCGAGATGGTTGTAACAATCGACGAAGATCGTGCTCTAATTCTGGTAGCCAGGTGGAGAAAACCTCAATATTGTCGACTACAATAGCATCTCGTGCATATCGAAGTCTCTCTTCAACTGGAAGAGAAAAGTAGTGATTTCCCATCACCACACTTAGTTTGCTTGTTCCAAATGGGCAGGGAAACCTTCGGTCCCCCATCAATTGGGGTTCCATATATTCGCTACCCATGAAAGGAACCCACAAGTTTTCAGACGGTGCAATAATCTTTCGCTGCACGCCGTGGTCTTTGAGAAGTTGAATAATATCGTTCCCAGGATACGGACAGGCAGGACTCAGTCGCTCAAACATATCTTGAGCGAATATAAGTTCATGATATAACCAATGCTAAGTCAATCTAAGGTAATTAGTTCAGCTAATGCTACTAAGGAATCTGGTACCTACCTGTATCTTAAAAAGGTCACATTCTCAGAGGCAGATATTGTCAAGCCGGCGTTCAGCAATGCCCTCAAGACCTTTACGGATGAGTAGCGACAAGCTATCTGAGTGAATTACACAACGTCAGTGGTGTGCCTTTCCCACAGACAACGCATCGAACGAGAAACTTACTCGCAGCAAGGAGAAACCACGTTCATCACGCAAAAATGGGGTCATTCTATGCTCATCTAGGAACCTGAAAACGGCAACAGGGTCATCGTCCCAAAAGTGGAGGAGGAGCACATCAGCCAAAGACTCCACCACTTCATACGCCCTGAGACTGACTTGCCACCCAGAAATACTTCTGAACGCGATGATGGAGTATACAGATGAGGAAAACCAGTATGGTGTCCGCAGGGAAAGTTGGAATTGTTCGTTAGAGCCAAGGGCGAAATGTAAACTGCCAAGGATGGTTTTTGCATGAGATATGCTGAAGATTTCCGCAGGGGCCTTAATTGCATAAACGACCTTGCAGCTAACATACTCTTGGGTCGAGCCAGAGCCATATTCAAGGGGATGTAAATGATGTTCGCCGCTGTCTGACCCCTCATGCAGTTTGGAATGTCTCTCGACATTCAGAATATGCGAAGAATTCATCAAAGCACTGTTCCCCGGTTCAGGCGTGTTAGTCATCAACGATTTCGAGATATAATAAAACATGGGGAGAACAAACATCATGTACTGCCCCTGCGCCATCTTGAAGAGATTCAAAGCTTGATCTAGTTTAGCATCCAGAGCTTTGATGTTGTCCTTCCGGAGGACAGCCTTTGTCGACCCAATCTTGCGCTTGTATCCCCGACCAGCGGTAGCTTGGTCAAGAAGATCGTCAATTATCTCTTGAAGTTCGCCTAATGCTGTTCGAGCTTTGGCGACATACTTCTGGAGAAGAGCGCTGTTCCAGGCCGTCGCAGGAAGCGAGTTCGTGGCCACTTGGAGTTCTGTGTCGACGAGAAACTCCTCGAAGTCTTGGATCTGCTCTGCTTTTTAAAGCAGCATGTAAGGGGCTTCTTTGACTTCATCCCATAGCCTTTTGAGCTTGATGCTGGCCCCTCCGACTTTCGTGGCCATGTCTACGACGGCGATTACACCCGAAGCTAGCCCCAAGGCTTCGGCCATGGCGAGGGGAAGGCTCGCAGCCTGGCGCTCCTGCTGTGGCCAGCAACGGCTAGAATGAACAGGTCAAGCAGTCAAACCAAGAGGAATGAACGGAATGATCCCCTGATGATGGCTTGCGGAGCGGATGAGGAGAGGTTCAAGTTTGGGATGGACGCGAGCAGGTGTTTGAACTGTGCTTTTTACTCTTCTGCAGGCTGCGCTGAGGCTGTGCCACAACGTCACGAGACTATCGGTTACTTTGACAAGTCAGCGTCAATGTTCTCATGCAGTCATCTTTATTTCTCAGGCCAGCATTCTGCCACAAGCAACGAATACTCGCTTTCTTACATGCCGTCCTCCGCCAATAAAATGCCTGCCCTCAGCCCCATCTGCAGACGCAAAGATCCATTGGTTGTCACATCGCCTGCCCGCTTCAAAGCCTGCAGGGCCGTAGTAAGGCATTTTCGCAAGGCTTACCAAACCGTTGAAAGAAAGCGACGATGCTACTGCTGGTATCATCAACAAATGAAGCAACGATATCGACAGACATCCACAGAAGAGTACCATGAATGCACCAGGCACCACAGTGTGTTCAAAACCTCGTTTGAAATGGTATTTTGTCATTGCGACCACTTAAAAAAAGGCCCGCTTAACTTCCTATCTCAAGACTCAGTGCTTAATTGGAATCATGAACGGCCGTCACAGCGAACGGGTTCGCTGTGAAAGTTCCGTTCGGGTCTGCTTTCGCCCTCGCCCTCCCAAGCCTCTGATACTTCTGCTCATCCTCATAGTAACACTTCCAAACCTTCTCATCCCCAAGGTTCCAATCTCCATGAGAGCCCCAGAGCAAACGTCTATCCTGTTTACTAAACGAGCTGTCCGGTCCATTCATCACCGCATCATTCTTCGCCTGCCACGCATCGGCATACTTCTTCGACTCAGCGTCCGCCTCGTGGAAGCAATCCAAAGTCTGGCAGACGGTCGTGTCTCTCCAGCTGTACGAGGTGCCATTGTCCCTATTGGCATAGAAGCGCGACTTCTCTCCGCCGAAGCACTGGATTTGCACCGACAATTTGCATCGCAAGTACCGCTCGTAGTTCTTCTCGCCAGGCTGGCCGTCGAGGTACTGCTTCGGGTTGTAGATGAGGTCAATCCGGTCGACGACGTCTTTGACCCACCCGTCCTTGAGGAGAGTGGTCGAGTAGACACGCTTGACGTACGGCAGATCGAACTCGCGCTCCTTGGGGAAGAGCCACTGGCCTGTCATGTCCGACATTTCCATATCGAACTCGCCAAATTGCAGCATCTCATCCTCCAGGCGGCTCTTGAGCTGGCGAAAGTTGTCGAACCAGGCGTCTACTTTGGCGTCGTACTTGTCCTCCTTGCTAGTGGGACACCATTGTGCGTAGAGGATGATTGAAGCGGGGAATTTGCCGTTTAAGAAGTCCAGGAACTTATCCTCGAGAACCTTCCTGATGTGGGCTTGCACGCGCTCCCAAACCGTTGCGTCATTCAACTCCTGGAAGAGCGTGGTGATGGGGAACTCTGTGCTCAGGACACTCACACAGAGGTCAAAGCCGCGGGGGAAGGTAGGATCAGCGGCCATCTTGGCCACAGCTGTGAGCAGCTTCTCGAGGACTTCGCGGGAGTAGATCCAGAGTGCCTTGATACCGTGTGGCCCCTTGAAGTTGTTTGGGCCAGCCACTGTGCCCAGGTAATTCTTGGACTTGTACACCTCGAGGATGTAATGCGTGATAATGCCAAAGTTTCCTGGGCTTCCGCCCAGAATGGCGTAGAACAGGTCCGGGTTGCTCTCCTTGGTAACATCGCGGATGATGCCATCGTGTTGAACAAGGCGGATGGTTCTGATGCTGTCGCCGAAGAGACCAAAGCTACGGCCAAGCTGGCCGTAGCCCCCGGTCTGGCCATGTCCACCGACGTTGACAGAAGCGCATTGGCCCGTCGGGACGAAGAGTTTATTATGCTTGAGATATTGATTGAGTTCCATCATTGTGGTACTCACGCCCGTGTAAACAAGGGTGCGATCCTCCGCGATGGGGTCCTTGGGTTTGAGGACCATGAGATCTTTGTAGGTGTTGGAGAGGTCGATCTGGATGTTGTTTCCAGACGTAGACGATGCACCGGAGTATTGGTGACCACCGCTCTTGATGGCAATGGCGACTTTGTTGTCGCGCGCCCAGTTGACTGCCCTGATTACGTCTTCGTCATGTTTGGGACGGACGATGAGGCTGGGGTTCATGTCGTGTTCCTTTTGGTATGTTGAACTTGCATATTGTTGGTTGAAGAAGGCATAGTCCAGCTGCTCGGACTCATCGCCGGTGCGAGAGTATTTCATACCCTCGAAGTCCTGAATGCGAGCCATGATTTGCAAACCTGATGAAATTGGTAGTGACAGAGTGTGAAGTGGTTGGACAAAGAAATACAATAGTGGAAAATGCGAGAGTCTTATATACATATTCGTGCGGAACAGACCGCCGAGGAAGAACGCAAACTGCACATGTTTAGCTGAGCCATCATTATGTGAGTCTTCAATCTTGTGTTACGGTGGTATGCGGAAGTTTCGTATGAGTGGCCAGTTTACACGAGATGCCGGCGACAAGGTGGTCAGCGGAACACGCAGCCTCGCCGTGCGGCGTCGCAGTCAGCCGTCTGCTGCTGATAAGGCGTTGATTGTCGGAGACGAATATGGAAAGTGTATGTATGATTTTCCCGATACAACGGAATGACCGTCTTCTTCCAGGCAGCCTCGGGGCACGGAATTGCTTACAGGTGAGACAGACCAATCGAGTGGCTACCTGGTCACAGTAATAGCCTTCCGAATTCTCACTTGCAACCCATTCCGCACGCCGCAGCTGATTCAGCTGAACTTCATGTGGAGTTTTCAATAATACGACCCAAGCAAGAACATTGGCGGATTGCCCGGACTATGCACTCAATAGCAAACCAATGGGATCTCGAAGCACGCTCGTTTAGCGAGGTTGAAGATGCTTTCACATGTTTATGTTTTTGTCTTCCCAATCAATCGGGTTAAATTGATGAGCTTTTCCGAAAGAAATACAAAGCTGACTTCATCTGTACACCGTATTTCCGTCCGCGTCCAAATTCAGGCGTTGTCTTGTACAGTCTGCTCTCCACTTTCGGAGATGGACCACTCTCCGCGAGTTGACTCGGACGAACAGACCTTTGAGCAGTGCATTCGAAAGAACTAACTTTGGTTGAAGCTTTGAAACAGGTGGTTACTTTGACTATGCGATTAAATCTCTCAAGGCCATAAAGGAGCTCAGGAACGTTAGAAATCGTAGACCGTTGTCAGTGGGGACGCTCTGCTAGGGATCATAGTCATCTTTTGCTTCCACCCCGCCACAGCAAATTGTCTTCGTGGCTCAGTCGGTAGAGCGTTGGTCTCATATTATCTAATCAATATGACCCTGCCACAGGCAGAGATATCCAAAGGTCGAGAGTTCGAGCCTCTCCGAGGACATTATTTTTGCTTTTTGACGCACCTTATCTTTCCCCAAGTCAAGCTCACTCTGCACTAATTCACTGTGACTTTTGGAGTTGATCAAGAGAGTTTATCCCATGTTCAATGACTTCGAGTCTTGCATGCGTGAGCTTGGAAAGTGTTTGGCTGCATGGACCGTGCTTCTTCTCCACGTGACGCTGGCGAACCCCCAATCGCGTGTCGGGATATTTTCGGAACGCATCCGCCAAGACAAGGACCAGGGCGCCCCGGATGCCTCCCGCCCCCGCTGGTGTTTCGCTTCGTCCAACTGCCAGTCCCAATCCACCAGCCCCTTGCCGCTCCATCTTTCCTACGCCTCCGACACACCTTCGCCTGCAGCAGATCTGCCCATCGTCATCGACCGGTCACCCTGCAGGCGAGTCACACGGGTCCTTGGAGGGGCATATTTCAACCAAGACGCGCTGCGACCAATTCACCACCGGGCTACCAGGCCATCTGATGGTTGTCCTGTCACAGCTCGCCCTAAACCATGTCACGGGCGCCTCCCACACAGGCGATGCAGCCAAACGAGCTAGCTCTGACATAATGCATCCGATCGACTGGACTTGCCCTGCAACCCAGCCGTGCCTTTCTGGGGCAGGCGTTGGGGCAGATGTTTGGTCGCGCCGCCGGTACGAATACAGCTGCCCCGGCTGAGGGCTGAGACACGACACCTACTTGGGGGCGCCAGTTCCCGTACAGCCTGCCTCCATCATCTCGCCCATCCTTCCCTCGAGTCTCCATTCAACCAGGAACGCCTGCTTCTCGACACACACGGTCTTCCTCTGAGCCCTGAACCGTCAGCCTACCAACCACTTCGCCGCCAAGGCACCAATACCACCGAAATCTAGTCACACTTCCAACTGTTGATCCGAGTGACCACTGGGAGGCAAACGAGAGACGAGAAAAGGCAGACGCGAACAAGCAGCACTTAAATACCGATCATCGCAGCAGTCGCAATCATGGGTGGACAAGACGAATCCAAGAGCCCCGCCGCGTCCTACGCAGACGAAATGCAGAAACAAACCCGCCGAGAACGTCGCTTCGACGACGTGGAAGCCGAGCTTCCCAACCCCACCGTCCCGACCTTGCAGTCGGCCTTCTTCACCGCCAGCGGCCTCCTGTCGCATCTGGGGAGCTACAACCCGTGGGGCAGACCCGTGACCGAGGATGACATTGTCTGGTTGATGGACAACACCGCATACAAGCCCTCGCGGCTAGGCAGCTGGCAAGCCGAGTTTATCGCCGCCGTGTTCGAGAAGGAGCCCAAGTGCAAGGTGGTCGACATCGTGCAGGGTGTCGCGAAAAAGTTGGGACTTGCTGATGATGCGGAGGAGTTGAAGACGATCGAGGAGAGGATACTGCCGTTCTTGTGGGATGTGCAGCCGTCGAGACACCTGCGGGTGATCAACCACAAGAAGGAACTCAAGCTGGGCCCTTCAGCGTCGAACGGCATTAGCACCGACACGTTGAAGATTCACGAGCAGCCGGCGGGCGCGATGGTTTCGTCGAGCGCCATGGTGCCGCAAGGGACGTCGGGTTTGCTGAAGATGCACACGTTCTTTGCGGAGCCTGAGGGGTGGTCCATTCTTTCGGGTATGTATTTGAATGCTGCTTTTTGGGTGGACGTCGGCTAACAGTTGCAGATATTGACGACACCATCAAGCTGACCCAGACGAGCGACCCCATTGGCATCCTCCGCGAGACTTTTGTCAATGAGCCGACACCCATCGCGGGCATGCCGGAGCTATACAAGAATATTCAGGCAATGCTGCCTCAGGGTTCGCCGTGGTTCTACCTCTCCGCTTCTCCGTACAACCTCTACCCGTTCCTGAGGGAGTTCCGAGACCAGTACTACCCGCCAGGAACCATCATACTCCGCGATTCAAGCTGGAAGACCGTTGCAGGATTGCTATCGGCATTGACGCTGGCGACGGAGCAGTACAAGGTGGAGCGCATCAAAAAGGTGCATGAATGGCTTCCCAAGCGGAAGATGATCCTCATTGGCGACTCGACGCAATCGGACCCCGAGGCTTATGGCGACATGTGAGTACTCACCGTCCAGAATATCTAGCGTTTGACTAACATTGCGCAGCTACCGCCAGTTCAAGGGCTGGGTCAAACTCATCCTGATTCGCAAGGTAACCGACATCGCAGCCGTGGGTCTCGCCGCCAAGAATGAGCCGGAGCGCTTCGAGAAGGCGTTTAAGAACGTTCCCCGCGATGACTGGCTCGTATTCGAGAACCCAGTCGACTGCAACAAGATTATCCGCGACGTCATTGCACAGGGTTAAGCACCATTGCCGGAAAATGTGGGCATTATCGGTTTGAGGAGTTTGGCGCTGCATGATGTTTTTCCAATTTGAACAGCCACGACAGTAACGACCTCAACTCTCAACAGAAATTACGTAGCGATCCTAATTGAATCCATATCTGCAGAAAGACACGCCGCCTAAGCCAATTCGCTGCATCGCGAATGTGAGATGGAGCATGCTGCAGACCAAGCCGTGAGATTGCGGAGAAGCCCCCTCGTCCGCAGCAAACCAGCCGGCGGCGCCGTTGTCAGCACCGCCTCACTGAGCCTCCCTCCCGAGCCATTTCACCAACCGGCTTTCTCCAAATGGCGTTCGACCTGCAATCCGTCGCCAATTGGCCGCAGTTTCGTGCTATCAATGCGTTTCCAGGCAGACTGCCAGGCAACATTGGCCTCAAGCACCCTTAGTTTTCCGGCGCCGTGACTCATCCGGCGGCTGCCTCCGTGCGTTTGCTGTCCACTGGATGAGTGAAGCGGCCTGCATTGCGGCTCACGGCTGCCTGCCTTTAAGACACTGATGACCCCGAGCCACATTTATCAGGCTGTTTGGTGTTTCTGTAGATCAGCAACAAGTTTCAAGAGCGAAATCAATCAATTCCATTGAATCGTCAGCCATCCGGTCGCAGCAGGCCAGGCATCGGCACCACGCATCTAGACGAAGCCATCGCCATCACCAACATCATCAACAACATCACAAAAATGGCTAACCTGACCCTTACAATCCCCCTCGCGCCCAATCAGATCCACTCCTCCTCCAAGACCCTCCTCGGCCTGCCCCTCGAGCTCCGCACCCAAATCTGGCGCGCCGCCCTCGTGTCCCCGCCAAAGCACTCCCTCAACCACCACGCAGACTGCCACTTCCGCCAGAACCACACCCGCACCTCCATCGAGCCGCCCGCGCATCTCGTCCTCGAGCCCGCGGTCGAGCTCGTCGAGCCACGCCTGTACCCCTGGGACGCCCCCTCGCAGTGCCGCTGCGCGAAGCGCCGGGGCTTGAACCTGCTGCTCGCGAGCCGGCAGGTGCACGCGGAGGCGGCGCCGCTGTTCTGGGGCGAGAACACGTTCGTGTTCGAGAGCTCGGACGAGTTCACCGTCGCGGTGGGCAGCAGGCTGCGCGAGGCGTACCGGCGGCTGCTACGGAGCGTGTACGTGGGCGGGTTCCAGGAGGCGGACAAGAGCCTGAAGACGAGCGTGAACTTGTTCACGGGAGAGTACCTCGAGCAGCCGATCCAGCGGTGGTGCCAGTTCTGGGGGGTGCTGAACCAATGCCGCGGGCTGCGGGAGCTGGCGATCCGGCCTGAGGTGGTGCGGAAGCACGCGGTGTACCTGGCGAAGCTGCGCGAGCGGCTGCCGGAGCTGCGGAAGCTGGAGATGACGTATGTGGGGAAGCACAAGGACCGCAGTTGTCTGTACCGGCGGGACTGGGGGAGTTTCCGGGGGTGGGATAGGGATGTGCAGCGGGGGGTTGTGTTTGTGAGGGCGGCGGAGGAGGTTGAGCTGGAGAGTCTGAGGGGGATTGACGCGAAGGGGTGTAAGGAGATGTTCCGGGAGTTCACGACGAACTTTTGCGTGTACGTGGACCGGATTGTGCGGGAGAGGTTTTTGGGGTGCGAGGATGAGGAGGGGCAGCTGGATTTGTTTGAGGAGGGGGTGAAGGTGAATGATGCGCAGCGGGAGTTTGTGGTTGGGCTGCCGAACGGGACGGAGACGCGGATTGTGTTTATGGGGGTGCCGTTGAGCAAGGAGACGAGGGTGAGGTTGGCGATGGGGCGGATGCAGAGGGATCGGAGGTTGAGGGCGGAGGGGAAGAGGACGCCTGCGGAGGAGAAGTTGTATGAGGCGGGGAGGAAGAAGAGGGAGCTGTGGAAGGAGATGGAGGCTGACGAGGAGGTGCGCGCGAGGCAGCGGGTCTTGGATGGGAGGAGGTGGAGGGATGAGGACAGGGCCGAGGAGGAGAGGCGGGCGAGGGAGGCTGAGAGGGCTGAAGTGATGAGGGCGGCTGATGTTGCGAGGGATGAGAGGAAGATTGAGAGGAAGAGGGGCGGGAAGCTGGGGGTGGTCGAGGTGAAGGATGTGGTTGAGGAGGAGCTCGTGGAGGTGATGGGCAAGGCGAGGATTACCAAAGGTGCTGCGAAGAAGGAGACGAAGACTGGTAGGAAGAAGAAGGGGATGAGTAGGAAGAAGGGAGGCGTCAGTGAGATTGAGGAGGGCTTGGGAGACTTGGACTGGGACTCTTGGGACCCTTCTGGAGATGGGTGGTAAGGAGGAAGAATGGAAGATGACTGCCACGATAATGATACCCATAAGAACGTTCGATCAGCCGGAGTTCAGGATATGAGCTAGAATAATTCTCAATGGCTTACACTTTATCCTGAATGACGATCATCTCTGTGTATTGGATTTCGTCGAAGAAAATTGCTCCAAGGGTTTCATATCCCCGTGGGAGAATGCACAATGGGCGTCGACACACCCCGTCCTCAGATATCTGTTCTCTAACTCGGAGGCTAGCAATATGATAATAGCTCTCACTTGAACAAGATGAGTTCCATCCGTACGGATAGAGGAAGAAGAAGGGGATAGATAGGAAGGAGGGAGGCGTGAGTGAGATTGAGGAGGGCTTGGGAGACTTGGATTGGGACTCCTGGGACGCTTCTGGGGATGGGTGGTGAGATGGAAGATGACTGCTACGATATTGATACCCTCGTGATTCTATGATCTCATTTAAGTTGCCCCGGACAATTTCTTGCCTTTTTTGTTACACGATGACGAGCTCGGCCCTCCCGATTCTGGGAGACAAGGCAAGGTCCACGGGGCACTTTGGATCCCGAGGCACGAAACTTGCCCAACCTATCCTTCTGTACACATCTCTCGGGCCGGAAACCGGTAGCAAGATCATGGCATCGGCGGCAAACCAATAACCATCACGTGAACTGACCTTGTGAAGCAAAAGAATAGTCCGACCCTCACCTTCAAACTCGTATTCCGTAACATCCGCTTTCATCGACCCCGAAAGTTCAAAACCAATGTCAGTATCGGGCCAAAAGTGAATCCATCCATCCGGTTGCTTCTTGTACGAACATCCAAAACATGTGCCTCGTACTTCTAACCAAGCATCACTCACATCGGCCATTCCCTCAAAGGCGTTGGAAGTTGCGCCGGCGTCTATAATCTCCAATGCCATATGGTTCTCACAGTTTGGACGTTTCGCGTTAAACTGTGGCCAGACTGGGCCGTCAATAGATGCCCATGACCATGAAGGCGCCCTATATCGCTTAGGGAAGTGGGCCGCTCTCATCTTCTCAAGAGCCGTCCAATTCAACTGTGCGAGCAGCTGCGACCGCCAAACCCCAGCTAAATACGTGTCGCCGGTAAGTTCTTGGAAGGCTTTGGCGACACCAGCAAAAGCGACAAGCTTGTCCTCGGATTTGGTGAGCTTGCATTGTGAATACACGCCCACCAGCTTCTCCCAGAGTTTTAGAGTGGCTTCTGTCATTTCCCCGTATGAAGCTTCGGCGCTTTGTTGAACAGAGGCTAGCAGTTCGTCCATGATGCTGATCGAGTCTTCAAATGACTGGTATACACCCTCCCACTTACGGCCTTCGCAGCATTCCCAGCTAATACGCTGAGGGTGGAAGGAGAGCAATCGTGGGGCCAGAAATCTTTCCTGAAACACCCATCCGCGGTCCGCCAGAGTTGTCACCGTGACATTCCTGCCGTCGAAGTGATCATCGCGAACAACGTATCTCTGTGGTTGCCCTGATGACACACGAATTTCCACCAGGCCAGGGGACACATCGCTGGGGTGTCTGTACCGGAACAGGCCCCCTCCAGGTTCTGACGAGTCGCAGGCCACAACATTGCAACCGGAATTCGCGTACACATCTCTCATGGTAGATGCCTCGTGTTTCCAATCCTGGCTGCAGTCTTGTATGATGCATAGACAATCGATCCATACATACTTGAAGCCAAGTTTACGCGCTACCACGAAGAAGTCCTTGAATGTCTGAGGTAGGTCGGCGATCGGCTTTCCGCCGAGAAAGTGTCCCAAGGTCGAGGTTCTTAGCATCAAGGCTTGTGGCTTTGATCCCCATCTATAACTGAGTGTCGCGTACTGGGCTGCTATTAGACTGCCAGCTTGGTCATCAGTGATGATGAGCCTCCAACTTTCATCTTGAGCCTGGCCAATTTCCACCAGGCGCGAAGGTACCCACCCGGGCTTACGAGTCGGCAGACTCCAGCATTTGCTGTGATTCAACCGACAGAACTGATACCAGTCGGCAGCTGTTTGCAACACTTCGGGAGATCCGGTGTTGTTGCTAATGGGAGTGACCGCCAGATCAGGGTCGCATGATGATTCTTGGTTTGATGAGCATATAAGTTCCGAAGATTAAGGGCTTGGGCTTACCTTTTGCGTCGATCAATGCGAACTCAGGCGTGTTATTTGGGTCGTAGAGTACTGCCGCAGCATTCTGCTGATACACTTTCATTCTCAACACCCCTATCACACCCCTCTCCTCGAGGGAAACAAAATAGGAGTATGTCAAAGGACACCAGTTCACCGCCCCAGAGCTTTCCCACTCCTCAGCGCGTCTTCGGTCGTAATTCCATACCCGATAACATATGATGCATTCATCCTTGACGGCTTTGAGAAATCGCTCGAAGGTCTGACCTTCTGGCGTTGAGATGCAGTCCGCTTTATTTTCCAAGAGTAAAGAGTCGTGCTGTACTGGTATTTGTTTAAGAACAGAACGGCAAATCGAACACAGTGGTGACAATGGTTTGGAGTAGTATGTGAGATCCTCCTTCGTCTGCAGGCCTAAAGCAGGCGAAGAATCAGACGCCATGTTGAGTTACTAAAGAATTTGCTGAGAAGATGGCAAAAGCCCGGATTCAGACCCATAACGCGGGGGCACCAGCCTTTTATTATCAGCTGCGCACCACCAAACCCACCAGCGCCCGACATCATCTTCATAAGCGGCCCAATCAGATGCACAGCTGATAAGCGCAGTCTTTTGGTGGGCGCATTTCTACAGTTTGAGAGAGGTTGTGTTTGGAACGTCCGGCAAGAAGGCATAACGGCAGGTAAAGGAGGCAGAAGATATGATCTTGTGGCATTGGTGTTTGTAGTCTTTGTTCAAAAGCCCCTTATTCCTGTTCATTCCCAATTGTCTTTTTAATTTGTTCATTGTGCACCATCTGTCTTCTCGCGCGCTAGATAATAAAAGCTGGCCAGTAATAAGCAACCCATTAAATGAGACTCATAGAACGCAACCTAGCAACTACTTCAAGACTCTAAACTCATGTTCCCACGCTAGTCTACAACCCCTTATTCAACACCGACGACACTTGCTTCCGTCTCATTCCGCTCACATGCTTCTCCAAAAGACGCTCAACTCCAAGACACAAGTACTTGTCCCCAATGATATTCTCTTGCTCGTTTTCGATATTCTGATTAATGAAGCAGTTGAGTCTCAGGAACCCATCACCTGGCTACTACTTTACAGCGACGTGGAGACGTGGACTGGAAGACTTTCCCTGGGGGTTGCCAGCGAGGAGGACGCGCTCCACAACCAAATGGAGTATAAGCATCGGAACAAGGTTCTTAGACAACGATTCCGAGCTACAGGGCTGCTTCGTCAGGTAAGCAAAGCAACCTGCCACTTGATTCAACGAAAATTCCGCCCAGCCATTGCATTCTATCACCTGGACAATAAGCCTGTCACCGCGCTGGTAATCCCTGAAATTGACCTTTTCGCAACTACACACCAACCTTATGCGTGGAACACTTTCAATTCCCTGGAGCTAGAGGTAGCAGCCGACAATAAGCGTCTCATATGGACCCTGCACAGCCCGGGGAGCGGAGCGCAGACAGTGCTCGACTACATACAGCACTATCATGTCCCCCTGCTGGACTGTACCGACCCAGTCCGTCGCGATCGTCTAGCAATAACACTGAAAATGCCTAGTCTCAAGGAGGTATGGATAGAGTGCGCCTGGATTTGGCGGAGACGTTATCGTAGGAAAACTCGACACGCAGGCATCCGACCGATCAGCTCCGGGGTATTTTCCCATTTGCACAAGCTTCAGCCCGTGTACCGGAGGGCATACTTCATCTTTCGGGAGCTTCAAAAGCGTGGTGTCAAACTGTACTGCGTCGGCAATTGGCACAAGAAGGATAAGGTAATTCAGATCTTCGTCACGAAAAACGATACTCAGATGCAATGGGTAAAGCCGAATTGCCCTGATTGCTTGAAAACAGGAAGCTCGTGCAATACAGATCCACATTCGGACACGGATTCGGACGCAGACTTGGGCCCTGATTGGGACTCAGACTGGGATATCTATTATGAGTCCTCTGTCGTTAATGATCTGGACTGGGATGTACAAGATCTGTTCTACCCATAGTCACTTGCGGACGGATTCGACAGTGGTGTGGCGATACCGTGCTACTACCACGTTATGGCGAATTCAGACGATGTGTATGCGTCCATATGGCCATGATGCTGAGTAAATTGAAATAGTTTCAACGCAGTGTACAAGTTGTTGTAAGCTTTGATTTGCTGTGTAATCTTCCCCTCATTGAAATCCATGGATACCTCCAACTATGATTCCTTTTATGCTCAAAAACGGGCAGGTCAATTCTCACCGTGGTATCGACCATCCTAAGAACCTACAGTTACTGGTAGAGATCCACAGTGTAACAATACCTACAAATGCTATTGTTTTGTTGGGTCAATGTGACCCGATTTCTTCAACTGGCTACTGAATATAATCTTTCTACTGGTCATTGAGACGTTCGCTTATGGAATGAAGCAGTCGCTTTTCATGCCCCTTGCTATTCCGACAGTGCGAAGGATTGTGCCGACGCTATTTCAGGGCTACGAAGAGGTGTTCAACGGCAGAAAGGGTGAGTCGTTGGATTCGGTCCCCTCTGTTAGTGATTAGCTACGGCAGCCCGGGGGTTCTCTCTTCAGTATGTTGTCGTATTATTGGGTCTTTCCAGGCTTCGGGATCTGGGCTGCAGAGTAAGATGAAGGGCGAGATGACGGGGCTGCGTCCAAGTAATTACAAGCACGTGGAAGAAGTAGAAGCACAAAGTAATTCCAACAGTTTATCTGTGCGTACCTAATGATTTGAAGTTGTCGTCCTCATGATTTTGAGAACCTATAGTCTCCGTCACTATCACCCAGCAGCTGTACAGAAATGAGTCGTAGTAACATGTTTTCAAAATTGGACATAGCCAGAACCCAAGCAGTACCACGGGCACGTCCAATTTATTCTGTCTAAGACCGACCATTGCGGGATCATTTGAGCAAACACTCGAGTGACAGTTTGCTTGAGACTTGACAGAGAGTGTTTAATTACTGACTAATCTGTCACAATGGACAGCAGTATTTGACCAGATACGTGATCCATACGTATGCTTTATCCCGCTGACGACCTTTCTAGCATGACGTACCAGTGAGGAGCCTGATCTACTTATGTACCTATGAGTGACTACACCAGACTTAAAATGCCAGCTCGTCTACCTTTGATATAAAATCCAGTTATCAATCAAGAGATCTTATTTGCGGTTTCCTGTATTTCCTTCATGAATCTTTCCATGGGACTCATTCCATGGGTGTTTCTCGCCACCTTTTGGGCTACCTTCGAATCCAATGTAAGTCCCAATGACACAAGGTTACGAATGACGGCCATTTCATCCCTTCTTTGATCCTCCTCAACACTATGAATGTTTGTATCGATACCAAAATTGTGCTTTGTAAGGGCGGCATGCGACAGGCTCGACGGCTGCTCTCTGTTGTCCCCGCCGGATGCAGGGTTATTGCCACCCGGCCCGTCAGTCAGACATCCTTGAGCAGTGCCATGGGTGTTGGAGCTTCTGGTCCATAGTCAGCAAGGATTGGGGGATATGCTAATCGTGGAATGGAATAGAATGGCCGCGACATACCTCGAAACCGACGGCAAAGGCTTGGATGTGCTCGTCTGCGATGCCATTTGGACTGTGAAAAGAGTCGCGAGACGTGCAGGTTGACGTGATCTGGACTGGAGATGCTCAGGATACTGGGTAGCGTAGCGTAATGGACGGTCAAGGATTGTAGGAATTTGTATTGGGTTTTGAGAGTGTGATGATTCCGAGGACACACGATTCATTGTTGAGGCCATGATAGACCTTAAATACAAGAGTAATAGAGGAGGGATACCGCTTGAATGACGGAGAAATCGTTGGGATTTCCCTGACCAAATGCTTGATCCACCATGACTTGGTCAAATGAGCAAAAACGATATGAAGGGTGAAACTGCAGAAACCAGATTCTTCACACGTCAAAGGTCGTTGATCGATGCAAGTGCTGAGTGCACTCGCATGCGTGATCTAGGTCATGGATTGCAATGATGGACATTGCTAGGGACTATCACAAGGCTAAATCTGCAAAATGCAAATTGGGCACGTTGTTCCCACGGGTGGGAGCCTGGCGGGACGATTGCGCTTATGCAGGAGTGGGACTGCAAATCGCATCAGGTATGAAAATGCAAAATGCAATTTTCCCTTTTGCGCTAGTATCCTCTGACGGAACCACTCTCAAACAGGTTATCCAATCAAGTACGATTTGCACTTTTCTGCGTTGTATTATGTGGTTGTCCACCAACTAGAACTGCAGATTGCGCACAGCCTGCGCCTTGCTAATGCAGGTTGGCACATGTGTGGTGAGTTTGCCCCTTCCTTGGCTTGAGCCTGAGGCCGTCAAAACTCTTCATTTTCCCCGATAAAGCCCCTTCTTCAGTTTGGGTGGCGGTCGCGAAACAGTGAGTCTGTGTTGATAGGTCATGTCTGTGTCCTTGCGGTTCGTTGGTGTTAGTCTCAAGGCTAGTGTTGATCTTTTCTGGGACATTCAGAATGACGAAAGACTGGACGAACCTTCAACATGAGATTCAGCAGCTTTATGTTGTGAACAATCGAAAGTTGGTGGACATAATGAGGATAGTCCAAACTCGCCATGGCTTCAAAGCGTCGTAAGTCATGCCAGCCAACGTTTCGGTCCCCGCAACATTTATGATTGTCTACAATTTTCGTTAGCGAAAGGTCATATCGCACGCAGCTACGCAAATGGGGATATATGAAGTACAATGTCCAAGATAATCCACCGTCAAGACCAAAGCCCAGCACGTCAAAGAGAAATCGCTCCTCCGGTGGCGCTGATGCCCATGTCACCATATCTTCTACTCCATCTCTTGAAAGCCGAGATCTTGGCGCGAGGTATGCTTGAAACGTAGCCACTGGTGTTCTCATTCTTGACCGCGCTAACGAACAACAAGTCTCGTCAACTCCGTCAATGTCTCCGCAACTTCTTTCCACATCGGTCGCATACACAACTCATACTTTAGAGATCAGACCCCCTTGCCTGATCAATCAACAACTTTAGAAAGACTCTGGGTGCGGAACTCCCCTATGTGGCCTGAGGTTGAGGTGAGAAATCTATTTCTAGCTGTCCACAGCCAACATGAGGAGGAGGTGGAACGAGCTTTATCTGAGGGATCCCTGGCCAACTCGCAGGACGCTCAAGGCATTGGCGCCCTTTACTATGCCGCGAGTGGGACATCCTCCAAGATCGTCAGCCTATTGCTGAATCATGGGGCCGATGTGAACGCTAAAGGGCATTCGGGACAGACACCACTGCATCGGGCTGCCTCCAACGCCACAATCACTCATCTTCTGCTGGCCGCCGGAGCAGACGTCAACGCGCGAGATGTATGTGGAAACACGCCAGCTCATCTAGCCGTTCCATTTTCAACAGCTGAAATGGAGGAGACAAGCGCTCTCCATGTCCTTGTCGACCACGAACCCACTCTCAACACCCGAAATTACCTGGGGATCACCCCGTTTCACCTCATCTTGGAAGAACATGAACTAGATCTCAACTTTTTTCTTGAGCGAGGTGCCAGTGCCACGCTATGCTTCCCAGATGGCCGGACACCCCTGGATGTGCTTCTATCCAAATTAGGAGATTTCGAAACTTGGGCAGTCCAATCCTGGGCAGACATAGTTCGCCTTATGATCGAGAAAGGCGCAGATCCATGCAGCTTGCTTCCCACGGGAAAACCTTTGGTTTTGGCATACATCGAGTCATTGCCCAAAATGGGCCATAGCTTCCGGGAAGACATGCCATTAGGGAGAGCCCTGTGCAAACATGCCGATTTCAATCTACCAATGTCTATTGGGGTTGAACCACAGGACACTCTATTGCACGCCTTATCACGAAATTGTGGCGCGAATGATGGATCAAAGCTCCAATTTGGTTGCCTATTCGACAATGTTCTGCGGCGGGGAGCGGACCCGAACGTCAGAGACAAGTCTGGAAGAACGCCATTGCTATTGTTGTTAATGAGCCAAAGGAACAATCGCAAAGCAGCGTTCGATTCCGCGAAAATCTTGGTTTCGCATGGGGCAAATCCCTGGATATCGGACTGGGAAGGGAACAGCGCCATTTCAGTGGCCAAAGAACCTCCACGGTACTCCGATGCATGTCTGCATTACCTTTTGAGAGCTTCACTGAAGTCACAGATTGGAATGATCTCGAAATGTGACCGGCGTAGTATTCTCCACTACTGTACATTTCGAGAATGGATCGAAGCAGTTGATGCGGACGACTGGACCGAATCCACACGATGCATCAGTGCTGCAGGTACAAGCTTTCGACCAGAAGGCTTGAAAACGTGTATGTTGAAAGTGCTCGCAGAATGGTACTTGGAAACATCCGTGGAGCGGACTGAAGGGGTATCAGCGGGGATGGAGCAGCGACGTCGATACAACGCCCAGATCATCAGGGACTGCCACGTATTTGGCATCAGGCTTGACCTCGACTACTACGACTATCTTCTACAGCTGTGTCTTTGACTTCAATTGGGCTCAAGCGCGGGAAGCGGTCAGCTCAGTCCAATTAAGTTGCAACATGAAAAATAGGACTTCCATTGTTCAAAGCAATGTTGCTGTGTTACTGAATTGCTAGAGGTAATACAATACAACACAAAGTGCAAAACACTAGCTCTCCCCGTGATCTCTCGTTTTCTCCAGCTCTTCTCTAAGCCTCTCTAAGAACGGCGCAGAATTCCACTCCAGATCCAAAAGAATCTCGAATTTATCCTCGAGAAGCTCGCCCGTATCCATGTTTGAAACGTCCAGATTCATCCAGTCACTCTTCCACTGCGCCCCAGCCTCCCTTCCCCACACGATACCACGCTCGAGTGCGAGATCCATGAGATCCTCCGCATATCCGGGCATCGACATCCAATCTTTAGCAGTCATCTCTATCCCATTGTCTCTCGCCAACTCCGAGATCTGTTCGCTCGCCTTCTTCGAGGTGCAGAGCGCGTACCAGGCCCGGTCGACCAGGATGGTTCCCCCTTCCTCGACGCTCTTGCGGTCGGCGAAAAAGCCATAGAATTCCGACTCTGAGCCTTCCTCCTCTTTAATTCCTTTGTAGTATTCGAGTAGATCTTTGTCGGGGATACCGTCCGTATCAGACGTCCATGGAACCAGTTTGGGGTGGACCCAGGACCCTTCGTCTTGGCCTACCGTTCCGTCGATAGACTTCAGGTACTTCTGTTCCTCTTCTTCGGTGAGCTTTATCATCATGTAGATTTTGACATATTCAGCATCGATGTCATCGTCATTGGCGACATTGCTGAGCTGTGTATAGTCCCCTTCTGCCGACATGATGATGGTGGGGAAGGAATGTTCCTGGATGAAAAGTGATGCGTTATTCGGCGAACTTGACTCGACTTTGTTCGACTGCGATGATGGCAAAATGGTTGAAATCAGAGACAGCAATAAGATGAGCACTGCCATGATTGTTTGAGAAGAAGCCGGCCTGTTTATATATGGCAAGTAACGAGGTAAGCGGCCCGCCGTGTGCCGAAGATGCGAGGATTCATTCGCGATAAGAGACGACCAGCGCTGACCACCCTTGGCATTTGCAGACCTAATCCTGAGGTCGAATCGATTTGCGCAGGATTGCTGCCTGGCCAGCGGCCGGCGAATCCTTCGCAGTGGAGATGCGGATCAACGGCAAAGCAGCGTGATTCAATAGGCAGGTGGTTCAAAAGATCTTTTTCAAAAAAAACTAGCAAAAAGCCTTTGGGTATCTCATCATGTTCATTGTTCTTCATAACCCCCAAACATCCCACTCGTCTTAAAAGGGCATGGCAAGCGCAACACCAGCCAGCGCCGCGAAAGTCCACACTGTAGCCAAGATTCCAACACCACCTCCGGAGGTAGTCATCCTCATGCCGTGAGCTGCACTAGCCCCCGTCCCCGACGGAGCTGCAGTGCCGCTTCCGCTGCCGCTGGCACCGCCAGTCTCTCCGGCCTCGCCCTTATTCACCAAGGTGACGGCCGGCTTGTACGCGACTGGGTACATACTTTCAGTGATCGCAGAAGCCGTGTACGTTGCGGTGCGAGTGCTGTACTCAATGGGACCCGAGGCGGTGTACGATATCACGCGACCCGTCACGACGGTGTTGTTGTAGGTTATGGCGGCCGTGACCTCGGTGTAGACATCGTTTGGGATGACCCTCCCGCAGGCCGTCTTTTCGCCGTATACGGTATCCGGGACTGTTGAAAAGCAGCCGCCGTTGATGCCGACAGTGTAGTTTCTATTCCACCATTTAACAACGTGGATGAACTAAAGATCCGGGGAACTTACTCGGGACAACAAACAATCGCTGTCTCATCCTCGTCAAGAACCTCCATCAACACGTTCAGCGGCGGGTTGTAGCCAATCAAGCCGCCGGAGCGTAAACCGCTCGTCACAACCGGTGGCACGAATACGCCAGACGACGTGACGTTGCCGTCGCCGCCCCTGTGGGCTGAGCCCGCGGTCGTGTATGAATCCGGGCATTGGCTTGCAGGAGAGAAGTATACGATTGTCGCGCGGTCGTTATTCGCCTTGGTGCTTGCCGCAGATATTGCGTCGTCGAGCTCCTTACCGGACGGGAAGCATTCGCCCAACTTTGCGACGTCACAGTCTTGCTTGTAGTAAGCGGCGACGCGGTCAGATCCCCACGCGCCGCTGATTGCGAGATACAGCTCCGGTGATGCGGTCGCGCAGGAGGTCGGTGTTGTGAAGACCGTTGTTAGGGGTCCGACGTTGGTGATGGCAAATTGGGAGGTTGAAGTCGCGGTAGGCATTTTGACGGATTTGGTGAGACTGGCTAGGTGCAAGTGTACTTCGGCAGCATGGGATGAAGACCTGATTCTTTCAACAGAGAAAGGGGGTTCTTTTAATAACCGCTGGCACCATCGTGAGAACCACGAGGGCGGTGCCATCCGCAAGGGGGAAGCAATTAAGCTTGCTTACCCCAGACCGCAGATCAACGACTCCAGATGCTTAGCGCCAAGTGACAAACACAAGTCGGGCGTAACGACTCCCTGTCGCTTCGCGTCATAATATTCCTTTTTGGATTGACAGTTTGCGGCGACCCACCTAATTGAGCTCCAGGAAATTGGCTTGGCGAGTTCAAATTGGCAAAATGGTCTTAAGCAACCAAGAAACCATGGGGCTGGAACAGTCGGTCTGGTGACGAAAGTCCCAATGACGGTTGAAGGATTTTGACCCGCGGAAGCTTTTGCAGCGAGGTCGCTTGTGCTATGTTATGTGCTGATGCGGCGCAGTCGGGCGGGAATGACATCAGAGTATTGGGCGCTGGTCAAGAGTGGTCGACTTATCGTGACACATGGCTCCGCCCATTCTGCCCTACAGTCTTGGCAAGGAGCTATTTGCTGGATTACTCCGCAGAAGCGATAGGCGGCGATTCATGCCTTGGGGCTGTGAGATGGCAATCCGGCCGATCAATAGAAGGCAGACCATGAGGCTTCGAGAACATCACACTCAATGCACCGCGAGAATCGTGTTCATGGTCCGCGAAAACGATCAGTTTGATTAAGAATTTATCCCAGTCTTCCGCGGACTGAGTGAAATACGATCAACGCCAAGATAACCCCCAACCCACCATGTTCTGACAATCTTACATACCGCTTTTCTCATTCTTCCATTCACTGCTCTCCTTCAACCAAGTCTCAAAATCCTGCAATCTGGGCTCTTCCTTTCTCAACATCTGAATGTCCGCCCCATAGCCTTCTCTCTTGAAGAACTCAAACATCCTTCCCACGTCGTTAATCGCCCACATCATGCCCCGCCCAAAGAACCCATACGTCTGCGGCATCTCGCTGCCAACAACCCTCTTGAAGACCTCCCGGGCCTTGGCGTAGGTGATGTCCTCGCCGGCCAGCGACAGCGCCCGGCGGTCCCACCTCTCCGGCTCCGCGATCGCTCGCGCGGCAAACAGACCGATGTCTCTCACAGAGACAAACTGCAGGGAGCGGTCGGCCGGGAGGGTGGACCACATCGACGCAAACACCTTGCCGAACATGCCCGGGTTGGTGTTGTCCAGGAACGCGGTGGGCCGCAGGATGGTCCACCTCAGTCGTCGCCCGCTCTTCTCGAGCTCGTCGGCGCGGTCGCGCAAGTGCACCTCGATCTCGTGCTTCTGGTAGAAGTGCGGGACGTCAGTGGGGTTCTCCCAGGACTTGTCCTCGCCGCCGCGGTCGACGGAGGTAAGCACGATCTGCGTCGCGCCGGCGTCGATGGAGGCGTCGACCCAGGCCTTGCCGACGACGTGCTCATTCCCGGGGGTCGTGACGATGAAGGAGGTGTCGATGCGCGGGTGCGCGCGGAAGACGGGGATAGGCGACTTGAGGTCGCCTTCGACGGGGACGAGGGAGATGCCCTTGGGCCTGGCGGCCTCGGAGAGGGACTTGAGCTTGGCCGAGGCGGGGTTTCTTGTGAGTGCGAGGAGCTCGAGGGAAGGGCTGGCGCGCGGGAGGTTGAGGAGGCCGTCGATGACGGCGGAGCCTTGTTTTCCGGTCGCGCCGAGGATGAGGACTTTTCTTGTGGCCATTGTGATGTCTTTGGGGTGACTCTGTTGGTGAAGGGATGTAAACGATTGTCGGTTCAAGAGACAGAAGAGAGGCAATGAGAAGTGAGAGGTCAAAAGAAGCTCGATAACTAGGTACTGGGAGCTTGAGCCTTGTTGTAGGGATGAGCTTCCCGGCTGCCGATGTTTGATGTTTTGATGGCGTCATGACCTTGCGGCCGCACGACCACTTCCCCAACCCATGTCCGAGAGTGCATCTTGCACAGGGAGATACTGATCGCTTTCTCTCTACGAACCGATTACACTAAGCTTCTACTCCGGCCTGAGAAATGGAACATCAGCAGTTTTGTGCTGTGGGCTGGTGAAATGACTACCCGTATGATTTGGTGCCCTCGAAGGATTGTTGAGCTGTTGTAACGACATTGAAGATGTTTGTGACCTAGAAGTTCAGCAAACCTCACGGCCCCAAACTAGTCCGATCGCAAGGGTGAAACACTGCAAGGCGTTGGACGTCTTTGCTAGTACATATGCAACTCTGCTCAACTATTCATGCTGAACCGTCGACAAAGGTCTGGACATAGTGTCAATCCTGCTCCATAAGCTACTCCCGCAGGATCCGATTCCTGGGCCGGAGAGGAGCCCATTGCGGCGCCGCTTCCACCGGCGAATTCTGTTCCGTATCGGAGCCGAGGCCAACGAGACGGAGCGGGAGAGACTCCAGTACTATCGCAAACCAATCAAAAGCATTCCAATGAAATGAGGATTTCTTTGAGCGACCTGCTAGGCTGCTGGAAAGATCTGGGGACGGAACAATCCAGATAGTCGGAGCGGCCCGGCTAGAATGACCAATCCAGCTCCATAAGTGAACGATAGCGTAGCATTTCCCATGATTTAGCAGTTAGTCTCGGTCCTGTTCGTGCCCTTGGCCCGTCGGATTGGATCCTTTCGCGACTTCGACATCAAGAAAAACACCGAAAGATTGAAACGACAGGTCACCCGCCGAGCACCAAGCTGGTCTTTTCATTTGTAAAGTCGCGTAATCCGAACCGAATCTCTCGGTGATCGAGCCATGTCACCCTTCCAAACAAATCACCACCCGCGCGGTTGCCGTATTCGCCAACAGCGTATTTGTAAACAACCCATCGCCATCCGAAGTCGCCCCGGCTCCGAAGCGCGACATCCACTGCCTCATCGGGACCGGGCCCGGAACTACCGGAGATCCCCAAAGTCCGGCATTGAGGGGCCAACGAACGCGCTCGCGCCATGGGAATGGCGACTCAGGCGGCCCTCGTCGGAGCGCGAACTCTGCGCGCGGGAAAAAAGAACAAGTGTCGGTTTAGCGGCTTCTCCTGCGAGACATGTTTCTGCTCTGTCAAAGATCGGACGCCTTCTGCAGATGACGTTGGCGGGGGCCGTTTAAAGAGAGCATGCAGCCCTCTGCCATTTTGACGCCGTCGTTGAGGTTGGGCAGACTTTCCGCAACTCAATTGGTGCTTGGCAGTTCAAGGCTGCAGAAGTGAGGGCGCTCAACTTACGTGAGAAACACACTTACATACACACACATACTTTAACCTGCAAGATGTTTGGCCGGGTCTTGCTTACCCTCGACGGCATCCTGCTGCTCTTCGGCGCGTACCTTGCCGATTGGAATGAGACGCACATCCACAACCCGCGATGGCCTCCGCACGCCAAGTAAGTCATGCCGCCCTTTGCTCCCTGGCACGGCTACTAAATGCCGTTGGCAGATTCCACAACGCCCAGACGATGACGCTCTCCCTCATCCTCGGCCTCGCCACGCTCTTCTTCACATGGCGGCCCACCACGTCGCCCGAAATGGCCAAGGAGTCGTTCCGCATCGCGGGGTTCCTCGGGTCCATCTACTGGGTGGCCGGGTGGGCGTCGCTGTTGTATCCGGGGACGGACGGCCTCGATCCCGAGTTCGGCGGGCCCGGCTTCCCGCAGAAGTACCCCTTCACGACGGCCCTGGGGCTCGCCGTGTCCGGGATGTATCTGGAGGGGGCGTTCTAGATTTGCCCTTCTCTTTGTTCTAAAAATGGACTACGGGCTGCAACCGCGAAACAAACAACGCGATATGAAGAAGGGCTGCCAGTAGCGGAGAATTGAGGCAAAGATCCATGGTTTGTGGAGTTTGGCATGTTGCAGCGGGAACGGGAATCCCAATGTCGGGGATCAGGGGGAAGATAGGCGGGAGATTTTTTTTTAGGGTTTCTCCTTTAGATTGAGGGCGACGTGGACAGCGGGCTGAGCTTCTTTTTTGTGGGAAGAGGGAGCATATGTGTACATAGCTTCGAGCAGTGTGTTCATGTTTGCGCACGCATCAAGGACTAAAACAAACCATTAAGCTGAGCCTCTCAGTCTTCGACGCCCGCCGTGACAGTGTAACGGAGATAAAGTGAAGGGGAAAACCCTCTTGAATCTGCGGAGGCAAAGTGACGACGACGCCGGAGGATTACACGCAACAGAAGCCACTAAATTGAGCCGGAAAGTGGGCGGACCACGGCAGCGGCGCATGACCGAGCGGGCGGCGTTCTCAATGGCCAAGGCCCTTCCTCCGGACGGGACGACCGAATTGAGGAAAACCTCGGAGGGAGACAAGGCGAGAAAGAAAGCGGCGGGAAGACGAAAGATTGGAAAGATGGACGGAAGGGTGAAAGCTGACGTGGAAAAGGGCTGGTTCTTGAAGCGCTCACCACTGCGTCAATCTGTCTCGCCCAACGTTTGTTTCAAAAAGAACCGTTGTGGAACCCGTCCAGACATCCTGTTGCACCAGACGAGAATGTTGCCTGGGTCGCTAAATGTCTTGGGCGCGCTTCTGCTTCTGAGGTGCGTTAGCGAATTTGCATATTTCTCGACTCCCCCGGTTTCTGCGTGAGCGAGTTTCCTGGTTGGGCGGCGCGGCGGCGGACATTTTTTTCGTGCTTGGGAGAGTGAGAGAGGAGCCCAGAATGACGTGTGCTGAGACTCTTGGACGGGCAGGGGTCCAGGGGTTGGGTTGGTGGTGCTGGACAGGCTACTGGTTGTTCTTGTTGCTGTGGGATCTGGAGGAGGAAGAGGCGTTTGGTTCTTTGGTTGCTCGGCTCGGGTTCGCCCCATGGCTTTAGCCCCCGGCAAACGGCACAGGCACAGGGCGCGATGGCGCAACACTTGTTTGGTAGGGGGCAGCATGTTGCGGTAGAGTGGCATGTACGGTGACGGTGAGCTGGGACCGGCTTGGCTGGTATTCCTGGGTTGGGCTTGGGTTCGTATCTATACCGTTTTGATGGGAATGAGGACGGCACACGGCCTGTAAGGCGTCAAGCCATTTCGTGATCCAGCCGCACAGAAGGGCAGGCTGGCTTTTTGGGGAGTCGGCTCTGGAGATGGTGGAAGCAGGTCTCGGCGGCGGCTATCCGGTTAGCTCGGGACGAGACGGTTGGTCGCTGATCTATTACTGCATACAAACATTCCCAAGGAGCCAGCCAAGCTTGTCAAGACTCAAGACTCAAGACCGGTGCAGAGCAAGAGTGGCCGTGTTCTTTGGGGAAGCACACGAGCGCCACAGACCGAAGCTCAATTTTAAACTGCGATTTTGGGTTTGGCAAACAACCCTGGAGGTGCATCGGCAATATCTCGCGCTGCCATCCTCCTTTCTTTTCGTCGATACGGTCTTGACTCAACAGCGGAGGTACTCGCGTGACGTGTTACCGTACACCGGAGTGATGGGCAGTGGCAGTGAATGAACCCATCCCATCCATTTGGGCGGGAAATGGAGTCGCCGCGCAGCGGACGTGGGGAACCTTCGGGATGTGGACCTTGGCAAGTCATGACCCGTCGATGCGTATTTTGCAGCATGATGATGATGAGCCTGCTGCTTCTCTCTCCTCCTGTTGATGGTAGACCCGGGAGGTTGCGCGTTGTCCAAACGGCAATAATACGTGCTCTTCATTCCCGGCAATCGGCAGCCGTTCAAGCCCGGAAGAAGACTAGACTCCAGCCACGCCGACTTCTTTAGAAGAAAAAAAGGGTATTCGTACGCGCTACTGTCCAAGACAAGCGCCTCTTCAGGGCCGGCGGAACGCCCAGGAAATGGTAACACGGATACAACGGAATCGAAACACAGCACACGCACACAAGAGAGTACATCCATCCATACAGCAACAACAGCAATGGAGACCTGAACCACTCAATGCTGTGTGTCTGCCGCCAACCCGCCAGCCTCTCTGACGGATGTACGTCGTGTTCCCGTCGTCTGCAAAACCCCCTGATTCTCATTCTCCTCTCAATCCGCCGTTGCATACGGTTCTCCCGCCCGGCTGCCCCCCCGTCGCAGGGCCCTGGCACCTGGGAAAGCAAAGCCGCAGCCACACAGACGTTCACCCTCACCCCCCGTTCAGATGACGGTCCCCACTGAGCTTACGACGACTGCACATCAAAGCAAGGATGTTCAGCAACGTCCACCACCGCAGCAACTGGAGCTCGTTCCCCGGTTCATCCCAGGTTTAGGGATTGTAGACGTTCGGAGGCAGCACAAGCCATCAGACGCCTGGCGAAAGCCTCTCCCGCCCTTCTCCCCGTCCAATCACTGTCTGTATGCGGCTGGGATGACGGTGAATGTCTCCTTGCGGCTTCGCCTCCAAATAGCAATGAGCGCTAAATGGGCTTTTGGTATTATTTTCCCCGTAGCCGTAGCCGTAGCCTGCCGACGAGGAGACGGGTTGGATGTACACCACGTACGTGTACCGTAGCTACTGCGCCCAGAACAAAAACGCTGCTGGGCCACATCCCGCTTCGTAAGAGGGACGGGGAAGTAAGAGGAAAAAGACTGGAGAAGGGAACCACACCATATGCCCCCCCCCCCCCCCCCCCCTAACCCCTCCCCTGGTCTGATGCGCGCCGAGTGAGGGTCTGAGGGCCCTTTTTGAAGTCACCATCTTCCCCGTCTTCGTCGGCTCTGTGCCATGTTCCATTGCTGCCAATCCTTCTGAACAAAACCCTTATTCATTGCATACCCGCCCACAGTGACGATCACTTCTTGCAACTCTCTTCCTTCTTTTTCTTTGTTTGTTCTCTTGTCTGTGTTTTTTTACATTCTAGAACGTACCCCAGGCCAAACAAAAAAAGCTTCGAGATCATCCGGTCGCCAGCCCAAACATTCCCGCCGTCCCGCCCGGCTCGCTTTTCTTGGCAACAATTGACTTTTTGTTGTCTCTCGACTGCCGGCTTGGCACTGTACCACCATAAACGTTGTAACGTCAGCACACGACAGGCTTCCCATTTGGGCAGTTGAGGTGTTACCGCGCGGTATAGAGGAGTAGAGAGGAACATCGACGACTCAGCGAAGGCATCAAAGCAAATTGATTTATTGGGAAAAAAGAAAGGGAAGGAACAATCGAAGAAAGAACATCGCCGGACAACGCCTTCTTTCAGACAGTCGATACTCATCACGACATCAAAAACCGACTGAAAATCCCCATATTGAGGGCCTCACCAAAACACCAAACCGACATATCGACACCGCAAAAATCATGTCGAAGGAACTCCCCCGCCACGAGCGGCGGTCCTCCTCCCCGTCCGGCCTCGGCGGCGGAAGCCCGTTCGACTGTAACCTGAGCCTCAAGACGCTGCTTGGCTTCATCTCAACGCGCGTGCTCCGCGGCGGGCCGCGCTTCGTCATCCAAGTCATCCTCGCCCTCTTCGCCCTCATCGTTCTGGGCAGATTTTTCACCTCGTCATCATCAGACCTTATGAACGCACCAAAGTGGTCGTGGTCGCCGTTCGGCGGCAGTTCAGAGGATGCTAACCTGGCTGGTGGTGTGAGAGTCGTCGCCTTTGGATCTCCCGATATTGCGACGCCTGTCACCGTCAAGGGCAAGGGATGGACCGAGATGTTCTGCGAGGAGGTAAGCTGTTCCAGCATTCCGGAAATTCTCGTGTGACTAACATGGCCCAGCTCGGCTGCTCCGCCCACCACTCCTTCGTCCCCAAGGTCAGCCTCCCCGCGCAGGCTCTCACCGCCCACGAGCACTACAACGAGACCCTCCAAAAGGTCCTCCGCGAGCTCGAGCAGGAGAAGGCGCCCGGCTACGATTACGATTTCATCCTCGACCAGTTCCCCCTCGCCGGCGCCATCGCCGACCTCGCCGCCCAGGTCGACCAGTTCCTCGCTCAGCCCCAGGAGCGCTACCTCCCCAAGGAGACCATCTGGGTCTTCAGCTTCGGCACCTGGGACGTCTGGACGCTCGCCGCCCTCCCCCGAGACCTCGGTCAGGGCATCGTCGACCTCGCCGTACGCGCTTTATTCGCGCAGGTCGAGCGCGTCTACCAGGCCGCCCTCAACACCAACTCGGTCGCCTTCTCCGACTTCTGGGCCTACCAGGGCGCCGAGCTCATCGACAAGCTGAACGCGATGGACACGGAAGGTGGCGAGGTTGACGAGCGCGAGGTGGAGAACTTCAGAGTCGTCATCCCCGAGATCTTCGACGTTTCTCTTACCCCCGGGTGGCATGCGCAGAGACAGAGCCCGCCGGCCCCGCACACCAAGGCCGAGCAGATGACCAACGCCGCGCACCTCACGTCCCGCTGGAACTCCGAGATTCGCGGTCGTCTGGACGAGTGGACGCGCACCGCCGACCCGCAGCCCAAGGAGGGCGAGGAGCGCGGCCAGTTCGGATACATCCCCGCCAGCCAACGCCGGTCACCCAAGCTCCGCCGCGCTGCGAAGGGCATGGAGCCCCCCGCCGAAGGTGACGCCCTCCGCGTCCCCTTTCCTCGCCGTGTGGGCGCGCAAGTGAACCACGCCGAGTTCGTTCGGGAGGCGATCGTCGAGCGCCAAATGAGACAGCACGGGCTGACGGACTCGGTCGGTCGCGGGAACAGGACCGAGCAGGACCGTGGCGTGTACTTCGCCGAGACATGGACACCGTGCATCTGGGCCAAGACGAGCGAGACGCCCGAGGTCGACGGCGGGTTCTCTGCCTGCGACACGCCGGGCGATTACCTCTTCCACTCGCCGTTTACGCTCAGCGAGCGCGCGATCCAGGAGGCGGCGAAGATTGCGGCGGCGGACGCGCGGGAGAAGCTTGCGTTTGTCGACGCAGTTGTGGAGAAGGAGAGGGAGCAGTTGCTGGGGGGTGGAGAGCAGACGGCGAAGGTGAAGAGGAACGAGAAGAGGGGCGCGAGTACCTTCCAACGTATGGTGAAGCCGAACCACGCGTTGAGGATCGTGGAGTCGGCGTGCCCTACTTTGGATGTCTGCTAAGGGGGGCATTGGAGATTCTGTTGGATAAATGATGGATTATTGGCATTTCATGGCATTGGCGTTGGGGATGGGGGTTGGCACTCGTCATGGCATGACGCCCTCAACGAAAGGGCTGGACGGAGTTCAGGGTTTCCTTTTTTTTCTAAGACAGGTACCGGGGATCATTATCCCGATAGTCATAGGCAATGACATTTCTTTATGTTCAATTATCGAAACCCTTTCGTCGCGTGAAAGTCAAGTGGTGGTTTGGGGGGGAAGGTGGGTGTGCCCAGTGGTACTTATATTGGTGAATGGTGGCACTCTGTCACTCCCCTTCCACAGATGTAAGGTAACTGGTCGTCTGTGGTATGGGGGTTACTGAGGCTATGGGATTGACACTTCTGTGTGTGAGGCTAGGACCATCGGTTCGAATCTCCATCTTGGATTCTCTTTATGCCACTCGGCTTGTTTTTGTTCTGTTCCTATATTCACCTGTTCGATCTCGTGAATGAGGCCGGCACCAATTAGCGGCTCGGATCCGAAGATCGGACCCACAGCGCGGGCCGTACATTGAGGTTCCATCTGATCTCCAGACTGAATTGCAGCGCGCAGAAAAGGCTAGGACAACCCAACTTTATTGTTTTGCGGATGCCAGTTAAGAAATGCAGTAGTTGCTGTACGGCAAGGCAACCTTTTTGTCTTGCGGCACGTCGCTGGTAAACTAATCTCAGAACATCACAGGCAACATTCTCCAGACCGGAAGCTCCGAAAGAACGCTTGAAGTAGATACATGATGGTGACTTCATCAGTTTTGCTAGACATTGTGAGACGCTCCTTTGCCTCTGTCACCAGTACCTAAATTTTATATGCTGAGATAGGCTAATATGCCCGCCAGAAGCACATGATATCCGGGCCAACCAGGAACAGCCATATGGTAAGCACAAGATCATTGATGAGCTTGGGGGCTTGTTGGTAAAAGCTCGACAATAACACGAAGGTCTTGATGCAGAGCATAGTGTTGCTATCGAAGATGGTGACCAGTTGACTATAGGTATAGTGACTTGGGTGAAGTCCTACCCTTTTGTGATGATTAGTTTCTACAACTCACATCTTTCCGTGGTATCGATGGAGCAGCCTGACATGGAATCAGGGGCTTCCGTCACAGTTCATACGACGAAAGACCAATCGGCGCTATCTGTGCGATCAAGGTGCGTCCCCTTGTGCTAGCAGGTGACTTTGGCGTCTGGAGTGGCATGTTCAGCACGTACGATTGCGCGATCAAAGGGGATACGTCAAAAAGTAGATGCATGGAACGCCGTTGGTGCAGGATGCGTGACTGGAGGTTCCCTGACAATCCGTGGCGGCTATCGCGCAGCCAGAACAGGCGCTCTGGGGTGCGTCCTCTTGCTTGCGGTGATCGCAGGCGTTGAAATTGGATTCCAAAAACTGATGGCGGGTAGCACGAAGCTAGAGGTTGGTTCGTCACCTATGCCATGGTTCATTTTGCTAACAATCGCTCAGGCACCTACCAGTCTACCGAACAACGAACTGGCAATGGCCTAAACCTGATTTCGCATCGTCTCGAGCGTTTACTCCGTGTACTATACCATTCCAGATACCCAATCTCTTCTCTTTCAAGATAAATTCGCGCTCGCTGTGTCGTTTCTGGACTATAGTTCAGTTGGACAAATACTCAAAAGTCCGACACCGTCGACCTTTGCGTTGGAAGTGCTACGCGCAGACTGACTCGATGCATTGATCAGGTGTTGCTACGAAGCTGTTGTGGGGGCGGAGGGCTAAATGAGAGATGACCAGCTGCCAAAATTCCGCTTTACTCCGCGTGGACGCAAAGCAAAGCATGGTGGGAGGAGGTTGGGCAGAGGCCGGGGCAATCAAGAAACACAGCGATTTGCTGTGCAAATGTCTCACAAGCTGGTCATTGGTTGACAACAGCGTCAGCAGGAGCTTCGACATGATTGGGCTGCATCGAATTGTGTTCCTGCCGATCTTCCCGCAGAAGCTGACAACTGCAACAACACCATCGTGGAAGCCCCTTCAGCGTCTCACGAACAAGACAGATCCATCGATCCCTCTTGCGGCGGCAATTTCTGTTCGACGTTTAGGAAATAATTCCTTGAATGATGCTGCCTATCTCAGCCACTTGTAGGCTGCGGTATGAGTCGAAAGCACTGCCCTAGAAACCGAAGCACAGTGGACGTTATCCCAGATTTCGACCGCGAAAAACACCGTCCGCCGGTTTGCAGCCAATACCCGCATGCACGCACAAGGGTCAGCGCCACAGATGCCTGTCTAGGCAGTAAGTACGACCAGTCAACTGCGCCCGACTAAATTTACATGACGTGTCTTCGTGCTGGGTGAGATAGAATGCTACCCCACGCTGCAGCCCAAGGCCAAGTGATCCTGCCGATGAGGGCTTACGGCCATCTTCAATCAGTAGCCAACAGCACCCGGTGAAGAAGCGACCTCGCGGCTTGATCTAGCCGAGGTGTGTCCAGCCATGACTTCCCTCAGACGGAAGTCCTTCCCAGCAAACTCGACCTGACTGCAGCGGTTCGTCCCATTGGGGCAACTTCATGTCCATCTATTTCGGGTCGACCCGACATCCAGTCGGCCAACACAGCCGCCCCCGCGAGTCCACCTTCGCGATGTCGGCGGGCTTCTTCCGCGCCCGTCCCATTTTGCTACTATTGACGCAGAATCGCGGCGTTCGACGGCCAGCTCCAAGCGACCGCATCCCTCCGTGCAACCCTGTCTTCCCGCGCACGCGATCCTTCCAGAGTACGGGGCATCAGGTGTGAAAAAAGGACGCCGCAGCGGCGGAGATGATTCAAGCTCCACTGCAAACCCCATTCATGCAGAAGAAGCCAGAGATGCAATGCAGCTGACCAGCCACGAACACCCCGCTTTCCCACGCGTTTGAGATAACACGACTTGCTGTTCCCGTCTGTAGGGCTGATGCGGTGAGACTCGAAGGATGAAGTTGTGTGCTACCGTGGGCAGTGCCTGTTCGCTGGCACTGCCTTCATGTCAGCCTGTGGCGTGAGTACAGACTCAAAGGTGAGGATTTGAGGCTATTATCGTGACTCTTCTCCCAGGTGGTTGTTGCGATGTATAAAGTGAGAGGGATGCTCCGGTGGAAGTGCACTTTCTCCTCTCACAGAGCATCAAGCACTTCTCAGCATTCCAATTCACTTTTCCTATCTCATTTCCTATTTCTCCTTTGTCTCTTCTCGGGGTTCATTGCTTTCGCATTTTCTTCGATTTAATCGCATATCTTCAACCACCGTTTTCTCCTCGACTTTGTGCTGTGCTGTGTCTCATTCTTCGACTTAACCATATTCATCTCTTATTTCCCTTCACACATACACAACATGCCTTCCAGAACTTCCATCCGAAGCTTGTCCAGCTCATCTGGATCTCCCCCCTCTTTCCCCAGCCCCGACCTTTCCAGAAGAACATCCTTCCCGTTCCCCACCACAGACCTCGACAACATCCACTTCCCCCGGGCATGGGAGGCTGCATGGGAGGCCGCAGGCCAGTCCAGTTTCGAGCGAGCCCAGGCCTTCCTCTTCTTCTACCGCGGTGACGATGTCGCCATCAACACGGAACTCAGATGTATTGCATCCAACCCTAAGCACAGAGATGTCGCATCTCTGGCTGCTGCGGTACAGCAGCGCGTTTTCAGCAACCGCCATGCTAGCTTCAACACAAGCCCGCTCCTGCAATGGGTGCGCTTCATGCTCATCAAGAGCCAAGCGCTCATCTCTTCCAAAACCAAGCCTGTCCGCGACTTCTTCTTCGACCCTTCAGTCGGTCGCAACCTCTCTCAGCTCCCCGAGGATTCTGTTGAATATCCTTATCCAGCCGCCCCTCTCAAGGTCATGATCGTTGGCGGTGGTCCTACTGGTCTTGCATCAGCAATCGCACTGGCAGAGAAAGCCGGCACGAAGGTCGAAGTCCACGTCTACGAGGGTCGATGGGTCCAGCAGCCCGGCAGCTCGTTCGTCAACTACCCACCAGGCGCTCGCCGCCGCGACCAAGTCGTGACTCTCCAGGACTCTGTCACCGATCTTATGAGCGAACGAACTAGACTCGCCGTCTTTGGTGGCTGTCCCGAGCGAGTCTGGCCAGGGTCGAGCAACCTCCAAATCCGCAAGCTCGAAGACGGTCTCCTTCGTCGCGCTCAAGACAGCCAGTTCCGCGACCTCATCTTTCTGCATGCAAGCCAGGTCCGCAGGGAAAACCTCGCACAGTATGGCGACTTCCACATCATGCTTGGTGCGGATGGCGCCGGATCCTGGCTCCGCGGTTCCTATTTCGAGGGACAAGAGTCGGTGGTCGGCAAGAGCTACGCCCTTGGGGTGGCCTTCGACAGACCCCGAGGTCTACCTCGCTCTCAGCCTATCAACGTCTTCCTGACAATGGGTCAGACGCGTTATCTGCTCAATGCAAGCGACTTCGATGGCACGGGATACCTCAACATGCAGCTTACTGAAGCTGAGTGGGACCAGATGGTCTCTATTGACGGCCACCCATGCACTTTTGGTCAGCCCAGCTGCTTAGAAGTGGGCGGTCGTTTGCCCGAGGGTTTCCAAGAGAACCAAGTCTTCGCACCGTCCCGCGACCCCAACAGCCCTCTCTGGAAGGCCATCCTCGACGGCCTTGAGCTTTATGGCTTCAAGGAATGCGAAGTCACCAACATCGTCCGCATCCCAATTGTCGTCCGGCGGATCAACAAGGCAGTCGAGCAGCTGCCCCAATGCGACTCTTCAGCACTGCACCGTCCCCATGGACTTGTTGCTCTAGCCGGTGATGCTGCCATGACAGTGCACTTCTGGCCTGGTCGCGGTGCCAACTCAGGCATGAAGGCCGGTATTGCATGGGCCGATGAGGTTGCCCAAGCTCTGAACCGGGGCCACCTCGTCGGCCTCCAAGTCGGATCTCTCGGAATGTACGACGACTTCCTCCAGAAGCTGCAGCAGCGCGAGCACGGCGGCCGCAGCCTGCCCATCGTCAAGCAGTCCGGCGACCCGAACATGATGGCCTGGCTGATGGAGAACGCCCGCCTCATCCCACACCACGTCGCCATGGAGTGGCTCGTCGGCACAATGCGCCGCGATGCCGTTCGCATTCAACAACGTCCAGACTGGGCTTTCGAACAGGAGACCAGCCTCGAGTACCAGCTCCGTGATATCCTGGAGAAGATGGATCCCATTAGTCTTCAGGAGATGGCCGCTACCTTCCCCTGGCCCACAAGGGAGATGGCTGGAGCAGAGGTCATGCCAATGCGGTCGGTCGTTGATGCTTGCCTCAGACAAGACGGCAGCAAGCAGAAGGAGATTCTCAAGTTGGAGAAGGAGGCCAAGGCGAAGAGGCAAGAGCGGAAGAAGAAGTCTAAGAGCGCGGAGATTACAATGTCGGGAGCTGATCTGTCTCCCGCCTTCTTGGCTACGATGGCGGGAGCAACGAAGCCTGCGCCGCGACAACGGTCTTGGAGGCCGTTCAGCTTTAGCAGGACCCCGCAAAGTGTCCAGGGATGATTTGATGGTTAAGATAAATGATGAAACAAACGATTCAAGGTGCATTCAGCATTGGATAGCGTTGTCTGGGTTTTGGGAAGAGGCGTTTGGGGTTCTTGGACGAATGGATCGTCGCCGGAGGTTGCATCAAAAATATCTTTTAGTCGCTCCTTAGTAGCTTTCACAATTGCACAATCATAGCGAAATCCAAGAAGTGCGCAGATGACTAGGGGAGTGATGGTAAATCTGTTTTCCGTTCCGAGAGGATTCCTTTGTCCTCGTGACTCTACGGTACAAGTGTCCAGTCGTCGCCGCCCAAAGCCCGAGTGTGTCGATCAACTGTTCACCTTGTGAAAGCTAGATTTGATGCCCATCAGGTCGTCGGCTTCTAAATTATTTCCTGTTGTTCCCATGATTCTGTAGTGCTGAGGTTCTCACCTAGCCGCTGAACACGCGACTAGATTGATCTGATGTTGTTCTTAGATGCAGGCAGTAAAATCTAGGCTTTGTAACAATAAACGCTTCTCGGTTCAAAGGCCGGAAAATTGGTCTTGCAATCGTCGCCGTTGTTGATCCAAAATAAGTTGTTGCGGACAGGAGTTTCGCCTCCTTGAACGGGGCCATTGACCGAAATAATGAACCTAGGGCCATAACCGTCGGACGCGATTCGCAATACCCCAGACGTGGACCCGGCGGAGGGGGGAGCATAGTGGACGTATACATGATCGCCGCATATAGCCTCATATCTTGGGCCGACTTTGAGGGTGAAACTCTTTACGTCGTATTCTTCGTTGTTTGGGGTGGGAGCTTGAGCGCATGTGACCTGTGCCCAAGCATGCGCCACAAGAGATGAAAAGAGAATTATTTGTATCATTTTCAATATTTCGTATGGTTCAAATGGACTGAACAGTGAAACAGTGAAAGAACAACAAAGGGGGGTTAAGCAAATTCGCGGTGAGTTTAGCAGCTTTCGTGATACTTACTTATAGTTCTCAATACGGATGGCTGTTATAAGCGAGCAGGCGCAAGCGTCAGGGGTCTAGTAATAACTAGACTTAAGTTTCTTGGTATCTGCATAGCCATGTTATCTCCACCAGGAGAAGCCCGCCCGAACTTTAAATGAGGACAATAGAACAGATTAGGCCATATCTTCAAACTTTCCCAGACCACTAAGTAATCTCCAGCAGGAGTAGTCCTGCAGTGGTCGCGAGTCAGCCCATCCATCCCGTGAGACCCGGTTCGCCAGTTCTACGATAGTCTAAGATGATCCACCGCAAGAACTCCTTGGGCCCTTTTCATCTGTGGTTGGTTTTTGGACCATGATGCTAATCCAACAGTTGGAAGTCGTCATTGGAATACGGTATCCACATTTCCAGAAGCATTAATGTACTATTTCCTCGGTAGTGAAATTCAGTATTGATGGGGCTCAGCAGAAATATTCAAAAACAAGTATGTAGCGTTTGCTTCTCGCCGTCTACAGTCCGGCAACATGGCTGAGCTTCATATCTGGCCTGGAGCATTCCACTATTGCGACGCGTACGTTGCCGCACCGTTAGTCTCACAGTGCCATGAGGTCTCAGGTCACGTCAGGTGGAATGCGTCTACGAGACTACGAGTGCCTCATTTGTATTGAACAATAATGACGCTCTGAAACTCCAAAGTCGCAAGCCGTTCCTGGTTACGGGCAACTCAGCGACTGTGTAGGATCAATTCATGGAAATGCTGAACATCGACGTCAATGTTTCTATCCCAACAATCGCTGAGAATACGTGCGAGATGTCTACGTCTCTTTGATCTCTCTTCAAGTTTCCCTTTAAACATTTGGTCTGCTTTTCTCAAATGCTTTTCAGCCAAAGTTCTCAGAATGGCCCTGGTCAAGGCTCCAGCGCATGACATCTTCAAAGAACTAACGGAACCTTCAATTGTGCCCAGAGCTTCATCCCAGCTCGCTACCAACGCCGCTTGTTCCCACACAGACCAACGGTCACGCCACTGAGAATCGGCTTCGTTTTCGCCTGATTCACTACTTGCTTCAAGGTATTCCAGGTCTGATTGCAGTAACAGCGCAAGAAGCTTGCCGGTCTTCTTGGAGGTCGCAGCTACAGAGATCGCGCTATTCCCGGACGAGTCTCGCAACCAAGGATTTGCATGATGATGCAACATGCATGCCACAATCCCCAAGATTGCAGAAGAATGGCTTTCAGTTTTAAAAACCACCAGTTGCAATGGAGTTGCGCCCTTAGAGTTCAGCTTATTCGGGTCAGCGCCTCGCTGGAGCAAAATCTGTACACAGTTCCGAACCGGAGATCGCTTCGACAATATTGGGTGCTCCAACAGGTCATGTAATACAGAGTTGCCGGCTGTGGTGACGCTTCCTGGTATAGGTGAAAGCCTCGCAACCCTACGAAGGGCTTCTGACAGAGCAAAGGTCGCATTGGAGTGACAGCCTGGCAAATATTTGAAATATCCGGGAACAAGAGGCGTACCGCAAGGGAGCAGTGTTTCCGGATTTGCCCCTTTCTCTATAAAGAGTTGGATCTCGCTGGCACGTGGTTCCTCGTGCAAGAACGATGCTGTTGCTTGGATTCTCCCAATATTGGCCAGGTAAGCCTGCAACGGTGTTGTTCCATTGGGCAGTTCTAGTGCGATGTCGGCTCCGTGGGAAAGGAAGTGTTCCAAACACGATGAAAATTGTGAGGTATGTGTGTGCTGATGTCCAACGAGTAAGTGGAAAGGCGTTGCCCCGCTGTGATTAGGAATATTGAAATCGCAGGCTGAGCGCATCAGTACTTCGATAGAAGAAGCAATCGAGGCGAGATCTGAGTTCGCAATGGCCGGAAGTAGTGCGGTATGAAGGGGTGTGTTTTCGTGATGATCTTGCAAAAATGGCTTTGCCCCAGCCTCTAACAAAATTGCCAGATTGGCACTGTTTGACACAGCCGCATGCAGAGGACACTGTCCAAGGTGCCCTCTAACATTCACATCAGCGCCGAATTTAATCAAATGATGGACAATGATTTCAGACCCTTTACCAACGGCGTTATGAAGAGGCTCATTCTCAGCAGTGTCTTTGGTATCCACAGGAGCACCGCGGTCGAGAAGACATTGGACTTTCTGGCTATCTTGATTAATGATGGCGTTGTGCAGCTCCGTTTTGTCATCTTCTCCAGTGTAGATGTCGCTTGATGGATCAGGAAAGTTGAAGGAGAACTCAGGCTTGGCATTGATTGCTGATGGTGTTGAGTTTGTGCTATCGTAGCCGATACTACCGCTGCTGTTCGAAGTAGACGATACCCTTCGCGAAAGACTTTCCGAAGAATGAGTGAAATGAAGTCTTCTAAGAGAATCAAGAGAAGGTATCAATCACCTCGGAACTGTTGATGTAGCTGTACTGCGACGGCGCCCAAAAGGCCTCATTCCCAAGGACGCGGCTGGGTTGGATTCGGCACGATATCTCCTAAGCCCCCACTCTTGTAGCTTGCTGCGGTACGAACGTTCTCTGTGAGTATTATGGTAAGTACATTGCCCATTGCCGGCTTAGTCGCTAAAAGCACAGACTTACGAGGCACTGAACCCATGCCGCCCACGTATGATTCTCATGACATCGTCGAGCGTCTTGTTCTGAACATGGTAGAGATCATGAATGTCCGCCTTGACAGGTTCCCAGTCGATTGTCATGTCGAACAGTCGAATGATACAGCCATGTGCTTTGTCATTGAACAGAGGGCGTCAGTGGGTGCCACGAGTCAAAGGTTGCGAGTTGTCGAGTTCTCTTGTCCGAAAGCGCCCTTGAGATGTGGTAGATGGCTGCAGGCTGAAGTCAAAGATCGCTGCGCACGGAATACGGCAGAGTTCTTTTTTGATCGAGAATACTCGAGACGAGACGCGAACTGCGTGAGGCTCCGAGAGGTTTTTATTAAAGGTGAGCATTGAAATTCGATGTTTCGGCAGCGCCGCAAGAGGGGGCTGCGTATTCTACACCATAGCCCCTCCTTGGTGGCGATGTCTGTGGCGTGGCTGTCTAGCTGTAATTTCCCGAAACTGCAGAAATACCCAGTGTGCTTGTGGGAGCTTATGGACAATCTTACTTTTACTTTGGCCGCGGGGTGCAGTAGACGCATTTTGCAGTTTGATTCGTTGCCACTCGCCCCGAACCGCAGCCTGCTGACCAACTTCGACTGGTACTCTATGGGTGTGAGTGGTCCCAACCCGTGGGGCAAACGGACGTGGCGAAATGCTGAAGCATTGGATTTCGCCCGCTATCGTATGATGTCGTCATTTTATGGCGTTGAGAGTGCAAAAAGAGAACCCGACAACTGCTGTGAGGTTTTGGGAGGCGGTCACTGGTATTATCGCAGCTTCGCCAAATCTGAGTAAATGCGGCGAAATTGCAAATTCAGATTAGATGTGTCCTGATGAGTGTCAACTTCAGCCTTGAAAGGGTTTTCGGCATTGCCTATTGCCCCGGACGGAACATGATGGCCTTGTAATTTGCACAGAACGTTTGATCATAGCGAGGACGTACAAATAAAGCCGTGTGTCTACGGCATTTCGAAGTCGGCTTAAAATTCTATGAGTAACGAGGTCATCACTGCGCAATTTCTTGAGTCAAGCAAACATACGCGAACATGAGGTACGTGTTTGCAAAGCCCCTTGACATAGGCTTTCCTCATGTGGAGGAAGCAGCGTTGGTGATCACTCATCAGCACACACTTGCAAGTTTATGTCATCTTGGTCGTTGACCTTGGACGTTGCGACTGACAAGATCCTCTGCAGTACCAATCAAAACCCCAACACAAAACTAAAGCCTCTATCTGCCGAGAATCTTTCGACGCATTTGGCTGCATCACGACACGGCGCGGACTATCTCAAGCGTATCCAAGAGCAAGATCGACAAGCCATATTGCGGGGCATGCGGGCTTTAGGAGGGAAGCGCAGCATTGGGATCGAAGAGAAGGTTGCAGTCTCTGAAAAGGGCATGAGTCCAATGGAAAGGCTTTTGGGGCAATCTCAGATGGTGTCGGACAAGCAACGTGTCACAAGCAGCCACCATGCAACGAAGCCAGACTCTGATTGACTCCACGGGTGCAGCCAATCAAGTCTAGTTCTGCATGCAGGAACCTTAGAAAGTCCATATACCATCAGTAGATTCAAGATGTTGCCAACGAAGCCTCTTAAACACATCAACCCAGCCTGGGCGAAATGTGAAATGTTGCCCATCGGTTCTGTTCACCGCTGTTTCCCTCATGTCGCTGTTGACCATTGCTAGGCACCTAGGTAAGGTACCTAGGCATCCATCCAGTCACTTCCCTTTTAGTCATCAATTGGTGTCTGTGAAACCTGGCAAGAATGCAGGCAACCAAGCAGGCAATGCATTCAGGAGCTGTAGGTGGCAAATTACATGTTCTAGCCAATCACGAGCCTAGACAGGTTTATTTGCCGGTTCTCATAGGCACCAAACGTGTCCTTTTTCCATTTCCTCCATCGTTCTAAATTTGGCCACCAATCGTGTATTTCAGCACGAGGCCGCCACCGAACAACAAGACGTTCCCAGCCACTGGCCCCGTCATATTGAGAATACTGAACGGCACCAACCATTTGACCTCCACAGGCTGCCGGACGGCATGATACAGATACCATGGCGAGGTGACCGTGAGCCACGTTGAAACCCAAATGTAGCCTATAATCTTGTGCCACAGTGGGACGTTCTTAGAATCCTCTACATCCACAATGCGGCGCCACACTTCCTGAACCCCGTCTTCAACCATGATAGCCACAGCAAAGGAGCCAAAGAAGGCCAATGTTGGCGCTTTAAGAGACGGCTCCCAGCAGAACATGTCGAGCATAACGTGGACTAGGCCCGAACCCATGAACACTAGAGCGATATTGAAATAACGCTCCAGGCGGGAGGGTCGAGGAAGGCGTAAGAGGTCTCGACAGATGTAGTTGCTGACTGATGTGAGAAACCAACGACAGTGTTGGTGCCAAAAGACGCTACGCATGGCTTTAGTCACAAGACTTCAACGCGGAGACTGTGTGAAATCTACTCACCTCCAAAAAGCTCGGATCGTGTATGCATCCCAGATGCTTCCAAAGAGAGGCGGCCAGTCCTCCGGAGATGCCGTACCGCTCATGACAGAAACTACTGATAGCACTCGATAGACGATGTCCATTGTCACTCGAGCCGGGGCTAGCCAGGAGATCAAGCCAACAGCCACACGGGCTCCCCACTGCTCCGCGTTGGCGTTGATATACAGGAACTCTTTACCGGGGCCAAAGAGCTTCTCCGCGTCTTCCGGTGACGTATCCAAGGACGAGAGATACGTGAAGTCGAGAAAGAGGTACTGCCAGAAGATAATCTGCAACTGTCGCGCCACCCACGGCCCTTTGCGCAATTTTCCGTTCTCGGTATACTTGTCGAGGCTCTGTGGAGCCGCGTTAATACGTGAGATCTGCCATGGCGTGCCGATGCCTCGCAAGTTGAACATTAACCCAATGACGCCACGAAGTTTGTGAACAAGCCCATCCGACGGCTGGTAAATATTCCCCTTCACGAAATCGCCGGCATCGAGACGCGTGAGTACCAGGAAATTGCAGCTTTGCAGAAGGACGAGACAGAGCTGTCCCATGGCAACGGTGTTGAGAACATAACTTGTTGTTATACCGGACAACTGCACGAGTAAATGCCTAGCAATGAAGGGGACGACGGCGATCCAAGCGTATCGTATCACGGAGCTGGGGCCAGATTTAGGCGTTGAGATGAGGATTAACGCCGAAGGGACGCAAACGCCGAGAAGGAGGAGTGCCGCCTTCGCGCAGCTGATGGCGGGGGGTTCTCGTTCGAGAGGCGCCATCATCGCTTCTAATATGTCATTTCGAGTCGATTCAGTATCGTGGGCGGTGAGATGCGTACGAGCAAAGTTTGAAAATGGTTGGAGAGCGCGTGTCGTCTTTTTATCCTGTTCCCCTGACTAGGTAGTGTGGGGATAGGACAGGGAACACTGAAAACGGCCGCTCCACGTCGGCTGTCACTGTTCCTTTCGAGCCCTTTCAGGGCTCGAACGAAGACGCGCTATGGGACTTTTGGTCCCTAGGATCCTCGCGCGCTTTTCCCGAATGACCCTAGTTTGAGTTCGCAAGTGCTTATCCCAGCGGCTCTCTGGAGCTCTGTTTGCTGGGATTTTGGCAAACGCCAAGGCCCACATCAGTAAATTGCCATTGTCCCATCCAAGCCAAGGCCATTGTCGTCTTCCCAGAGAAGACTCAGAATCAGATCTTCTCCGCCAAAATCCAGTGTCCCGAGATCGAGCTGAGAAGTGAGTAGGTTCTCGGTCGCAACTGTAGCTCCTGCATGCATGTTGTAGTTGTGATCTCTGGCATGGATCCGCGTTCCAGCATCGTGCCGGCTGCTTTCTGGGCTGCTTGACGTGTTGATCGAGAGCAGTCGTTCGACATAAGGGGCGGCGGACTTGTCGCGCCCGTGTGCAGAATGGTTACGATAAGTCTCTAGAGCGTGCGAGAAGCTCGTTAGGACGCGATGATACTGTCCCGCTTGGGGACTTAGGCGTCCAAGAAAATCGAGTACTCGCAGCGTATTGCGAAATGCGGCGCGATTGTTTGGTCCTGTGTCTTGGTCAAGAAGCGAGAAGCCAAGAATGAGACCTGCGGCAAATAGCCACGCTCTAGTGATTTATAAAGATTAGCATGGTGCGGTTTCGAGATATGAATGGTAGTACCCACTTGAGAATACACATGTTTCCCATGATCACGCCGGTGTCTAGTGCATCGGAACACATCTCAGCCATATACGCAGCCGCGTCGACGCAGACTTTGGCCAGCTCCGCCGTCTTTTCGTTGTCTTCACTCACAAGACAACCGTCAGTCACCATCCCCGCCTCGACTCGACCATCAATCTGAGGCATGATATGCTGGATGAGAAACTCTCGTGTCGTCGTAATTATCCCAAAGTAGTACGTGCAAGCGACGTGAATGTTGCCGATTGTCGTCTCTCGGTCCGACGACGGCCGGGCTCTGGCGGATGCATGTCTTAGCCCTTGCCGCAGTGCCAAGGGTAGGTTGCTACTCCAATCGCGGATCTCCTCTAGGAAGTCTTCAGCCACCTCGAGGCCGAGGTGGCCTTTGTCCGTGAGTTTCTCCACTATTCGATTCATGATTGGGGAGAACTGGCAGGCTGCTGCGACCGACTGGCTTCGATGGTTGGCGGCGACAGGAGTTGTTGAAGAGCCCCCGTTACTGCGCCGCGGCAGACTGCTGGTCGGCCTTCCGAGAATTGAGCTGCAGACTACATCAAAGAGTCGAATGCTGCGGTCTATACGGGATCTGTGATGGATGGTCAGGGCCAAGAGGCAAAGTAGAAACTGAGAAGATTTACCTCAGGCTTCGCTCCGCTTCCGATAGCGACTGGAACTGGTCCGACATGTGCAGGCCTAATACTGAGGCCGCTTTGGTCGCGACCCCGAGATACATGAACGCCGCGTTGCGACGGCAGGCACCAAACATGTAGAACGCCATCAAAACGAACCCCCGCGCCATATTCAGCGTGAGATCTGTCAAGAAGCCCTGGAACGAGAGCGTTCGCGCTTGCGAAAAGTACTGGAATGCTTTCGGCATGTCTTCAGGACGACCTCGACATTGAGCGCCGATGGCAATCATCATGTACAGACAAACCCGGCCCTCGATGTCTGTGGCGAAGCCGGTGCTGGAACTGCTGACGCTCTTCTCTCGTGGATGAGTTGCATCCACGAGCGTGTCAATTTCGGATTTGTCGAAGAGGTCCAAGAGACCGCTCGACTTTGAAGTCTAGGTTAGCTATTGCGGTGAACGTATGCATGAAAGACAGTTACTCACGGCATCTAAGAAGAGTTGGATGAGTTCTAGTTTCTCTCCATCGCTCATGTCATCCTGGAAGCCATCTGGTTGCTGGAGCGGCACCTGCGCCTCGAACATGCGATGGCCATTGTGGCTTGTGGTGAAGCCGTTGGAACCCAGTACGTTACTCAGGCTGCCCCTGAGAAACTGCAGAAACGAGATAGCTGACGCATTGCCGACGAAAACTAAGAGATCCCACTATGGTCAGTTTGACTCAATTGAGCAAGCACGAACACATAGAATCTGGCTTCTCGACCATACCCTTCTCTCCGCTGCATGTGTGCATCATGACCGGCCGAGGACCTGGCGGTGCACTCGACTTGTTCAAGTCCCTGGCATTCGAGTTGGCATCACGACTTCGCGATGTAGGCTTCGCGCGCCGTTGTCTAGGTGAACTTGGCCCATCACTACGACTCTCCAAACTGCCTGGCGTAGCCTGTCGCTGATCCGTCCTGCGACGCGTTCTCGCGCGTTCGGAATATTCGCACGATGCCTCATTGCCCCGATTCACGCAAGGCAAGCACGGCGATCCTCCGTCGCATCGTTTCTTGGTGGAGCGGCACGCGATGCATGCCTTAGCCGACCGCTTCCGGTCCTCCGGTCTAACCGGTGGGCGGCCCATAATGTACTGAAGGTAGGCGGGTCCGTTCAGGCCGAGCGGATACGGGAAATATGGGGCCGGGCGCTGGCGCTGGGAGGTCGATGTTTTGGAGAAGTGGTGCGGTGGTGCAATTGCCGCTGGACGATTCAACCGAAAAGACGTATGATGTTGCAATTATTCGGATGGGAAAATGACCCTCCAGAAATCATTCTAGGAGGAAAATCACCCCGTAAAACCGCAACACCGTAAATCCGTATGTCAGCGGCGGAAGAGATAACTTAGTGAAGCGCCATTGGAAGATGGCTTATCTGAGGATATTGGGAGGGTCGTTGACCGGGATGTTTGCACTTTGTGGGTGCTCAGCCCGCGCACCAACCTCCCCATCCGCAGGTTCGTAATGCGGCACGTACGAATGGACCTGCTTTACTAGCGGGTATGTTAGTTACTACTTGGCATTGTTCATCGCTATTTAGTGTGAATCAAGAATGTCATTTCGCAACCTAAACCTCGATTTCGGCCGGCGCTCGGTCCGGGAAAGGAATACTGGGGGATAAGTTGGAGAGGCTTATCGCCACATGGAACGATCATGCGTAGTTGGCTTGATGTCAACCACGGGGAATATTTATTGCACTTGATACCCATTCTGACTTGAAATGCGCCTCGGCATACAACCTTATCTTCAAGTACCACACCGTATCAGAACACAGCCTTCTCAATCATGCCTTACGCCGACATCACCAAGCCTCCCAAGCCTCTGCCTCAAAATCATCTAGAGGCTGTCGCGGAGGGCATTTCTCTGCTTCTACCACTGTCACGGCGAGGAACTGGCCCCGGCCTCATCCTTCTTGTGCCCTCCCTTGACAAAGCGCTCGCTATCGAAGAAGGAGTACCCTCTTTGCCAGTAAAATGGGCTGAAGAGGGATATACCGTTGTAGCTATTGAGCAGGGAGCGTTGAAAAGAAACGCCCTGGAGGCTTTGCAGGCGGCAACAACAGCTCTCAAAGGCAGCGATAAATGCGAACCCAAAGTCGTAGTGGGTCTTGCTGGTAAGTCAATCAATATGTGCTTTGTCGTTGAGTTGCAGTGTTTGACACAGCTGCAGCGTATGATCCAGAAATGTGGAACTCGATTGCAACATCAATCTCAGACTTCCCCGAGATCGTCAGTGCTGTGGTTTATGCGAACAGCTCCGACAAGAAGTCTCTAGCTCCATCGCCGGTACCAGTAGCATACTACTTTGCTGAGAAGTCCGAAGGAGATGCCGAGCGCTCAAGCACCCGCATGGAATACTTCTACCCAGCAGCAAAGTCTCACAAGTTCGCGACGCCGTTTCAGGACCACTTTCACTACAACACCGAGGCCCTCTCCCATACCCGCAATCTCACACTTTTAAAAGGGCAGATGAAGAGCCCGATATTTGATTTGGAAGCCATTTGGGATGAGCACACGTGGTATGAATTTGCGGACAGATCAGTGGAGCACACCATGAGCACAATGGTGCAAGAGCCATACGTGAACCACGTTCCCACAGTAGGTGCCCTCGATATGTAGCGTCGCAAAGTTGATCACTGACTGTTTTCCTCAGCTCACCGGTGGTGTAGGCCGCGGCCCGCTCACCAATTTCTACCGCCACAACTTCATCTTCAACAACTCAGCAGACACCGAGCTCGAGCTCATTAGCAGGACGATTGGTATTGACCGCGTGGTGGACGAGTTCATTTTCAAGTTCACCCATGAGCAGGAGATTGACTGGCTGTAAGATACACACTCCGAAATACTTGGACGACATTGCTGACCTCCTTCCCAGACTTCCCGGAATCCCTCCGACGGGTCGCTCAGCAGAAATACCCTTCGCGGCGGTCGTCAACATCCGTGGGGATCGGCTGTATCACGAACATATTAGCTGGGATCAAGGGACGGCATTGACGCAACTTGGGCTGCTGCCAGAGTATCTCCCGCTTCCGGGCGGAGAGTTGGAGTACCGGGTTCCCGTCGCAGGGCTGGAAACGGCGATGAAGTTGAGATCTCGCCACTCGGTGCAGTCGAATGAGATGTTCAACTTTAAAACAAGGAGCCTGGAGGACTCGGCAAAGTCGTAGCCTATATTAATAGTATATCAAAGTTGATGAGCCATCACATGCGGTGAATACCGACACATGAACCTGATCTCAAGCTCTGGGGTGCAAGACGAAAGCTCCGGCAGCTGAAGCAAAGGGCCGCTATAAAACAAATATCCCGCAGCGACATTTCACGGATCAACCGGATATTTGCAAAGCGTGGAAGAACGTCGTTGGGAGACGAGCAGTATTCCGATTACCTCAAGCGGAAGAAGCTTTGTCACAATACGAACTCAGGAAGGTTTCAAATACGTCTTTCCTTATTATCTTGGGTTTAGGAAGCTTCATGACACCCATCAATCAATGAGAGAAAGCAAAAGAAGCTGTAACCCAAGCAAACAAGTGTTCGCGTGTCTGATGGAGTTGTTGTGAGGCTGTAGGCTATAGCTTTTCACGGTGATTTCCTGGCAGTCAACAAGGTGTCAAGTGCCTCCATATTACTGCCTGCTATACGAAAGTATGAAAAAGGTTAGAAGGAAACACAATGGTCTCCAAATCAGCCAAACGTCGTCGTATTCCTCGTGATTCTCAAGTTTTCTATTCGAGCTTTTTTTCACCGGAAGTTCCTGATGAAAGCCGTCGGTTCGAAAGAAAACGAAGGAAAAGGGAAAAAACATGGAATCTCACTGGATTTTGAGGTCTTACTTGCCGCAGACTCAAACAAGTGGCCGAAGACCAGCATTATGTTTCGAGCCCGGTTCGATTCATACCATATTGGCTCCTTGTGGAACTACGAAGATTTGCTTCTGCCAGTAATTCGTTCGGTCGCAAGAAATTGCGTATCTGCGACTCATCGCGCTGTTGAAACTGGTTTTCAATGTCTTGTGTAGCGCCTTTGTTTGTGATGCTCCCTGTGAGAAACTGTTCCGTTTGGATACATTCTGTTTGAGTGTCAAAGGCTTCGGAGCACAATTGAAATTTCTGGAAGAGATTCCATACACCGTCTTTGTTATTCCTGAATAATGCGCAGCGCTTCTGAATTTGGTGGCATGCGAGTTTATATCTTGAGCTTCATTCACCCTGCCCTTTTGCCTCGCCATCAGTCCTGTCCGTTCGCCTAGCTACTCATTAATCTATCGCCCTCTCTAGATATATTTCTACAAGCCACTCCCTCGAACTACTCTGGGTACCTTCCTCTGGGGTCTATCATGTCCACAATGTCCGAGCCCAGTCAGCTTACCAATGGCGCTGATCCGAAAACAGATGGCACCTCGAGCAAGGAAGAACTCATGGCTGTGTACGAGCAGCTGAAGGATGAGCCCGGCCTCAAGTCCGTAGTCTCTGCGGACGATCATGAACTTTTGGCCAAGATGTTCTTTGATAGAAAGGGCTTGTCGCAAGAAGAGGGGGAGAAGGCAGCGGAGGATGCAAAGGTAAGCTATAGTTGCTAACTCCTTCCTTGCCACTGCTTTAAACCCTTTGCTTGACGCACAGCCGCTTGTATCAGAAGCCCGCGGGCAATGAGTGCGATTGTTGTTTAAACAACGTCTGCTGACAGGAGCTCCAGAAACTATGGCCTGCTTTGGTGACACTTGGCATGGGTCAAGTCCTTACAGGACGAGTTATGCGCATCATCTCCGAGGTTGCTGCTAAGCTACCTGAGGATTGGATATTCGAAGACGAAGCGATGGGTTTGTGGTTGTTTCTCATGGTGCGCGAAGCTAAGAAGCATGAGGAGGACCAGACTCTGACCGTTGAGTGAATGGGCGGGCGACTGGATGGTAACTCGTTTCTCATACTGGGGGACGTGGCTAGAATACGTTGTTGGAAAGACATTGTTTCCAAGGATATGTATAAACCTAGACTGCGGCGAAGCGGTTGATTCGTATGTTAGTTGAAGTTCGATGCGACAATCGGATCACAGTGTTTCCACAATGTCAAAGCCTCACGCCGCAATCCAGTCTCCATAGGGACGGAACCAGAGTGTCTTGGCTGTTGGTCTGATCCCCAGAGACCGATCATCATGGAATAGGGCTGTTGTTTATTACACCATACGGTTCATACGGTCCATGCGATCCATCCGGCCCATCTCGTAACTTTCATTATGCCCATCGTAATCACTTCTCGTGTCGTACTGCACCACCACCTCGTTTGTCTTGACGATCTTGCCAAACTCCACCTCTTCCTCATCCCCGAGGATGCTCTTGTCGCTTCGGTCGTCTGCGAGCTTATCTTTCCTTCTGACGGAAGGCTTTCGTGTTGTCGTCGTTACTGTGACAGTGTTCGTACGGGTGATGCCACCGCCGATCTGAGACCTGCCTGTTCGGGTACCGGTGGATCCGCCGTAGTATTTGCGGGCGGTGCTGGCGACGTCGCGGACGAGGACGCGGAGGACGGGGATGGAGGCGGCGGCGATGGTTACGCCGGACTCGCAGGTTCCCCAGATGACAAGGTCGCTGCCGTCGTCTGCAATATCGATCAGTCGAAGGCATCAAATCATAATGTGAAAGACCACTTACACGTAAAGTCACCCGAGAGGAGAGTGGGGATGGTCGTGCACTTGACGATCGCAGTTGCACCGGCACTGGAGATCGATCTTAGCCGGAGGTCTGGAGGAATGGAGCGATTGTACCCACAAGAGACCCATACTCATGGCGATGGCAACGCCGATCTTCTCCTTCAACTTCATTTGGAGTTCCCAAACCAACTTCCATGGCAGCATTGCGAGGAGGATATCCATCAACGCGGAGTATCCTAGAGTTCCATTAGACCATTTCCACAACATACTTCCACTGGCAACATACCGGCAGCAAATACACCGTAGTACGCGGCAACCTTAGGATCCCAGCACTTTCCAGGGAGTTCAGGGTGCCAGTTCTTCTCGATCGGCGCACATTGAACCCAGCCGGCCATCGCGTTAAGCGCCATCAGCAGATTCATGCTGACGATGGCGAACCAAATCAGGTGTCGAGTCCAACCTTTCCCTTCGATCCTGAGAAGCGTCATCGCGAACGAGGTCTTACTCCACACCGCTGCCGAAATCGATATCGTGCTGGAAACCTGGCCGTTAAGGCCGATCGCCGGGAAGTTGACGGGGTTGATCTCGAAGACATGCTTGCCGAAGCCGAGGGAAACGTTGACCGAACTCAATATCGCTGTGATGACGAGGGCGACCTGCTCAATGTCAGGTTCGGCTCACGATCGGCCACGACACCGATCGAACTCACCCATGATGCTATGAGCACATGATCATCCCACCACAGACCTCGATGCTTTATGAACTTGCAATACACTCTCAGAGAGAGGAAGAACGCCGCAAGCGCAACCTGAGACCAGACCACCGCATTGATCGTCGGGCCGTAGTCTGCTGGCCGCCCCATTTGACCAGCCAAAGGGGTGAAAGTCGTGATAGGCCCACGCACGTACCAGACGTCAAAAGAGGGTTGATGGAGGAAACAGACCAGCCGTTAAACGAAGGACGCGACGCAAAAAGCGGAAAAGGAAACTTCAAGAATGGCAAGGCAGCGAGCGATGGGGTATCAAAAGGTAAAATAGATACAAAAGAAGGCAAAAGTGGGAAAGAGGGAACGTAAGACGGTCGCATCCACCGGGCGTGTGGGGGACAACTCTCGAGATATGCACCATCGGTTGACTTGGCTATCCACTCTTTGCCCTTTCAGCCTGGCCGCCAGACCCTGCAAGCCCGACATAACCATTCCACTGGGCTGCAGATTGGCCCTTCCCTGGTCTCGCTCCCGGTATGGAACACAGATGCCGGTGATCGACTTGTAAGGATGAGACGATGATCACGCAAAGGTGCTGACTGGATGTAGGGTTGGCCCCGGTTTCACATAAGAAAACCGGGGAAAAAGAAGGATGGGCGTTCTAGAAGGAAAGAAGCACAGTCACTCGTCTCAGCGTCTGCGGTGGTGGCCTTTCCATGTGGCGTGTCAGGAAGGCGGAGTCCAGCAGCTGGGCATGACAGAACGCCAGACGCCGTTCATAAAGGGGGAACTGGTGTCTCTGCGTGGTGGTGTGTATGCTGTCATGGATATCCTGTTGCGTGTTGTGGAGGACGAACGACGAGACACTGAAAGAGGCTCATGACTCGACGTGCAAAGAAAGTTGGCTGTGTTCTGTCACTGCTGCGGGCACGAAGTCTCTTGGCGGAAAAGGGAAGTTTGGGGGAGAACCTGTGGTCTTGTCTCTGTTGTCCTTTGCTCGGGTTCGGTGTCGAGAAACATTCGCCGTCAAGTTTTACTTGCCGAGAGTGGAAGGGGCCCCGGATTGGGAAGCTCGTCGTTTTGGATAGACTGCGCCTCGCGTCTCTGTTAAACTGGCCGCGGGAGCAGCCCCGGCAGGGGTCGGGTAGGCGATGAACCCGCCCTAGCGCAGTAGTCAAAAATGATGGCTTAAATTGATGAGGAAGGTTACATTGACGTCCATCTAAGCTGTCCACGTCGCATTCTGGATGCTGGATGCTGCCCCTTAAAGTTAGGCAGACCGGATGGCAACCCCAAGGCGTGCATGCGGCCAAGCCCTTCCCTCATCACCCCCCTCTTTGGAAGATCACCGCGGGATCGTATCACGAAATTCAGAGGAATCCCATAATCTCGCGTGGGCGAACGCAAAATCTGCCGGACGTGAGCTGCTTTGCCGTCTTTCCCAGAAAAACCTGGCATTTCGCGATCTGTGCAGGGATGTTGCCCGAGTCAGAGGCTTTCGGGCTGCAGGACGGGAATCGTCCGCCGCCCCGAGACCGGGTCATCTGGCAGGCGCATGAGCGGACGTCGTCTCAGAGTGTCAATGCGGACAGGGAATTAACCTTTATCGCTCATCGCTCATCGAACGAAAAAAATGAGAGAGCCCCGGCCACGATTCTTGCCAAGACGTTGCACCGCTGGACCAATCGTATGGTAGGGCTGGGGTGACGGGGGAACGGTGTTTCAACCGATGTTATTTCGTCACCAGGTTGCTATTTAGGGGGAAACAGGTGGGTTCCAGTTTTTCGGTGTGGCCGTTCTTGTTAAATACAAGCACATTGCCTGCTGCTACAAATTCCAATTCCTGATGTGAATCTGGCGTCTTGACCAACTGCCACGAGCTTCTTCCGTCGGTCGGATGATCTTGCGCGCTGAAACGCGACATCTTCGCTCTGCTGGGAACGTTAACAGCGTCTTGTGGATAGACTACTCCGGCGCAGCCTTTGGAAATGATGCATAATTGATTCAATCCTAGGTTTTCTTTTCTTGCGTCTCTATTGCGGATGCATTACTCCTGGCCTTAATCCAAAAGATTGACTCCACGGCTTGGCTGGTTCACAATTTCACCTAGGAAAGACACGACGTATCAAACCCAACGATGAAGCCCAGGTCAACTGGCAACACCGAAAACCTTGCCATTGACAAAATGAATTCTTGACAGTTTGCAGGTCGTTTCCGGCAATGACCCAAATTTCCAGTATTCCTGACACCCTGTCTCTTCACAACCAGCCAAAGTCCTCGCAGTAGCCCTGATTAGGATCAGCCCTACGTGAAAGAAGGATATTAGTACAGGACCACAGGCAAATTATTCGAAGAGTGGCAAAAACTTACATGTATTCCCAGTTCCAATAGCCTGTTTGCCCGCCGTGTTTACAACCGTATGCCTCCTTTTCCATGCCGTTCATACACTCTTTGGTTTTGATAGTGTTCGTTCCCCAGTTGATGTACTGAAATGCGTCAGTGATGATACTATGGTTTAGCCGGACATTGAATCGATGTGCAGTAGGACAAACAAAATATTTTGGGATCAGGTTCCATCGGCGCCAGCCCTACCTTGAGCATAAAGTCCCACTTCAGCCCATCCTTTTCTTGCAAGCAATAGCGACGTTGCTCCCCCTTATGCCACTTCATTTTGCCGTTGCCCGCAATAGCGTTGCAAACAACTTCCATACGAGTCTTCTTCTTGAGTTCTTTTATCTCCTCCTTCAAATACTTGCCCTTCTCGGCTGTCACCCCCCCGCTGAAGCATATTGCGGCCACGGTAGTAGCGGCTAGGATCATGAATATCGCGGCTGATTTCATGTCGGCAATATGATGATGCTGCGAAAGTATTTGCTGAATATTGAGGCTATGGTGGGTCAACGTGGAGTTCGAGTGTCTGGTTGATGTGTATGATGGTAATGAGAATGTCCTATATAAATACAGATACACGAAGCTGCTTGATAGTGAATGGCCCGGTATTCCATGAGGTATTGTTGCACTCTCTAGAATCATATTAGACGCCATAAACATACCTAGTAGCCGAGGGGCATTGGATATTGAATCTCGCATCATGGCTTAGGCTGAGTAACCCAAACAACAAAGACAGACATTCGTGAATGATTGTTTTCATGTTACATTCACAGGCGACTGAGATACCTCTGAGGCGGTTGGCGAATCTGCCTAATTTTTCAGTACTTCATTTGGGTCACCCTATTCTTGCTAGATTACGTCGCCTTCGGTAACATCATAACCATTACACACGAGGGGATAGAACCAAGGATGAATCGCCTTGAATACGAAGCTGATTCTATCAATACGGCGATGAATCAAGGGAATATTTGATGCCAAGGTGATACCACATTTCACTGCCTAGTCTCGTGTAATTGTAAGCTCTGGGGATCTCTCCACATGGTCTTCTGGCAAAGAACCATAAGCGAAGGAGGGGCGATGATGGTCACTAACTTTGAGTCTCCATGTGTTACGTTGAATAACGCAAGGAGACAAACTATTACACTAGAAGCTATGTAGTAAATGATCAGTTCAAGGAAAGAACAAAGAGTCCATCTTTTATTGGCCAATGACCCGGGTGCTTATTAGGAGCAGTTCAATAGGATGTGACGCCCAAGGGCTGGTGTGCCCGCATGACCCCATTCTTTGCTACGATGTCGCCTATTCTCTCATGCCTCTCGCCATGGAAACCCTCATGTGCCCGACAACCAGGGGTTGTTCCTTGCTGGTCTCAACGCCCACTACCATTCTCATAGTGGTAATGTTGACGACAACTATAGACCAAAGACAGTAGGAAAGCCGGATTGTCTCTGAGACACATGACAGCCCCAGAGGATTGGGTAGTTTCTTGGTGTTACCAACATCACCCAAAAGAACCACAGCCAAAATACTTAAAGAAGCTGCTCTAGACTAAGGACCTAGGAATCTGTATCTGCAGACCATCTGAGCCTCAAGAATTTGCTCCGAAGTTAGTCTTGTCATTGTTTGTGACGAATTCAACATGTATTTGTCTTGGCAAATCCTTATCGCAGCATTGATTTCCACCACGGTGGCTGGAGTCATTCCCACGACCGACGGCACTCACGTCAACAAGGAATCGAACCTCATTACAAGAAGTCAGCAGGAGCTCATTACTCAGGGAGCAGCACCCACGAACGAGGAAGTCACCAAGCTGGCCGTGGCTACGGCCCTTGGGGAACGATCAATGTAAGTTACCACTCATAAATCAAATCTTTTTATCGCTTTCTGTTGTATGAAGGATAGACTTCTGATCATGATTGAAGTGATGCTTCGATGAAAGCATCCGCCAGAGACACGGATACGATGGGTATCGGCAGCAACCCAGTCATTGACGTGGTGAGGGAAAGCCCAGAATCAATGAATGATCCCCAGTCATAGTAAGGTTTGATTTCGATGTATCCGATTCTGCATTGAATCTTGCAGTGCAGATGAACTGATCACACCTGATCTGATAGCGATATCATCGTTCGAGACCCTGATGGAAGCGGTGTGACTAATGTTACAATGAAGTTGCTTGACAACAGATTCTTCGATTTGATGTGGGATATCTCAGGGCTAAGCCGAAGGATGATATTCTGTGTGAGCACCCTCCCCCTTTTCGAACCCCAGCAGATGCAATCGGGTATGGCGGACTAATCAAATTTGGCCTAGATCGCTGGCATCGCTCATTGCAGGACTCTCGACATTCACAGGATTATCGGCAGGACTGCCCCAGAGCAGATAAAACTATAGTGAGTAGATTGAGACCTCCAGAGTAGTCCAACTAATTAAACAAACGAGTAGCTGCGTTTTCACCAGATGCTATGGAACTCATGCATGTGGATATCTTGAATCAACGGAATATGACGGAAAATTTTCGGGTCCCGGTCAATTTGCACCTCCAGAATGCGAAGGTGCTTGTCTTATCGCGGCGTATACCGAATCAAGGGGGATAGGAGGACGTGCCGAAAGTTCGTGCAAGAAATGTTGTAGGTGACCGTGGCTACTCACCAACTGAAGCCGCACGGTAGGTATTTCTCATGCCGCGAGCTTTTTCCCGACGGGCATCAATGAGGAGAAAGCACGAGTTATGGCAGATCCATGGATGCATACAAGTATCGACTGATGAATCGATTTATGGCGAGCAGCATGGCGTTTCACATCAAAGAGTGCATCTTACTCTTTGATATCATCCACACTACTAGAATTCAGCTCAAGAAGTCTATGAAATCCAATCCTTCGGACTGCTCAGCCCCAGTTCTTGACTCATTTCAGCTGTTTCTTTCGCTTTCTTGTTGACGCTTTCCATCTCGAAACCGGCGACCTGCTTGTACACTTTACCGATACTCTCCAATTCTTCCTTTGGGACCACGTCGTAGACGTTCTCGAAACCATCTGGTGCTCGTTCTTCACATAGTTGAAGAACGTGGTCGGGGCCATTGGCGCGGTTTGCCATGATGATTCTAGCCGTGGCCGGGAGCCTCTCTGTTTCGTAGGCTTTCAGAGCTGCCTCAATATCACCGAGACTCTCGGTAAGAGTTCTTGCCAAAGTCTCCGCGTCGATGATGGCCTGAGATGCACCGTTCGAACCAATGGGATACATGGCGTGAGCAGCATCTCCAAGAAGAGTAAGTCGGCCGAAACTCCATCGCTCGACTGGGTCCCGATCACTCATTGGGAACTCAAACACCTTCTCTGTCTCGTCAATGAGACTCTTCATATCGAGACCTCCACATTTCCATCCGTGGAAAGGTCGCTCGAAGACGGATTTGTCCACAGCCTTGGTCCAGTCCGTTTTGGGTGGTGTCAGGTCTTCATCGTCTTTGTCTCGGATTCTGAGTTCCGCAATCCAGTTCACCAAGCTCTTGCCTTTGTCAGCGGACCGTTGGCTGATTGGGTACGCGATGAACTTCTGGTCGGCATGACCGGCCCACACCATTGATGCTCCGGTCAAGTAAGGATCACGCTCCAAGCAGCCACGCCAGAGCATACGACCAGAGAAGCGTGGTGGTCCTTCGTTCGGGTAGAGGATTTTTCTCGCGGTCGAGTTGATGCCGTCGGCAGCGATGAGTAGATCTCCCGTCACTTTAGACTGGTCTGCTGGCGCACCATCCCTTCGTCGTGAGAACTCGGCCGTGATACTTTCGTCATTTTGAGAGAAGCCGGTCAAGGCGTGGTTGAGTGTGACGGCGAACTCGCCCAAGCGTTCTTTGACTGCGCTCAAGAGCAGCATCTGGATCTCTCCTCGATGAATGCTGAGCTGCGGAACAGCATAGCCCGCTTTAATGCCTCTTGGCTCACTAAGAATTGGGTGACCATGGCGATTGTAAAAGTTCAATTCCTGGGTCTTGATGCCTGTCTTTTCCAGTGCTTCAATCAAGCCGAGGTTGCGAAGAATCAGCACGGCGGAAGGCTGGACATTGATTCCGACACCAAGCGTTGTGAGTTGCGACGAAGCCTCAAAAATGTGGATGTCGGTGAATCCGGCGGCGTGGAGCGACAGGGCCGCGGCAAGACCACCTATGCCGGCGCCGGCGATGATGATCTTGGGCTGGGGTTGCCGGTGGGATGGCATTGTGTCGGCTGCAAGACTGAGTTACAAGCCAATGGTTGCAGTGACAATTGTGCCTAGATGCAATGGCAGAACTCAATTGAAGAGATGCTTTAAAGCTGGACGTGACGTCGATCCCGAGTTCCGAACTTCGGAGACGGTGGAGTCTGTCGACTGCCGAGGGTTGATGCCGTGATCTGGAGCAGAATTTTCCTAGATCCACCAAACCCCATTTTGCCGGCACCCCGCTCACCCCGGATCGTGCGATCTTGCGGCGGCGGGTGATCCCGTGCTGAAAAGGTACGAGTACGGCCATATTTAACCTGATTGTGAGCCTCATGGAAGTTGGAAGCTTATTCGAACTTTCAGGGCTAATGCAGGCACTCATGTGTAGTACCGGATGTGTCCGTCGCGCACATTAAGATGCAGCACATCTTGCCGCGTACCATATGAAATACATACAACGTGTCAATGACCACATATAACTGCGTGAGAAAGTCTAGAACTTCAAGACCTTACCAGGTCTGATATCCGGACCGGCAATGTACTAGTCAGTCTGCGCAGCAATCAACAAACGTCAGGGATTCTCCGAAGTCTTTCGAGGGGTGGCAGGAGGGGAAATTGCACCTGGGAGTCGCCCAGGATTGGCCCTGGAATGCGTTTTTGTCCTCATGCAACGCCACACGTGGCGCAAAGCCAAAATGGTGGCTTGCCTCAACACCCATCTCTCCTACCAAGAGAAGGACGTAAATCATGCCATTGTCTAAAAGCAAAAGTTACATGTAAATGAAGGTGTCTTACCGAGATGCACTGCGAGATGAGAACTACTTTTTCCCCCGTCTATGCCCCTGCCAACTGGCTAAAGCAGTCAGCTCAAATGTAGATCAACGGTGCTATCTCAATACTTCGATTCGAGCTGAGATGTTACACATTAAACAGCAATTGGATCAAGACCAGAAGCAATCATGAAGGGATTATGCGAGTGCTTTTGCAAGTTCGATATCTACATTAATTATCCAGAGGCCATCGATCAGAAGCCGGATGGAAGAAGATAGAACGTGATCATCCAAGGTAAAGATTCTTGAGTATGTCAGGCCCCACGCGGAGCGAATGAAGGACTGCAATCGTACCTAATCTTTTCAACATCCTCCATGAACGGTGGAACACCGCTCTCTCTGTTCTTTGCGTTAACCCCAGGCATTGACCAAGTTGCTGCTATTGCGTGACCGTAATGGGCTTATTTGAAGAGTAAAGTGCTGCACCTACTTCATAGTGTACGGCAATTGCTAACGGAAGGCAACCAAGTCCTACCATCCGTGGATCTCAACGCTTCAAACTAAGGATTTGCTGGTAATCCTTTTGATACTAGGAGCTTGTCCGTATGTTATCTTCAGGATAATACCACAGAATCTCATGGTGGCGTGGCCCGTGATAACATGCCCCGGCCCAAGAGTATGTAAAGTGTGCTTGCCTCGGTCCTCGGTAGCAGTCATCCTGAGTCAAGCAACCAGCTTGGCGAAGCGAAAACGCGCGATGAGGAACATGGAGTCCTCTAAAATCCTACCTTGAGCTACGGCGAATTTGTTAGACGAGGCATGGGCAGATTTAAAACCACTGGTGGCCGCGTCGGCATGCAGAGCCAAAAAGCCAAGTGTCCCAAGTAGTTACAGTACGATGTCCAGCCCGGCCGGGGCAAATAGGCTTAAGCATCAATCTAGTATTAGCAGACCGTAAACATTTTAGGAAGCGGTGAGGTATTAAACAGTGAAGTTTTGCCTCCTGAGGACTTGCTTCAAAAGAGATACACTCGCAGTGGATACTCACGGCTATCCCACTACAGGGCTCCGCGGCTATCAGCTAACCGAGCGTTCAAGGGAGATGAGCAAGCACATTCGCAATCGCAAAACCCTAGTTTACTCAAGTTTACGTTACATCATCAGCTCGCAGTGCATGGCCGAGAATGTACAGTCGTCTACAAACTGTAGAATTGTGATGATCGGCGGGGTGCCGTCATGATGTCCTGCTTGGGAATCAAGAAAAAGCAAGGTTGTGTAACACATCACGGTTAATTTCAAACAACTCTTTTCGTGATCGTCATGTTTCTGCCATAATCTTCTGGCTATTATTCTTCGTGGCTTTCAAGCTCCTGTACTATGGCATGGATTATGATGGCGCCCCTTACATGTAGGCTTGAGTTACCTCAACTCAACTTGATACGTCAAGCCCCCCCAGACCAAGTCGAAAGCCCTTCGAAAATCACATCTCACATCATTTCTACCAATCCAACGCGCGACACGGACTTCGGGGCAGGCCGCCACTCCGTGATAGTCCCGGCGCGAAGCAAGGTCGGTCTCTGATTCTCTTCAAAGACTGGATGGAATAGGGGCCGCCCCACATAATTGTCCAATAGCACTGTGAGGGCCGTTAAGGGCGTCGTGCCTTGGCCCGGCGCCAAAACTGCACCTTCGCCGCTCTGCCACTGGCCCGAAACGGACATCTGTGGACCTTTCAGGCCGCGATTGAGCTGCTCCACACCGGTCAATTCCACATCTTGTCCGATTTTGTGAGGCCGGGTCCGATCCGGAAGGAATTCGCACTGTACCGACGTGCAGACTCCAAAAAGTCGATGACGGAGCGTCGTAGTGGGAGCCGGAATTCCAAAAAGGGGAGGGCTAATATCATACACGGTGCTTCTGACGACTCGATTATAGCTAACAAGCTCTGAGGTTAGCAAAATGATAAATAGCGTGAGATGTTCTGCCATCTCAGACAATTCTCATCAGCATCTCAAACCACTTCTTCCTCACCCTTCAACATCACTAGCTTGCTTCTTTCATCATGAGCTCTTCAGCTTCTCACCTCCGCCAAATCGGCATTCACCGCAACCTGCCAACCTTTGACGACTCGCTCAAAGAACTTACGGCCATCATCACCGGCGCCAATGGCATCTCTGGCTTCAACACCATGAGGGCTCTCCTTGACAGCCCCAAGCGCTGGAAGACCATTTACTGCCTCTCTCGCAAGCCTCCACCGGAGGAGATGATGGCTCTTCTGTCCCCTGAAGCCCAGTCCCGCATCGAAATTGTCACCTGTGACTTCCTGCAGGATCCTGCCTCGATCGCCAAGAGCATGACCCAAGCTGGTGTTCGGGCCGACCACATCTTCTTCTACTCCTACATTCACAAGGATTGGTCTCAAGCGGAAGCCCTCGTTGAAAGCAATGTCCAACTCCTCAAGAACTTCCTCGAGGCCCTGGAGCTCGCCGAGATCAAGCCCAGCCGGTTCGTTCTTCAGACCGGCGGCAAAAACTACGGTGTGCACATTGGTCGTGTGCGAACCCCGCTGTTGGAGTCTGACCCGCAGCCGCGACACCTGCAGCCCAACTTCTACTACCCTCAGGAGGACATGTTGAAGGAGTTCTGCGCAAAGCACGGTACTTCGTGGAACATCATCATGCCCACTGCTGTCATTGGTACTTCTTCGAACGCATCGATGAATACCTTTTGGTCTTTCGCTGTCTACGCTGCCATTCAAGCACGCAAGGGAGAGTCCCTTGCATTCGGGGGAGACTGGGAGCAGTGGCAGTATGAGTACTACCACTGCTCTGCCCGCATGACTGGCTACCTCAGCGAGTGGGCGGCCCTCGAACAGGGTTGCGCGAACCAGGCGTTTAACACTCAAGACGGTGGTCCTTTCACCTGGGAGCGTTTCTTTGCCGAGCTGGCTCGCTGGTTTGGTGCGAAGGGTGTGGTGCCGCCCCCTGATGACGAGTCAGGACTCAAGACAGTCGAAGGCAGGTCGGGCAAGAAGACCCCTTTGGGCTACGGACCCCCGCTGTCATACAAGTCCAGCTTCACTCTTCGGGACTGGGCTGCCGACAAGAAGAATGTAGAGACCTGGCATGCGATCATGAAGGAGTCTGGAGGCAAGATCACTCATGATCCCTTCAAAGACCCGGATACTTTCTTTATGGGAGACTTTGCTTATCTCAGGTTCGGAAGCGTGTCCTTGAACAAGGCCAGAAGATTTGGATGGACCGGGTTTCTTGACACCATGGAGAGTATCTTTGAGTCTTATCAGGAGATGGAAAAGCTGGGCATGTTGCCAAGCATGCAGGTCGATGCTGCCCAGCCACTCGGCTGCTAGACGAATCATTGCCGGAGGACAGGCACCCCATGAGATAGAGAAGGTAGAATTATCAGGGCAGTGAACACAATCCATCTGAATTTGGCCTCATTTTTGTAAACCTATTGAAGGACGGACCTTTAAATGTTTTTGTTGATGAATGTGGGCTTCAAAGAAGCATATTTCTAGCTCGGCTACCTCTGAACTGGGGTCAGTTTGACATGCATCTTGGGCTTGGCCCAGAACACAACGGAAGTGAAGGTTGGCTTCACGTCCCAGTCACGATCTTCCGGTTTAAGCTCGATATCGAAGTGCCATATCAGCTTCGCCAGGAACATGCGCATCATTCCATACGCAAAGCTGTTTTACTCGCTGTCAGTTGTGTCCTCATTGGATGAAGGGTGGAATGGCTTACCCTTTTCCCAGGCAATTTCTGGGCCCCTTAGCAAAAGGTTGACAGGCACCCTTCTGGTCTGCGGCAAAGCGGGGGTCGTCGGCCGAAGACTTCAACCACCTCTCTGGCAAGTAGGAGTTGGCCTCAAAGAAGTTGGAGTCCATGTGATGAGTTGCCCATTGCGGTACACCCACGGTAGTCTAACCATGTTGATTAGCTTGGAAGTATGAACGGAATCGCAGGCCACTTACCCCCTCAGGTATGAAGTGTCCATCCACCATGCCTCCACCAGGCGGTCCAACTCTCGGAATGACTGCGGCAACAACAGGGCGCATGCGCATGCCTTCATCGATGCAGGCTGTCAAATACTCCATGGTCGCGAGTCTAGAGATGGTGATCTCTTCGTCACTTCCGATGTTTCGAATCTCGTCAGTCAACCTCTTGTAGGCGTGAGGAGTAGTCAGGAGATGGAACATGACCACGGACAAAGTCGTGGCTGACGTCTCACTTCCGGCGAAGAAAAGAAGCTGAGCAAAGTTGATGATCTTATCCCTAGTCCATGACTCCCGGTCGTCGTTCTCCGCCCAGATCATCGTCATGAAGTCGGGCCGATCGTTGCCCATCTTCTCCCGCTTTTCGGCTTTCTGCGTGACGATGTCTACTGTCTCAAGCCACGTTTTCAGGCCCTTCTGACTTGACACCATCTTGTACAGGAGTCTTGTCAAGGGCAGCCTATTGAACAGCTGTAGAAGGCCAATAAAGGGGGAGACATTCAAGACCATGTCGACAAAGGGATCCATCTCACCCTTCTCCATGCAGTACAGCGACTCGCCGGTAGACAGGTCTGCCATCACATCGGCAGTAGCGAACGTGACCCAGTCAACAATGTCGACGTCTTCCTGGACCCTATCACGGAGCTCCGAGATCATCATGTCGGCGTATCTCTGGATGATGGGTTCCTGGGCCTTGAGAGCCTTTTCAGAGAAGGCGGGCGCGACTTGGCGACGCAACGCGCGATGTGAGGGTTGGTCGGCCGAGATCATGGAGTCGTTGAGTGGCGTGCCCCGAACATCATAGAAGACTGCATCTTTGGGAAACTCAAGCTTGCCTTTGGTCTTGACACCGTAGATATCATCCAGGGCTTGGGCCGATGAAAACGAAAGCTCGTTGGGCCCGACCCTCACGACTGGGCCATATTTCTCGTGAAGGGCTTTGGCATGCCTCCAGTAGTCAGCCTTGTAGACTTGACGGTAAAACTTTGGCAGCCAGGAGACCGCGTAATGCGATGGGCCAGGGAAGGATTTCAAGGGATGGATGAATAGATTGTAAAGAATGATAGAGAGTCGATATGCAACAAACTGCTCCTGGTTAGTCAAGACTAATGCAAAGGGTCGTAACTTACGGCGCAGACGGCCAGTTGCCACATAGAACCCATTGCTAAATGAGCGTCCAACACCTAGTGAGCGGTTAGATCTGCGCCGATTTCACCTTCGGTGTCCGATTTTCTATATGCACGCGGCTAGTTGCTATCCTTCTTCCCTTCCAACCGTCTTTTTTCACAGTTTGCCGCCTGTGGCGCACCTTTTTGACTGCCGCGTGACACTGACGGGGAAATATGCAATGGCCAAGATGGCAAAGAAACTTGTTGCTCTTCTGTAGAATCATTGATATTAAAGGGCTAGGTTCCAATGCCCAGGAGACCTCTTGGCCGTGGAAAATCGGCATTTGATGTTCCTCTAGGTTCCCATGAGTTGCGGAACAATCCGTAGGGTTGCGGAATCCCACTTATCGAGATTGTCCAATGCGGCCGACCCATTCGGGCAGAAACGTGCCGATCAGGCGTAGCCGGGCAAGGTTGATGAATCGACAAACTGCGTTCTTCAGAGCGCAAGTCTTTTGATATATCCCACGTGGTGAACTGCCGGCGAACGACGCCCGTTCTTGGATATGGTCGAGCGTGAATGGCGGTAAAATAAGTGGGCACAAACATTCGGGGTCGCCGTGTGGTACGCTTCTCGCGTGTAATATGGCCAATTGGTCACAACGGCCCTACACACTCACAGGATGCCAAGAGGAGGTCAGCACAAGCTTCAAGTGAGCACGAACTTAATCGTGTGCCCTGTAAGGCGGAGTATTCTCTGGGGAATTTGTCTCTAAGTGCGACTGCTATCAACCCCAGATTGGGAATGTGCGCCTGCAGTGTCTCCTTGATAACAAGGGGCAACTCAGGGGTCGTGCATCGTCATTGAACGGTTGACCCGTAAATAACCCAGCTTCTCCAGTTGAGGTCGCGATAATTCACATGATGGACCCCTGGTGTTGAAGTTGAGGCTCGTGAACGGACTCTAGCAGGGCAGAATTTCAGCGAGTAATCTTTCCGCTAAAGGTCAACGTGTGGTGCGCGAGTCATTACTAAGCCCCTCGACGAGTGCTTTGATCTCCTGTCGTGGATATGCGTTCATGGTGCTTGAGTCATATGATAATCTGTCCCGATTCTTCGGGAAATGCCGTGATATCTAATCGAGTTCCATACTTTACAAGCCTGGGCGGGAGAGACGGCATATACATGCCCCATAATACCCAATGTGCAAAGTCATTTGTACCTTGTTTACCTCGTCTTATGTCTCTCTGCAGACCTCTGTGTCTTTTCAGTACTGAGTATAGTACTTCTGTGTTCACACCTTGGGTTATGTCTATTAGGGTTGCTTGGTCCGTTTCCATAACTGCACCTTGCTGTATATTGTACCTCGGAGCAGAGCACACTGGTCGTTCCTTGTAAATCCCTTCTCTTCTAAGTTCTTTTTCACCACGGGCACACCTTTTTGACTGTCGTATAGCGAGGGCTGGAATGGCCAACGGAGAAACGTATATCACCACCCATGGGGTATATGAAGAGGGCGCGTCGCTGCTCGTAACTATAACAGTGACATCGAGACACTGAAGTGTGAAAATACAAAGGTCTTGCACTCCAGGAAAAGACCCGATCCCCAGAGTCCATTGCTCCATTGCCCTCTTTCGCTACCACCAATCCTTTCTCTTCTTACTAAACTCATTAAAAGATGGCCGAAGAAATGTGGAAATATTCAATTCCTATTGATCCGGAGACGGTCAAGAAGACTGGGTGTTTCACAACTTTGCCAGTCAGAATCAACATCCGCGACGATCTCGCAAATGCTGCGTCCTCTCGCGTGCTCAAGGACTGGGCAGAGCACACCGGTAACCAAAACATTGACCCGAACAGAGTGTCATTCTCCCCAGTGGGAAGCTTTTGCTCTTTGATTTACTGCGAAACCATTCCCGAACGCTTGGACTCCATATCTTATCTTACGGATCTTTTCTTCTTGATCGACGGTATGTCTGTCAGCTTTTCATTTCGAGAAGGTTTACTGACTTAAGAAACCAGATGCAACCGAAGAGGTTGAGAACGACAAGGTCGCTCAAGAGGAATGGGCCGGCTTCTCAGGAGCCATGACCGATTCGCTTGGAGAGACACCCCAACGCGACCATGATTTGGATTCCATGAAGAAGAAGAAGCTGGTCGCTCGTGTGATGCTCGACTTCATGAGGTTAGACTCAGCCCTTGGCTTGGACCTCGTCAAGAGCTGCAAAGCTGGCTGGACTCCTCTAGCAGCTGGTGTAGAGTGGGAAACGATGGAGGACTACCTTCACTTCAGAAGGCTTAGTGCAGGTCTTGAGTAAGTTTTCGTGCCCCGGGATTGGGATTGTCTGGCTAACATGAGCAGCATCTACTGGACCAAAACTGTCTTCGGTCTTGGAGAAAAGCTCTCAGATGACGAGGAGAAGCTTATTCGACCCCTTGTATGGGCTGCTGAGAAGGCTGCTATGCTCAACAATGACTACTGGAGTTGGGACATCGAGTACTTCCAAGCGAACCAGAAGATCGACATGCTCACCAACGCCGTCGCGGTCTTGATGAGAAAAGAGGGCATTACAGCCGAGGAAGGCAAGGATCGCATCAAAAACCTCATTCTGGGGTACGAGGCTGAGTACTCTCAGCTGAGAGCGCAGTTCTACGAAAGCCACCCTTCAGCACGGCTTTACCTCCGCAAGCGAGTCGAACTTGCAGGCTCGATGGCGGCTGGTGTCAGTTTCTGGAGTGCCAAGTCTCCTCGATATCACCTGCCAACGGACAAGCTCAGGCCATCCGTTGTTCCTGTAGAGGTTAAGTTCGAGGAGATGACCCTGAAACGTTCTGCTGAAAGTGTTGCCAGCACCGAAAGCGACAATTCAATGGACGCGAAGTCGGGAAGCGGTACCGAACTTACGAGCCAGAGCTCACATCCAAGCGACCTTAGAAAGCGCTACTTTGACGTCCCGAAATTGGGCCCGGCGGCAATCAACGAGCCCATCGACTACGTCAGCGGCATGCCGTCAAAAGGCGTTCGATCGTCCCTAATTGATGCCATGAACCAATGGTGTCAGGTCCCATCTGCACAGCTGGCGGTAGTCAAGCGTGTCATCGATCTTCTCCACAACTCGTCGTTGATACTTGACGACATCCAAGACGATTCGCCCATGCGCCGCGGCAAGACGGCGACACATTTGATCTTTGGCGAAGCCCAGTCCATCAATAGTGCCACCTTCTTGTACGTGCGTGTCGTGCAAGAGGTCCATGCTACTGGCAACGCCGCCTTGATGAAGGTGCTCCTTGAGGAGCTAGATGACCTGCATGTCGGTCAAAGCTGGGATTTGTACTGGAAGTATAATCTTAAATGGCCGACAGAGGAGGAGTACTTTAGCATGATTGACCTCAAGACCGGCGGACTCTTCCGGATGTTGGTGAGGATGATGCACGCCCTCTGCCATCCAGAGTCAAATGAAGAGTTTGTCTGCGATGATCTTGTGTCCATGGTCAGCCGCTTCTTCCAGGTCCGAGACGACTACCTCAACCTCAATTCTCGGGAATACAGCAACCAGAAGGGGTGGTGTGAGGATCTTGACGAGGGCAAGTTCTCGTACCTCATCATCCACTGCCTCGAGAACAGCCCCAAGTATCGCGACCGGATTATGGGCCTCTTCAGGCAGAGGACTGGATGTTCAGGTCCGATGCCCAGCGTTGGAAAGGTTCAGATTATCGAGTACCTGCAAGAAGCAGGAAGCTTCGATGCCTGTTGGGAGCTGTTGAATAAGTTGGAAGACGAGATCGAGGCTGAGATCAGGAGATTGGAGGCCGTCACAGGGGAGGAGAACCCTCAGATGCACCTTCTGCTCAAGCTTCTTAGTGTGAAGAACGAGAAGCCAAATAAGGGCGCCGTGATTGTACCATTAGGAGCGTAGCTTTTCTTTTTGTTAACTATACCTCGTCGAGATTACTTTTGTTGGATATTATTTGAAGGTTCAAAAGCATTTGCGCTGTTCCCCGAGTAGCTGATGGTAAAGCAAGCTTCAGTAATGTTAACATCAGGCTATTGCCAAGCAAACGGTCGTGATAAAATGAGCCAGTCTCTGCCACATTTGATAGACCTTGTTTGGCTTGTCCCCAGCCGTCTGCGACCTGGAGAAGATGGCCAGTGGTTGCAGTGAGCTCATCGAGGTAAACCATCAAGGTGAACCCATCGAGGTCTATTGGTCTTCAATGCCGGTATCCACCTTGAGCTACTTTGTATTGCTATGATTTCACTCAATTTGCCAAGAATGCTCCCTTTTATTTGAGTCTATTGCACGCCTTTACCATGTCATCGCCGATCTATTGGTGTCCATTGTCTCATCATAACACCACGTTCAAGTACTTTGGCTTTTTCAGGCATCTCACCCTCCGTGATGGTATCCAAATCATTTTTGATTATTTGTCCTATCTAATTCTTCTTATGTGCCTCTACCTTGGTTGATCTTTCTACGTAGCTGCTCGTCGCATTACCAAGGAATTGCTCGCTGCCATCTCACTCTCAAGCGGCTAATGGATGCTTACTCCTGCAGCAATGTGGCACCGTCCACATTCGAAGTGGAGTTCATCTCATAATTAGGTGATGTTGGCTGACCTTCAGACCAACCCGTTGGGTAAGAAAAACAAAGTTCGCTCAAGCTGCTCGTTGCACAACGTCGCCAAGCATAGTCTCGTGGGGTCGGAAATTAGCCTGCCATCCCATCTCTAACCTCTATTGGTATCCGGCAGTTTAAATCGCCGGCGGATTGGCTCCTCGTCCCGATGAACCCTGGTTTTCGGCCGTGCCTCGGTCTTACTTTCCCCGGATTTCGGTTTCGGGGGCCCCCCCTCCCGGCGTGGGTTGCAACCCCGCACGCCACGGTAGTATTCCCCCGCCAGGCTGGGCGAACTGCAAAGATGACTCCAATATCGGTTCTTGACCGTGATTTGATGGTCTGATGTCTGACCACGTTCGTGGGGTTTGGCTCGGTCGGAGGAACCTTGAACTCACATCCAGCGCGGATAACCAGGGTCACTGAAGATCCTGCACGGTGGTCGGTATTTGAACCTCGATGTTCCCCTTCAAACGAACTATCATCGGGTTCTTTCCATGCCCCTCATCCTGTTTTGAACCTACCGGCAACAGATCATGGCCATCGTCGGCGCGAAAGAAGAACACGTCGATCCGCAGTTGACGCGGATCGCGCAGAACGACAAGAAGGTATGGTACAAAAAGCCGAATCTGAGGTTCTTGTACCTTATCCTCATCCCGACCGGTCTCGGCGTGGAGTGGACCTCCGGATTTGACTCTTCAATGATGAACAGTCTTCAAGCCGTGGAATCATGGTTTGAATGTAGGCCGTCGTCTTGCCTCGAGACCATCAGCCGTGATGAAGCAGCTGACATTCCTATACAGACTTTGGTCGCCCCAATTCTTCTCGACTCGGTCTTCTCAACGCCATGTACTCCCTCGGTGCTCTCATGGCTATTCCCTTCGTCCCTATTGCGAGTAACTACCTCGGCCGTCGTCGCACAATCCTCCTTGGTTCATGGATCATGGTTTTGGGAGCGGGTCTTCAGGCTGGCTCTCGAAACCAGGACATGTTCTTGGCCTCACGTTGGGTTCTTGGTTTCGGCATCCCCTTCGCGATCATCAACGCGTCTTCTCTGCTGGGAGAACTCTCATATGCCAAGGAACGATCCATCATGACGAGTCTATTCAACGCTTCCTGGTTCGTGGGTAAGTGATTAGGGAGACGAGAAGTCAGCAAAGCCGGGGTGTACTGACAAGCCATTCTTCAGGAGCGATTATTGCCGCAGGCGTGACATACGGTACGTGCTTCTGACTCACTCTTGAGGTACCCGAGCGAAGTAGGGTCCAGTACTGATGTGCAACTTGAAAGGCACGTTTCAAATGACCAGTACTTGGGCATGGAGAATCCCCAGTCTTCTTCAGCTAGTGCCCAGCGCGTGCCAGATCTGCTTCATGCCCTTCTGCCCCGAGTCGCCCCGATGGCTCATCTCGAAAGACCGAGGCGACGAAGCATTTGCAATCCTGCAGAAGTACCACAGTGAAGGCGAAAACGGCGACGAGTTCGTGCGTCTTGAATACGCCCAAATCCAGTCCACCATTCAACAAGAGAAGGCGGTTGCCAGCAAGTTCGCTTGGGGCGATGTCTTTAGAGATGCTGCCATGCGCAGACGATTCATGATTGCAGGCATTGTCGGCTTCTTCACGCAGTGGAGTGGAAACGGTATGATCGAGATAACCGCACATCTGGAATCTGTACTAATGTTACGCAGGCCTCCTGTCTTTCTACATGAAGAAGATTCTTAACCTTGTCGGAATCACCGACAACCGAACTGTCCAGAAGATCATCCTTAGTAACACCTGCTGGGGTATGTTCCCCTCCCATATATGAGCATAAAATTCATGAATTACTTCATCTTTGATGATGCGGTTGTGTCTGCTTTTTTTGCAAGATTGGTACTGACTATGCAGGTTTGATCAACGCCACACCGATCGCTCTTATTGCGCCACGCTTCCCCCGTAGAAGGATGTTCCTCATTTGTACTATTGGTAAGGAGCCATGCTTGAAAATCTCCCAATTCTCCGCAGAGTCCACGGTGTAGTTGAAGCTTGATACATACGAGACCGTCACGAATCATGTTGAAGAAAAGAACCTCTTCAAAGGCCGGTGAGCGTTGGCATTGATCATCGTGCTAATGGGCTCGAACAGGCACCGCATGCGTTTACACCGTCTGGACTATTGCCTCTGCTAGGTTCGCAATTGATGGATCTAAAGCAGCCGCGATTCCCGTTCTGGTCTTCATCTACCTTTACTCGCCGTGAGTCAAGCTGACATACCCAAACATCTCGCTCAAGTGTCAGCCAACTAACGCTTACTCTAAGATTCTATAACATCGGCTGGAATGCTCTCACGTATGACAAACCCTTCCCGAAAGACTGCGCAGACTTCTCTAACCATCAGCAGATATACCTACATGGTCGAGATTTTCCCATATACCGTCCGGTCTCAGGGTATTGCCGTTGAGCAACTCACTGTCAGATTCGCCGTCTTCTTCAACACCTACGTCAATCCCATTGCCCTAGACAGCATAGGCTGGAAGTACTACTGTGTATACTGCGTTTGGATCCTTGTTGAGATCGCGACCGTCTACTTTGTCTTCCCTGAGACATACGGCCGAACTCTCGAAGAGCTCAGCTTTATGTTTGAGGGCAAGGAAGTGCAGGACAAGGTGCAGAAGAACACTCAGAAGGTACTCCAAGTTGAACTCGAAGATGTGGGCACGCGTGGTGGCTCCCGAGAGGAAGCGCGGGACACGAAGGTCTAGCGGTGATCAGTGGTCGGAAGTACGGGGTTTAGCGGAAGTTTGTGTGATGCGGTAATCGAATGGTCACGATACTTTCTTTGGGTCTTTTCATTGAAGCTCACCTAAAAACACCAAAATTGATCGGCAATCTTATCGTGTTGACCAAGCGTGATCCAGAGTGACGTCAACTTCTGGTCTCGAATTTGCCATCGGCCTGCGGGGGACCGCGGAGACGGGCCGAGTGGACCCACATCATGCGGAGGTTAGCTCCGCGCGAAAGCCTCTCCGGCATGTAATTCTCAGAGGTTTCCTTGCTCAAAATTGTATGAGTTTGTATGGCAAAATTTAATTACAAGTCCATCTCCCGGACGATTGCAAAAGTCTAACAGTAATAGCTCAGGGGCGCAAACAGGTAGACACGCGAACCAGGGGTACAGTGGAGCTCGCGGTCGCTCAAGTGAGACAATCAGAGGGTTGGGCCACCTATTAACGACCAGGCAGGGCTGTCTGGGAAAGGGACCCGATTTGCTCTCCATCAAATCGTTATTATGAGTAAATCCTACATGTACGAAAGAGGCAAATTACTGAACGATCTTCCTCCCATCCCACCAAGTCAGCCTGTCAAACGAAGTACGCATGCGACCTTGCCGTGCTCCTGGTCCTCCTGTCACTTTCTCGGGGCAACGTCAATGATCGACGGAGGGTAGTATGGTACCTGTGGCTTGGTATCTGCATCTTTCCTCGCCTCTAGTGTCAGCCGCGTCATCTTCAGGGATTGTCATCGTGGCTGAACCGCATTTCCGACGCCCTGCCAACTTGCGCAAGGTGATCTTCGGCCCCATGCTCGTCCTTCCTATCGTGCAGCGAACCAACAGGCCGGAGCTGCTGCTCCTTTACTTATTCCGGCCCCCTAGCACAGCATCCACCTGACCGCGGCGTGGCACGGCGTGGGATGTTTGCCAACAATAGCTGGCCCGTCACACAACAACATGGTAGGAGCTGTTGTTCCCGTCACACAATTGTTGGGCTCCGGCAACTCGGAATGACGAAAGCAGCACGTCAATTCGAACATCGGCTCGTTTTTGGGCAGTTTGAAGTCAAACAAACGGCACCAAATTGTTTCAACCCGTATGCCTGTTTTTTTGTTTTACTTTGGCGGTGAAGTCTCTCCACAAATCCAGAGGCCGGTGTAGTATTTAAATACCCCTAGCCGCACTCTTTTGACGCTCACGATGCACCTTACCTGAATTTAATATCGTCGTTGTCAGCAACAGCTTGCTACGCTGCAATATCTCAGCATTTCACCCTTACTACAGACTGATACAAGAGAGCGTATCATTATTCATTCCCATATATTTGCAAAACAACATGTCATTGATCGCAAGAGCCGTTCGCGGCGCCGCGATCTCGGCCCATGCGGGGCCGTCTCCGACATTCGTCGCACCGACAGCTATCACCCGGAAGTTCTCCGCACCGCAACCTCCGCATCCGCGCCGACCGTTTCACAGCACGCAATCCCGGAATCACGCTAAGCCCAAGAACCCCAAGCCAACCGACCATCCCGCAACCGAGATCAAGCCGCCTCGGAGTACCAACTTTGGCAGCGGCCGCTTTTCCGACTTTGATCTGAAAGGCCGTACGTTTATCGTGACTGGTGGGGCGCAGGGTCTTGGCTTGAGCCTGGCAGAGGCGCTAGTAGAAGCTGGCGGCAAGGGTAGGTCCAGTGATGTCAGCATGACTTTGCAGTAATGGGTATCTGACGATGTCTCAGTTTACTGTCTTGATCAGCAAGAAAGGCCCCACGGAGACTACGCTGAGGCATTGAAACGTGTCGTTCCGGAATGGGGCGGATCGCTGCACTACAGACAAGCTGATGTTGTGGATACCGAGGGCCTCGACAAGGTCATCACCGAGATCGCCGACAAGAACCAGAGACTGGATGGCGTAATAGCTGCTGCTGGAATCATGCAAATCGAGAGCGCCATGGATTACACAGTTCCCCAGATCGAAAAGATGCTTGCGGTTAATTACACCGGCGTCTTCATGACTGCACAGTCCGCGGCCCGGAACATGTTCAAGTACAAGAACCACGGCAGCATCTGCCTGATCGCAAGCATGTCGGGACTCGTCGCAAATATCGGCATGCTTTCGCCTGCGTATAACTCTTCGAAGGCAGCAGTAATACAGCTTGCACGAAATCTGGCAATGGAATGGAGTCCGATGAGGAAAGATGGCTCTGGAGGCATCCGAGTCAATTGTATTTCACCCGGTCACATCTTGACGCCGATGGTGGAGCAGAACTTTAGGGAAGTTCCGGGTTTGAAGGAAGAGTGGGAGGGCCACAATATGTTCGGTCGACTCGCCGAAACGACTGAGTTCAAGGGTGCTGGTCTGTTCCTGATGAGCAATGCTAGCACTTTCATGACGGGAAGCCAGCTTGTTATCGATGGTGGTCATACTGCGTGGTGATAGTTCATTACGGTTTCTGTATTCAAAACTCCAGACTAAAAAATATTGTTAGACATGTCGAAGCCTGTGAACTACAATTCAGATGATCTGAACACTAACCTTCTGGCAAATACAAGAAGCACGCAGTCTCAATTTCAGACCCTCGGCCCTGGGATGAAGAAACAGAAGTTTGAATCCTTTACCCTCTGGAACAACCAGAATCTTGTCCATTGACGAATCGTCCACTCCCCTGCAGCATCGCTGTTGACGGCCGGGTTGAGATTGATGCACGTTCGTCCTAAACAGCTACCTAAGCAGTAAGATGAAAGTGACTCAGGTAAAATGATTGGCTTTACTACCAGAAAACAAGATTTTACATACTCTCCAACCCGTACAGTCGTGACGCGGAAAGCCAACATATTCCAACATTTGTTGCTAAATCTTGCAACCTGCAGTGGGCCCTGTTACCCACGTGTTCACCAGCATCAGTACCTACTAGTAAATCAAGATAAGGAGCCCCCAAACCTGTAATCAGGACCATGAGAACCTGATGTTTTCAATGTCCATCTCTTCCTCTTGTGGGTCCCTCCCAGTCCGCACGTCTATGCTGATTTTTACTAGTACTTGGCCGCTGTTTGCTGCCCTGGCGATTTCCATACGAATGGCCTTTTCAAACTTCGCCTTCATCTCCTCGAACTGCTTCTCTTGTCCCAGTTCTATGACATCCTCTACCTCTGTATTTGAGGTCTCCATGAGGAATTGGAGTGACTCTACATCAGACAGCTGTACCCATGCTGGAAACTCAGTCAGTAGTTCAGAAAGCGTCTTTTGCCCGAAACCTCTTTTTGGCTTCCAGTGCCGCTCTCTGTATTTCGGATAGTGTGTCATAATTGTGTAGGTAAATTTGGGCTGCGCAACAACAGTTTTCGGGTCGACGTTTTTCAATTCAATATTATCGCTGTGTTGAGGGCCGGCTTTGACGGCTGTTTCTTCAGGGACAACGGGTTCGGACATGAGAGTCCTAGTTAAAGGATGCACGCTTAAGACCTCTGATGCCATGTTCGGTTTCTCAGCGGCCTCTCCTTTCCTAGTCGTATTGGGAGACATTGCGAGATTCTTGGGAACATGTGTGGTCGTCAGGATGACCTCTGTGTCGGCGTTCTGTTGCATGGTCCACTCATCGATGAAATCGTTGACGGGGTCCTCTTGCGGTGCATACTCAACAGTTGGCCGAACCGAAAACGTGTCTGTTGCAACGGTAGCACCATCTGAAACACCCGGGTTGTTTCCAGTAGACTCCAGGCTTGATGGGCACTCTGGAGACTCTCCGGCGGCCCAGTACTGCTCCGGTGTAGCCCACTCCGGCTCTCTTCGCGGCTTTCGTTGTCTAGTCGATGAGCGATTGGCAATCTGTGTCGATGATGTGCGACCTCGTTTTGCAGACGACTCAAAGCGCGCGGACGACGAGTCAACTTCTCTTGCTCTTTTTGTCGACGGTGTCATCTCTGCAAATGGCGCAAGCTGCTTTGTGTTGTTTCATGATCAGCCGTCAGGTGCTCCCGTAGTCCGAATACATCATTCACAGGTTACAATTATGGACTTACAATTGGAGCCTGAGCACTGAGATCAGGGCTCTGTGGTACCAGATACGGATCTCTTGAGATGACCGAATGACTAGAGGCATCATCGGCAAGTTCTGACTCATTCGGGCCCTCGTCAACTGTATCCGCTCTCAAGGTGTGACTTCGCTCTCTGGCCGATCTATTGGCCCTATGTAAGCTTCATACCACAGCAAGACTTCATCATTCATCGCCTACCTCAGACCGGGCGGTTTTTCATCCTCGTGGCTCTCCACGTCTATGGGGTCACTACGATGGAGCCCGGATTCAAGTCCCTTGCCTACGTCATTTCCTTTACTCAGTGGGTTCCGACTTTTGTTGTTGCGATGGTCTTGAAGATTGAGTCGCCAAAAGAGTTGTCGCAAAATGTCCTTGATTCTGAAAACTGGTTAAAATGAAGTTCCCCTCTCCCGAGGGGTCTCGTTGCACTCACCTATTCTGATCCGTTGAAAATTTGAGCTTTGTGGTATCAAGTGCACCATCATCTGGCCAAAACCTTTGTGGATTCCCGTCACGGTCTAGGAAGGATTGAACCATCTTCGACAGCGCGTTCTGTTGGTCACGAGATTTCCAGTCAATGAGATCTTTACCATTAAGTCCTCCATCACTCACGAAGACGTCTCGAGAGGATGCCATGGCGTTCCTAAATTTGGTGAACATCTCTTTCTTTGCATCGCCGTAGCCGAGCTGTGCCCGTAGGGCAGTGACGCTAGGAATAGCGGTTTGATTCGTAGGTGCTGGCATGATGAGGAGGTCCAGGTTGGAATCGAATACGGGGATAAACGTGGAAGCAACCGAGGCTGGATACTCCAGTATATGGCAGATGATAAAGTCAATGACCTTCTGCTTTTAAAGGTTCTGGAGCGGCCCCTCTTTAACGGTCGTAGCGTGCTCGTAGGCTGGCCCCCGCGGATCGGAGGCTCACCCAATAAAAACGCATTAAGAAACTGTGGGAGGCTGGCCATTTGGTCAAATACCGCAATGCATGAATGAATCGCTCACGCACGTTGGTGCGGCCGTCGAAGACGGCCGAACGACTCGACTATCGCTGCAGCACAGCCATTGCAGCCTGGCATGGGCGGGTCGTCTCGAGTGATTGCAGGCCAAGGAAATGTTCAGGTTCGAGCTGCATCCTCCCCTGCAACTGCAGCTCTCAAGTCAGCCTGGTACGTTGAGGGATACTCTATTGATCGATTCGCCTTTCCGACAAAGTACAACTTCGACATTTGACCGAAGAACATGTCATTGTTAGGTAGGCTGCGGCTAAGATGGTGACTTTCCCGTGGACCATTGGTTGTTCTCAATGAAAAGGCATTTGACCAGTCCCCGGCTGCTCTTCAGTTGTAGGGTAACTGTTTGTGTGAAGACTGTTTACCTAGATACCTATGTTACAACGTCAGAGATTTTGTTCGTCTCAGGCTTCCCGCATCTTCGGATTTGATAGGACCTCGTTCCAAGAAAACAGTCGGCCTAGGCATTATGATGCACAGAATTCAATTCAGCCTTGTTGCCCATCATTCACATGCAGGGGGGTGCAAGGGCATCAACTAGGTCGGTGACATGGGCGAGTTTTGTTACGTCGATATCTTTTTTTGCAATTCCACGGTCCACCAAGTTTGGATTTCGAAACATTCAGGAGGTGTTGTTCCTTTTGTAGTAGCGACTCCGAATAACAGAGCCACATGAGTGGTTGCTGCGCCGCGAGCTTGCAGCGGAACCTGTCCAGGCCGTACACATAAGGCCCAGCTCGTTGCCACTGGTTCTCAATACGAAGTTCTTTTGTCTCAGAAGTAGTCCAGGGTTCTCAAATGAGCGGCTCATGCGCAAAAGGTGCCTGCTGGTCTAGAGTTGTGGCTAGCTGCTTTGCATGCAGCGGCGGCCTCCCATCCAGGCGGTGTGCTGTATTGATCGAGGGTTTTCTGGCTTATATCACGGCTTGAATTTGGGACGATGCATGTTTAATGAATCACTTCAAGTTCGGATACCGTATACTAGAGGAAGTGAGTATCGCATGTATCATCACGCTGACTACCGGCAACATTGCCTCCGGGTGGAACAAGAGTTGTTTGCATTTACACCACATTTACATGGAACACTAAATCCCCAAAACTCATGAAAGCGCCCAACCAAAAACCAGGGCCAATATGGAAAGTTCCAGCAACAGAAACCTGCAGTTGTAAATGCTAATGGGCTGGTCTCCGATTCGAGCTGAGACTTTGCTGGTTCCTGACACTGTAGTTAAGGAGCATGAGGCACCATACACGCCAGTCGAAGGTCAACTATGCACAAAACTAGTAGTAGCTAAGCCTCCGCTACTGGTTGAGACTGTGACAAGATATATCTACCTTATGCGAAGACACTTTCCAATCCGTAGTAGGGCCAAACTTTTGGTGCTCACTTAGCTTTTCATCTTGACAAGACGTAATAAGTCGACGACCCTTGCTTTATTGGATGAGTGTGTGGTCTCATTCTGTGTCTCCCGTGACCACTTGGTCGAGCCGCGCGATGATTCGCGCGCCAATCTCCCAGCAAATACACAAAGTAGTCACAGATGGTACGCCAGTGAAAGGCAAGCCACTGCTAGGAACGCAGTGTGCAGATGTCTGCAGTTTACAAGAACTGATTGGCCACCACTGCAATTCGGTAGTCAGGCAGGGCAACCAGTAGACTTGGCGCTTACAGCACATCGATCGCCTGTGGGCTGCTTGCGGACCAGAACCAATGAATTGAACCCACGTGGAAGGCGTAGCCTCATATTTACCCCTCAAATGAGTTTGTTCGACTTTGTCCGTTTCCTTCTCTTTTTTGCACTTTATGTATGCTCGTAAGCTTTTCCCCGCCCAGCGAGGGGAATCTTATCATTTCGGTACGTTGGGGGTGTTTTCCATAGCGTCAGCGTTGCTGTTCACGCCCAAATAGACCTGGTACCAACTTCAATACGTACGAGGAATGCAAATTAGGGGCGACGCTGATGATCGGAAATGGATCCTTTCTCGGCAGCCACCGGCGTCGCCGGACTCATCTCCCTAGGAATTGAACTTGGCAAAAGCCTCAAGACTTACTACGATGACTTCAAGTCGATGGACGAAGATATTACTCTACACATTCAGCATGCAGATAGATTGCGCGCGTTCGTTGAAATGCTCAGGAGTCGATTCGATGGGCAAAATGAGGTCGATCCAGCGCTTTCCGGGTCTCTGCAGGAATGTTACCAGGCTTGTAATATTTGCTTACAGGACTTTGGGGCTTTAAAGAGAAAATTCTCTCGAGACCCAGGGCCTAAGCCCAAAGGAATACGAAAGCGCTGGGAGGCTGCCCTGGCTCACTTTCACTACCCGCTCCAGAAGAAAAGGTTCGAGGACCTCGAAGCTGAGATGGAGAAATTTCGGGTCGACATTTCACTAAGACTTCAGCTTCTAAACTAGTAAGTCTTCCCAAGTTATGATGGCGTTTCACGACCTGACTAAAACGCACACAGCGATGGCACTGTTGAGCTCCGCAATAATATTACCTCTGGAAATGCTGAAGTTCTGTCTGCTGTGCAACCTTTAGCGCAGATAAAACAGGCCATCGATCAACTGCCCCAGGTCCTGCTGTTCCAATTGACTGAAGCTTTGAAAGTCGTGGAACCGTCGTCACCGTCGTGTTCTCAAGCCCCCGAGAGACCAGATTTGCTTGAATCAATCAATTTCAGACAGCAAGCATTGTCTCAAGACGGCAATTGTGTCTCTACGGCTTCAAGTCCTGGAAACATTGCTACTACTACGCAAGATATGACTCGATTCGTTGCAGCTCCGACTGAGAGTGAAAGGTCGCTGGAGAAACATGATCCAAGAATGGTCATGATGGCTGCTTCATCACAAGTTGAAAAAATGCATTATCACCGTGCGCGATTTCCGCGGTTCCAAGGTTTTCAATGTACTTGCAAGCCCATCAGTTTGCGTCATCTCCCAGCTTCACGGCGATCCAACATAAACAAGCACAGGGATGGATGTCCTGTCTCCTTCCTTGATACGAGAAGCCGAGGTGTTGCGGCAGGGAAGTCTGTTCTCGAGACATTTTTCAGCTGCTTCGCCTCCATCGCTGGTTACAGAATCGAGTACAACTTCACAGCTCGAGCGATAGTCCTGAAGACTAGCCCTGCTTTTCTCCTCTTAGACACACTGTCTAAAAGAAAATTCCAATGGATCGAGAACGAAAAACAATTAGAGAGCAGGTTGTTGCCTATTCTAACAGATTTGAAAGAGCTATTTCGGCAACAAAAGGCGTGGCCAACGGACACCTTGTCGAATGACATGAACATTCTGCATGTAAGTCAATATGGCCGTCTCAGTTGAGATCAAATCTCAACCTCCTAATCACGAACCACGTACTAGATAGCCTGTTCTCGCCTTCGCGGCAAGTGGTCCGAACCCATGGTCCATGTTTATTTCCAATTCCTTGAAGCTTTGGTCAATATGGGCGTGCCATTCAATGGGACTGGAGAGTTCGGGTTAGTTACGGCCAATATCATGATCCCACCGAGAGTACTAATGTAGCCCCAGTACACCATTACGATGGTTGCTAAATTGCGGCAACGTCCATTGGTCGAAGGACAACCACCACCCTGGATACCCGAACTCTAGTAACACTCTTTCATATGTAGCGAAGGGTTTGATAAGTCTGGATGCCTATTATTCGGAGAACCCAAACGAACATAGTTATGAGCCTCCGTTCCGCAGTAGTATGCTTGTATTCTCAACAATTTACGGAGGTCTTTCCAATTCACTTGAAGGTATGTGTTCCGGGCTGCTTTCTTGACGGTTCATCGAAAATAACGATCTCGATCGAAAAGCGTTTGATTATGGGGAGCTGTGTTGCGCACTGTTCCGAAAGTCGGAGCCATCTATTCGGCATATCATGAGCGTATCGTCAGACTCTATTTTCGAGAGAGGCCACCACAACCAAACCCCACTACACGTTGCTGTCTACTGGCCAAACGGTTTAAGAATACTTTTTGAGCTGGCAGAAGAAGCATGTCATGACATCATTGACCAGGAGGACAAAGCCGGACTTACCCCGATCCAATGCGCTATTGCCTGGCAACAAGCCGAATCCGTCGAGCTATTACTGGAAAAACGCGCTAGGATCGATTTAGAAGAAACTTCGAATTTCTTTACACATAAGGCTGCGATCCCTCTCAACTGTCAAAGCACCAGAGTCTGCGAGATACTAGCCAAGGAGCTCGCAAAGCGACGCAAATCTATGCGAGATTATGCGTTGCAACAGCTTTCTAGCGAAGATGTGGAATATTTTCAGCTGGGTCACAAAGCGATACTACAAGGAGAAGCTTATGACGTGATCACATCTTTAACGAATCAAGGCGTTTGGGTCCCGAGAGAATGGAAGCTGGTGCAGCCGGGATCAATCTATCATTCGCTGGCGATGACCGACACCTTAGCAGAAGCACTCTTTCAGTCCGGGTTCCATGAGATCGATTATATGGAAAACGGCTACACCCCCTTGATGATGCTCTATTGCTGGGATTTGGCAGACTCGTTGAGACTCATCGCCTGGTTTGACCAACATCAAGCCAACTTCTATGCCCCAATTCCCCACGTGAAGTCGATGGGCGGTAGCCAAGATCTGAGACCGGAAGCGAAGGATTTTAAGCTCATCCACCGGTTAGCATATCTGCTCGGAAAGTGGACCTCACAACGCTACCTCTTTTCCCCGCAGCTTCCTCTACTCCCCGACAGGATCTATTGTAATGCACCAAATGATGCCTGTCAGTGCTACTGTGCACCGAACGGTTGCACTCCTGCATCTTCACTCGCAAAAGGATGGTTGAGTATGTGGGACGACAAAGATGAGCACTTTGACTGGTATTCTGATTCCAATGGAGAAAAGCTTTCATGTATCCTTTGTGGAGAAGATCAAGATGTTCTGGCAAGTGTTGTTCGAGTATTTACCTTCGAACGACTTGGCATGCGGCACACATGCTGCAGACATAATTATCCCAACACAAGATGGGATGGCCTGGACCTTCGATGGGGCGCGGCAAGGCGATTTAACCTTGTTTCAGTGATGGAATCTTCCGAAGTCGCCGAGATACGAGGAGAGGGTTTCTGCGATGGCGATGCAGGGGAGGATACATATTTGGCGAAGGATTTGGAACAACTAATGACGGAGTTCGGGGCTGTTCTTGAAGATTTCGAAGATTTCGAAGAGTTTTGGTATTTCTGGGACGATCGAATGGACAAGTTCGAGCGGGAAACGCCTATGATGTCGAGGAAGAGTAGACAGGCTCTTTTAGATCTCGGGGTTCGTCTGGAGAGAGTACACGAGATTGAATCGGACGAAGACACTTCTTGTGTGGTTGTCTCAGAGGATGAGATGACAGAAGACGTCATTAGCTGTTGCGAAATCGGCATCATTATTAACATCTCTCACCGCATCAACTTAAACATCACCTACGGCAACATGCAAACCCGGCGTACAATGAGCCTGCTACGGACTCAAATGAGCACATGACCACCGACACCGTCAGCAGTGCAGGCCGCATGCAGCATTTTGTATCACCAACACAGCTTCGACGACAGCTTCAATTGAAAAACAAGATACTTCAACATCACCACCATACTCAACTTCTAGAAGATTCCAGATGGCTACTATCTCACGGAACCAAAGCGTTGGATCGTTCGTCCCCACTGCTATCGCCGGTGAATACCGGCCGATTAGAGTTCTCTACGCTAATGACCAGGCCATCTAGCCATCTAGCCATCTAGCCATCTAGTTTCTCTCTTGCGAATCCCGTGAGTGAAATTGTTGAGTCAAACATGCATGTGGTCACAAATAGTAAGCCAGTGTGTAGCTGTCTTGACGCGCTCCTCTCAACTGTCGATATCGGTTCAGCTACATGAGTTTAGAGGTGCACCATGACGGGCCGGCGCGCGAAGTTAATATGGTGTTGATTTCCACAGTCTGTCGCAGACCATTTCATTTCAGGTTGCTTTATACTCCTGTTCGGTTTCGTCTCGCCTCAGCTGACGTCCGATATTTGTATCAGCCCAGCCCTGAGGAGCTCAACCCAGATGAACTCAAAATAAGGTTCTCAAGCTGAAGGCTTCCAGATCCTTCGATTATTAAATCTTACTCGCAGAATTTGGGCGCTTTGCTTTGCCGCTTGGTTGGCCTAGAATGATAATAATACCTCAAACAAGGCCGGGCCCGCCGGTTGCAACTCTCCTTATCCCACCGGCTTCCACTTGACGCCAGAAAGGCCTCCCAATCTGATGACCCAGTTTTACGGCAGCCGATGGGATAAGTTAGGAGACAGTTTCACTTGGGCAGAAGACAGCTTGTCACAAATCTCCCACCATATGTGTGTGCTTACTATGACTATAGTATATACTTCAATAATGTAATCAGAGAAAATATTGACTTCCAGCATCTTTTATAAAAGCAAGTCGTAAGGCTTGAATGTCCCACGTTTAAAATCACTTACTCAACTCGGCTCACTCACTCAACAGTCAATTGCCTACGCCAATCCCCAAGGTTCCCCGAACACACCAAAGAACAACTCTTCATGTAAGCGTTCGGTGACGTAACCCTAGACCGTGTCAATCACTTACGTGTTTCTAGATTCTCCTACAAAAGTCAAAATGAAGTTCTACGCCCCTGTTGTCGGTCTCCTACTCTTGCAAACTGCAAGCTTAGTGACGGGTGCTTGTACCTGTCTTTCTGTGACCCCGGGGAAACGGGATGATAACACCCCGGCTGCGCAGAGATGCTGCGCTAAACTAGGGGCCAAGATGTCAGGCGACCTTTGCAGTGCTTCACAACAACAAATGAAGGACTGCTGTTCAACCGAGGCCGAAGGTCCGGGCGTAAGGTCTGCAGGTGTGAGGTGTGTGGGATAGGTCCTCTACCTCTATCTAGGGCCGAGGCGTGATGAGCATTTACTCTCTACTGCAGTACAGTCAGTCACCTGCGGCTTTGTTTGCAGTTATTGACTTGGGGGATAAATACCTTCTTTAAGTGAGGGGTGGTAGTGTCACGTAGATTCTATCTGGTATAGCAATGACAGAATATTCTACACGTAGTATGAGATCAGTATAGTAGCTATGATGGCAGTGGGTATCGTGAAGACTCGGACATCTCCCTTCCGTTGGTTGATTGAATCACGGCATTTCCCCGCACAGTCAGCTTCCGCCCATCACAAGGCCGTTGCAACCTTAGATGAGGCCCAGAAACAACAGGGTCGCATGCGCCAGCTACAAAGTCGACACCAGAGCCTGCCATTCATGCCCAAGTGATCATTCATAACCATACCGCAGAGTATGTGACAGCGTTGAACAGGATGTTACCAGGTTTTAGTAGCCCAGAAATCTTACGCTCCTGTTCGCTTACCTCTGCGTGAATGGGCTGGGGTAGAATGCTGTTGAGGCAAACCGGTCTGTCTGAATCGGGAACAAGGCATCGTAGTAGCGTAATATTGAGCCTGAGATACTGTCTCCCTTTGATGGCTACATAGAACAGTTGTGGATGTGGTCCCTGGCATTCTACTGTCGTTGGTCAACAACAGTCCCACATTTCTCTGAAAGCGATTCAATCGGCCCGTATGAAGCCTTGACATTCATTCCAGACCTCCCCGATATAGTGCTTTAACAAATTCGCTGTCATTGCGTGTTTGTTAGACTTGCTTTGTATGACTACCCTGGCCATCTGATTTAATTATCTGCAGTGCGTACACGGACTATAGGCCAGAGAAGTATGTCAGTGAGTGAGTGTGTCTCGATTACACAGAGACTGGGAGCCACGCCTGCTTTTCGCCGTTGTGGCACAATGGCGCATGTGTTTTGTACCCTGGGGGTATCTATTTGCTGCCATTCTTACCTCCTCACAGCTCAGTAACAGTGAGCGTGTAATGCCGGTGGTGTTCTTTTATCCGTTCACAATTTATGGCGTATGTAGGTCAACATACAACATCATATGCCTTCCTCTCACACCTTTCAGTGCCGTATCCAGGCGTGCTTCGAGACGAAAATTCATTAGCGGCATCGCAGGACACAGTGGGTTCGCCTCGAAACTGCATCGTCAAAGGTTCATGGACCTATTTGGGTGAACAAAGTTTTGGTGGCGGATCATGAACCTGGATAGTTATCCTTCGCACCTCATGAAAATTTTAGAATGCCCGCATTCATCACTCAGCATTACACCTTCATGGGGTGGTTAGCGACAAAATGAAGACAAACATCGAGGGCAATGGTTGCAATCCGAAAGCGGCCTACCATGCGCGGGCACAAATACACCCACACCCGGTCGCTAAACGACTATTTGAGATCGCCGAAACCAAGAAGTCGAATTTGATCATTTCGGCCGACTTCAGAACCACCGCAGAGATGTTAAAATGTGCCTATGGTAGGCTACCCATGCGTGCTCTTAACCCCTGGACCGCCCTGCTGAGATAACATGTTCCAGACATAGGACCGTACATCGCCGTCTTCAAGACACACATCGACATGATATCAGATTTCTCCGACCTCACGATCAACGGGCTTAGAGCCATCGCGCGAACACACAACTTCCTCATCTTCGAGGACCGCAAGTTCGTTGATATCGGGCACACCGTCATCGGGCAGTACCACGGCGGGGCGCTGCGCATCTCCGAATGGGCAGACATTGTCAACATCTCCATCCTTGGCGGGGAGGGCATTGTAGATGCGCTCGACCAGACCATTAAGCACCCTACCTTTCCGTTTCAGGGGCAAAGAGCGCTGCTGCTTCTAGCGGAGATGACTTCGCAAGGTAGCCTGGCCGGCGGCGAGTACACACAGAGGTGCGTAGAGCTGGCGGCGAGGTACCCGGAGTCTGTCATTGGGTTCGTGGCCACCAAGGCTTTGACCACGGTTGGAGAGGACGCGGACTTTGTGACCTTCACGACAGGGGTGAACAGGTCCGCGGAAGTTGATGAGCTTGGCCAGCAGTACCAGACGCCAAGGTCTGCGGTCCTTGGCGGCTCGGATTTCATTATTGCCGGAAGGGGTATTCTTGGTGCAACCTCTCCGGTTGCTGAGGCTATTCGGTACCGAAGGGAAGGTTGGGAAGCGTACCTGGACCGTACTGGACAAAGATGAAGAAATATTTGCGACTTACTGGAGAGCAATATGAGTCAAGAGTCGTTTTGCGTTTCGCTTTGCTTTGTTAAAGGGAGCTTGTTGTATGTTGCCACTGATCCAGAGGTTGCGACAGACCTGAAGTTGTGAGTCTCTTAGGTTTACCTGGAGCTTGAGTAATTGGAAGAGACTTTCACGGCAGTTGTCAAGGTCTGAGGTGCAGGTTCCTGAGCGGACATAGTTGAACTCAACTTTCCCAATCAGACTCGGTAGTATGGAGAGAATTTAGTTAATTGGGTAAAGGACTTGGTCATTCCTGTCGCCAAGGTGCTTTTCATTCTTAATCACATTCCAGTTGTTTCTGTGGTCGCTCAAATTTGTCTCTGCAGTCCGTCCCCGTAACCACCGTTGTACCTCGCTATCTCCACTGTGATCTCTTGCAGTCATCCCTACTGTTTCTGGCTCCAGGCTGTCTTCTCTGTTGTCCTTGAGCTGCTGCGTCTCTCGCTGCTGTTCTTATTATGCCTCACAATTATCTCTCGTTCCTCGCTGTCATGTCTGCTACAGTCTACAGTCCCTCGATGCTGTCTCTGGCATTCCTCGGTGTTTTCTTGCTCCTGTATATTGTCTCTCGTCTGGGGTTTTCGCTGCCCATACTTCTCCGTTACCTTTACCATCCACCATTGAAGGTTACTACGCCACCTCCATCCATGTATGTCAACTTTGTAGTCTCTACTGTCACCTTTCATACATGCCACGATAGTTGAAAACTTTGAAGAGCTCATGAATTCTTGACCCTAATGGCAGGAAAGATCGTAGATGGATGGATGGTGACAAATCCGTTGAGCAGGAATGATACTTAAGCTCAAATTCCCTCTGGCCTGCTGCTGTACTTCTTTCCCTTCCTTCTTCATCCTCTTGAGGTATACTACAAATCCTTCGCTTTTCAACATCGAACTTCTTCACTTTTTACTTCACACACTACTTTCACTTATCACTTCACACGCTACCTTTACTTCTCACTTCACGTATTACTCTATTTCCCACCCACCTACTTCATAATGAGCTCTCTTGCCTGGTCCGCTAACGCCGGCCCCCTTGCTCGCAAGACTAATAAAGCCGTTATGGCTCTTGGTGTCAGTAAGCGTGTTAGAGAACTGCGCGGCCTGCCTTCTAAGCGCAGTGATGAGTACCGTGTGAAGAAGAACGTTCGATCCCGCCATTCACCCACTTCTTTGCGGCTCGAAAAGCTGGATTTACATTACAACCCCAACAACCTCGACTACCTCCTAACCAAGCGCGAGCCCATTCCCAGGCACAAGCGCTCTCGCCTTCTCGCGCCGGAGAGCTGCTACAAGGACCTCAAGATATACGAGGATCCCAAGGAAAAGGTGACCCCGAAGAGGCCCGTTTCCGATCCCGATGCCAGGATCCTCCAAGCCCTCACCCCGGATGAGCTCGCCACCCGCACCTCCAACTTCGATCTCTGGATCGAGCGGTTCGGCCACATCAACCTCGTCAACGGCCCAGACAGAAAGCTACCCGCCGGCGACGCCCTCAACAACGCTTTCGACATCGGGGTCCGCGCTCTCAGCTATCCCTTCAAAAAGCGCGACGAAAAAGTCCTCATGTTCCTTCTCCGTCTCGTGGAGAAGCGCATCCACTGCCATGAACGCGACCGAACCGGATGGCTGCTCAGCCAACCAATCGACTTAGAGGTCGAAGACAAGTACCAAGTCGAGGACTTGATGCGCGAGGCCAGGTGGTCCCATGACTTTGGCTTCCTCAATTCCGTGGCCGACTCCATCGCCAACCGCATAGAAGAGGGTTGGGGCTTCACTGCGGAAGAAGAGGAGAACATGGGCCGCAACTCCTCCCTTTCCTACTTCCGCGACTGCTAGCACCTCTTGCGCCGGCACTATCATGTCTGTCTGTCTCTATCTCAGTCGGCGTCCGCCCCCGTTCTCTATGTCCCCCCTCCCGCTAGCACTGCGTCCGGCTCATGTCAAGCAACAAGGTCAACCCACCCACCAAAGAAAAAAAAACACGACAACGGCATCTGGTGCGTACCACCAGCCCTGCCAACCTGAGGAGCGATGGCCGTACAGGTCTATATCAGTCATCAGTCATTAGGGTTGACCATCATGGTGACAAGCCCCCTTCAGCAACAAGAAAAAAAAAAACACCAAGAAAACTAAGTGGCTGGAACTACGCATACCACATTGGAAGGCACCCGACAACAACGCAACAACCAAAAAAGCAACCAGTGCCTGGAACATCTTCACAGCGGCCTGCGACTACCACATTGAAGGACACCCAATGACCAACATAAAACCAAAACAACAAAACAACAAAACCGGTGGCTTGGACACCTTCGGAGCGGACTACGGACATCAAATTAAACGACAACCAACAACCAAAAAAACAAACCAAAACAAAAGCGGAACAGCGGCTGGAACACTTTGCAACGGCTTGCGGAATCCACATTAAGGAGCGCCCATCAACAAAAAACAACCCGGAAAAAAGCCAGTGGTCGAGATATCTCGGCCTGAGTGGATGGAAGGATGGAGCTGGGGCGTCTTTGCAGCGACCTGTTGAGCAAAAGGACTCCAGGCCCAATTGTCTGCCGAGCCCGTGTCTCGTGAGGTTCCAGCATGATGGATGGTAATGGAAAGTGATGGTGGATGATGGATTGTGGATGATGATGATCATCATGTAAATGACTTATGATTGATGATGGTTCAGTATGGATGATGAGGTTAATGATGGATGACATGGTTAGATGGGATCAAGGTGGTGGATCAATGGTGGTTCATGTGACGTGGAGGAAATGCTTGGACAACTTGGAGCTTCAACTCACAACTTACAACTTCAACTCGCAACTTGCTCCGTATTGCTTACATAAACTGTTCCAATACATCTGTCCATAACCAATATTTGTCTCTTCTGTAACATGTGATTGTTGTTGCTGACCTTTATCGTGAGATGTGTGATACGGTGAGCTTGAATGATGGAATTTTCAGAGTCGCCGTCATCAACGAAGACACGTAGACAGGGTAAGTCTCTTCCATCCAACCCGTCAAGGCAATGGAATTCAGCAGTTGTGCCTTTGTCTCGGCCGCCGTTCCCGCCAAACACAAACGGTCCTACCCTGGCGGGTTAGCTCAGCCCACGGACCCCAGGGGTCGCAGTGCTTATCCCCCTGACGGGACCCCGCACTAGTCCTGTTCGGGCAAGGATCGCATGTCAAGCCAAATTGAGAGGACTTCTGTTTGCTGAAGGGAACTTCACGAAACCCGCCAAGCGGGTTGCAGAGCTGCTCAGCGAGGTGCCGGCCACACACGGGCCTTGGGCTTCGTCCGTCTTCATCCCAGTTCCTGTTTGCCCTTCCGACGATTGATACCCATTGCGCCGCGGCAGAGCTGAACGAGTCCAGTTTGCTACAAGTACTTCAAGTCCGACGGTTCGTCTTCTCCAACCAACTCCCCTTTTCCTTCAATCCGGCGAGCCCCTCACCGCGTTTGCTGCCCCGCCTCGACCATTTCTGACCGCCTCCAGCACGCAAACACCATCGCAACAATGGCCGACACCAAGGTCTACCGCGCCAGCACCACGGCGCCCGTCAACATCGCCGTCGTCAAGTACGCACATCTCCAACCTCACTCCCTCTCCGACAGTCGCTAATCGTACACAGGTACTGGGGCAAGCGCGACGCCAAGCTCAACCTCCCCACCAACAGCTCCCTCTCCGTCACCCTCTCCCAGGCCGACCTGCGAACCCTCACGACCGCCTCCTGCTCCGCCTCCTACACCGACGGCGACTCCCTCATCCTCAACGGCGAATCCTCCGATGTCTCGGGCGCCCGCACCCAGGCCTGCTTCCGCGAGCTGCGCGCCCGCCGCGCCGCCCTCGAGGCCCAGAACACTTCCCTCCCCAAGCTCTCGACCTACCCCCTGAAGATCGTCACCGAGAACAACTTCCCGACCGCCGCCGGTCTGGCCTCCTCCGCCGCCGGTTTCGCCGCCCTCGTCCGCGCCATCGCCGACCTCTACGAGCTGCCCGACTCCCCCTCCGAGCTGTCTCTCGTCGCCCGCCAGGGCTCCGGCTCCGCCTGCCGCAGTCTCTTCGGCGGCTACGTCGCGTGGCGCATGGGCGAGCAGGCCGACGGCTCCGACTCCAAGGCCGACCTCGTCGCCGAGGCCTCCCACTGGCCCGAGATGCGCGCGCTCATCCTCGTCGTCAGCGCCGCTAAGAAGGGCGTCTCGTCCACCTCGGGCATGCAGCAGACCGTCGCCACGTCGGGCCTGTTCAAGCAGCGCGTCGCCGAGGTCGTGCCCAAGCACATGGCCGAGATGGAGGACGCCATCGCTCGCCGCGACTTTGCCCAGTTCGCCGAGGTCACCATGAAGGACTCCAACTCGTTCCACTCCTCGTGCTCCGACACCTACCCGCCCATCTTCTACATGAACGATGTCTCTCGCGCGGCCATCCGCGCCGTCGAGCAGATTAACGCCGCCGCCGGAAAGACCGTCGCTGCGTACACCTTCGACGCCGGCCCGAACGCCGTCATTTACTACCTCGAGGAGAACGCCGCCACCGTCGTCGGCGCGTTCACCCCCGTCCTGAGCGCCGTGACCGGCTGGAAGGACGGCGCCAGCAGCCTGCAGTCGCCCGTCACTCTGGATGAGACCGTCGCTGGCATCATCAAGGGCGGCGTCAGCCGTGTCATCCAGACCGGTGTTGGCGAGGGTCCTATCAAGTCGGACATTTACCTCGTCGGCGAGGATGGCCAGCCCGCTAAGCGGTAGGCGTGACCAAAGTCGAATTTTCAATTGAGTAATAGTCACTGCAAAAAGCCACACATATAGAACAATTCGTATAATAAAACCACCTGTCGAGTTTCGCGCATCAATTTTCTCGTTTTCTTCTGTGATTTGTCGTTTGGGGCGTTGCTGCCTTGTTGAATTTGCAGTCGCACCTTCTCTCCCTAGCCTTCACCCTTCGTCCTTCGACCCCACCTCACTTTCTGCCTTCTTCTCCAAATCACATCTCACTCTCCATCGCCACAACACAACTTTTCCCTCACATCCGCAAAGTCGAGGGCGACGAGAAAGATGGCGTCGTCCAAGGAGCCAAAGGCGATCGTGATTGACGAGCGAGACTCCTCCGGCCTCATTCGTCGTCGCTGGCTTCACGACTCCGACGGTCGCCTCACCGAGGTAAATCTGGCCCTGCCCCAAATTCACCTTCACGTCCTGACAAGCCACCCAGATGCCCACGGAGAATTCTCCCACCACGGTCTCGCGTCTCTTGACAATGAACATTCGCCAAGTCTTCTCCGACGCCTTCTTCCCCATCGGCTACCCCGATTCCGTCTCCAAAGACTACTTAGGCTACCAGCTCTACGACTCCCTTCAGGCCTTCTTCTCCACCATCACCTCGCTGCTCGCCAACCGCGCGATCCTTCAGGGCCTCGGCGTCGGCGACGCAGACTCATCGGCCACCTACGCCCTCCTCCTGACCATCCTCAAGGACGGCATCTCCCGCCTCGCCACCATCGGCTTCGCCTACCGCTTCGGCCTCGTCATCGAGCCCGAGTGCAAGAAGTACCGCTTTCTCGCTGATATCTTCAACGACAGCGCCTTCTTCCTCGACCTCTTCTCCCCGCTCTTCGGATCGTGGACCAAGGTCGCTGCGCTCGTCGTCGCCGAGGCCCTACGCGCTATGTGCGGCGTCGCCGCCGGCGCGAGCAAGGCCGCGCTGTCGAAGCACTTTGCGCTCCGCGGCAACCTCAGCGAGCTCAACGCCAAGGAGTCGTCGCAGGAGACGGCTGTCGGGCTCATCGGATTGATCGTCGGCAGCTTCGTCGTGCGCCACGTGGAGAGCAGAGAGGCCGTCTTTGCGCTGATGATCATTCTCGTCTTCGTCCACCTCGGCATGAACTACCTCGGCGTCCGCTGCGTTCAGCTTAACAACTTCAACCAGCAGCGCGCCACCATCTTCTTCGAGGAGTACATGAAGACTATGGGCAATGTTAGGCTGACGCCTGCTGAGGTCGCGAAGAGGGAGAACATCATCTTCTGGAAGCCCGTCATCTACCACGACGGCCGCCCCTTTGCCAAGATTGTCTTCGCCAAGAGCTACGCTGATGCGGTGGCCTCCGGATCCGTGGTTCTTAAAGAGACCAAGCAGTATAAGCTCTGCCAGTGTAATACCTCAGGTCTGGTGGTCATCAAGATCCTTCTCTTTGGACACCCTTTGTCAGAGGGCATCAGCACCACGACCCTTTATGCCTGGTTTTCAGCGGTGTCTCTGGTCCACTCCATGATGCCTGACAATGATCTGGAGAGGGACTACGTTGAGAAACTTTTCGCCAACCCTTCTCACCTGGCTCGCGCGGGCTGGGTTCAGGGCGACGTCAGCCTGGATACTTCTGCTGCATGGATGTTGCCCCCAAATGAAGACGTTGATGGTAAGAAGGATCTGTAGACACGGTTCATATTACATGGATTGTATCCCGCGGGGTGAAGATCAATCACAAAGAATCAGGGATCTGGCGTTCAGGACTGGCATAAGGACGAAAGGAAATGTTTGCTCAATCACTTGCACCATGAGATACCAATAAAGCCTGAAAGGCATTGTTTGCTATTTCTCATTGCCCTTTGATGATATGTCATGATTCTCAGAAATAGACATCAACTGGTTTACTCATAAAGCTCACAAGATCGCTCTTTCACATACGTTGTAGACTCAGGCTCACCTCCCAGGTTGCTCCTTCCCTGGCCAAGAGGTACAGAGTGGTCGCTTCCAGGTAGGAGCACCCCGGACCTCCATTCCTGCCATGTCTGGCCGCTCAGATGAGAAGAAACGCAAAAAGACCAAAAAAAAGTGACTAGAGCACGGGTCGAACGATGCGTAAGATGAGAAGCGGCGGAAACTTCACGCACACACCAGTCACCGTACCACCACCCCTCGACCACCTAGCCGGATTTGTTGGAGAGGAAGGAACCCTAAGTTCTTGATGAAGGTAGGTCTCAGTCTGGACGCAGGTGCCTCTCCACCTCGTTCCCTCCATCTGACATTGATGCCGGAATATGCAGGCCTGCTGGCCACACCTTTTCGAGATCGATCTTTTTAGTGGCCCTCCACACGGCCACTCTCGTGATATCCTCCCATCTCGGGATTATTTTGTACAGTGTCTGAGTGGGAAGACCATGCCCCCAAGGCATCTACGTCTATTACAAGTACAATATCAGCACAACCGCGCTATCAATGCATCCGCACATCATGCCAGCGCTCTCTCGACACATTTCCACGCCTCTCTCACGCCAGCCCGGCCCCTCTCAGCGCCCTCATCTTCACACCCTCCCAGCTATTCAGCTTCGGCCTTACATCGAGGTAAAAGCTCGGCTTGCCCTGCGCGTCGGGGCGCCCCGCGTAAAAGTCAATCACATAATCCACCTGCACGCCGCAGCGGTCAATCACCCAGTCGTGCCGGTCAAATGGCGCCTGGTAGCCCAGCAGCGTATTGAGCCGTGCCTTGGGGGACATGTTTGTGCTGAGGCCGGCGAAGGAGTGCAGGCGCGGGCCGTCGCAGCTGTGTTATTCTTTTCGTCAGCATTCTCACATCCCCGAGTTTGGTGGTTCCTCCAGGCTGGCGTTACTCACGCGGTCCCCTGCGTATACGGCGCCTCCCACTCTTTAATCTCCTTCCACGCCCGCTCATTAACCGCGTTGTGGATCGGCACGACGGTGCGCATGTCCGCCGCGCGCGTGTCGTGCCCCTTGCGCTTCATGGCCTCGAAGAACATCTTTTCTGAAGGGTACACCCAGTTCCCCGTCGCGGCGTCCGCGCCTGTCTCCTGCTCGTTGTTTGATGGGGCGCCGTGGCTGCTTTGTAACGTCGTCGGCGGCGGCGCGGAGGCGGAGGGGGCGTCGTAGGGGTAGCTCGAGGTCGAGGTGCGCGGGATCGTGGACACTTCGCGGTAGGTGTCGAGGGGATTTCTTCCCGTCGGTGATGGTTGAGCGGGAGGGGGAGGTGGCGAGGAGGTGAAGGGGACGTATGAGCGGAGCGTTTGCGTCCAGGACTTCGTGGAGGGCGAGGGCTCTTGCGCTTGGGGAGGGAGGGCGTGCGGCTGTTCGTGGGGGTGAGGAGCGGCGTTGGCGTTGGCGGCGCGGGCTTGTTGCAACCAGGCTTCGCGGGATTTATGGTCCACGGGACATGCGTCTGCGCCTGCTCCCGCCGTCGGTGATGATGTGCCGGAGAAGGGCGTGTAGGAGAGTAGGGATTGCGTCCACGACTGCGTCGGCGGCGGGGTCTGGGTCGGGATCGGATGCGGCGGGGCGGGAGAGGCGGCCGCGGCGTCGTTCGGGGCCGCGGCGCGGGCGTGCTGGAGCCAGGCTTCGCGGGCTTTGTGGTCGACGGGACACGTCTCGCCGTCCTTTGGGTCTGCCATCTTGGCGGGGGGCGGCTGTGCGGGTTGCGTTAGGAGGATGAGGTCTGGCAGGTCTGTGGTTGCGGTGGACATGGTTGAGGATGGAGGGGGGCGATGATGCTTACCTAGAGTAGAGGCGAGGAGATCGGTGGCGGGCGGGTGCTGTCTACTTAAAGATGACCCGGTCGGCGGCCTTCAATCTTTCGTGGCGTGGTTTGTTTGTTTGTTTGCGGGGTGGTTATGCCGCATTGAATGCGCTGGCGCAACGGAGCCGGGAGCTTGGGATGCGATGACAGTTGGATTTTGCTTCGACTTTTTTGGTGGGTCCCCTTTTTTTCTTGGATGATGTGATTGGGTTCGTGTGATTGGTCAAAAATTGCAAGCCCACGTCGGGTCCATGTCGCGCGTTACTTCACCGGCACCAATGACGAAATAAACCATGTGATTTTGAGTAATTGAAAATAAGTCTAAGAATTCCCTGGTATTTGAAATTTGGTATTAAGTTGCATATAACGGAATGAGATGCTATATTTATCTACGATCATTCATACAAACGGCAAAATGATTCTGCTGGGGTACTCCGGACCAATATGAACCTTGTGGAAACCCTTGTTCTTATCTTCAACCGGCGCCGCCTTCGCCTCCTTGTACTCCGGAATCATCGGGCTTTGCCCAGATATTTGCACCCTAAGGCTCTCGCCTTCTTCAAAATCAATACCCATAGCCCAGAGCCCAATTTCCAGCTTGACGACCTCGCCTGGCGGAATCTTGTCCGCTTTGGAGTGTGTGTGAAAGGGGTACTGAGGATGGATCGACATGGACGAGTCAATGGCTCGGTGGCTGGCCCGCAAAACGCCCAGAGGGCCAAAGTACAACAGCAGGTTGCTCATCTCGTCCAGGGGTATGTCTTCCATCCTGCAGTATGGTGCGGCCTTCCACGGGATATTGAGATTCATCATCTCGTGACCGTCGCGATCCAGCTTGCGGATCAACACGTATATGACCATGTCATCAAGTTCATCGCAAGACATGTAAACAACTGCTTTCGGAAGGCCCATGAGACGCGTTTGGGATGTGAAAGTGTGCTTGAATCCGACAAAACCGCTTGTGTCACCTGATCCAGCCTCGGCATCGTATTTGACCGCGCTGTCAGACGTTGCAGGGCTCGAGCTGAGCGTCCCGTCTTCCCTAAAGAACATCTCGCGATATTCTGTTCTCGGCAGTGGGAAGTCATCCTCAACGATGGGGTAGATAGGCTCCCGATTGCCGAAGTTGAGAGAGCTCATTCGGACTTTAGGTGTTTTGTCCCAGCCGTTGCTCTTTTCCCCTTTGAGATAATAGCCGAAGAACTGAGCAAGCTCGTCCCTCGACTCTTTGACAACCCAAAGGTCGTACCATTCCTGGTAAGGGTCCCATCGGAGCCATTTCTCGTTCGTCTGCACGTCAAGCCAGCCGCGGACCGAGCCCATTGTGTGCATGAACGTGGAATAGGAGGCCACCACATAGGTCGGGATGCTAATCTTCTTGATGTCTGCGCGCTTGTCGGCCCAATAGTGGTTCATGGTCTGGCACCGGCGGTACATCTCGCGGAAGTCCTCTAGACCGTTGTGGCCGCGAATGACTTGTTTGGTGATGAGATCGAAGAGCCCGTTGTCCCATGCCCCGCCACGGACGAACTGCTCACGATATAGGTCGCCGCACGCTTCCCAGGGAGCTATAGCCTTGAGTGAAGGCGGCTGCGTCGCCGCGATAAACCACTGCACGATGCCCAGGTGAGAGTTCCCTGCGAGGCCGACGCTTCCGTTACACCAGTCCATCCTAGCTAGGGCTTCGATCACGTCGTGTCCATCTTCACCCTCCTGGGTGCCCATGATAACGATATCTCCATCGGAATGTCCAGCGCCGCGCGCATCAACGTTGACAATGGCAAACCCTTGTGGGCAGTATTCAGCCGGATCCGGGCCTTCGAAGCGCTCCAGGCCACTGAGACAGCCGTCAGGGACGCCAACGCCCCAGCGGATCTTCTTCATCATCCCGATTCCGTTGTGTTTCTTTCCAAATGGGCTCCAGCAGACGATTGCTGGGACCTTGGTTGGGTATTTGTGAGGCCGAAAGACGTCGCAATATAGTGTGCACCCATCGCGGACCTTGATGCCAAGATCATGTTCGACAAAGATGTCTGAGTCGAGGGCGCGGGATTGAAACTTGTTCCAACCCTTTGGTAGGACCTCGGTGCGGTGTTCGAAGCCAACGTACCCGTTGTGGCCGACGGAAGGCTTTTCAATGCGTAGATTCGCTACCTGGAAGGGTTGATTGGACGGCATTGTCTGAAGGGATTCAGAAAGATTTGGCGATGTACAATTGCGAGTGCACTAAACAGGATACTCGGGGCGAGCAATTACGTCGAGGTCGGGATAAGCTTGGTGCTGGACACATTGCAAGCTCTTTGTAGAAAATCCAGTCTCCATCGCGAACGTCCTACCGTGAATGTTCGTTACTGGGTCTCTAAGAACTGGAATTAATTCTCCGCGGGAAGCTGGGGGAAGCCAGATCCGGCCGACGGGCCGTGTGGGGGATCGCCACCCGACAGCATGCCGTGGGGGAGACGCCGGACAACCAAAGCGTGGCAGCGTGGCTATTGCTTTTCAGGGCACGTTAGTCAAGCGATGTGCGTGCACTACTATGGTGTTATGGGCAAGTGAAACCTCCCGAGATGGTATGCCCCCTTTCAGGACCCGCGGATTCACGGACTATTCCGCCAGATATTCGGCAACGGATCGGACTCGATTGCTACCGCGTTTTCTCATCCGGCGGTTGGTCGCACGCGGAGCTCTACACAAATGCGGCAGAACTCCCCGAGAGCCCGTAGCTATGGTGGTCAACTTGTGGCAACCGATGGTGAGGTGTACTTTAGGTCTTCAACTGACACTGGGAATCCCGGCTTGAATTATATAATGAAACAGACTCTTTGGCTAAGGAAACAAGGACGACTTAATCGGCTTCATCACACCAGTGAAAGGCATCATCAGTCACCTTCGATATACAAATTTCATACTAGTTTCAGCGCAATCCCTCAACTTCACAATGGTCAGCGTAATCACCGAAACCGCCACAGAAGCGAATAAGTCCATTTTCGCCGTCCCGGACGACACCTCCGTTGAAAAATTCCAAGACTGGCGAGATGACTTCTACCGTGATGGCTACGTCGTCATCAAGGGCGCCATCCCTGGGGCCAAGGCGGATATGTACCGCCAGAAAGCCTTGAATTGGATCACCAGCTTCAACAAAGGTCTCGACCTCAACGACTCCACGACCTGGACCGACGCCCACCTCCCTCAGAGCTTCAAAGCGGGCATGTACCTCAACTACTGCGCCGCCCACGAGAAGTACGTGTGGGACGCCCGCCAGGAGCCGGGTGTCCTCGAGGCTTTCGAGAAGATCTGGGGCACCAACGAGCTCGTCGTCTCCTTCGACACCATCAATGTCACCTTCCCGAACCGCAAGGACGTCAACTGGTCCCCGTGGCCGCATGTCGACCAGGCTCCTGAGCGCAAGGGCCTTTCCTGCGTTCAGGGCATTATCAATCTTTCTCGCGCAGGCCCCAAGGACGGCGGTCTTCTCCTCATGAAGGGGTCATCTAAGCTCTTTGACAAGTTCTTCGCCCTTAACCCCCCTGACAGGACTCAGGGCATCGGCGCCAAACACTACGATTTCTATCCCTTTAAGGAGCACCACGTCAGGTGGTTCAAAGAGCAGGGCTGCGAGCTGATCAAGGTCTGCGCCGAACCCGGCGACCTCATCTTGTGGGATAGCCGTAGTATGCATTATGCTGCCTTCCCTGAGAGCGATACTATCCGCACTATCATCTACGCATGCTATACACCGGCTCGCTTTCTTCTCGAGGATGACCGCCAGAAGAAGGTTGAAATATTCAAGCGGTGGGAGGCGACTACTCACTGGCCCCATTGCAACCTTCACTCTCACGGAAAAGCCAAGATTAACGGCGAGGTGGACCCAGACGAGCGTGATGAACCGATGGAGAAGCCAGAGCTTACTCCACAGCTCCTGAAGCTTGCCGGAGTCATCAAGTATGAGTGATTGGCAGAGGTTTGGAAACGAAGCGTCTGGTGGAAGTCAAGTTAGTTAGTGCTGTCACTTAGTATGTTTGCGTTTGTTTTTTCGTTGGCGAAGCAGGATTTCCTGTATAAGTTCGAAAACTCGTACCTTCCTTTCTTAGCTTTCTTAGAAACGAATTGCAATTCGTATATCGCATAGCCGTAAAATACTAGGACAAGCGTATGTGCAGAGTGACATCCTTTGTCTCTCAGAAGAGTGTACCTGTGACATTCTGAGCATGCGAGTCAAATGCATGGCATGAAGATGACATCACAGTTCCGTTTACATGTTCGCTGAAGGCCTAAACAGAATATTATCTCTTCAGGTACCTGAATAACAAGCAACTTCAACCGGTTTCGCTGGTTGCAAGTTTGTGGGAAGGAAGGTACAAGAATCATGGGGGAAAAGAGAGAAATGCAGCAAAATGGGAACTCATACAATAACAGTCTTCGGATAATTCTTCATCGGACATCTTTGAAATACATTTTCTCAGTGAATTCGAAAGGATTATCGAACGATTCAAGCTCATAGACTCCATTCGAACAGCTGGTGTCATCCTCCTCTACCGTCCTGGCCACAATGTAACCAAAAGGGTCTCCCCAAAAGCCCCCCTCGACACCCAAAACAGCTTTTGCAGGGAAGCCTGTGTTCTGTTTGGGGTGATAAGATGCACTAATGGGATCAGCTGATGGCGCACTTATCAAACCATGACTACCATTGAAGGGGTGATCCACTTGGAGATCCATATCTTGGCCAAGCGCAATGTCTGTCTGATTCACATCATGAAACAGCTGTTGATTGCCGATGGGCGTACTCGAGGGGTCCCAGCTCGAGCCGTTAATTCTGGCCTCCAAAGCTGACGCAGAGCTCACAAGCTGGGACACATGGAAGATGATCTCGCGCAATGGCTGTTCGTCTGGTACAGAGCGATGGTCCAGCCTAGATTCGAAGTCGAGTAGCGATCTTAGAATCATGGGACCTCTCTTCGATATCACACTTCCGCGGCCAATAGACTGCAATGCGGCGATGCACTTTTTGACGCAGTTGCGGCGATGCCGAAGATGGTCAATATCTTCAACAGTACTGAAGAAGAGTAGGTCCAAACACATGAAGACGCCAGCGGCAACTGTCGATGCTTGAACGATCCTAAATAGCCACACGTCAGAAGCAGAGCGTGCATGAAGTTTGAGATCTGTGAATACCAGCTTTTGTTGAATAAGGGGGGAACATTGCGATGCTTCTCCTGGGCAATGATCTCAGCTGCTTCTCGCGCTTTTGCGTGAAACCCATCTGGGTCCGGCTGACGTCGCATCCAGCTCGTAATTAATGGTCTTGCTATTGTGAGGCGTAAGAATTGAACTGTGTGGTTGGCAAGGTATTGCTGCATGGACATCCACAGAGGCTGCCCGGTCTCGAGGTCTGTTTCTATCGAACGAAGATGACTCTGGCATTTGCTGTACACAGTCTCAACCTCTCTCATGGCTGAAGCTAACCTTCCGTGAGCAAAGGCTTCCCCGCGCCTGAGCTTTGAGCGGACAATGACAGCCAGCTGTGACAATAAAGCGTGATAGTGGAGATGTGATGTCTCGCACGAATTCGGAGAACTGGGGCCTTGCAGTGGGAGACAGACATCCTCGACAGATCCTGAGGGGTCGAGAACGGTGTCAAAACTATGTGGGAGGTCCGTTGAGTCGTGGTTCATCATGCCAAGCCTGTCATTAATTGACATCATAGTCAGCGCATCGCGAGAAGATGGGGACCAGACATGATGAGAAATACTTGCCAGTCGCAAATTACAAGTATCCACCACCATCTTCTTCCTAAAGATCTCTGTTCATAGGTTGACCACAAGGGTATCTTCTTGATTTCTGGATGGAGCGAATCTTCGTTCCCGAGTTGGTGCATGTGAAGCATTCGGGCTATTCTCAATGCCGCGCTTAGCAGTATTGCCTCTCTTGCCTTCTCACCAAAAACGGGACTCACAAGAGTCAAAATCGCGAATACTTGTAACGTCTCCAAGCGAGGCTTCCCGAGAAAGTCGGTCCTTTCGAGGACACGGAGCGAGGCTCGATACCAGTGCTTCGACGCTGATAACAAGGCATCCTCCCGGTATATCATGGGGTTGAGCCTTGCGTGAGGCTGAGCATATTGAGGGTCAATGTAGTAGGCCCCAACCTGGAACAGAATCAGTATTCGTTAGTCAAATTTATCCTTCAATCATGAGGCTTTTACGAACATATAAGACTGCAAAGTAAATAGCAGCGAAGGGAGCATCCACCGCCAGAAGGCCGGGGTCAGCCTCCACAGCGTCCCAGAATCGACAGTGCTCTGCAACAAAGATGTCGGCCCTCAGCGCACAATGAATCCATCCAAGATAGGTCATGGCAAACTGAATTATCGTCAAGCTGGTCTCTCGAGAAGGAAGATCTGCTTGCGTCGTAGACTGTGGGGTTGTGCCAGCGACATTGGACACAGTAGCAGGGGTATCAAGCTCGCCATCCCCGAGCCCTAGGTTGAGCGGTTCAAAGGATATCTCTAGCATGTCATAGCTAGTATCCTTGGCGCCAGATATGCCCAATGACAGCGAGCACGATGCCTCTGAATCTCGCCTATACTGCGCTAGTTGCTCCTCCAAATCGGCAATATGCTCGTACAAGATAGCCACAGCCGGGCTAACAGGCGTGTTGGAATCGAGGCTTAAGCCGTCAACTGCTAGGCTAGGTGTCAGGAGTAATGTTGTCAGCCTATGCGCACTCTTTGCCCGACTCTCGGTACATGGCATTCACTACTATGAACCCACCGACTACTGCCGACGTGACTTGCCGCAGCCGCGAGAGGCTGCGACTGAAGGCAGAAGCGGCCAATGCCACGGGAAAGACACGGCTGGCATGGCCGCTCCCGATCACACCGTACTTTGCGACGAGAGCACTCATCACATGCCCGAAGCCGCAGACGGCTGTTGATGGCATGCATATTCAGTCCCCTGCCTGGCCCGCGTGGAAGAATCTGCGCAAACCTCAGGAAGGGTTCGAGGTGATAGACTCGGCGGCGCCATCAAGATCCAGGTCAAACACAGGAGAACACATGTAGCGCTGATTGCATGTGAGGGGTAGGGCGGTAGAGAAGAGCTGAGAATGTCAGTAACCTGTAAGTGACTACATCAGTCTTCCCCGCCGCAAGCCGAGACCTTCACTTCCCCGTGGGGTCGGTTCAATCTTGTACGCGCATGTGGCAACGCCTCATTTGCCGAGCCGTACCGATGATTCCACTTCCCGCCTGCCGCACTAGTCCCCTCCGAATCTGGGGTAGGCAACGCGGAGCAAATTCTCTGACTGAATTTTAGACACGTCGTACGCTTTACGACAGCTCACCCCCCACTCCAAATACACTGACGATCCGATCTTTCCCCCCTCTTTGTCCTGTAGAGGGCCGCTGGTTTCAATCTTGCAGCGTGTCATTCCTTTTCGCTTACTGAGGGGCTGCTCCACCCCTCGGGGACTGAGTCTCGTTGGCCGCGCAGGAATACTCGATGTTGACTGTTATTGATAATGCATGGCATTGTGCGCTCGTTCCAGAAAATACAGAAAATGTTTCCAGGTGTGATCTGTATGTTTATTCTCTTATGGAAGCCGGCCTTCGATAACATATTCAACTCGAATTACATACTACGCCCTTGAAGTCTAATTGTCCAACCTTGTTCGCGTAAAAAGCTACCCAAGTCCGCGATCATGGCCAAAACAACCACTACCATCTCTCGTAAGGAGAGTGAGCTCAATTTCGCTGAGGTAGAAAACGCCTGCACGAAAGTCGAAAGTTCCGACGCCAAAGCAGTAATGGGAACCGTCAGGCTTTTCAGCGATAATAACGACATTATTCTTATACCAACCCCCACCACGGATACTCATGATCCCCTCAACCTTCCTGACTGGCGAAAGATAATTATTGTCATCAATGTCTCGGTTTTCGCTGCCGTCGCTACTCTCATAGCATCGTCCTTTGGTGCCATCCTACCGGTCGTCTCAAAGGAATACCTCGGAGATCCCGGAGTTCACGATCTAATTACCTTTCCGGCTTTGTTCATTGGTGTGGGCAATGCCATCTTCGTTCCGATCTCGCATGCCGTTGGCCGGCGTCCGGTCTACCTGTTCTCTCTTCTCATGATCATTGCATCAAGCATCTGGTGCGCTTGCAGCACCAGCCTGTCATCGCACGTCGCCGGAAGAAATATCCTGGCCCTGGCTGCTGGACAAGCAGAAGCCCTATGCCCCATCATGATTCAGGTATGCAGCAGCCACATCGCTTGAAGTTCCTGATTTGCTGATGCATGCATAAACGAATGCTGATTGCGTCCCACAGGAAGTGTACTTCTTACATCAGAGAGGCACCATGATTGCCATATTCTGCGCTGCGCAGACTCTGGGTACGGCAATCCTGACAGTTGCCAGCTCTCATTTGGCCTTGGACCTTGGGTGGAGATGGTGGTATGGTATCTTTGCCATAATCAATTTCATCTGCCTCCTGGTGGCTGTCTTCTTTGTCACCGAGACCAAATACGAGCGATCAACAGAAGCTCTTTGTAGGTCCTTTCTCATCACCACATAAACCTTCCAATGTCTGATGTAGTATAGCTGGCAAAGGTCACCCCGGGTCGCTCACCCCTGAGTCCTTTCAGCCCGTCACCTCTCGTCAACGGCCTCCGATCGACCACGACAGATACCTGCCACGTACTCTCAGGTCAGACCTGGCTCTTTTCCATGGTCCTTTTCAATGGCACGAAACAATCACGTGCTGGAAGCATATGGGTCAAGTTGCTCTGTTCCCCAATGTCATATGGCTCTATCTCGCTAGCGGCGCCTTTCTGGGCGTATTCGTAATGTTTGGTGCAGTGTTTGCCGATATTCTCGTTGCCCCACCATACAATTTTGATTTTGAGTGGCTGGGCTACGTCTTTGCTGGGCAAATTGTTGTTTCCTTTGTTGTCGTACCTGTCCAAGGATACTTGAGCGACTACGTTGTCAAACTAATGGGTCGACAAAACTCTGGCATGACCGAGGTGAGAATCAGAAGTTGTCTTTAAAAGTAAAACCCAAAAAGCTGATCATACTCCTTGAATGCGCAGCCCGAGTATCGACTGATCACACTGATTCTTCCGTTTACGGCCGGCATCGTTAGCACCGTCATCTTCGGCCAAGCTGGCGAACACCCATATCGTTGGAGCTGGGCCGCAATCGCTGTCACTTTCAACGCCGAGTTCTACGGCTTTGTTGGCGTCATAGTTGCGTCGTTCACCTACGTGATCGACAGCTATCCCACTCGTTCAGATGCCGCCCTAGTCGTACTCTGCTTCGCACGTGGAGTGGTGTCATTTGGCATGTCATATGGGGCCATCCGTTTCATCAACGCGAAGGGATACGCTGGATCTTTCAACATCTGCGCCATCATCATGGGATTGCTGGGTTTCCTCGGCATCTTCGTCTACGCGTTTGGCAAGAAGCTTAGACGCGTAACGCAGGCGTGGATTCACGACAATTCCAAATAACCTCAAAATTGGGCGCTAACAGTACACTAGTAGCTCAACTACTGAGAACTGAGGAAAATGTTTGATGCGAATTTTGAGAAGTTGATGGCTTGGCTTGCACTGCACATGGTTGTTTTCGTACGGCAAGCTAGAATTATTCGTTCGCAACACGACTGGATGAGTCTCGTTATCATTTAGACGCCTAGTTTGCCTACATGTAATAAATATCGGGTTTGTTGAGTATCACTCCTCTATTTTATCATTCATGAGATGTTCAAAACCTACTCTGATTGCTGCTGCTGCTGCTGTTGTTGTTGTTCTACTTTTCGTCATCAGAGTTAGGCTCATATCGGTCACACCTACTTCAGGTATTTTCTCCATAACCCTCGTAAGCATTTCAGTTCCAACAACTACTGTTTTATTGATTAACCGTGACTCCTTGTGTTGTTGAATCCACTGTTATTTGCATTTCTTTCTTTTCATGGCAATTTTCAAGTCTCAATGCGCGTAATCACTTGTGCACAATAGGAACAGTATCATTAAGCCGTTGTTGAAATGACTACCGCAATAACTGAACAGAATCATTGTGAGATGTTTTCTCGTTGAGGAAGCTTCATAGCTCGGTCACCCTCTAAGAGTGTCCACAGTTGGTAAGTCCAGTAAGAGCACTTCGGCCGGTGCTTCGTCCAGTGAGAAGATCACAGTATACCTACGTACTCAGGGGTGAGATGTCGACTTAGTATTGCTTTCAATACCGCGCGTCCCTAATGGAGCTTAAATTTCTTCCGCCGCGAGCCAGCATGACGGTGACATGAGGGAATGAATGTGTTGTGACGATGGGCAACCGCAACTCAGTAAATCCCCACAATGTCCAAGGGCACCCCGCCGGATAGATGTGCCCGGAAAATGAGGGGGCCCGTGGGGTATGGAATCGGCGGAGGTTGCATACACATCGACCTAGTGTTCCGGACGATTGATCCCCTCGGGATTCATCAGCATTCCGATTGTGTGGAATTTAGGGCGTTCGCGAGGACGGGTGGCGTTGCCACCGGAGTAGCGGAGCAGCTGACGGAGATCAGCCATCCGGGGCATATGGTCCTTCGAGACGCCTCGACGGCTCTATTCGGAATTGCGGGGCGAATGGCTCCAGAAAGATTCTTTTACTTTGTCTAGTTTAATTCTCACGTACTCAAATATTTGCGGCGATGCAATAGATCATTCGAGGCGGGAAAAAGGGACCTAACCAACCCCAGGTAAAGCCACACGTTAACGGCATCAAACTACTTCCGTCTTAGCACTTACGGCCAGAACATCAAAGACAATAGGAATTTGAAGAAAAAAAGTCAACATGAGCAAGGACAGTCAAGCTGCGGCACTGAAAGTTCTCATCGCGGGAGCAGGCATTGGTGGCCTCTCGGCAGCCATCGCCCTCCGTCAAGCCGGACATGCTGTCGAAGTAATGGCGAAATGTCTCCCCTTTCTACCTGTTCCAATCGCTAATAAGTAAGGAAGATCTTTGAATCGAGCAAATTTGCAGCTGAGGTTGGAGCTGCCATTCATCTACCCCCAAACGTAAACGTCCTCTTACGTCAGTTTGGCATGAACCCCGAGGAGCATGGGGCCAACGATACCGAATGGGTGAGACGGGTCCTTGATCCATTCAAGAGCTGCTAAGAATTATAACACACATTGAAGGTTACTGTTTTGTCCTCGCAAGGAGACATTATCAGCCAAAAGTCACTCGCCGGCCTTAAAAAGGAGTATCCCTGTGTACGACTCCAATTCCTCCGTATCTCTAAGATATCCATAGCCTAACAATCGTCTCTCAGCCATGGCAGCTAATCCATCGGGTAGACTTACATGAGAGTCTGAAGACCATCGCAACGTCGCCTGAAGGTAAGGGCACGCCTGCTGTGTTGCACCTTGACGCGAAGGTCGTATCATGCGACCCAGCCAAACCATCTGTCCTTCTGGATGACGGTCGCGTTATCGAGGGTGATCTTCTGATCGGGGCCGATGGTGTTCACGCAAGTATCCCATCAAAATTGGTTTTTCTTTTTTTCCTTGTGTTACTAATTTGGGTTCAAAAGTCAGCTTTAAGGGCCATCATCAGCGGTGAAGACATTCCAACCTTCCCCTCTGGCGGGAGCGCGTTTCGTTTCCTTGTCCCCATCAACGAGGTAAAGGCAAACCCAGAAACAGCTTCCCTGGTTGCAAGAAGAGGAGAGCTGCAACTCTGGGAGGGGAAGTTTCGAAGACTTGTCATCTATCCTTGTCGGTAAGTTCAAAAAGCTGGCCCAGTGGTTGATTTATAGAAACCAACGAATGTTTGCACAGTCACAATACGGAGTTGAACTTCGTCTGCCTCCATCCAGACACAGCTAGTGAGAACAGCCAAGAAGGCAAGTCCTTCATCGCTCTTGTCTCTCGATCCGCGAGAGCCGTACACGCAGCCAAATCGGATTGCTGACCAGTATAAGCAGGCTGGAACAATGCGGCATCGGTAGAAGACCTCCTGAAAGTTTTCGGCGAGTACTGCAAACCCATGCAAACACTTCTGAGCATGGCAGACCCCTCCACGATCAAATTGTGGAAACTCTTTGACCGCCGAGTCTTGAAGACATGGGTCAACGGTTACGCCGCCTTACTGGGTGACGCAGCCCACCCTTTCCTACCCCACCAGGGTCAAGGTGGAGCACAAGCAATTGAAGACGCGGCTGCTCTTGGTGCACTCTTCCCAATGGGCACCCGCAAAGAAGATGTGCAAAGAAGATTGGACGCTTATATGAAAGCGAGATATGACCGCGCTACGATGGTTCAGGACTTTTCAAGGCAGATGGCTTTCCAGACCGACGAGCAGGACAAAGTGGGTGGCTTTAGTATGAATCCGATGGAATTCTCCAAGATGAACTTCAACCACAATGCCTATGTTCACGCGAGGGAGATTCTGAATCAGCAACTCTAGATCGGCCTGCGTTTTGAGGTTAGATCTGTGAGTTCGTTTGTCCGAGGATTAGCCCTATAAATAGCCAACACTACCTAGTTACAATGATATTAGTCTATCCTAGATTACTTTCACTAATGAAGAGTGAACTGGCACATTGAGAAACGTAAGCAGACTTGAATGACGCTGCCGTATTGGTGCTCAGGGAAAGGGTTTAACACGTTAGTTCGGCCATTTCAATTGACATCTGACGAGTGAGTGGAAGTTTTTGTAGCATATGGCCTGTTGTAGAGACGTGTATTCCATGCGGCATTTAAAGCCGCCATTCACAATGAATTTGTAACTTTATGAAGTTGTGCCACTGTGAAAGCACGTGAGATCAATCGAGATGCAAGAGATGACATTTTACAATCAATACCTCAATACTATTCTTCAGAGCTAAACAAATGTGACCCACAGGGATTCCACAAGGAATCTCATTCTTTCCTCATTGTGCCACAGCCAGAATTTGCACCCAAGAACCACCTGTGAAGACTCTCACAACCTTTCTATTTCGATGGAATGATCGGCATCACCACGTAATTCTCATAACCGTTGCCAAAGTGGATTGAGTTTTGTCCTCCAAAGATGGAATGGGGTCTAATGCACCGTCAGTATTGAGACCTAGGTATTTGTGTTCGATGTGGCCTTACCGATCCTTTTCATTCGTGTGTTTAAACAAACCACTGCCTTGAGTGTCGCCCGAACTGACCTCGAAAATGAGCTTTCCTCCCTTTTCCACCACGACATTAGTCGGCCACAATTCGATATCAACGGTGTAGATCTTGTCGTTCTCAACCTTCTGCACATCAGTGGAAAGATACTCCCTGTAAGGTAAATATTCTCGGTGGCGCGGGTGGTTCTCGTTGGTCTTTCGCAGGCTGACGCGCAGCCAGCCTTTGCAAACGGGGACATTGTCGCCAGAGGAGCCGGTGTACAAGACCTCCTTTCCCGCGGGAGAAATGTGCCGCAGAGTAACAAAAATATCTAGATCGAAGTTTTCGGGAGGGGGGCTGGTGGCGGAGGTAGCGGAAACACTCAGTCGAGACACAATGTGGCCAGTGAACTCCGTCTCGTGCTCGAATGGTTGAGTGGTGAACTGGATCAAATTCTGATTCTCCATACTGCCAAGCGCCTCGTACGAGATCTTGGTGTTTTCGGGTAGAAAGTCCGTGGTGAGACTACCTAAGCTCGACAGATAATACTTGGTGTACTTGGTGCGTACTATAGGCCACTCTTTCTCGTCTCGACGGCCAAAAAGCTTTTCAGCTTGCGGATTATTAGAACCAACGTCTCCCTTGCGGAGACAAACGCTCACAGGCGGCACTTCTCCTGTTGACCAGCCATCCTTGTCCTCACCTTTCAAAAAGGCGTCCAAGAAGCTTTTCTGGACGTCGACCTCTTCTTTATAGTAGAACGGCAAATCATGGCGTCCTACGATAAAGCGCAAGAACTTGTTCTTGGAGCCGGCCCACTGGTAACCTTGGATGTTGCCCCGAAGATGAAGCAGAATGCCACCCCAGTTTGCCACTGACAGAACAGGGACGTTGATTTGACCGAGGTCAAACTCTTTCGAGGCGTAGTAATCATCATCTCGAAACCGATTGGCCTCGTTGTCGATATTCTGATCGCGACGATTCATAGCGCTAAAAGTGTTAGTAATCACGACACGAGATCTCGAGGAAAGTCTGGAACGCGAAACATACAGCTCCGACTCAGAAATATCACCTTCGATAGTGTCTTCACCCCACTTGGACTTTGCTCGGCCTGGCCTTCCATATTGATTTGTGATTACCTGCCGATTCCACCAGAAGTTGATGAAGTTGTTGGAGAAAATTCCGCCGTGGCGGCACCTGTCTCGATAGTAATCAGACATTCCCTCCCACGGCACTATTGCCGCGAGACCCTTGGGCCGCCGGGCAGCGACCCGCCATTGACTCCCTAGGCTCGGAGTATTAGTGACATGGTCTGAGAGAGCATCTCTGGCGGGTAATAAAGTAATACCTGCGTAGTAACTGACGCCCAGCAACCCGACCTTTCCAGACGACCATGGCTGTTCAGCGGCCCATTCTACTACTTCGAAGAAACACTCGCTCGTTCCCCTCGACATGGTATCAAGCAGACCGGGTGACTGCCCAAGCCCACGCTCGTCTGCTCTCACTATAATGTAGCCGTGCTTTGTCCAAAACACTGGTTCAGGAGTCTCCCATGCTGCGTATCGTGATTTGTGCTCTTTGGGCACCTCAGAGTATGACTTCTCATGAAAGCTTCGTTCGGATTTGAATCAGCCCAGCTCCTCTTATTACTCCCACATCAATCGGGATGAGGATATACATACTCCCCATACCAAATGTCTTTTCCATAGGGACCATAGGTGACGAGCACTGGGTAGGTCTTGTTGGGTCCGGAGTCTACAGGACGGTAAACGTTGCAACGAATTGGAAGACCAGAAGTTCTCAGCGGAATATCTACATTCTTTTCAAAAATGAGTCCAAACTCTTTGTCTTCGAATACTTCGTGAAGTTTGCGTAATGAGTTCGGCATCGTGGCGACTTTCGAAAGGCCGTGCGTGGATGTCTCTTTGCCAATGTGAGTTTTCTTCGTCGTGGAAACATTCAACAAGTAGTCGGGTTCGATAATATTATGACTTGCTTCTTAACAGGAAAGCTGTTGATAAACGACACTCGCTGGGTGGTGGCGCCCCGCTGTGAGCGAGGATTGTCGTGTGGTGGCGATCGGGCCGTGCTGACCTGGCGGACGGAATACGCGGCGGAACCCTCCCCCACCAGATCCGGTCAAACGCCGATCCTTCAGGCACGGGACAGGACGCTAGTACTCTCCCAGAGCTCATCTCTCAGGATTGTGACAATGTGCTTTTTTCGATGGGGTATATCGCGGTTTGTTCACATATAGGATGGCAAGCAAGATAGTAGTCCGTCGTCCTGTGTAGCTTCCCAATTCAATGATCTCGATAGAACTTTACGGGAAGACATCAGCAGGCAGATTGACACTTCGCGTCAACACTTGAGATATCATATCAATTTGCCGAAGCGATTGCTAATTCTCAACACACAATACTACTTATTCCCGGGATTACTTTCGACCACTCCCCTCCGATCCTATACCGCGTCAGGCCTGGGTACCAGAGGCCTCCCGTGGCTTCCCATGTGCAAACCAAGGTCTGAATATAGCACATGAGTAGTCAGTACCATATTGAGGTTACTCATGTCCCAAAACATGTCAAGTTCAGCACATGGACACACTTACCGACTGAAGATGAACGCCGTTCAACATGACGGTTACGAATAGAAATTCAATCCCATTGACACCGTTGGGCCTTTCGGCCTGATCCAAATGTCTGTTCACGGGGCGATATGGTGGAATTCGGCGATATTGTGTCGGCCAGTTTGAAGTGTTTGGCGGAAGTGCTAATGGGGTTGAAATGTTTTCATTATGGGATTGCGTACTGGCCGATGAACCCGAAAGATGCAGAACATAGTCTGTCAGGTTGTTCTCCAATGTGGAGTACTCAGTTACTTCGGTCGTTGCTGCTGCCATTGTCGCTGAAATACTTGCAGTTGTATTGCTGGTTTTTTTTAGGGGCGTGAAGCTCTTCAAGTCAGCGACAATGTATGATCTGGCATAAAAGAGGCAGATTAGAAGCAGCGTAAAAGAAAAACCGTACCCCATGGCTACATATCGGCAGAAAGGATCGAAAACGCTTCTAATCTCCTTGTCATTTCGGTATCATAGATCGTTAGAGTCCCCCACTTCTTCCGGATCTTCAAATCTGCTCGACCCGGACCGACTGTGGGCCTCCGCTCCCGTCTCTCACCCCACCATTACCGAGTAATGTCCCGGATTGTTCAGCAGCGGTCCCTGGTCATGTGTAAGGGAAGGACCCTGAATTGATATTGGCCAACCCGAATTGATAACTATCACTGTTCTTGTCAACCCCTCAGATACGTAATTCATCACAGCCGCCGCAATGGCTAACCACGCAAACAATCATCTTGACCAGATGGTTTTAGATCGCGTCACAGCTGCAGCTATCGACCGACGGGCGCATAACATCCGCTATCGACAACAGCAGCTCCAAGAGCTCCATTCTTTCTTACGCAAACATGTCGACACCATCTGCAAACTCACCATGCAAGACTCTAATTACACCCATAAAGAAGCTGGTGTCGAATTTTCTCTTGCGGCCAATGCTGTCAAGACGCTATACGACCAGCTCGATTTTGATGAATGCCTGAAGAAAGAGTACGCGATCAGCCGGAATCAGAGCAACATCGAAGCCCGGATTCCCATTGGCATAGTTCTCATAAGACCAGGAAGTCATTCAAGGCTCTTCTCCATTGTTTCTCCCTTGGCAGCAGCTCTGGCATCAGGCAACTGTGTTATTCTAGAGGTTGGTGATTGGTTTTAGCCCGAAAGGCACACCATGCTGATTGAAACCAACAGCTACCATTCAGCTTGAGAGAGCTTGATTCTTTTCTCCGATCCGAACTGACTATCTTGGACCACGACGCATTCGTCATCGTTTCATCTGCAGTCACTGATACCGATACACTATCCAGATGCTGCGTTGTGGATCAACTAACCACATCGCCGAATACTGGGACAATGCTGTCTTCAAAGTCGGAATCCATGACAGTGGTTGTTGTTGATAGGACAGCCAAAATGGAGGATGCCGTTGATGCTGTATGCACCGCGCGATTCAGCTTTGGTGGCCAGTCACCTTATGCCCCTGACTTGGTGCTGGTTAATGAGTGGGTCCGAGACGAGTTTGTGACTCTTTGCCTACAAAGATTGAGTGCAGAGGCAGCGAGATCAAAATCGGAAGCATCCTCGGGTAGGGCAGTACGCCAAAATATCCCTGTGAACGGCACAGCCCCTGTCGATGTTTTGTTCGATTCCCAGGGCATCAAGCTGGTTGAATTACCTAGAAAGTAAGTCAATCTTTGCAAGCGTCATCTAATTCACTACTTAAAGTACTTGACACGACCAGCACCGACTGTAGCAAGGTCTCAGAACGGACACTGAGGGTAATGACAGTAAGTAGTCTTACTGATGCCGTCACTGTCACGTCAAACAAGTAAGTCTCTTGTGTCGTCCCTTCCATAACGATGATCTGAACAGTTGAAGTGGCCCATACCTCGCTTTCTATTCCTTTGGTAGCAGAGGCGTCTGTAAGTTTCTGTGTCAAAGTGTTGACTCGGACTTGGCTTTCATTAATGGCATTCCCGCATCACTCCTGGGTACGATGAAATCAACCTCCCTGTTACCTGCTTTTACCAACTGACCTTCGTCGCAGTTGGCCCAGCACGACCTGTTTCGGCAGCGAGCCCCTCAAATATCGAGCTGCGGTATGAGACCCAAATGATGACGAGACCGCGTCCGGAGTTCGTCTGCGGCCTGACTGGAGAAAAGTTCGAAGACGTTGCCCTCGCGAGAAGTGCAAACGACACACCAAGCGGCCTGCGCAAAGAAAATGCTTACCGAAGTCTCCACGAAGACGCATTGAGATCTCTTCGACCCGTAGGGCAAGGCTCGGGATCTTCCATTGGCTTCTTCGACCAAGGCATTATTACGGGCATATTGGCATTTGCGCTGCCCGCGCTGGCTATGTTGGGCTACGGAGGTTTTAAGACTGTGTTATTTTGCTGGAGAATTTATGAGGCAAAGATGTGATGGAACTATGAGCTCAGCAGATCTTGGAACTCCAGATATGTTAGCCGCGTAAAGTTCGAGTATAAAGAGGTTGTGGAAATTGGAGCTAGATTGGACGGAGGATATCTAGGGTGCAAACAAACAACACCGCAACAAAAGCAAGATGTGACAGTCAGCGTGACTATCTATGAACAGGGGACAATAATGATGCCAGAGGCACCATTACTGAAGCCTTAGCTTTGTGCCACAGTTGGTTGCCTCGGCCCGCTCGAAACATTATTGATGTTCTAGAATTGGGATGTATGGCTGATTACTTGGCAAGAGATGCCTCCTTGTAAGAATGGACCTTCGAAGTCTCTTAGACAGTAAACCATGCGCAACGTTATTGTTTGATCACAACACATGAGTATCACAGGCGAGTGGCTCGACTCAAAATGCTTATTCACGAGACCAGTTGATATGCATTAGAGATAATTGTGCTTGCTCTTCTCCAACTTCGCAGGCCCTGTCTCCAACGAAACCTTCTTCGCTACAGTAGTAGGCTGTGAAATGTTTCCTGGGTCAAATGGAAACCAATGAAGCACGCCCATGGCATAGCTCCCAGCTTCCCCAGGTATACTGCGAATTACACATATTGGTGAGCTCCCAATCCTCCGCCCCTAGCACCACGGGGGTTCCGCAGTCTTCATCTGAGCCTACAAGGCCCGCAACGAACATCGCACTCATGAAGTGGTCATCAGTGGCATGTGCGTCCCGGTATATGGGAAGCTTCATTAGCATAGCCATCGCCTTGCGCAACGCTGGGCCACTGTTTTTTGTGACGCAGTCCTCAAACTCCTGACGGAAGTCTAGAGCCCAGTTGCCAGGAGGAGTCTCCATGGCGAAGTTATCAGCGTAGCGCAATAGCGGTTTCCATACGTTGCGGTACAGATTGTGGACGGCGCCTCCGGAACCAATGAAAAGAACGTTCTTCTCCCGACGCAGGTAGCGTAGAGAAGCACCGACCCGCATGTGGTAGTGGGGATCGAATCGTGCATTCATGCTGATAATAGTTGTTGGCGGGCAGCCGTTGGGGAATGCGCAGATCAAGAGTAAGTACACGTCGTGGATCCACTGGAAGTCGGGATTCGGGTTGCAATTGAAGCCTTCCTTTCTTAGAGTGTCGATCACCCTCAAGGCCATATTCAAGTCAGGGACCAGCTTGTAGTCGACATATTTCCGGGGATGCACCCCGCCAATGGGCGCTTTCGTCGGATTCGGGTTTGTAGCTACTTGGATCTCATCCCCGGTCGCGGCCCAGTGAGCTCCCTTGAGACAGGGAGTTAGCCCGTTAAAATACGACGGCAACAACAGAAAGACTCACCATGATGTTGATGCGCTCAATTCCATTAGCCAGGGCAGCGTCTCCGCACTCCTTCCAGTAGTCTGCCGATTTTGACTCCTCGCCTAGCATCGCTGTTGAACCGTGAGAGAAGAAATGAACCGGGGCCAGATCCTTGGCAGGGGATTTTTGGTTGCGAACGTCCATTGAACAACGGCGACTTTTCGGGAGAGCTTTCAGGTAACGGTATGGTTGCACAAATGATCGATAATGACCAATAGCGTCAGCGATGTATTCCGATCGACAAATATCCAACAGACGTTTTCTTACATACTGGCCGCTCCACCAGGCCCAGCCAGCGTCCGCAACACGTTTTAACATCAACCTCGAGCCGTTGCTGACCCGACCCGAATACCCACGGGGTTGCCCCGCCTCCCCCACTCGGCCCGAAGCAATGTATTTCGGCATGGTTTGACAGCCACGAGCTGTCTTTTATCTACCAGCCCACCTGTTCCGGCCACCCCGATAAACTTTCGTCTCCTCCATTGCCCACGGATCCGCTCCAACCAATGCCTGCTGCTGGATTCTGTGATAGAACACATTCGGAAGACAGAAAGAACGAATGTATAGTCCTCGCGGAAGCCAGGCCTCGGATCCGGTGGCCGAGACAATCCACGCTTCGCCACAGACGCAGCCGGGGCACGAGTGCAGCATCTGCCACAAGAGATACGAGCGTTCAGATCATCTCAAGCGTCATGTAGCATCCCGTGAGCTTTCTCCCGTATCGAACAGTTGCCGCTACACAAGATTCAGCATTCACCTTACTCATTGCGGACCAATTGCTCACCGCATTCCCTAGATCAAAATTCTCGTCCTCACGCCTGTCATCGATGTAGTCGCAGATTCAATCGAAAGTAAGACACCCAGAGGCAAGCCCCCAAGTCGTGGTCTCACCAGTTCTGCTTGATACACAGTAGCTTATGCTTACACAGAGATCTTCTCACTCGTCGCTTGGCTAACCATAATCCGGAAGGTGGAGATAATGGTGACGGATCAACGGGTCTTGAGCGTGCTCTGCAAGCATGTGAGCCCTGCGTGCTAGCAAAAACCAAATGTAGCAATCATCGGCCTTGTAGGCGTTGCCAAAACCGTGGCGTGTCCTGCAGGGACAGCGCTTCCAAGAAAACGGGGAATTTGCCCGCAGCCCCGGCCTCGGCGCCAACACAAGAGCCTAGCCCATCTGCAACGACCCCACAAGCACCGGGTACCTCACCTCGGCCGGATGCATCCGAGAGTGCTCCGATCCATGGTTCCATGGACCTGGACCCCGTTTTTGACCCTCTAGACCTCGCACAAGATGGTCGTGTTATGGAGCAGGCTACGCTCCCTGTACCTTTCGAGGCTATGGACCCAGCCATGATGAGCGAGCCGCTTTGGGAGAATTTGAACATACCTTCTGGTGTGTTCCACTTTTACCAAGATGTCGACTTTCTGTTCGATGACATATTTCATGATCTGCCTCCAGAGCACAAGCACGGTCATCAACAGGGACGCTTGACGCAACATCTACCAGGAAATAACACTAGAGATGGACACATTCTTGGAGGCATTCCGCCTCCAGATCTGTCTCAGGCAACCCCGACGAGCATCCAGTCCGACACACGCGTGCCAGGTTACGAAGCCTTTCAAAAGTCACCTTGGCTGTGGGCTCCTGTACGGCAAGATCACGCCTACGCGGAAAGCCAACAGTCATCCGTCAACGAGGCGCAGCTCATGGAAACGGCCGAGGTAGAGGAAACGGCGCGCGTGTCCCCAAGGATGCCGAAGATGGCGCACGCGTCAACGAGAGACGAGATTCTATCTTTGGCTCTCAAGTTCTCGCAGTCAAATCTCAAAATTCGATCTTTTCCTTCGTTTAACCTGCTCAACATACTGATACAAGCCTTCTTTGTGCGACAAAGCACACTCATCGATGCCTGGATCCATGTGGCAAGTTTCAACCCGGATCAATGCCACAGCGAGCTGCTTGCCGGCGTTGTTGCTGCCGGATCGACACTGTTCGCTGTGCCAAATGTGTGGAAAATGGGATTGGCCCTGCAAGAAATTGTGAGGCTGGCAACATGTGACGCCATTGATCGCGATAATCGACGGGCAAGGGATCTTCAGTCAATACAGTCGTTCGTCCTTTGGGGCGATATCGGGCTGTGGAGCGGTTTCAGGCGTAAGATGGAAATCGGGGAGGGGTTTGCACACACAGTCCCTACGGTACAGTCCAAATCATACCCTTTTGCGATGTGCGACGGTCTAACTGACGAGATGAACTCTCTTACAGATGTTACGGCGGGCCGGTGCTTTCCGCCGGAACTACTACCCCCCGATCGAGACGCCTACAGCTGATGATGATGAGGATGTCCTCCGCCAAAAGTGGCTCGCGTGGGTGGAACAGCAGTCTTTCAAGAAGCACGTTCACATTTCCCTTTTCTGCTCGACTCATTACTGACATGAACTAGACTAGTCTTGCAAGTCTTCATCAACGATATGAGAAGTTCCATAGCATTCAACAGAAACCCAATACTCTCGCCCGTGGAGATGACATTCACCCTACCTGCCCCACGGGATTTATGGGATGCTCGAGATCCGTTCGAGTGGAGGGCAAGATACCTTTCAAAACCAAATCGTCAAGTGACTATATCACTCGTTGATGGGATGCAAAATCCGTCCAAACTTGATTCGGAAATCGAACTCATCGATATAGAGCTCAGCACCCATGCCATCCTGTACGGACTATGGGGACGGGTTCATTCCTTCTTTGATGCCAAAGCGTTCGCTCTCCGCAACTTCTCATCAGCGCCTCGATCAACCTCAAACCTGTGGGTGGAGGCTCAACGCCAGGACTTACATCAGAAAATACGTGCCGCACACACCAAACTAGGCTGGATTTACCCGCTGTCTGCAGAGGCGGACCTCATCGGACACTTCCTCCTAATGTCGCTCCACGTGTCATCTGACGATATTCAAGCTTTCGCTGGCCGATACGGTGAAGAAGAACTCAGACAGGCTATCCCGCGACTTCGCGAGTGGGGGCATAGCGAGGATAAATACTCCACCCTGTGGCACGCTGGTCAAGTACTCAAGGCCGCCAGGTCTTACCCTCCAACTTTGCTTCGAGGTTTCCATGCTATTGCGGTTTACCACGCATGTCTTTCGCTCTGGATTGCGAGCATTATATCAAGTAAAGAGCCATCCAGTGCCTCTCAAGTCGTTCTTGATGGTGGCGAGACGCCTGGAGTTCAGCGTTTTATCGCCACAGGTCATGGAAGGCCTTGTTTGCATGTTGGTGACGGCCTAGGCGAGCTGGAGGATCCTCTGATTATATCGGTAGTTCTACTGGAGGTGTTTACCAAGAACTTCCCATCTAGGTCCCATCCGATTCCTCCACTTTTGGAGAACTTGGTGAGCCTTATGGGAGATATAAGCCGTGTGCAAACACGCATACCTGAATGAACCCACGGCAATAGCAGAGAGTTGGAGGTTGGGCGCGTCAAATGAGGGTCAAACTTTTTCCTAGAGAAAACCTCTATTTTCTTGGTCAATCGTTGAATATATGAGTGACCTTCTCTTGCAACCTTTAATGACTGGCATAGCCTCCCAGGTGTTTACACCCTCACAAGTCATTACACGAGAATGCCACCAGACAAAGTGATCATCTCACCCCAAATTGTTCCCTTCCCACATCAAGAGGAACTTCCTCAAACCCCCCACTTGCTTCCACCACCCCCACTACCTCACATCCCCTACCCGGGCCGGACCGGCTTCATGAGGTGTTGAATGGGACATCCTTCTCCAGAACCTTGCCATGAACAACTGGCTTGTTAGACGCAACCAGAATGCAAAGCAGCCGCGCCCACTCGTCCGTTTCGTTGTCCCAGCTGTGCATGGTAGCCTGTTGGACAACAGACTCGTTCACATTCACTGTAGTCCGCGAACCGTCGTCGAGCACAAGCCTCACCGTACCCTTCAACACGAAAATGTAGTCCAGCGTCATGGAGCGATGCATCAACCCTTTTGAGTGTGGGGGAAAGTCGACAATCCGCGCGATGGTGCCGTCATTGCTCATCCCTGTGTCTGCTAGCCCCATGTCGGTCGTGGTATTGACATCCGGCGGAAGGCTGTCGCTTGACCAGAGAAGCTGGATCCACGGTCCGTGGGGGGTCTGCTTGCCGTGGATGAGGCTGTCTGTCTGGATTATCGCCTTGGCTTTGTCATCATGGCTAGTGACAATGCGACGAGTTGAAGGCAGCGGTTGATCGGGAGATGAGGCCATGATTAGAAATTCGAAAGATACCTAGTAGTCTATGTTGGACTTTTCTGGTGGCTCAAGCTACCTCAGGCCCAAGTAGAGTATGAAAACGATGATATGGTTCAAAAATTATCAAATTGATTCCATGATGCTATATACTCTGTTGGTCAATCGGGACCGTAGCCGCCATAGAGCCGGTGGGGGCCGTGAGCGGTTAAAGGTGGCGTAGGCCACCCGGAGCCGATGGGGGAGGAAGAAGCGGCGGACCTAACATCGGTTCACAGTAACTGGAAATTGTTAGGAGGCCATTTTCAAGATACCCGACAAAAGGAATGGATGTCTAATTTGAATTCTTTGAATTTATGGACATATTGATTTGCAACTAGGAATCCATGACAAACACAAGCATGTCAGTGCGGACTCTCTGTGTTAAGATCCATCTCCTCAACTCTCATTATGGTCCCTGTCTTACATCTATAATGAGCCGCGATTTTCAACCCCAGATTGCGGGAAAAATTGGCTTGTTCGAAACTTCCACCATGCCGAATGAGTCCCCGCGAATGCCAAGTAACTTGCGTAGGGCAGTTAGAGCATATTAGAGCAGAGATATTGCTCATCTGCGTCTCGACCGCCCCCAAGATACTATCCTCGCTGAAGTGCCACTCGTAAATCATTTTCAGATTCAAGAGGTCTGCTCGCAGTCAGTCAGTCATTCAAGCCGACTTCCGTTATCGCGCTGGTGCCACCCACAAAGATCTGGCTGATACTTGAAGTTTCGGTCGCGGTGGAACTGAGCTGCTTCCCTACCCCAGAGAGTATCGAAGTACTTCTGACCTCTTGCCTCTCTTGCTTCCTCGCTCTCCCTGGTTTTATTCGCAGCTGCTTCGAAACTATTTAGGCTGTGTGTTAGTATCATTCTTGAAGGAGATAGAGATAAGACGACCGGGACATACCGGGGCCCATATTGATCGATATGGCTGTCCGGAAGACTGTCCCACAGAGGCAGCAAGGCCTGCAAAGATTTCGGCACACCATAAAGGCAACTTGTCTTGAGAATAGCCTCCTTAATGCGTCGTTGGACGAGTTTCTCCAATTCCAAGGTAAGACCTTCGGTCGCAAGACGGTATAACTCGATTGTATCCGAGCCAGCACCAGCGGCAGCCAGAGCCGAGGCCTAGAAGATATCAGCGAGCCCTCTGGTCATCTGAGCCACTTGGAGTCCGATCATGTACCGCAACTATGTACCAGGTGGATTTGGCTACGTCCGTGCTGGCCTCAAGGTCTCGAAATTCTACCAAAAGGTCGGTAAGTGACATGATGAAAAGATCTGAGATCGTGTGCTATTGCTATAACGGTGCAATGTCGGAGTTGGCTTCTGTTCGGTCTCCCTAACATGAACTTGGTTGTGGGGTAAGACGCTCCATGAATGAAGGAATGAAAGAGTTTTTCGCTCCCCAAATTTACCGGGCACATCGCCCCGTCCCGAAAAGCTGGGTGTGCTGTGTTCCGAGGCTAATAGTGATTTCCGTGGGGGAATGGCCCTGGATGACATCAACCACTTCGGATGAAGAGGCGGTTGTCGGAATTCCCACAAAGATGTGGCTTCTCATGCGAATAAAGCTTTGGATCAAGACTTATATCTTACAGGTGGAAAACGTTAGATTCTGTGGACGTTTTCGAATGGCAAGGATTCCGTCAATAGCCCATTAATATTCTCATATCTTGCATTCACACCACCTCAAAATGACTACACAAACTGGTCCGATTGAGACTTTATTCACTAAAGCAAATTCCAACTTTCACAATTGGTGGACAGAGTTCAAGCCGTCGACTCAGATCCTGCCCCAGGGATGGGTCAGAGAACCAGGCCGTCGCCCTTTGAAAGAGGCTATGACATGGGAGAAGGACGTCGCCATTCCTCTTCGCGATGGTGTCAGGATTCGTGCCGACATTTTTCGTCCCGCGAAACTAGAGGGACAGAAGCTGCCTGCTCTGCTTCCTTGGTCCCCGTACGGCAAGACAGGTTCAGGTACGTAACACAAAATCGAAGCCCCACAGCCTATACTAAAGCAATGTCTTAGGTCACCATCAAACCACCAATTTCAAGTGGCTTGGGGTGCCTAAAAGCTCTTTGAGTGGCCTGGAGAAATTTGAGGCCCCAGATCCGGCAGAGTGGTGCCCGAGAGGTTATGTTCTGGTGCAGCCGGATGCGCGGGGCTGCTTCAACTCCGAGGGTGACATCGCTGTGTTTGGAACCCAGGTGCGTTTGATTGACACATGATGATCCCGACACCATTTGAATTCACGAGCTGATATCCTGGATTCATCTAGGAAGGGCGTGATGGGTATGATACCATCGAGTGGATTGCGGAGCAGCAATGGTGTAACAAATCAGTGGCGTTGGTCGGAAATTCCTGGCTCGCCATCACCCAATGGTACTGTCATTCCCCGCATACAAAACATTGACGATCTAAACCCCACCCTAGGTTCATTGCCGCAGAGCAGCCTCCTCACTTGAAAGCAATTGCTCCATGGGAAGGCTTAGGTGACTTCTACCGGGAAAGCATATGCAGGGGCGGGATACCGAACTTCGAGTTTTGGGATCTCCTCATGCAGGAATTCAACAGCCTCAATAAGCGAGAAGACGTCGTCGCCATGATCAAAAAGTATCCTCTGATGAACGAATACTGGGAAGATAAAAAGCCAAAGCTGCAGAACATCGAGATCCCAATGTACGTTCTCGCGAGCTATTCGACTGGACTTCACACTGAAGGGTCCATTCGTGGGTGGAAGTATTCCGCATCTAATGAAAAATGGTATCTCATCTTCACAAATACCTCCTTTAGCATTTGGTCCGTCCATCCAACCGCTGACAATTTGAAACAGGCTTCGGATTCATCCCACCCAAGAGTGGTTTGATCTTTATCAACCGGAGACCAACGACGACCTCCAAAGATTCTTGGATCATTACCTCCTGGCGAAGGACAATGGGTGGGAACTCACACCCAAGGTTCGCCTCTCTGTGCTGCGTTACAACGCCCCTCCCATCTCCTTTCGTGCAGAGGACGATTACCCACCCAGCCGGGTCCAGTACAAGACTTTCTATCTGAACAGCTCTGAAGGAAAGCTGCAAGACAAGGCTCCTGCAACAGATGCGGTCACTTCCTACCAATCGGACTCATGGAAGGACGACGGTGCGCACTTCACCATCACGTTTGACAGATACACCGAACTCTGTGGCTTCTCTAGAGCCAAACTTTTTGTTTCCTGCCAAGACTTTGACGACATGGATGTCTATCTCGTCATCCGCAAAATAGACAGAGACGGCAAGGCTCTACTGAACTACAACATCCCGTCCATTCATCAGAAGCTAGGCCAGAAGCCAGAAGACATCCCAGACGAGAATATCTACAAGTACGTTGGGCCAAGCGGCCGGCTGCGGGCATCGAAACGTATAACTGCCGAGGAGCCAGGTTTGACGGACGAGATGCGGGCGAGGAAGGATCCTACCGAGCTTTGGTACCCACACTACGAGTCGCAAAAGGTGGTTCCAGGTGATGTTGTCGAGCTGGATATTGCCATTTGGCCGGGTGGGATTGTGTTCGAGGAGGGCGAATCTTTGCGGTTCGAGATCAAGGGCCATGACCCGATTTTGCCGGAATACCCGCCTCTGTTCGAGAGTTTGGAGAATTTGAACGTCGGTAAGCACAATATTCATTGTGGGCCATCCTTCCCTAGCTACGTCATGCTCCCTTTGATCACCTACTAGGGAACCGCGAGAGATTCTATTGATAGTTGGGTTCACTGAAGTCTAGTATGTTCAGACGTCTTTTGAGCACCAGTCCAGATACATTTTGAGACCCGTTGTATTACCTATTGAGTCTAGCTATCTTGCCTATATAGGGCCTTGCTACCCTATACAATTGAATATCTTTCTTTAAAAACACAAAGTAAATACGTTTCTAGCTAGCTTTACATACTTGAGCATCATCAAACCATCAAAACTTGATCAACTCACCAAAGATGCTGAAATGAACTGAAGACAGACTTTGCAACCAACTTCAGCCCCTTATCTGGGGTTCGTGCGGCTACTAGTATGATCCTAGGATGAGCCAGTGCAAGCGGGATGCAGTTCCGAAGCCGTCGCATACACTATTAATAACATCATACTTTTACACTCTTGCCAAAACCTACCTCCCGTCGGTTTGCCCCGCCTGGAGTGGGACTTGGTCACAAGCATGAGGCATGTTGTAAACGTCAACAAGCGAGACCTGCTGCATAGGAAGGGGAGAGAGCGGCGACTCGTAAACACGGCCACGCCCGCCAAGGGGGAACAACACGGTTCAGCATGAGGTCCCCCGAAAGTCGACCTTCAAAGTTTTTCACAGCCAATTTCAACGCTAACTGGCCTACCCCAAACTCGTGGGATTATGGATAAACAACAAACTGCAACACGAAGAGGGTAACCGGGGAAAGGCGATGGAACATGGCTGGAGAAAGACTTTTTCTTTCCTGTCGTCGATCATGCCGACGCTAATGAGCCCTGGCGATGCCGAACTATGGGGAAATGAGGCTTTGGAGAGCTCCGTCAGGAGACTGAGGATCTACACAGCATAGTAAACATAAAGGAAAGCCCATCATCACGATGAAGCCATCCCGCCCATCTCGACCTACACTCGTTACCTCATTTCCTTAAGCCGTCACTCTCTACCAATCGCCCCCACACATCGTCCCTCCTTTTAATTTTGTTTCATAATGCATCTCACCCCCTTCCTCGCCGCCCTCCTCGCGGCCACAACCTCCGTCCCCGCCGCCGTCCTGCCCCGCGCCGAGCCCTGCACCAACCCAGTCATCCGCAAAGAATGGCGCGAACTCGCCCCGGCTGAGAAAGCCGACTACCTCCGCGCGGCAGTCTGCCTCCGCTCCCTCCCGCACCAGAAATACGCCGCCTACGAAGCCGTCGTCACCCGCATGGACGACCTCACCTTCACCCACTGGGCGCTGCAATCGCGCATCCACTTCGTCGCAAACTTCCTCCCCTGGCACCGCTGGTTCGTCCAGCTCCACGAGGACCTTTTGCGGAATGAGTGCAACTACACCGGCGTGCAGCCCTACTGGGACTGGACCATCGACGCGGACGCGCGCGCGGTGCCGACCTCGCCGCTCTTCGACGCCGAGACGGGCTTCGGCGGGAACGGCCAGTTCACGGGGAGCGACGTGCCGGGGTTCCAGCGGTGCGTGGTCGACGGCCCGTTTGCGAACACAAATCTGACGCTGAGCATGGGCTGGCCGGACGTCGGGGAGCCGGGGAACAGGCTGCACTGCCTGACGCGCGAGTTTAACAGCGGCGACGGGGCGGACGAGAACGGGGTGACGATTGTGGGGGACATGCAGGCGGGCGCGTTCGATTCGAGGGTGATGAATACGATCTATGCGTTTGAGGGGTTTGGGGATATGGTGACTATGCTGGAGGGCCTGCCGCACGCACAGGGTGAGTCTTTGCGTTTCTCTCCAAAGTAGTGAGAGACGAATGCTGACAAGTCGTGCAGTTCACAGCATCATCTATGGCGACATGGGCCCGGCCACCTCGCCCAACGAGCCGCTCTTCTTCCTGCACCACGCCAACGTCGACCGCGTCTGGGCAAAGGTTCGTTCTTTCATCGAAAACACTCCAACTCAAGTGCGAATGAGTCGCTGACACCCATTGAACAGTGGCAAGGCCGAAATGCCACCCGCCTGGCCGACTACACCGGCTTCCAGGACACGGACAAGATCTACCCGGCCGCCATCACCGATAGCATGCCAGTGCTGGAGCTTGCTGAGACGGATCTCCTCGTGCGGGATTACATGGACACGCTATCTGGTCCTCTGTGCTACACCTACTCATCTATGTAAAAGGAGTGAAAGAAAAGGAAGGGGAGACAAAATTATCATGAGCCTGTAGCGGGCGTAATCTTTATACCATAATAAATTAGTTTTAAAAAGACGAAAATATCATTAACCAGGCTGAGATTGGCAGCTGACGTAAAAGCTGAATATGAACGCAGTTGAATATGTAATTGACTCAGCCACAGCCAATTTTGTCGTATCTCATAGACCGCACATCAAACATCCGTCTTTCTCGCCAAGTTCAGTGGTCGTGCGTGTGTGTAATGTCATTGGATGGGAAAACACAAATCCTACGAACGCTTCAACCTGAAAGGGGGGAAGACTCGACCTCTCCAAAAAGTAAGCTCCAGCACCACCGCCATGAACCCCCTTCACACAGTCCACAAACTCCATCAGACTTTTGCACTTCAGCTTACATAGATTGCGCGATCCTCCCCCATGGTTCATTCGAAATGGGAACACTGTAAACTCTCATGCCTACAAAACGCTAAACTCCCGGCGTGGCCGGGACCCTCGCACCTTTTTCCTAACGTCTTGTCTCTCCCCGCAGCTCGTTCTCCACTACCTTACCAACCACACTGTGGCTGAAGTCGCACAGACCACTGCTTATCGCAATCAGCATCCATCAGTGGCTGGTGCCAAAAGCTCGGCTTCCTCCAGCCCAAGTCGGCTACCTACGTCGGGAAATGACGGAAGCGATTTAGAGGTGCGGGGGGGAGCAAGCTGCAAAGCACATGGCACGATCGGATGAAATAGGCGTAGCATGAGCTGTCGCGCGTCCGCTTGACCAGCACCACGCAGTCCCGGAGCTACGGACGGCAACGTTAGGTTATTTAGCTGCAGCCAGGTGCGAATCATCACATGCGCGCTCTGGGTAAAGGGGGGAGGGGACCAGCAGCAGTTCGGAGCTTTGGCATTGGTTCGCTGTTCCGGAGGTTGCATTAGGACTTGAACCTCCGAGATATCCACGAGCGCTGGGGGGCACATGCAGCCGAAGTATATTCTACACGCGATTCACACATGATAATGCCGAAGGGGTGAGGTTGAACTTTTCAGTTGTTTTTGGGGGTGCTATGTACGCAGGTTTGCGAGCTAGACTTATTGGTACAGAGCGTGCTCTGCCCAGGTAGTAGACGTTAAAGGAAAGTAGTAGGCCAACTTGCTCCGAGCAGACAAACATTGTCTCCCGTTTGTAGGTATCAAGTGACTCCCGAGTCCGCACCAGGCGCGGTGGTGGTTTCCCGCCAACGCGCAACACTCTTGGTGTATTGCAACCAGTCGCGGCGGGTGTGTGCCGCCGCCATCCATTTCTCGTTCCTGAAGCCAGATTGGCGTCGTCACATTACATGACTGCCGAGGCTTCCGTACCCAGCCGAGAGCATCCCCCGTTTCGAGGGACAAACAGCTTTGGACCCATATAGTCTTTTCCTCGTCTTTCGTACACGCGTGCCGCCTGAAATTCTGAGTTCTCGTCCTTGGTATCGCCCCGTCTGTCGCTCATACCCATAAAAAGCACACGCAAGTGTTTTGGTTTTTTTTTGGTTCTTTTTACGTTTGCAAGCGATTGCCATCTCTGGTACTATCTCAACCAAAGAGGGCAGCGCCGCCGGACTCGACGGCCTCAATCTCGGCCATGTCGAGGGGCTGGCGGCGGAAGCGGGCGGGGAGCTCGGAGCGGTCGAAGAAGATGCCGGAGGCGGGCATGACGGAGCCCATCTCGTGGCCGGAGGTGCCGCCGATGCCGGGCTCGCCGTTGCGGATGGAGCGCTGGAGCGGGCCGTGCTGCTGGGCGTGGTCGCGGTAGGAGCTGAAGGAGGTGTGTCTGGCCGGGGCGGAGCCGTTGCCGAAGTTGGGGGGCAGGGTGCCGGTGGGCGAGGCCGGGTGAGGAGCGGGGGTGTGGTCGACGGAGGCTGTTGGCGATTGTCAGTATGTAGGCTCGTTGTGAAGCGGAGAGAGGGACGTGGACGTACAGGGAATGGTGCGGCGGCCGAGGAAGCGGATGCTGGGGGTACGCTCGGCGTGGGCGGCAGCCTGGCGGAGGACTCTGGTCGCGAACATTTCTGCGGTTGCGGGAAAGGTGTGTGGTGAGGAATAGAAAGATCCGAAGCTGGTCGGTTGTTGCGTGTGTATGTACGTGGGTGGTGGTCCGTCGACTCTCCTCCTTGGTGATAAAGCTGTGCGTGGCGCCGGGCGACTTGTGCTGGGAAGCTTGGTGGGATTGTGGTGTTTGGTGTTTTGTTGTCTGGGACTATTGGGTAAATGCGCGAGGGAGGCTTCGTCGCTTTATCAGCAGGGAGGAGAGCGGGTGGGAGGATTATCTCGGGATTGGGGTGAACGGTGGTGGTTGAGGGAGGAGAGGAGAGGAAGGCGCGGGCGAGGTCGGGACGGCGGGCTGTTCTTATTTAATTTTTTTTTTTTTTCTTTCGCTCTCAGAAGCAAGGTGTGTCGAGCCGAAAGGCCGTGCCTGCCTGCCTTGGGTCCTGTGTCCATGGGCCGGCCCATGTGCGCGTGCTGTGCCTGCGGTGGTGTGGTACCGTGCCGGCGGCCACCTTCCCTCTTTTCCCCCCTCCCCTCCCCTCTCCTCTCCTCCCCTCTGATTTTTTGTCCTTGGTCCGAAATTCGTCAATTGCAACGGCGTGGTGGGTTGGGTGCCGAAGGTTTTGCATGGTGGTGCGGCGCCTGGCGCGTGTGTCGACCGCTAAACCGGAGTGGACGGCGGACATTGCGCACGTTTAGTGGGCTGTCGCACGGGCAGGTGGCAGGGTGGCAGGGGGTACCTAAGGTAGCTGGCCTTGGGTTTGGCAGGCTGCACCGCTGCTGCCAGGAGGGGAGCTACGCCACCTGTGGAGGGACCGGGGGCATGTCCATGTCGTTAGGTTGCTGATGTGCTTGCAGCCTGCAGATGTGCAAGTGCAACGTCCAAGCCGGTCCCTGCTGCGTGCTGCTTGCTGCTGGCTGGCCTTTCCCGAGTGTCACTGTCAAGTCTTAGCACTGAAGCCTGCTGCTCTGTTGGCAAGGTTGGCACGCCAAACAAATCACAAAAGTGGCCGAAACCCGAACCTCGGGCGTCGAATCCGTGGTGCACACACACAAGACACAGCACTCCAGGAACATGATTCCCGTCATCTTGGCCACCCTCACTCTCAAGCCCCGAGAACCACCCGAGGGCCACAGGGTTCGGTTCGGTTGCAGATGGCCATCCGGGGTTGCGTGTGAGAGATGACGACGTGGTGCTCCAAAGCCCAACAACACAATGGTCATCTTCCTCCCCTCGTTGCATGCTGATGCTCCCTCCACCATCGGCAACAGCCAAAACAGGCAAACATCGAGTTCCCCGACCTTCGGCCTCGTGGAATGTCTTACAAACACCCATTTCCAACAAGGCAGGTCCGCCATCAAACTCCTGCTGTCGGCTTGATCGTCCCAGTTTCAGGGGTCCCCCACCACAACCTACAACCCAAACGCCAGAAACGGCTGCCGTAGCCTATGTGCTCCCCTCCAAGGAAAGGAAAACCGCGCCATTCTCAGACACGACATCCAAAAGCTTGCACGGGCAGATTCGCTGCTGGCTGACAGGGAGTCGAGCTGCTGCTACTGCAGTGCCCCCCCCGAGGAGTCCACAGCCCTAACTAACACTGCAGCCGCCGGGGGTTGGGGGGACCTGGATATCCCACGCGTTCGGCCACAACCAGCACCACCTGTGAACCAGTCCACAACATTGAATGATATGGACACCATTAACAATTCGTCACCACCTCTCCAAAATCTCCAGTGGTGCCCCTCCGCCGCTGGCCCATGTCTCCTCGTCTCCGTTCTATGTGTGTGCTCCGCCGCAGGCTCCCCTCCACGTCCAGCAAGAAGCTCCGCTCTCTCACAGACATCCATGCAGCACCGCAAGAACGAAAAAAAGAGAGTGACCAGTAACAGCGCAGCTCCCCAATGGCGGGACAAATAACTATTTTACACGTGAATTACGCCTTATCTCTCCCCTCCCACGTCATGGCTCCGAATCGTTCGATTTCCTAAACCCCAAAACGCTAATTTGCACCTGTCTCCATTCCCGTTCTCCCCTCCAGATCTTCCGGCTCCAGTTATTTCGCATCCAAACCGAGAGAGCGTCGAGGGCCACTCCTCAGAGTCTCGCAGATTTTTGCAAAGTGCAACAATTGCAAAGACGAACCACACACACCCGTCTCAACTCGTTTGGGCCTTGGGTGTCTGGCGGCTGCTCATCTCGGACCGCGCCTTTCAACATGCCCCCGCCACACCTCCTCAACACCTCAACAGAGCCTATGTCGCAAGCACCGGCACCCGAACAGACTTCTGTTGCACCAAAAGCATCCAACACCCCTGGTCCCGTCCAAACAAACCGCTCCAATTGCACACAGCTCATCCCAAGGGGGAAAAAAAAAATGCATAATTCGAGCCAAGAGATTCATCCAACCTTTTCCTCTCGCACGAGCGTTCCGTACAAACCTTGCGTGTGCAGCGACCCCACTACATCACCCCCTTCACCCGCGCCCATGGTTTCCCCAGACTTTGGTGTGCTTGATGTGACGCTTTTTTTTTGTGATATGTCAGCCGGATTAGCTTCAATCTGCCACGGCGTCCGGCGGTCTACAGCGGGCGCGACCACGACCACGACCACCATTCAGGGACGAGGAATCTGACAACCTGTCGGTGGTTCGGGAATACTCCATCAGGCAGAAGAGCAGAAGAGACACGGCCACGCCAACGGCAACGACAGGCAGCACACCCAAAAGCAGAAACAAGCCTTTCCGCGCGGTCTTCACGGCGTTGGCGCCCCGATCCCTGCCACCCACCATCTCCCCTTCTTCTTTTTCCCTCCGAGACACAGAAAAAAACTCGACTGAGATGTGCAGCCTGCATCGAACGATTCTGCGGGCTACCGGAGACCGGAGGCTTCCATTGGCGCCTGAACCTTCTGCGCAGCCGCGCCCGAGAAAGCAAGATTCTGTTTGGGATGGCTGCTGCCCGTCCATCCCAGCCCCCGCGGCGGCACATCGAACGTCCCGGGGCGCGGAGAGGGTGTGGTCGTCAATGGGCTTGGTTTCTGCTGGCAGCCTGTGACCAATTATGTGTCCTTTGGTGAATTGATAGCGTGTGCAGCAGAGGTGAGATGCAAATTGCAGAACGACACGGCACACCAACGCAGCGGAGACCCGGATTTCGCGAGGCCAAGGACAAGACGTCGTATCCCTCTGGCAAGATGTCCGGTTCCCGCCCGAACCATACCTACCCAACGCCCCCACGGAGGAAAGGCAACCTGGGTCCCAGTGGTCGTGCATCGCATTGCATCAGATGCGCCGGGGGGTCAACTACGCCCTGGGGCACCCCCAGCTTTGCCTGCCATACAAGGTAACTCGACGTCGGGAAGGACGTCTTGTCTGCCCTCGACTCGAGTCTTCCCCAGGCCGTCAGTCTTGATGTCTGCGGGGTGAATCTCGTCGGATTCCGGTTCAGCTTTTTTTTTGCCAAACACCCAAGTCCTGAACATCTCTATGATTCCCATTAGTTGGTTTCCCCGGACTCTAGGATACTTCGGTCAAGGTGATCGTCCGTCCCGCCATTAACGGCAGAGCGGGAGCGCGCTTCGCGCTCCTCCGTCGCTCACTGTCCCCCCTCGTCGTCTCCTTCCGGTTGTAGACGGCCGCCGCCGGTGGGTAGGATGCGCGGCCGATAGCGGCGCTTCAAGGCGAAAAAATGGGTGGTGAACCGCCTGTATGCCCGGCCGCCCTCCCCTCCTCCAGGCCTGCTCCACACGTCCATCAGCGCTCTCTCAGGTTTTCAGCGTTGTGTCGTGGAGCTCCACCGCCCTCACTTTGCATTGTCGACCTCTGAATTGCTCCTCTTGGCGCGCCTCCCGCCTCCGTTGTCGGGACTCGGGAACCAGGGAAGTGTGGTCGGCTTTGGACCGTTTCTGGGCACTGCTCGTCCGATGTCTGTTCCTGCTGCTGCGTTCCCGACGCGGGCGGCTGCGCGGGATCGCCGCTCGCGCGGGTTTGGGTTTGATTGAGACCTGACCCGGCTGAGTTATCCGGTCCTGACTACCTTACCTACCTAGCACGCGAAAAACTCAGGAAGGAAAAATATCCCGAGGCGCGGCAGCGGTGCACCGTTTGAGGCAAAACCCGCACTCCCCGCATGAACCGCCCGGTCCGGTCGGGGGCGGATGTGAATTATTAATCTGCGTTGACGACATGCGCTGTACGCGCCGTGTAGTGTCGGCAGACGTGTCTGGAAATTGTTACTTTTCCCCGACTGCATGCCTTGGTGATTTCTTTCTTGCTTTCGGGGGTTTGAAGAGGACTTTCCCCCCCCCCCCCCCCCCCAATTGATTGAAACCCGGTCAACTCCTCTGGCAGAGGTCATCTCTATTTGTACGTCTGCGTGACTCGAGCCTCCATCTGGATGACCCCGGTGAGGAATCTGGAAAATATCTCTGCCGCACATATATGCCAAGCCTAGAAAATACTACCATCTGCTCTCAGCATCCGCATCGTCTAGGCTCATGTAACTGCCTCTTTGGACGCCCCCTCCGGCTGTCGTGACCCTTACTCGCTTTATGGGGCTCTTAGGCCTTCTCATCTCTCCCTGAGCTTTATAATGTTTTTGGGATTCTATGAGGACGCGTACATCCTCGTAGCCAAAACCTACTAGGCATGGCAATGGACTAGTAATTGTTTTTCTATCGTTTCTTTCCTTCATGAGTTTTAGTATTTTTACTAAGCCCTGTTAGGACGTCGCTAGGAATACTCTGTCAATCGCAAGGATCACGACCCAGTTAAGATACCTAGTAGTTCTGGCAACCGTCAGTATCATCAACGAGAAGACGAGGGCCGAAAGGCGTGAGGGAAAACTCGGAACTCGGCTACTTTTATTTGCAAAAGCGTAAATCATTAGAGATAATCCCCGTAGAAGGGGAAAGTCTCTAAGCTTTACCTTCCTGTTCTTTTGCTCCTATCCTCCTCCTTCTGCTATCCTGTCACCTAGAACAAGGCCACAGCCCCGATGAGGTGATACGAGGAAGTAAGCCCTCTCTTTTGACATGAAACGAGGAGAGCAGCTTTTGTTTGGCTTATTAACTCAGGCTGTTTTAATCTGCGGCCGGGTCTGTCTAACAATTGTCTTTGAAGCTCCGCGACTTTTAGACCTACTCCGAACCGGACGAAGTCTCCAGATGGTGTGGTTTCCAGGTCGCGGCAGTGACAGGCTCTCACAAAACGAGTCTCGTGAACTTTCAGTTGTTGAGTTTTCATCCTATTCTTATTTGCATCTCCCACAATGAAGCATGTGGGAGTATTTGCCGTGCTTTGCTTCTCCCGTAAAGGTAGGTCTCAAAGGCTCGTTAGGTATGCTGACACAGCCCTTCTTCCGGCCGTACTCCAACCATACAACCCGCGCCACTGACTTCTTTCCCTGCTGAACCACTTCAATCATCTAAGGGGAGCACACGCTGCTGCCGCGGATGTTGCAGATGGCAACGCAGTCGGTGCTCTCGTTGTACCCCTCATTGCAGTCGCATCTGCCGGTGTTGACGATGGTGCAGCAGCATGTCTGTAACACATGGGGAAAAAATCAGATCACATCTTCTGTTATTGCGACTCGATGTTTTGTTGATGAACATGCGCCTCTCGAGGACGTAACCTAGACGACCGGGGAGAATGCATGTGTTAAGGGAAGCGGTAGACGTACCTTGGCTGCAACACTGCTGACGAGCGCGAAAGTAGCCGCGACGACGAGGGCGGTGAACTTCATGTTTGTTTTGTCCTTGAACGAGCGGGGAGTTGTTGGTTTCGATGGACGAGTTGATGCTTTCCGCTGGCTTGAAATGAATGTTGATGGTTTGGAGCAAGCCTACCTACTGTCACCCGCAGAGTTGGTCTCTTTTTATACACGTCGTTCAAATCTCCCGGAGCACATCCCGCGATCACCGGCTTCACGCCCGTGTCCTTTACTTGACTCATAGCCGTGTAGGGCATTTGAGGCTCAAAGAGTATAATAGATTAATATTGGAAACTCCTTGGGAACCCGAGAATAGGAGATTGTATAGTCTTATGTTGAGTTGCCTTCGGCTGGATGATTCCGTAACGAAGCGGGACTAGTCCATACGAGAAAATCCGGGGAACTTGGAGTTTCGAGGCCAATCAGAGCATAATGCGACAGCTGTGGCTTGACGGCGCCGGGGTCATCACATCTTCGGGCTTCCCGGACAAGCAGGCGCAGCCGCCGCTCGGTAGCTAGGCTTCTATCTAAGCGCCCTATTTCATTCGGATAAACTTCCCCACGAATGTCTGATTGAGTTCCTTTCTTTCTTGATTGACTGGATATCCTGCCGGAGCTTCTGGAAGTTTGAGTAATTACTTAGCAACTATGGCCTTCGTTAAGCATATTTAGTCATGCGTGCGACTTTTTGTCTCACTTGAGGCGCTTGTCTTTGCTCTTCCCGAGACCACACTAGCTGTGCTTGTACCAGAGATGGACTGACTGTCGGTTGCAAGGTCTGTCGTTAAGCATTTCAGCCTCTTTTTCAAGTTAACTGGCGCTGGATAGTCTGACTCTTCTGACGGAAATTGCTATGGAGGCCGTTGCCTGTCATTCCAAGATTATATTGTCTGGTTCAGAACGAGCCAACTCACTCTTGCGCAGATATGTCTGACTGGAACACACACCCTTCGCATCTGCAACCTGTATCAGTTGCCACTGACAGGTGGATTTTCTTTGCTCGCAACTCCGAGAAGCCTAGGCCAGATCAACTTTTAAATACACGTCGACAAAGAGTCTCATCATGAATACCCTGAAACCCCCCCCCTAGATTGTTACTTCTTCATGGCAGAGAAGATGATTTCTGCTGCTTGCTCCGCCAAGGCATACGTCGCGACCTGCAAGTTCGCCGAGACAGAGACCGGGAAGACTGAAGTGTCGACAACCCGGAGGCCAGAAACCCCAATGACACGCAGGTCTGTATCGACAACCGTGCCCATCGATACCGTCCCGGCCGGATGGTAACATCCACTACAAACCAATTGGCAACGAAACCACAACTTCGCGAATCACACGAGGGGCTAACAATATACCCTGCCATCTCCCGCACCCGGGCGTCGATCTCCTCGTCCGTCGAGTCTACCGTCAACGGGCTGGCAGCCAGCTCGCCGGCGATGATCTCCCGACCGAGCACCGTGTCGTTCGAAGTCAACAGCCTGATGTTGCGGCGGATCGTCTGCCGCGCGGCGTAGCGGTCGACGGCGGTGCCCAGGAAGTTGGGGTCGATGAGCGGCGCGTCGGCATCGACACCAAGCTCTTTCCACGAGTTGAGCAGAGCATCCCGCAGGGGGAACACCCTATCGGTCGAACCGGGAGACTGGATCTTGATAGGGCCGCTGTGGCCATGCGCCAGAGGGTTTGTCGAGTTGTCAAAGAGCGTCTCAGTCTTGCACATGTACGGCAGCTGGCCCTCGTAGCTCCACCTCTCATCGCCAACCCGCTCGGCCCAGATGTCGTAGTCTACCTTGTGACCACGGGGTCAAGCAGCTGGACAAACGTTAGCAGCCCGAGCCAAAAACTACACTGTTCCACTTGTGCTTACCTCCGTTGATGATCGTGCCTCCCCCAAGGCCTTTTCCCACCGGCGAGACGATCTCTCGGTTATCGAAATTTACCTGCGGTACCGAAGAAAAGCCCCAATCATATTCGCTGCCAATCGCGCTGCTCATGTCGATCCATTCGATGTTTTTGACAGCATGAGTGTTGGGAACGGCCTCGATGAGCAAGATCTTGAGATCGGGATCCTGCTGGAGGAGTCGGTTTGAGACCACAGACCCGGCGATGCCCCCGCCCACAACGATGCAGTCCCAAAGTTGCATTTTGTCGGGTCTTGGTGCAGACATAAAGACAAGCGGAGAGATCCAAGACCTGCAATTATGGTGTAATGCTCAAGCTTCGTCGTGTAAATAGAGAACAAGGTGGTATAAGGATAAAAGTCCGAGGTTCATGGGCTGCTAGGTCTACTTACCAACAAAATCCCAAAGTCATCGGGCCACATAGCTTAGAAGAAAACGCTTACGTACTACTGCATGATTTGCTCGTCGGGCAGACCCTTGGAAGAGATGCATCTAACTCCATATGAGCTGTTTTCTGCATGCTGCTCGGCTTGCAGAGACGCATCTCCTCGATGCAACTTAGCGGCATGAAACCCCAGCTGACTGGACCCTTCTTGTCGACGAAATATTTGGCGTAATGTGCGACCGTCAACTGTGCCTCTTCCTGGACAATTTCTCTTGCATGCAGACCGGGGGATATGCAGTCTTCAGACCAAACTTGGCTTCCTGAAGAGGGCTAGCACAGAGGGTCGTACTCGGTTCCGTTGGTTCAATGTTGCAGTGCAGGTATGCAATTGTGGAACTGCGGGCTTGGAGCTTACAAGGGCCTGAGGCTTTGATCGGCGACTTAAGAGATCCTGTTTGATGGGGTGATCGGAAAAGGAAAAGATACTAAGTGATATGAAGAGAGCGAAAAGCCTTTCGACTATTAGACGTTAGTCTAGGACGATGTTCATCCGGAGAACGTCCGCCTCGACCCTGCAAAAGGCAAGTATGCGGTCCTAGGTTTCCACACATTGTTGGCATTGAGTTCACAAGCACGGCTGCGACAGAGAGATAGAGATAGAGTATACCGGACACAGAGGACCTAAGAGAGTAAAACTTGAAATCATCGTTGTATGTGGTAGAGGTGGACGTGACAGTTACGATGTTTTGATATATAGACAACCGATGTTTTAATATTTACAGTCTTGAACCAAAGACACACTATTTACAACCTCATGTTCATGGTAGAGTTGATCTCGCCGAAGCGGATGTTGCTGAAAGTGACCTCAGGGTTAGGCTCAACCTTGACAATGGAGTCGGGGAATCCCTCAGTGGCATTGCAAGGGCCAGCAGCATTGGTATCGAGCCACTCCATCGCAGTCGCGTCGTCCCACCAGATGCTCATGGCCAGGACCATGCCGCGGGTCATGGACTCGCCCATACCAGTCATGCCACCCAGAGTCATGAACTGGTCGGCACCGGTAGCCTTGCAGTAGTCGTCGTTCATGAAGTTGATCTTCGGGGGACCCTCGATTTGGACGACGCTGCTGGTCACAACCTTGCCGTCCTGGATGTATAAGCGGTGGAGCGACTTGAGCTTTCCGTCCTGGGCGGGGAACTGGGTGACGACGGTGAACTTCCTGGTCGTGTCGACCTTGAAATTGGCGCCCCTGCCGTAGAAGGTGGTGTCGTTACCACCGACCTTGTACGGGTTCCATGAGCAGCCGGACTTGTCGCAGACGCCGGTCTTCTCGCACTCGTCACCGGTGCACTGGTACAGACCGGGCTTGTTGCAAGTGTGGGGAGCAATATGAGTGGCGCGAGAGTTGGCCTCCCAGATGTCGAGCTCATTGCAGCATGAACCCTTGCCATCAATGTTACCCTGAAGATTGTATTAGTCGAGGTCCTTAACCGTGCGCAGCAGTCAAAGTACTTACAACTCCGTTGATGAAGGACGTCTTGAAACATTGGGCATCGCAGTATCCAGTGCCGTAAGCGGGGCCGGCCTTGTTCAGCACGCTGGTGTTCTTGCCGCCATCAGGCAGCATCTCAGAAAGGTACAGCGCGCTGTTCATGCCACAAGGCAGCTTCACCATGTCGACATCGAAAGTGAACTCGTTGCCGGTAAGATGCAGCATCTCGTAACGCTGCTTGTTCTCTTCGAGCAGATACACACGGGGAGAGACCTTGTTGCCATCCTTGAGGATCTGCATGCGGAGGTCAGTGCCCGAGGTCGTGACACCCTTGTCGGCATAGTCGGTGATGCCCTGGATGATGCAGTTCTTCGCACAATCCTCGGCATTGGGGCAGGCGGTGACGTTGGGCGGGTTGTTGCCAGTGAGGCAGCTGACGCCCTCCTTGGTGTTGATTTGATGCTGGCTGGAGTCGGCGACAATGAAGTTGGTCTTCTTCACGCATCCGTCCTTGACGGTGCAGCGGAATGTTTCAAGCTTGGGGTGGTTATCGGTTGCATTACCAGGCGTCTGACCGGCGACGATGCTGGCGAGCAGAAGAGAAGCGGAAAGAATGGATAGAGCCATTTTGGCAAAAAGTTTTAAGAATGCAGATGCTGAGTTGGTCAACAGGTTGCAAGAAACGAAGGAATGAATGACAAGAAATGCTTGAGCGGATGAGGGACTTCGAAACCAAAGCCATCTGATGTGGCGGGACGACCTAGCTATATACTTTTGATGAACTGCACGATGATCAGATGCCGATTCGTAAGTCCTTCCATCATCAAACGAGTTTCAGTCACAACACGGAGAAGTCCAGAGCCAACGTCCATGACAAGCTTTCGGGCCAAGGTGGCATAGCTCAGGGGTAAAGGGGGGCTACTCTACATCCTTCAGTAAGGGTTCTTGACCCGAATGCCTCGCAAACGGGAGCTGTAATCTAAAGTCTTTACTGGAGGCTCAAGTGGTAAAACGGCTGCGGAGGAAGGGATTTGCTGCCCGGACTATGGAGGACTGATGAAAGTCCGGACGGTTCGTTGGTGTGCGTTGGCCACTCAGGGGTCCAAAGCCGGAGTTGGGGGCCAGGGAGCAACCTTGCTCTCGGCCGGCACGGATGCCATTTACCACTCTTTCTCACGGCTATGTCCGCCCCAAAATCTCTTCCCAATCCCAAAACGGACTACTCCTCCCGCATCTTTACGAATAAGCGCAGTTTAGAGTTCTCTCCTGTAACGAAGAAATTGTTTCCAGAAAGTTTATCGCACATGCCACCCTCAAATACAGAGCCCTACATCCCACCGGCTGAGACATGATTCGCGGCTTAAATGATCCCTCACATATCAGCCGAAAGAGAAAACAGCCCCCACGAAGCTGTTAGCCTCAAATCTCTCATATGAACGTCCTGAGCCATTTGCAGTCCAATGTCCGTCCCATGTTGCAAGTTAATTATTTCCAGACAGTAGATCATGTTGCGGCGGCGCAGACGTGTTCGTCAAAGGTCGGACAAACCGTGGATTCGGTGACCCGCGGGGAAGGTTAGTGACAAACCGACAGCTCCGGCTGCTTCGGATGCATTTGAAGTTAGCACGAGCCGTATCTTCGCCGTCCGTCATGAAGTCGCTACGTCGACGTTGTAGGTTTTCTTTTTAAAGCGTACGGAGATGGTTAAGCATAACTGGGCCAATCGCGACATCATTACCCATGTAATATCAGCACAATTTTCTACAGATACCAACACACGAGTCAACTTCACGGTACGCAACAAGCTGAGCCTCACTGATTTTGTCAACCTGATGGAGCTCCGCCCAAGATCGGTAGTGGCCCTTGTTCATCCCACTCGAATCTTTCCATCGGCCATCTCGCTTGTGGGTTGACAGACTCTTGGAATCAGCTGTCGGCCTGCGCTAACTCCCCGGCTTGGCACCTTCACTCGCTGGAAAGCATTCGCGTAATAATTCTCATGAGCCCCTTTGCGCAGGCATGTTCGCATGTATATGATTTATCGCATGGATAGGCTAGTCATTAGCTATCACCGAGCCGAGTATTCGGGTACCATGCAAATCGCTATCGGGTACCCACAAGGGCACCCCGACTTAGGCCTTAAAGAGAGCATTTGGAGAATGAAACATGATCTCCGTAGCGGGGCATCGTCACGAGTGTGATTCGTGCCCGCTTGCGCCTGGAAACAGTCTCAGATCCTGACATTAGTTTCGTTTCCCGACTCTGACGCAGGCAGGTATTCCATGCTCGCTCAACAACATCGTTGACGGACGACAGACGATAACAGCATCCTTAAGAGCCAAAGACTCGACTCATGAGATAAAGGATAGTTCCGAAGAAACCTTGCGAGCCTTCAAAACGCCAAGAAATCGAGGAATCGCCGGCACAGCTGCGAGTAGATACGGGCACATTTCGTTAGTAGAGTCAAAGTCAGCAATCTACAACCATGAGGCACGGGGTGCTTTACGAATACTGAAACGCGAATTGATGTGCGCCGGTAGCATAAAGCGGTAGTCCTCGTGCGGTGTGTTAAACCTGCAGCTCTACGGATACTACAATCACATCTGAATTGGGACAACGCGCACATCCGCATTCAGGCCGAACTGATGTTTTGGGTCGCAAAGAGAATCAGACTTCAGCTTTTCTGCGGTAGCGGGGATTACTGAGGCTGGGGCGAAGTCCTTACAGCGATCCTTTAGTGTGGAGAGGGTAAGATTAAACCGAATAAATCAGCTGCTAGGATTCTTCAGGTAGTCATCACCACAAACCTCACGGAAATATAAAGGGGAGGATCTGTAAATGGTTAGAAAAGCTAGCGTCCCCTCCGTCGATTTTGACAGTACGCCGCCAAGGGCATCTCCGATGATTACGGCGCCGAGTAGTCCACGCCAGTTAGCGTAAATAATGCATCAAAAGTGTGCTTGGATTCTTCTAAAAAATAGGCTTGTTGCTGCTGTGATGTGGCGATTAGAGGGGTGTAACATCACCGTCGCAGGGATTGTTGCATTGAGCTAACTTGTCCTGGCCGCCCGGCCGATAGCCGACAGAACGAGCGGGCACGATGGATGATGTTGAAATGGCAACGATCATTCAATTTTGTACGGGTGGCACGAATGACAACGGCCGATTGCCGGCGAGATCCTGCGAGATCAACACCGGATGTCTAAATAAGCGTCGATAAGACCGAACGGCCTCCCTCACGTTCCTTTCCAACTTCTGTAGTACCATTTTCTCAAAACCTTCAAATCTGGCTCTGATCATTACACTCGTGACCTGAAGCCATGAGGTTATCTCGCCTTTTCCATGTCATCCTGGCCACAGGACTAGTGTCTTCGGCATCCTTAAGGCCAAAAAAGCCTAACATCGTATTCATTATGACAGATGATCAGGACCGCCGGCTTGGCTCGATTGACTTCCAAAGCATTCTGCACCGTGAGTTGATTTCAAAAGGAGCCGAGTTCACCAACCATTGGACCACCACAGCACAGTGCTGTCCCAGCCGCGCAGGTCTGTTGCGTGGTCAGCAGAGCCACAATACCAACATCACACATGTCAGTGGTGCAGGGTAAGTTCAAGGACCCCTAAACATCGGCTTTTACCAAGGCTAAGATTTAGTGAAGAGGGAGTTACGATAAATGGACTCTAGCCGGCGAAGACAACGACTACTTGCCGCACTGGCTGAAGAAGGCAGGGTATAGAGTTGAATGTAAGAGACGCAGTCTAAGCAACTCCGCACCAATGAACATGGCTAATTCAAAGAGACAGATATAGGAAAACTTCTCAACGGATACAATACAGTCAACTATAACAGTCCGGCACCGAAAGGCTGGGACTTCATCAATAGTCTAGTGAGTTGCATAGATCGACCATCTAGTTGGAGCGGACGTTGATCTGGTCACAAGACGGACCCCTACACAATGGACTTCAACAACATTGTGATGTCCGAGAATGGCGAGCGACCACGACATTACCCCGGGTTCCACCAAACAGACATTGTACGAGCACAGTCGTGAGTTCTTCAAATCTCAGATAAATTCACTCTGACTAATTGATTGTAGTCTAGACAGGCTCCAGTATCTTACATCTCAGGAAAAGCCGTTCTTCTTGACGATAGCCCCCACCGTTCCACATGAAAACTACAACTTCTACGCTCCAGTCCCACTTCTACGACACAAGGGCCTCTTTCCCAACGTCACTTCTCCAAAGCCCCCCAACTGGAACCCCCCAGATGAACTTCAAATACAAAAGTCCAATTGGATGAAGAATTTACGCCAGTTGAACGAGACAGAAATAGCGCAAGGTGATTGGCTATTCCGCCAGAGAATCGAGTCGCTTCAGGGAGTGGACGAGATTATTGAAGATGTTGTGCAGTTGCTGGAGGACAAGCAAGTAATTGAAAACACCTACAGCAAGTTTTCGCAAAAAGGCTGGAAGATGAAGTTCTAACGGAAGTGACAGTCATCTACACCACAGATAACGGCTGGACAATCGGAGCCAACCGTGTCGCAGCTGGTAAAGCCACTCCGTACGCAGACGACACAAACCTCCCATTTGTTGTCCGTGGCCCTGGAGTGCCCAGCGGCGTCAAATCTTCTCTTCCCGGATCACATGTTGATCTCGCTCCAACATTCCTCGAAATTGCTGGAGTCAACCCCGAAGACTTTCCTCCATTTCTCGATGGTCGCAGTCTCTTTGACCAATGGCTTCAGCCTGAATCAGGCTACAAGAGCCAGAACCAAGGGGTAGGCAGGGAATTGCTGAACGTGGAGTTCTGGGGCTCCAGAATCATCGAGGCACCCGCTGCGTCTGAAGTTGGAACGATTCTGAACAACAGCTACAAGACTTTGCGGTTGGTTGGGAATGAGTTCTCGTGGTTATTTGTGAAGTGGTGCACCAACGAGATGGAGCTCTACAACACTCAGGTAGGCAACGGCTTTACCAGGATCAAGCTTATTCGGGAGCTGACTCGGGATAGGATGACCCTTACGAACTCGTCAATCTGATAAACTCCACTGACACCTCAGTCCAACAACTCCTTACCCGCCTCAATGCAATCCTCATGGTCACCAAGTCCTGCACCCAGGAAACCTGTCGCGACCCCTGGGCCGTCCTACAACCACCCAATTCTTCCCAAACCACAACGCTCACAGAAGCCCTATCTTCTGATCATGACGCCTTCTTCGCTTCTATACCGCAAGTTCAATTTAATGAGTGCATGCAGTACCAGTATATCCCCAACGAAGGCCCTTTCTACCCTTCGGGTGCGGAGGAAGGATTGTCCAGCAAATTCCGGCAACCAACGGATAACTTTGTGGAGACCAGCGCAGTCAAGGTCGTCAAGCCTGATCTCACCAAATTCTACGGCGGACCTGAGCAGAGAAATGTCAAATGGGCGGAGATACTTGCGGCTTCGAGGCCGCTGACGGATGAGGAACTTGGGTCCAGCGTTGATTCGAGAAGTTTCGAAGAGCGAGATATCCTAGAGTGGTACAACTGAAATGTCGGTGATGATTCAATTCATAATCTCTGGCAAAGACGTGATTTGAACGTGGATGAGGCATGCCACGGACTCATCCCATCTCCGCGCAACCACGTGGGCTTAGCGCTGCTCTTATCACTCGGTGATCGGTTCGACAACTACTCCCGTTACTCCCGAGACTATGATGCATGAGAATCCATTTATTAAGGGGATCTACGCCCCGAATAGCCATATTTTAGACGTCAATTAATATCGAGTCATTCGTACCCCCACTAAGGGATGCTGTGCAATTTAAAGCCAGCACAGGTGATGGTGATGCTGACTCGCACTCGGATGCCGTCTTCCAGAAGTCCGAAGTCCATATTTAACACCAATCCGCCTGCCAGAATTCAAAGATCCAGCCGTTCAACGAAGTCGGAAGTCTGCCACTCAAATCGACCATCATGAAGCTCTCAGCCCTTTTTGCCGTTGCAGCGCTCGCTGTCGCCTCAACAGAAGCGTGCGCCAAGTACAAGCACTGCTGGTATGGCTCACCCCATCACTGATTGGCCAATGCGCATGACTAACTTCGCAACATAGGTGTGAGAGAGACAACTTCGAGTTCCAAGGGAAGGTTCAGGACAACGTCCCCTGGGACGACGACACCGTCAAGGCGTGCGCAGACAACTCCGGAGAGGTCGGCTACTATGGGCAAAATTTTAAGGAGTGCTACCGGTACAAGAAGAACTTCATCGCCCTCATCCCATCGAAGGCTATCAACAATTGTGACTGGACAAAAGTGAGTCGGCTCCATCGCATTGTATGTGATTTTGAAAACAAGGGCTGACCTAAGCGTAGTCATGTGTTGCTGCTGGTGCTTCCACGGGTTACTGCCGCGATAAGATTTGAGCAAGCGATGGAGAGCATTGTTTAAAGATACCCATTACTAGTCTAGTATTAATACACCAAGACCCAGCGTTGGCATTTTCTTCACACATTGTCCTGAGGAGCATCAATGATCAACATTTCTGCGCAACAAGCCTTCAAATAACCGAGCATGGGCAAAGATCCAAACCGATTGCTTCGAAAGTAGCAACGACGATTTTCGAGCACCCTGGCTCTAGTGCGAGGAAGTAATACAGCCCAGTCCAAGACAGGTATCCTACCAATGAGTGAACTCGACTTGAGTGATAATTAGGGTGAAGGCTTGTCAGAAGTAGCCTCTGACAGATCTCTAAACTCGGCCGAGGTTGGAGTAGTGTGGAGCATAGGAATTGCACAGCTTTGGGACTACTTATACGCACTTCTGATGTTAGTCTCCAGTATGGGAGGTCACCAGGTTCGCAGCAGGTGGTGGCAGTATACCCCAGGATCGATCGAGTATTGTCAATGTAGGCATTGGAATAAAGGCAACCAATCTCAAGACACCGAAATCCAAGAGGGGTGCTTGACTTTTTTTGTGACTTGAAAAGCTTTGGAGCTCTGGTAGAGGCTGCGATATTTGTCAAAGTGCCGTGAGTTTTACGGAAGAGAATTGAGTGGATGTATCGCATTGGTCTGGTCACTTAGCACACTGCGGTAATGATGCTCGGGGCATTCGCCAACTTCACAAAACGATAAACTTTTGATTTCCCTCTCGCTATGCAACCCAACTCCATGAACGCAATATCACTTATGCGCGTACTTGCTCCGTCCTCTCAACCAGGCACCATACCGTACCAGCATCGGCGGTACGATGCAAAGACCCGTAGCTAACGCGGCAAACAAAGATGAAGCTCTGTTAAAGTCGAGCGCATCAAACAGAATACGGCCAAAGAGCGGGAATGATGCGCAGAACAGAGACCGAGTGAGCGCCAACGCGGCGAAGCTGCTAGCCGTATATGTTTCGTAGCAGTCGGATAGGTACCCGGCCAAGACGTGGTCAAACTCGTTGACCGCATACCCAACCGGCACGAGGGCCAGGGTTGGGACTATCCAGTGGATAGATGCGTACGGAGGGATTGTCCACGCGAACCACCAGAGACCGATGGCCAGTGCCGGGGCTCCGATGAGGTATCCGGTAAACTTCGACTCAGGGGAGACGGGCAGTTTCGCGTTGGCCAGCACGTGGCGGTCGTAAAATCTGGTAAGCACGCTGAGAAGCATACCAATGACTAGAGCAAGGAAGGGTATGTTCTTCCAGCCGTCGGTGAAACCTAGTTCTTCGTAGACCATTGGTAATACCTCCGTGAAAAGGTAGATGAGGCCGAACGCAATGGCGCTGATGAAAGCCACCAAGAACACGATCGGCTCGGTGAATAGCAGCCGAAGAGGTCGGACGATGTCGAACTTTTCGTAGCTCAGCGGGATGTGCCACTTGCTGCCCTTGCTTTCGGCATCATCCTTCGCCATCGCGTGACCCAGCACCACCGACGGGCGCGACTCGTTGATAGTGAGAAAGAGAATTGCCACGACAGCTGTCACGATTGCTGCGGCATAGAACACCCATTGCCTGATGAAGGTTAGTCGAGGCACCCAAAGACTAGAGAGAATGGTTACGTACCAAGCAGCCTGCGCCGTAATCAGCTCTCCGAAGACAGGTCCCGCCAGGATACCAAGGTTGGCCAACAACGCCCACCAAAACATCCACCACACTCGCGCGTGTGTATCCCATAAGTCCTCAATACTTCCAGTCGCAATCACCGTCGGGATGGCAGAAAGAAACCCGCTGCCGAAACGGCCGACAACGATCCCGGCAATGGTAGGAACCTTTCCGATCAGGATGCAGAACAAGCTGTAGAAGACGGTACTGATGACGTAGAGCTTCTTGCGGCCGAAAGACTCCGAGAAGGGGGGAAAGACAGCTCCACCGATGGTTTGGCCGATGAGATATCTTTTCATCTTTCTTAGTCAAAGTATCTGGGGGTACTGCGAGAGTTGACGCTTACGTTGAGACAAACATGCAAGTTGCTACAACAGGGCTGACACCAAGGTCATGATGCAGATGCGCAGCGACAGGCGTCTTTCGAACAGGTCAGCATTCATTATGGCATCCGCTCTGATATCGGTGGGACCTACTCCTGCAGTGCTGACCATTGTCCTTCTGAATTTAGCACCAGGAGTCTGAAGAGAGGGAAAAAAGGTTTCTTACGTGAAGAACTCGAGGAACACAATCAAGCTCGTGTCCCACGTCTTTCGAGCGCGTCCCCACGATCGAGGATGAACGCCTTTGGGCGCAAGCGTCTCTTCCGAGCTGGCATGCGGTCCAAGGCCCAGCTCGACGACATATTGGCCGTCGTAAATTGTCGAAGAACGCGACATATTGGACATTCGTGGAACTGCAAAAGTCACAATTCGACGCGACTAGCCATAGACGCAGACGAAAGTGATTTCCGATGTTTGCTGCGTTGTCCCTGGTTTGCGAAGACTGGCAAGTTTTATACAATACAAATATACTGGATTCTACAGAAGTCACGGAAATGGACTTAGAGTCCGTCGCCATACATACATACAATTCCCTCAATCACACAATCGAAGAATATGAGAATGCGAATGTCTTGGCGCGCAAATTTGTAAAGTCAACTTCATTAATTGCTAAAGTCTACTTTACACCGGTCGATCCGCACAAGGATCGATTACTGCTATTCATTGGTTCAGGTGGTGATCGCGAGTAACAGGCCTGTGTAGCTATGCTAGATCCCCTGAAAAAGGAGAAAATGCGCGTAGCACGTCGCTGGGTGTAGGGTTTCTATGGTTGAGTCAGGGCAGGCATTTACATCGCAAAGTACACACGTCGGCAATAACGAGCTATCATGATCCCTGTTACACCCTGCAAAGAAAGCTATGCCTCACATCGACCAACGGCACTCGCTGTAACTCAAGCACAGCTCTTGGCACTTGCTGAGTCGCGCTGTTTATGGATGAACGAGGGCATCTTCAGAGAAGGAGATGTTCAATACCGAAACCGACTTCACTGAGAGCCTTGCTCAGAATGAAGCCTGGCGAATCGCACACTAATCAAGTTGAGAAAATGGGGAGAAAGGGCCCCATTGCCGCCGGCACGGAAAAGCTCCTTGTTTCAAAGCCTTGCTCAGAACGCTGATCCCTAAGATGATGTGTATGATTCGCAAGTAGGGCTAATCCGAAGTACACAGAATGCGTTGCGCTGCTTGGTTAAAATAAGACCCGTCCACTCCGCAGTTGCTACGGGAGGCAAAGTTTAAAGTTCATTCCCGGTACGGGGTTCCCGCGCGCGGGGTCGGCGACGCCGAGACACAGCCGCGGAGGCCGTGGCCCGTCTTTCGGGCCGTTTATTACTTTTACCGAAGTCCGCGAGCATCTCGGGTTTTTCTTTCTATTTTTGTTTCTACAAATTATTTCTACGAATGGTGTTTGTACAAAAGAGCGGTCTTTGAGTTGATTTCAGTCGCTAAGGTGTCTTTCAATCCTCGGTCAAGCTTGAGTTCCCTATATGATTTTGAAAACAATCCCAATGGCGTGATGGCACGAATTTCGTTCAGCCCCTGAGTGAAGCGGTTAGATGAGAACTTGGCTATTGGTGACAAGTTTCTACCAAGCCGTCAGGATGCAAGTCGTTGCCAGCTATTTTGCGAGATGCTCGCATTTAGCCAAAGCATAATTGAACCTCTTGATACCTGCATACTCAATGCCTCTGTTAGACGGCTACAATTATCTGTATTGCGGCATTTGTTTAGTCATAGTCGGCCGATCGACGATGCGTTGGCAAACCTAAGTTGCGTCCGAGAAGATCCGTGGCTGCGACCCCCGCCTTTCCCGTCAGCCCGCGAGTCCCATGAACATTGCACCACTTATTCTTTTGACCAAGCTATATTCTAAGAGACGCTTCGTGGTTTTTTGCAGATTCCTAAAGAAACTTTTGCTGTGCTGTGAGAGTGCCTTGGGTAAGCTGACTTTTCCTTGGACATTCAAAAGGCTCTTAAATGAACAGACCCGCCATTCATCTCGTTTCATATGCTGGCCTATACGCCCCCACGACGGCCCGTTCCTCCAGTCATCTCTGCTTGTAGTGTGCCTAGAAGTTCGTCACAGTAGATCTGGTGGCAACAGAAGACACAAGCAGGGTAGAGTGCGTCACGTCAATTTTCAAGTTTCTCTACAGCACAAACACATTCCGGTCCAGATCGTTCACAAAGTCGATGAGAGCCCAAGAGTCCCGATAACTTCTCCAAAGAGCACACCGGGTCACTGTCCAAATCGCTACGAGTGCAATGCACTTGACATCCTCACCCTTCAGGGTGATAATGTGTCCAGTGGGGCTGCCTTTCGACTTAAGACGGGTGCAGTCGTAGCCACATATTTCAGTTGAGCGTTCCTCTTCATCCCCTTTTCTCTTCCAAGATAAACGCAGGGTTTTGCTGCTGCCCCCATATTCATCTGGCAGATTTAGGCTTAAAGCCGGGTGATAATCCAGTGAGAATCCGTTGATAGGTGATTTTATGAGGCTCTGTAGGGAAACATGGGTTTCGTGTGATAGTGATTCGTCATGAGTCGAGTTTCTGTCCTCAGATTCGTTGTGCTCAGAAGAAACCGCAGGGCTTTGATTGCGGGGTGCGCTATGGTTGCTTGTACTCTCATTTTGTGATGAACTGGCTTGGCTGATGCTTCCTTCGCCGTCCCGAATCGAATCATTCGGCAGGTCTTCTGATGGAATGTCTTGCTTGATACTTCCTTCATCGGGCTGAGTCAAAGTGTTCGTTAGGTCTTTTCTAAAGTCCTTGTCGAGAATAAAGGCGATCGCAATAGGGTAGCTGATAACATCTATTCCGCAATCTTTGATCAATTCGAAAAGATAGTTCTCAAATTGAGTCAGGTCTTTGATTTTGGAAGGGAAGTACTGATGGTTTTGAAAGTTCCGAGCAGGTACTGTCTTGATTTGAATTTCGGCCTTTTGTTCTGGTGCATCATTCTGTTCGTTGTGATGTCTCCGACTCTCCCGAAACATTTCGGGAAACTCCGAAACTGGCTCGCACGAAAAAGAGCGCATCGTAGAGTCGTTGAATCGCAAAACTGAATGCCATATAGTGCAGGGAAATTTGAGAGCAAGGAACCCACGCTCATCGTAATTTATGTGCAAAAATGCATCGAGCGCTTTCACAATGTCCGGTTTCCATAAGAAGATTGCTGGAGATTGTGAGTGTTGGGTCACGGTGTGCCATTCCGAAGCAATCTGTCAAGACCTGGACGAGCTCTCCCACTGCAAAACTTCAGCGCCATGGCGTATTTTGAGAGCATCGGAACAGTGTTCGAGAAGTATGGGGAGGGCCGATGACATTCCCAAGGAGAAATACAGGGTCAGTCCTTCCCCTGCTCCTGGAAAGGCATTGGACGCCGTTAGCCGAGGGTCGATTGGGTCGAGATATGAGATGGGTAGCCCTGTCCGTCCTGGGAGATAACCAAACGCGAACCAAAATCGGCTCTGCAAGTTGGGAGTCAATGGCAGGTGTTGTGAGGGTTCGTCCACGCCGACTGATGATACCCTTGGTTGCATCGCGTACTGAAATGCATCAAGACTGTGTATCCCAGTGCTATGTTTCTGCCGCCCTAGAGATTTGAAGTTCCCAGTGAACCCCTCGATTTCCCTCCCGCGAGAACTCGAAAACATTTGGACACCATGTCTTGAGTAAAAGCCTCTATAATAGCGGGTTGAGTTCCCGTAATTTGGATGTTGTCGAGCAAAATTGAAGGACTCGTGGCTCTGTAGACTCATGGCGTCACCGCTGTGGTCGGCCCCTGTGTCTGGTCGTAGGGCGAGTTGAGGCCATTTTTCCTGTTCCTTCCGACCATAAACTCCCAAGAGTCCCAAGAAAAAGATCCAGTAGCGGCTAACAACGAGTGCGGAGAAAGAATTGATGATTTCCAACTTCCCATCAGTTGAGCCAGCGCACATCCCAGCATCGTCATACTGGGGACTTTTGTGATGAGACTGTATCAAGGCGCAGAGCCTTGCCCATCCCGTGTTCCATGAAGAAAAGTCGACTTGTCTTTGCAGGTATTGGTAGCTAGCTGGGTCCTCTCCGTCCGGAAGAATGGGGGCGACACCCTAATTGTTATTCTGGTAATTGCGAGCCAAGTTGGGGACCTGGGAGCGTCGAAATAACGCAGGGCTGTTCCCAATGGCCCAGCCCTTTGTCAAAAATGTTCTGTTTTCATCCCAGACGCCATTGAGCACGCGAGTCTTTGTGCCATAAGCAGTTTTCAAAGCGTAAAAAGGACCGATAATACCGATCAAAGCAATGATGGCGAGGCTTGATGAGATCCAGGTTCCTGCGAGACTGGCGGCGTCAATGGAGCTCATGCTGACCGAGGTTGGGACAAGCCCGAACTGAGGTTGTGTGTCTTCGCTGTTTCAGGCGGTTGTTGGAATGAGAATGAAGGAGGGACAGTGGAAAGGCGGAGGGCTGAGCTTATCTTGAGGGGAAATGAAATTTTCGATCACGTCTAGGTGACTGCATATGCAGGATCATGCAAGGATATCCTCTGCAGGCAGACTGTAGATAACGATGCAAGCCTCAGCTAGACCAGATGACTGCATACGTGGTTCGGTGCATATTCGGCCGGCTTGGCACCACCTCGCGCTTTCAACCCATTGGCAAATTTCAAGTTCAGATTTAGCAGCAACATCAGGTTTCTGGAGAAAACAACGCTATCTATCTGTCACCATCTATGAATGCCAGCATTTATTTCACGAAGAAGTTCAGCGTTTACTTCATTGACGTCCCGCCGACCGTAAGACAGCATCCTTTCCCCTTTTCCGGATTTTCTCATACTTCTGTATCATGTTAGCGCCTGCTGACACATGTTGTCAACTGCTGAATGACTTCGACAGAGACGTTGCGGAGAAGGCTGGGAAACAGGCAGTCCCCCGCAACGCGCAAGCAGCAAGCTCCGAGCTGATGATAGCGAGTTGTAGGGTTAACTACTCGTTGGGACAAGATAGGCTACCCCAACAATTTCACTTCTGATGAGTTCAAATGTTTTCACACTTGATTGCTTGATATGAGCGCGGCTTGATAGGCTGCCTACATCATTGCGGCTATTTTCAGAGTGGTATGGGTGATGAAAGTGACGTGTGAAAGGCCAAGCATATGGTTCGCCATGGCCTTCATGCCCGCATGGCGGCCAGCGCGGCTGCGGCAAGTGCGACTAAGCAAATACGAACACCGAAATTGCGAAATTGTGTGATTAGTTTAGTGTTTTGGCATATTCCGTCTAATTGTAAGTGTATCAAATTACGTACTATGGTAGACCACGTTCATTTGACCTCCTAATTAGGTAATTTTGAAGCTATTTCGAAGCTCTAATCTGTAGGTTACCCTTTAAGATCAGATTCACACGTAGTTGCCAGTCCCCAAAAGCTAGCTGCCAGATTATTCAGCTGTTTAAGAGGACTCGATAAACTCCTTTGTATACACTTCGCCTAGCCAATAGCGAGTGGTATGGGTGGTGGAGAAAGTTTGGGACTCTTTTGACTGCAGTCGAATAGCACCTGATGGGATAGCTGGAAATACCTCATTAAATAGGACAGTAACTGTTTCAGACCCCCCTTTCAGCTAGGTTGATTTACATGTAAGATATCACTTATGGCAGCAATCGAGGGGTGGGGAGTTGCTTCTTTGGCCAGTGGCGATGGCCTCACTTTGCTTGGGTGACTTAATTACTTGCTAAGCCGTTTGAACTTGTGGAGTTGTTGGTGGCGGTCATGCTCCCTCCCAAGAATTGGAAGCTGATCTGCAAGTGGCTCTCAACGTGCACACGTGACGGAGGACTAAATGTCTTGAGAGTCCGGGAGTTTGATCTCACTGGAATGGAGACATTTGACTGATAGGAAAGGGAGGCACACTCGATTCTGGACGTACCGATCGCTGAGAATTGGTGAAGTCGATGATGATGGGACAACCCGTCCACACCGTACTCTCCGTGAAAATCATACGGCAGTCAAAAAATGTGCTCCCGCCGGCGTTAACTTGCCACGCAAAAGTATGGAAAGCCGTCAGAAGAGGAAAGGACATCGTAACGCTTAATCTGCAGCCCACAAAGCAACTACCTACCTTCGTAGATCATGTCTGAACTGAACTTTGAAGAAACCACGAATTGACAAAGCTATGAAAGCTAACGGCTGTCCCAATATCTCAGCCGAGGTAGGCTCAGACGTGGGCTGGAAAGCTTTGCTCCACGAGGCACTCCAGTCACCATTACGTTAATGATCGAAGAACAAGACAATATTATAGCCATGGACAGGAATCCACAAAATCAAGTGCGCGCCAAATTTCCGTCGGCGAGCATCTTCCCTCCTCGCCTCCGAATTTCCATCCATCCGCCATATCGCCACGGCTTCCACCCACACTCAAAACCGCAGCGTGGGGGTAACTGTGGCGGAGCGGCGGCAACCGGCACGGCTTCATCCCCGAGACCGTCATCCCTGGAAGAGTGATGTGGCATCTGCACACCATTCCTCCCTCCGGATACGCAGCCCTCTTGGAAAACGATGATGGGGTGGTCCCTGTTCCAAACCATGGGCCAAGCCTTGCGTAGAGCGTTATGGAGCTTACCTGGAGCTTGGGTGATGTGACGTGCAGCTACTACGAAGCTGACTGAAGCTAGAATTTGCTTGTCTTGGTGCTTTTGCTTGAGCTCTTGGGCCCTTATTCCAGTCTTGGACTCTGTTCACCGGATAGAAGTGACAATTTCACCAAACACAAATCATGAAAATTTAGAAGAATTAAAAATCAACTTTTGTCTACTCTATGAAATATGCCTAAACGCCGTCCTGATGCGTGTATTATATGTATCTAATGCAGCCCGCTCTCGCCCGTCTCCGCCATGTACTTTTGGCAGTTGAGCATGATTCTGAGCTGATCACTGACTTCCTCGAGTCTACCCAAAACCTTCTTGTTTCCATCAACAAAGCTCAAAATAGAGTAAGGAATACCGGTATCCGCGCAGAACTCGCGGACAAAGACCTGGGCCTTGCGCAGGTTGTGACGGGGCACGCGGGGGAAGAGGTGGTGGACGGCCTGGAACTGGAGTCCGCCGTGGATGAAGTCCAACCAGGCAGGGCAGTCGACGTCCATGGTGGTACGCAGCTGGCGCTGAGGGAAAGACTCGCTCTCGCCGAGGTCCGAGGTCGACATGCCCCAGTGGCTGAGGGTGATCTGGACGTGGAGCGGCATGGTGATGATGTGGGAGACGAGGACAAAGGCGACACGGATGGGCCAGGTGGGCAGCGTGCAGAGGATAAGGCGGTAGCCGAAGATGTACCAGAAGCAAGCCATGAAGGCGATCTCGGTCGGGCGAATCCACCAGGCCTTGCTGTTACCGAGAGCAGAGGACTTGGTCGACAGGACGTGAAGCCACGACAGGAGGTACAAGTTGAAGCGCGCGATACCCATGACAGGGTAGTAGGTGAAGCGCTGGTACTGGACGAGGAAGTCGGCGGCGGCGTCCCAGACGAAGGTGAAGTCGTAGTAGGAGGAGCGAAGGGACTTGAAGAAAGAAGGGCACGTCGCGAAGAGAGGGACGTTCTGGATATCGGGATCGTGTTCCTGAGCATGTTAGTGAAATCCTTTGGCAGATTCAAGCTGGCTGACTTACAGGCTGGTTGGTGATGAGGTGGTGGACATTGTGACTGCTCTTCCACCATCCCATAGACAGACCGCAGCAGAAGTCGGCAATGAAGAGACCAATGAGGGTGTCGAAGGAGAAGTTGTGCGTAATGGCACCGTGGCCAGCGTCGTGGGCGGTGAACATGATTTGATGCTGTGTCGTGTTAGTCCTGGTCCATCAAACTGAACATGATGACTTACCCAGAAGAGACCCAAGAAGCAAGCCGAGGTCATGTACCACTCGTAGTGGAGGAAGATGAGGAAAGACACGAACAAGGTCGTGTAACGGGCCATCTCCTTGCCGTAGTCGAGATAAGGGCAGTCGTAGAGACCGGCGTCCTGGATGCGATCGTGCAAGGCGCGGTACTTAGCCTGGATATCTTGCTGGACGGCAGGGTCGAGAGACGGGTATTCGTCGAGATCCTTCTCGATGCCCTGCTGCATGGCCCAGTCGGTGAACTCAGCGGCGGTCTTGGGGGCCTGGCTGCGGCTGGACAGCTTGAGGCCATCATCGGTGAAGTCTTGAAGATCGCCGTGGGCGGCGAGACGTCTCCGGATGCCGGTGTCGACCTTGTCCTGGACCTTGACGTCCTCCTCGGCAGAGCTGCAGTCGGATGTCAGGGATGTGCGGGAGGTCCCATCGGAGACTTCGCTGACGGCATCGTCTGTGGAATCCTCGTCGAGATCCGACGAGGGGCAATCGACGATGTCGGCAGGGGCATCGGAGACATCTGCGGCTGCATCTGCAGGCGTGGTGTCTTGCTTGGTGTAGACACCGCCCCTAATTGGTGGTGTCATGTTGACCCAAGGACCCGCAGGCTTCCGGCCTATCCGGAAGGCCTTCATGGTCTTCAGTGTGGCCGCCGAATGATACCTAAAAAGAAGCGATATGTCAGCACACTAATTCCACTTTACACATCAACGACGGAGTCTTGACAAGTCCGAATGCGAAATATTAATGGCCCGTTCCCACCCCTCACCCTCATCTTCGCTTTCTCCAACCTGAGGGGCCGCTGCAAAAATAAGCTTAACCAGACTTCTGGTCCATCGATGCTATTCTGCCAGCCTCCTGAACCCTTTTTCCGAATTCGGAAATGGACCAGGGGGATCCCACCCAGATCTTCTGTGGCGCATAGCGAAGCAGAGTGGTGGTGGACGGGAGCCAGAAGGAAAAGAAAATGGTGTGCGAGGTAAGTTGAGAGTCATTTACACTTTGATTTCGTCGGTCGCATCTCTTCCCACCATGTGCAGGATAGCCAAGCGGCCGCCGGGGTGCTTCTGGAGCCAGCTGTCGAGGCGAAGCACCATCTCGTCGAGGATGACGATGACCTTGCCGTCGGCGATGAGGCCCTCGACCTCACGAGGGGTGATTATCCTGGTGTCGCGGTCCATGATGGCTCTTGGTGTCTGTATTATGCGACGCGCTCGGAAATCGGTTCGGTTGTCGACAAGTGTCGGTCGCAAAAAAAGAGCGGCGGAGAGAAGTCTCGAGGGGGAAGGAGCTCAAGAGGTGAGAATGCGGGGAGCTTGGCGATGGGCTCCGGGAAGTGTGTTGGTCGACCAGGCGAAGGAAGTCAACAAAACCTCGATCAAGAAAAAAGGCGCTCAACGAAACGTGGCGGTCGAAGAAAAAGTCGAAGTCGAATTCACCTTCCGGGTCGCAGTCGCTCGCAATCCGATGATTGGGGCGGGTGGGCTGGTGGCAGGAGCGAAAAATCGACGAAGTTCGACAGAATGAGAAGGACCGTTTGCGCCCAGATGCAAGAGTCGGTGGCAGGAGCTGAGCTATTTTCTACTACCGGATCGCCCTCGACAGAAGCTTGGTGCTTGCTTGACTGGATGGACCTGGAAAAAGGCTGAAGAGTCAAGACCGGTCGAGCTTCAGATGATCGAATCCCTGTTTGGCCACCTTCACAATGGCAAAAGAGAAGTGTTGGAGGAGAGTCGCGCCATCATCAGACGAGAGAGAGACGACACAATTCCGGGCGGATGGGGGTAGGATAAAGGCCAACGACGGGCAGGCAAGGCCAGGTACGGGAAGGCAACAGGCGAGGCAGTACCTTCGCATGGGATAGGACAGGACAGGACAGGACAGCATGGGGACGGGGATAGAGATGGGGATGGGTATGGGGCTGGGATAGGGAGACCCGATGGCGACCAAGACTCGTCGTACCCCGTACGAGTGACGACTGTGGTGGTGTGGATCACTTTTCTTGTCGTCCATCCCGCGCTGCACACCCCAAGCCCAGGAAAAATAAAAAAGACTGGGAACTGGGAACTGGGAACATGGTGGTGCTGGTGAATGGCAAATGCAATGGGGGAACTGAGAATGACTGGGGACCGGGAAGGAACAAGACGAGAACAGGAGTCAGGCACACTGCAAGCTCGCAGGCACCACACCGCACCACACCGCACCGCGGGCCAAAAAGGACAGAAAACAGCTTGTTCCCAGCAAGGCAGGTCGGAATCGAAACAGTGTGCGTGGTGGGTTCAAGGTCCCACGTTGCCGTTGCGAGATGCGAGAGAGAGAGAGAGGGACAGAGAGAGATTGAGTGCGGGCATTCCATCCATCAATCTGGGCCCCCAAACCAAACGGGAAATGGGAAAATCCCCTCGTCTCCTGCTCACCTATCCGTACCATTCACCAAGCCGCGCCGTACTCCGCCAAGCGCAGAATGACAAGCAAGCAGCTAACGGCGACCCGCGGCACACTCTCACACTCTCACACACCCCTCTTTTCTTTCCCAATCTTGTTTCCCCCTGCTCCAATCCAGTAATTTGGCCGCTGGTGCTTTCGCTAGCCCCGGGGCGCAGCGTATTGTCTTTCACTGTGCATTTGTGCAGCTTCGCGTCTGTCTTGGGAAGCTTAGGGGGGATAGGATGGGGGAAAACGGGGAACCGAGGGCACACAGCAGACCCGACTCGCAAAGAAGTTGCGGCCAAGGACACCAGCCGGGACGCTGGAGCCGTGGGCCGGTAGCAGCTTATCTGATTGACCGAGGGCCTTGACAGGACCCTGAAAGGCTGAAACGATGAATTTCGGGGTGCTGTTGAATCATGCGGTGCGCGTATTGGACCATACGCGGGTGAACCGTGATTCGGGGCCCCCATCCAATTCTCCAGACTTCTTTTTATGGTACCTTTATCGAGGCACCAGTACCCGTACCTGTACCCGTACCGTACACAGAGAAATCTCAGTGCGAACTCACACACGCTGAAAAAGTTGGCAGAGTCAAGAACACGCGTCAGAAGCGAGAAAGAATGGAGAACGAGTGGGACGGGACCCAGGACCCTTGAAACTCAATTCCGTGCACGGCTCTGGACGTGGCAACTGTGAGCGCCAGCGTCGCCTGTGATCCAAAGGCAGAGGTGCTCAGATGCTGCAACGCAGGCGGTGGGAGAATGTTTCTCGAAAAAGGGCACACGCCGGCCTAGTCTTTCTTCGGCTTGGCCTTGGCTGGCTGGGCTGGGAGGGGTGTGCGCCTCTTCGAGACTTGTCTTGGACTGGAACTTGGGACCAACGGCCGACGGCTGGGCAGTTGGAACAGTTGGAAGTTTGCCGAAGTTGGAGAAGGCTCGACGGAAATACGCGCCTGATTGGAGAAAAAGGAGGGTGGGCATGAAATTTCGACTCGAGTTTCGCCTGCTGATTCCCTGTTTCCAACTCGTTTTTCGGCTCTTCTTTTCGTTCTCATTTTCCTTTCCCGAGCCTCCAACAAACTGGCGAGTAAAAAGCGAGCAGGAAAAAGGTTCATTTGGCGAGCCGAGCTGCTGGAGCAAATTGGCCCGAGAGAAATGGCGCTTGTCAAGCACAAGAGCGGAGGCCGTTTCCCATCAACGACAATGACGACCAGGGGGGTCGATCCAGGCTCTTGGCCACGGAAATTCTCCTTGGCGGCACCCGCTGCGCCTCAACGCGAACCCATAGAAACCTTGCAACCAAGTGAGGAGATGCGACATGGATGGTGGCTTCTTCCGTTGGGGTTTTGGTCAAAAGGCCGCCTCCAGGCTCGTTGTCCACTGCAATAGCGAACCTGTCAGTCTGCTAGCGGGCGCCAGTGGCACAGATAGTGGCTTTCTTCCCGACGGCTGACGATTTGGACTGGCTGAAGGAGGCGGGAAGCGTCGTGGATGTTGGAGAATGCTTGGCGTCCGCCCCCAAGCCGGTGACGGGCCCAGACGCACCGAACATGCTACTCAGCGAACGGACTTCCCATCTCATCTGATGTTTCTGGCGCCGTGCATCACGATTTTTCAAATAGCGCGTTTCTTCGGTAGGTGTCCTGGAACTTAGAAGGCCAGCAGCAGTCAGCCTGTGGTCAATGTTCTGCAGATGATGTTCGAAGGCATACAGAAAAGCAGGAGAGCTGTTCAGCTCACCTCAGCTGGCAGCCCCAACCGACGGCAGCAGCACAGCAGTAGCGAACGCCACAGAGACGAATCAGAACCCCAGACAATAGTGAACGGCTGATATGCTTGTCAATCTTGAACACCCCACTTAACAGCCACGACTAAGGCGAGATCCACTGCCATTGCTCACAGTACGTACTGAGGCGTCGCATTCGCAGCGTACGTAATATCCCGTATCCATATTGGAGTAGCTCCAATCGGTCCAATGACGGCTGTTTGTGTGCGTGGGCGGTGGAAAGTGATAGGCAAGGGGAAACCCCAAGAATAGTGTAGGTGAGCGCCGAAGGTGAATCGAAAAAGTGGTTCGGCACCACTTGCGAGCACCGTCTGCCCTCTCTGGGCGGAGGGGCGAAAAGGGGGTTGGTGGGAATTGGATTGCGATGCCACAATGCGAAAAGAAAGATGAGGAGAATCTTGGTTGAGATGGGCAGAGGGTGTGATTGCATGCGCATCAATGACCAAATGGCTCATTCCTATTCCTTGGAGCGTGTTGGAGATGGATTCATGGAACAACGAAAAGTGGAGGGCCTGCGCAGGAACACCACCACGCGAAGTCGATCCGAATGGGCGACATGCAGCGCCCGTCGTCAGGTCGTGGTTCTTTGGATGCGCGCATCCAATACGCGTGAAGCTGCGCGAGGAGTCGAAAGGAACGAATACGTCGTTTGTGGGGCCTGCAGAAAGGGGTATGGCGGCTTTCCCTTTCCCTTGGAGACTTTTTGGAGACGGCTTCGGTTCGCCTCTGGGCCTGTGGCATCATTGGTGCCGTCGGTGATGTCGAAGTGAGGGGCAGCTCGTCTCGTCGATGGTCCTGCGCCATTCGGACGGGTGGGGGGAGAAGTTGAGAAGCGGAGGGGGTTTGCTAGCGCAGTCGCAGTCGCAGTCGGACCTCGTACGCTAGGCACTTGGTAGCGTGTCCCTTTCCAAGCTTGTCCCAAGCTTCTTGCAGTCTTGCAGAGGTGAATGGCCCGGTCGCACCTTCCCCAGGGGGATTTTGCTGGGTCTGGGCCCGTCGTCGACCCGCGTTGGACCCAGGGCGATTGTGATTCGACACCAGAAGCACGCAGATCACCGACCGTTGCGAAGCACGTGTCGGCTTTCATCCCGACCCAAGACGAGAAGCTCGGATCAGCTCGGAAAATCTCGAGCCTGCCTCGGATGAATCCACTACTTCCTCGTTGAACTTTGAAGTGGAAACGAAGTCAGAGCAGGTGCCGCCCACGGGTCCTAAGTCCCCGGGAGGTTCCCCCGTCCCCGACGGACCTGCCTCGCCTGCTTCCCGTCACTGTTCTCTCTCTCATCTGGAAGGCACGGGTTGCTCCTCCTTCCAGATCTTCCAGAAACCCACCCGCTAGCGCTTCGCAGACTGCTGACTAAGGTTTCATCCTGTTTCGGTCGCCACTGCCGTTCGCTTGTGACGGCTCCCAGAAATTCGCCTTTCTTTGGCAAGAAGAAGCGCAAAACCACGACATTGATCCGTTCCAGTCTACCTTTCTCTCACTTCAAGCACTTAAAAAAAAAAAAAAAAAAAAAACTCTTCAGCGACCTTCAAAGTCAGCAAATGTCGTGAAACCAAAGCTGACTCGACGCAGAAACATCGGCATTGCTCCGGGTCACGTGGAGACATGTCATCGCAACCGCATTGGACGAAGAGGCGAAGCATCATCTCCGCCAAGATGAGGCTGCAGATGCACTTTAGGCAGAGTTCAAACCTCATGGAAAACCGTTGTGCCCCATGAGCCAACGAGCTGCTGCTATCTTTGCAAATGTCAAGCATCGTACAACCCAGTTGCACAGGCACACACAGACAAAGTCGGACAGTCGGAGCGAGCTTTACGCGGAACTCGGGAACATCAGCAAACTTCGGGGGTGCATTACCACTTTCGGTCGAAATCAGGAAACCGCCTACTCTTCCGCTGTCAAACCGACTACTTTTCCTGTGACCATACTCTACCCTACCGTCGTCGCTTCTGTCGTCGTCCGTCGTCATCGCTTCCATTGTCGTCGTCGTCGTCGTCGTCGTCGCTATTGTCGTCTCCGACAGGAGCAATCAAGTACACAGGAACTGCGCAGACACCGGAAGATTAGTCTCAGACCATCGGAGCCGGGCTCTTGACAGCGAGCCGCATCGGTCCGATACCGCGCACGGGGAAAACGAGAAGCCCGCCAACCATCCGCTGCGAGTGATGAGGTCGGCGGAACCATGACCGAGTATCAGTACGAACCGTTGTCCCCGGACTCCATCCGGCTGCTGGTCCTCCAACCCTCCGCTTACGACACTGAACTCAGGGGATCCCTACTTTGCACCACGCTGGCGGAAGCTGACTACGACTTGATCGACCCTTACACAGCCCTGTCTTACGTATGGGGAAGTGACGAAAGGCCATGTTTGATTTTTCTCGATGGCAAAGACTTTGCCATCACGCAGTCCCTACATGACGCGCTGCGTGACATGCGTGACGCCACGCGGGTCCTCAGAATTTGGGCCGATGCTCTTTGCATCAACCAGGGTGATGTGCCGGAACGCAATGTGCAAGTCAAGCTGATGGGGAAGATCTACGGGGCGGCTTCCAATACGATCCTCTACCTTGGACATCTGACTGAAGACGCGGCTGAAGTCCTTGCTGCTACGACATGGAGAGCCGCAGAGGTCGACTATGATTCAGATGGTCAGAATACAGGAGGTACACATGTCGCAGAAGTCAGCAACAAGCATACCCTCGTCGAGGTCGCCTGTCGTGGAATTCTTTCACGACCATGGTTCCAGCGCGTGTGGGTGCTGCAGGAGCTAGTTCTTTCCAAAAGTCCCTGGATACAGTGCGGTCATCAACGGGTTCGATGGAAGGACTTTTGCCGCTTTCTGTTCTGCAAGGCGACAAACCCACCCAACAAATACGGGGCATTGCTAAGCGTCCTGGGAAATATGAACGAAACTCGCAATCTTCGAGCCGGGGGCGTCGGAATGCCTCTCTGGGATGTTCTCAAGCTACGTCGAGGGTTCGGTGCTGCTGATCCACGGGATCGCGTCTATGCCAATTTTGGCATCATCAATGACTTGCGACAGGTTCGCAGATACCTCAATGTTGACTACGGAGTGTCGTTGCAGGTTATGTTTTCGAAACTCGCCGAATACATCATCAGCGCAAAAGGCGCCACATATTTGATGACAAGTTCAGGATTTGCGTTTCGAAGACTACGTTGAGGGCTTGCCATCTTGGGTTCCTCAGTGGCAGTATCCTTGTTCTAATATGACAACCTTGAATGATCCCGCGTCGGAGTTCACGGGAAGCTATCAGGTTTTGAACATTGATGGGATGCCATCCATCTTAGCGCACACAGGATACGGTGTTGATATAGTGGCAAGTGTCAGTGCTGTCTTGCCCATAGACCGCCAAGCTGCCAATGCTCTGGTTGCCACAGAAAAATATGTCCACGTCCGAAAGATGCTCTCAGAGTTTTACAACGACGTTGTTAAGACCACGAAACCAGTCAAACCAGCCGACCTTCAACGCGCGTTGGAGGATTATTTTTTGATTTTGAGGTTGGATTCCCTTGCTATAGAAGAGAAAGAATCTCAGCACAAAAGCCTCTGTGAGAGTCTTGGTCTCGAATGGGTCCGATTCTTCGAGGCCTTGGATGAGCAGTCGAACGCAGAATCTTCGGCGGGTGAAGACTTCAGTGCTCTCTTTTCTCTATGGGTACGCCGTGAAGCGAGAAAGCAACGACCATTTCTGGGCGTCAGAGATACTTTCGGTAGGACCGAGCAGTCCGACTGTTTCAACGTGCCGTATCTTCTTCAAAGATACCTAGAATCCGACACTGATGACCATCTTCCCGGAAGGCGACTAGCCATCACAGATAGCGGAGAATGTGCGCTCGTTCCCGAACACGTTCGTGAGGGCGATGTCATAATCGCTTTAACGGATCCTACTCACCTTCATGGACGTCCCTGGCCACTTCTCATCGTTCGGGAGAAGGAGGAAGAAAGATCCCAAGAAATGGACGCTACAATCATGGAGGCAATACACAAACACAAGACACAGCCAAACGAAGTACCTACGGATATCTATGACCCGAACCAGTGGCGAGCTTTGCTGGCACGGGACGCTGACTGTGTCAAGCACTGTGGAGTGATTGGACAGGGTTATGTTGATAGACTCTTGGATTCAGAGATCATGCCCTGGGAGAGACAGTGGCATGTGTTTGCGCTGCATTGAATTGCATGAGACAAGACAAAAGAAGAGGGTTACGCGCGGAGAGAGACATATCTACATATCTCAGCACAAAATAGCGCCCATAGCATGATTTATGTCTAGAGACTGCCTAATTCTCCCATGTCCGATTGACTGCCTTTCCTGCATACAGGTGACTTTGATGAGAACAACGACGACAGAGGAAAACAAAGACAGGGGACAACAACAACAGAGGACAACAACAACAACAGAGGACAACGACGACAGACGACGACGATAATAGTGATAATAGGAGTACGTATAGTAATAATAAGAGTAATGCTAATGGTAATAATAATAATAGCAACTTCACTGTAAACGATAATAGCAAGCTCACAGGAGAAGCATTTACGCTAGCACAGAAGAAATAGGGGCCTGCACCTCTACACCTGTCTAGTGGTGTAACAGTCTATTGCTAGGGCTGTAACATTTGCTCCTCGTCAACGCCAAAGACAACAACAGCGAAGATCATAGGTGCTGGCCGTGAAAGAGATAAGGAAGTCGCGCGGGCTTCTCAAGCTGGTAGAAAGATGCCCCATAGTTCGTTAGTTCCTATTAGAAACGCTAGAGCTTCTTCCGGGATACATACAGCCTGAGGTTCCTATAGTTAAGAACAGTAAGCAATGCGCTAAGTATGAACGCTGCACAGCATGCTTCACTAATATGAAATTTCATTAAGCTATCATAGTCAATATGCATAGATAAAACTCCGCTTTGAAAAGATGACATAAAATTTTATTATTTAAGTGTAATCACCTCACCTATGTACTCACCCTAATATACCCCCTTTTAGTTTAGTAAAACATTTCAAGCAAGTCTAAGGTGAGGAGGGTGAGTAGAATAAGGATAAGTTCAATAAGTAAACAAGTTAACTAGCAAGTCTGTTAGAATTTTCTAATTACCGACTTTCGCTGAATGTCTTTTCAGGAATCCCAGAGGCCACCGCTCGTAGTCCAGGTCCATAAGCGTGATTCCGTCGTCTAGCTGGTAGTCCTCCAGCGCCCTTCTCCACTCCTCGGGGATAGAGACGTACGTCTCGACATAGCTTGCGTTACACGACATACCATTATAAACAGAATCCAGCTCGCCTTTATTCGTTCCAATCCCAGGGGGCAGCGAGGGCAACTCTATATCAAAAAAGTATACATATTATAGCAACTCTTACACTAACAGGTCGAGCCGTTACACACCTCAAGTTATATCAAGCCCTAGTTCCCCCGCCTTACGCTCTAGAGCTTCACGATAATACACATTATAGCTTCGCCTAGCCTCATTCAGCAGACTGAAACTCAGTTCAACAGGCTCGCCACCATCATCCCCAGCAATCAGGCTATCGAATAGCGTCTGATTGTCCGAGAAGATAGCAGCACGAGCAACACTAGGCCGCATTAGGGGGATAAGGCGTGCGAGAGCCTCGTACGTCGAGGAAGCAGCAACAGCAGGATACCAGATCAGTCGGGGGCAGTCTCCATTTAGATACAGGATATAAGACAGATCGTTATTCATAATTCCTCGCGCCAATATAGCCTTACGGATAGGCAATTCATCGCCCTCAGGCAGTAGCTAGCTTTTCCACCATTAGGCAAAAGTCATATTATAATCTACAGAAAATATCAGAAGCTACAAAAGACCTCCTCTTACAAAGGTTAGTCATACATATTCCGCAGACAATACATCCGATCTAGTGGTCAAGGAGTCGAGGTCGTCGCAGTCGATAGTACCAATCAATATCACCGTTATATACTACCATGAGAATAAGCAAGTCTTTATAGCAGGTAGTCAGGTCGACTAGGAGCAGCTAGCAGAGAATCTTCAATACCTCTTCATCAGAATTCAGAACTACTAGGGTAATTAAACCCAGAAGTCCACCATTCCCGTCGAGATCGATATTCATATCCTCAGTGATATTAAAGCAAATCTATATAAAGCCAAATAAAAGACTGAGGCCCCAGGGATCCAACTCGTCGTCATCAGGCTCAAAATCCCCTTCTTCATCATCTATACAACCAACTAGAGGTCCAAACGCCTAGGTCTCCAGCAAGTACAGTCGGATTACAGTATCGCCGTTCAAAAAAGCAGGCTTCAGTGTTATAGTATTAATCGTACAGTTATAATCGTCAAAGACTTTATACCGACAGGGCGCCTCCATAATCATATTGAAGATAGCATAGTTACCGTTCTCTCAGGCTTCCTCAGCGATAGAAACCTCGGGCAGGATTTGAACGGAAAGCTCCTTATAGAGCTCTATATATCCAGCGACAGCACACACGCGCGCAGCCTAGTAGGCCATAGCGGGAAAGCACCAGACGAGCGCTCTGAGGATGTCTTCCGAGGGAAGGTCAGGAAACCATATGCAGTAGGGCATATATCCAGGTTAATCAGGATCCATGTCTGGGACTCGATTGCTCATAATAGCTCTCGCGTTCAGGGCACGAGTAAAGAGTGGTAGCAACCCACAGAGGACGGCGGCTAGGCCGAAGCAGAAGTCCGCATAGAACCTAATGCCGTGGACGACGCAGAGACGCATGAGCTCTCGGCCAAGATCATGCAGGAGTCGTTTACCCTCAAATACTGCTACAGCATCCGCGTGGATGTATCTGCGAGACCGCAAGCGCTGCTCTAAGTCGCCTGTAGCCGCTTGCTCCGCTGCCCGGACTGGCAGATCAGTCATTGTGGTTTGCGTCTGAATGGGGGAAAAACAAACGAAAAAAAAGAAGAAGAAAAAAAAGGAGCAAAACGATGGCGCCTGTGTTGTCAAGTTGTGTCATAGGGAGCTGAGAGCGGAAGGGCGTACGATGAAAGAGGGGTGGTGGTGGTGTTGGGGGTGATAATCATGCCCCCCACCTTCCCTGTTGGAACCCCTTCGAGAAGCCAAGGTACCTTACTGTAGCTTAGACCAAGGTACAGAGTTGGTAGTGTTGCCTGTCCGTCCTTACCCCTGGACATGGATCACGGCCAGAAGAAGACATTGAGCCGGCAGGTTCCTCCGCACTTCTGGCCCGAATTACCGCTACAGGCCATGTTGCAGTCTCTCTCCGTGGCGGCTACGGATCCTGCAGCCCTCTGGGCGCCGCAGAAGCATTCGCGAGCGAGATGCACACCGAACCTGGAGAAACCCTTGTCGATGCAGAATTTCGCGCATTTTTCAACCGTCATACCGTCGTTGGCCAGAACAGCTATTTGGCGGCAAACAAGATAGGGTTGGCACTCAATGATGTTACAAGATTGGTACGAACTTGCTGGTTACTTACTTCCAGGGCTCTTCCGCCCGTCGAGAGTTCCGTGAAGCAGCCTTCGTACCTGAACTTCATCGGCTGCCACTCCAGCTGCCTGTTGTAAAGGTTCAGTCTCTTGGATCCATCGCACGTCTGGCCCGAGTTGCCGGCGCACGGTATTTGCACTCGGCTTCGGCAGAAAGGAGCAGGACAGTTCCAAGCAATAAGTGCCACAATCATGAAGGAGATCATAAAGACAGGGTTCTACCTCGCCATAGAGTACCAACACGATCTCGGAGTCAGTGAATCAGAACTCCCGGCACAGGAGGGTGACTGCGTCTACCACTACTCGGTGGTTAGGCAAGTTTTGTTGATATCCCCCCGGATCCACCTATCGGTCAATTTGTCAAAGTCCAGTTGTATGTGTTGGCGTTACATTGAAATGTCTCAGTCAGGACGAGAGGAACCAAGCGCCCGGAGAAAAGACAGCGCTCAATAAAGCAATCACGCGTATGACGACTTTGTTGCGGCGTCTGACTCTAAGCTCAATCGATCATCATTGAGACTATCACATGTGATTTATCTAAGTTGACATAAGTTTATCCCATGAGTTTTGCTAGCTGGGCAGTGTACCCTGACGGTAGTAGAGAAAACGATAGGGGTAGTGATAATAATAATGATGATGGATTAAGACGAGAGACGACGATGATGGAAGACGATAATAGACACTGCCCGGATAGCCCACTGGCACTGCCTGGCTAGCAAAACTCTCTTACGTGTCTAGAATCAGACCAAATGGGCTTTGCATGGCTGTCACATTCGATCCCCCTCCCACCTCGGAGCATTCAATATCAACGCCATCAGCGACCCGGACAGCAGCGCCGTGACAGGCACAGTAATAAACCACCCAAAATAAATCCACGCCACCAACCTCGGGTTAATACACCTCCAATCCCCATTCGCAAGCCCAACCCCCACCGTCGCGCCCGCGATACACTGCGTCGTCGACACCGGCAACGCCAACCGCGTCGCCATCAGCACCGTAATCGCGCTCGCCAGCTCCATCACAAACCCGCGGCTCGGCGAGATCAGCGTCAACCTGTGCCCGAGGTTGCGCATCACATGATATCCGTACGTCAGCAGCCCCAAAACGATCGCGCCGCCGCCAAAACACAAAATCCACAACGGCACGCCGACGGATGTTTCCACTTTTCCCGAGCGCCAGATATCGTAGGCCGTGGCAAAGGGCCCGATGGAGTTGGCCACGTCGTTGGCGCCGTGGATGAAGGACGCCGTCGAGGCCGTCAGGATCTGCAGCGCGCTGTACATGTACTCTGCGCGGTTGTCGTAGTGCGGCGCGCGCGCGTGCATGTCCTCGATGTCCCAGCTGAGCAGGGCGTTACGTTTCTGCAGGGTGACGACGTCCTTTTCGAGGCCGCGGAGGACGAGGCGGTTGAGGCGCCAGAGGAGGACTGGCAGGCTGTTCCAGGGCCCGGCCGGGCGCGGGGGGATGATGTCTTCCGAGGAGCGGCGGGAGGTCACTGTTTCTGCGGACGAAGGGGTTTGGGGTAGGGCGAGCGCCGGGGAGGGGAGGAGGACGACGGGCTCGTCTTTGAAGAGGTCGGAGGGCGTCTGGCTTGTCTGGATCGATTCGAGGAGGGTCTCGGAGGCGCGGACGTAGGCGAGCTCGTCGGCGGTGAGGTGGCCGCGGTAGTAATCTTTGATGTTGATCTTGTTGACGCCCGGCGGGGGCGGAGGGGGCGGCGGGCGGTTGAGGAGCCAGGGGCCTTTCCACATCATTGTCCACTCGAGCTGCCAGTCCTCGTTGACGATCTTACGCCAGAGGTAGGGGAGGATGAAGAATGCCTGGAGAGAGGTGGCACCGGTTGCGACGGAGAAGACGGCGATGAGGATCTGGGCGGGGGTGAGCTCGACCTCGGTCTGGACCCCTTTCCACGCCATGAGCACTACAAATATGTTAGTGACGGGCGAACTCAATCAACTGAGAGATTCGTTTACTCGTCAACGCCCCAAAGGTCAGGAACGTGTAGAACGGGATGGAGTAAAACGCCTTCCTCACCGCGTTCGTCTTCGTCAGGACGAACTTTTTAGTCACAAGAAAGAGCCCCGCGCCCAGCACGCCCGACAGCCCCGGTGCGATAATCCACGCCGCAAAGACCTGCGACACGCCGTCCCAGCCCCACGAGATCTTGCCAATACCGACGGACGCCGTCGCAGCGCCGACGATGCCGCCGATGATGGAGTGCGTCGTCGAGATGGGCAGGCCGTTGCGGGTGGCAACGCTGAGGAAGACGGAGGAGCCGAAGATGGCGCACATCATGACGAGCAGCAGCACGCTTGGGCGGTCGTCGTAGAGGTGCGGGTCGATGATGCGGTTGCGGATCGTGTCGGCGACGCGGGAGCCGATGGAGACGGAGCCCCCGAACTCGGCGAAGGTGGCGATGACCATGGCCTGCTTCATGGTCAGGGAGCGGGAGGAGACGGAGGTCGCGAAGGAGTTGGCGACGTCGTTTGCGCCTGGGCTGCGTCAGTGGATGCTGGTCCGGGGTTGGGTTGAGTGCCTTTGCCGGGGGGTTCCACGACGGGAGGCTCTTACCAATGTTCCAGGCATCGAGAAAGGAGAATATGGTGGCTATCGCAAAAATGTAGTCATATTGGTGAAGGGCTGCCGCCATGACGGCTCGCCCGGCGCACGGCGGCACGGAGATGCGGTGGTGGGAAGTGGAAGATGCTCGTCTCGGCTCCGGGATGTTCGGCGGGGCCAGTCCGGCGGGACACGGCTCGGCCGCGTTAATGGGGACTCATGTTACGAGTCAGGCCTTCAAAGCATTCTCTTTCTAGTAATTATGTTTTGATGCGACACGGCGGTTCGCGATGAGGAACGAGCACGACGGATGATCCGCGTTGGATTTTGAGAGAGTGGATGTTGCGAGCGTCCGGGGGGCTAGGGGATGGTTATATGGATCGCACATTCCGGCCTGCCGTAAGCCGAAAGCTCCAATTCAGGGCGAGCCTCCCGCATGGGATTGGCAACGATGTGGTATCAGGGATCTTGGTGTGCCTGGATGGGCTGCGTGGGCGAGATGACAGGCGCATGCTTCTGGGCTGCCTCGTCCGCCCGGCTGGCCTCGCGTTAGTGCCATTGATCTCTCCAGACCCCAGCTCTCTGCGACAGCTGGGAGACTAAGACACGAGGCGGGGAGGTGGTCGATGACAGGCTAGATAAGCTGTCTTGGAAGCTCCATATTGCTGACCGACGGGGGCGGAGCTGGCGGACGCGAAAGGGCGAAACACCGCACCCTTTGGGCGCTCGGTATGTCGTTTCCACTCGGGAGGCTCGGTCGCTATGCAATGATGGTGGCATGATCAACGCCTGCAGAAATGCGGCAGTGGCTGAAGGAGCAGCTCTCCCAGAATCATGGTGACACGAAAGATGTGCGAGAGCTGGAGAGCTTGGCGGACGTTGAAAAAAGGAGCCAATCGATTGCTGGGATTCGAGCACGCTTCTCAACGCTGCGAGTTTGCCAAGACCCACAACCCACGCGGGCGCCGGGATGGAGGGTGACATGGGTTGTTCCTGTTTGGGGGTGCTGTTGGTGTTCTCCTGTACCAGCGACGCGCGGTGCTATTCTGCGTGGGCCTTGCGGATCATCGACTCTTCCGCAGTGTACATCCTCGGTGCTGGGCTTTACTCATGGTTCTTTGACTATAGCCAGGAGTGTCTTAACACGAACGACTGCCAGAATCGTGCTGTTGAGATCAAGCAGAGCTCGGATTTATGGGTGTATAGCCTGTGCACTAAGGCCATCGTAGAGATGGTGATTCCTATTGGCGGGGTTACCACATTGGCCAAAGATAGCATCAATGGATTTTTGTCTTCCATTCTGGGCTGGGTGGAGGGTTCCAAAGATGTCACTGGTCAGCGTGATTTCGAGGGGTTTCAACTTTTCACCCTCAACAGACTCCGCAACCAGAATGTGCCTGAGACATGCAAGACAGCGTTAACCGCGAAGGTCCTGTACGACTTTTGGGTGAGCATGTTTGAAGAGCCGGTATATAGAGGTACGCTCGGTAACAAGACGTTAACTGACTCGGTCTGTGACTCGGGTTACGAGAAGTCACTGCAAAGCTGGTTCGACAACGTCAATGCTGGATGTCAGGGCTATAATATTTCTGGGAAGATACTGACTCTTCATGGAGGGCGCATGTGGGCAGGATACAACGAGACCTATCTCAAAGATCCGGAAACCGGGCTTTACTGCAATGGTAAGGACCGATCAGACAATCAGTCAACTCGATGAACCGATGAGGCTAACAACTGCAGACTTGATTGCCGAGTTCAGCAGCGTCACCTCGATCCGAGAAATGCCACAGTCCGAGATGTGCTCCGAATGCTACATCAACCGTCTTGCTCTCATACAGAGTAGTTCATGTTCGGTTTACGATGATAAATATAAGAGCGACTTGGAACTCGTCTACAAGACTTGCGGGGAAACCGGATCGACTGATCCTCCCCCACCAGTATCCCCAAGAGCTGATGAAGGGTCAACTTTGTGCGTATCCGAGAAGTGGTAGATCGTTAGTCAGGGAGGCGCATCTTGCGAGAAGGTGGCTTCTCAACAATGTCTCAGCCATTGCATTGTACAGCATGAACCCTCAGATCTTTGACTGCAACAGTATCCCCGACAATACCGAGCGTTGTCTACCGCTATCCTGCGTTCGTATTATTTCTCATACTGATCAAGATACTATGACACCCCATCCTGGTGGAACAGATTACACGCCATTCCCAATCGAATCGCCAAACAACGCAACCATTGCGGAGGGAACAACGATGAATGTGGAAGATGGCATGTGTCCGCGGAGGGTGATAGCTGCGCTACGATCTGCTTGCAATCGGACATCAACATTGCACTGTTTGTCGCCGCTAACCCATCACTTGGGAGCGAGTATTCGGAGTGCACGAGCAGTCTGGTGTCTGGGAACGCGTCCTGCTCCGGGCCAACATATGACGGGGAGGATACGGAGGAGCTCTGAACCTGGAGTGCCACGCGATGTAGTCCCATTCATATTATTACACTAGGATAATACTACCAGTCAACGCCTGGAATACCCCAAAAATTCAGAGCCCCGTCGGTCTCGGACCACGGGTCTTCAGCCCATCCGCTTTCCTCGTAGATAAAATCCGGATCCTCTATTTCGAACCACATTCCCCAGAATTCATATATCCCCGCACGACACCATAGTCTACCGCGCTTCGGCCATCCACGGTCAGCCCATTGCTCTCCAGTGACGAGTTTGATCCAACGCTGGTTCCTAGGCGGATCCATGTCGCTAGTAACAGTTTCCCGATCCTCGGGCATGGCCAGAATCGCATCGATACTCTGCTGGTCAAGCATCAAGCAGAATCTAAAACGGGCGTTAGGAACATCGCGTTTGTCGGTAGAGTTGAGATGCTCCTTGACCCAGTCATCGAACCGTCTTCCAACCTCCTCCACATCTGCTCCAGCGAGTCCCGGGTCCTCTATAATGTCGCCGTAATACCGACTTGAAAGATCCTGGTTAGGCAGAGGGTCTTTCGGCTCTCGGTCTCGGCGACGAGCGAGGTCATGGTAGGCCCAGTGTTTGGCGTAGTTGTTGAGCCGCTCAACGGCCTTCGTGAATGCCTCGTCAGACTCGTAAGCGGTGCGAAAGATGGTAAATCCCCAGCAATAGGGATAGTCATGGCTTCCATCGTAGTCGGCCATTTGAAGTAGATATTGCCTTGAGCTCCGATTCGTTTCCGGATCGCGAACGAAACGAGGCTTTGGGTTGGCTATTGCCATATCGATGGGCTGGAAATTCGCCATCGCTTGCTTCCAGTATGCGGGAATTACTGTATGAAGCGCCAAGACGGCGAGAGGGGAAGGTCTGTCGAAGCAAGAGAAACCAACGTTTTTTTATTCTCTTCAGGTGCCTGCATCCTTAGGTTGCTGACTAGCCCGCCCGGGTCGGGATTTAGAGTGGGGCCGGAACCATGGTCGACACATTGTTGAAGTTGTCTGAAGAGCACGATTGAATCTAATACCAGAAGAGCTCTAGCATTGAAAATCAATAACTGTTATTCATCTCTCGTTGATTACCCGACCTATCACGCTATGCATATTCCTTTTACCACTCAAATTCCGATAACTAAACTTTTGCCAGCCCCCACCCTCCTTTCGCAATACGACAAGCAATGAGGAATGATGTTCCTAAGCACAAGCAGAGACCTCCGAATATGAAAGCGTACGTGTACTCTCCCCCGCCGATCTTGATCAACGCGCCGGCGAGAGGGGGTCCGGTTAGGTTGGCAAAACTGACGATGGAGTACACCATGCCCATCCGTGTGCCTGCCTTGCGAAGGTCGGTTGTAAGAGACGATAAGGCGGCTGGAAATAGACCTTGTACCGTGGCTCCGAAGATGCCTATAATTCGGAAACACGTTAGCAATGTTTGTATCTTAAACTCGATAACAGCGTGGGGGGCGGGTGTCCAAGGCAGCTCAACATTGACGTACCATATATCACAGCCCAGGCGTATAAACCAGCAGCACTCTTGATTGCCATCCAAGAAAATAGAAGGATAGTGCAAACTGCGGCAGCGGGTGTGACGACGTTGAGAGGTCCCAGGAACAGATCTGCGAGAAAGCCGGGTATGACGCGGCCAATGGCTCCAACTCCGTTCATTATCATCAGGATATCGATCGAGGTATCATAGGAGAACGACAACTTGTCGCGACTGAAGGGGCCAATGCTACTTCATGTCAGTGTCTGATGCTTGAATGGGCTTTTACTGTTGTGACTGGACTTACTAGTAAAAGGCAAAGTAGACACCCCAGAAGTTCTAAAAACGGTCAGCATTTTCTGTACAAGTTTGGAGTTGTTCAAGACATACAAAGAACATGCCAATCGTGAACAAGAGATATGGCTTCTCCTTGAAAGCCGACAATTCGACAAGCGAGCCGGCACGTCTCGGTCGAAGCCGAGACCTCATAAAGATGTTGGCAACCAGCAAAGTCACAAGTTGCACCAACGCCATCACCCGCATCGTCCACCCGAAACCAATCTTGGGCAAGAGCTGGCGCGCCATGACCGGATATATCATGCCTCCCGTAGCCGAGCCGCTGATGGCAATTCCAATAGCCAGGTTCCGCCGGCGCTTGAAGTACGTCGACAAAACAGCCATGACCGGGCAAAACAGCCCGCCCATCCCGAGCCCGATGCAGAGCCCCTGGGACAGGAACAGCTGCCAGTATTCCGTTGCGAAGGACGCGGTCAAGCTGCCGAGCACAACGAGTGCCGAGCCGATGCCGAAGACGGTGCGGAAGTATCCCGCGTCCGTGAGCCGTCCGGTGAAGACGCCCACGACGAAGAGGAAGAAGACCTGCATCGAGCCGATCCAGCTGATGTCTGACGCCGGCCGGGAGAGGTAGTCGCGGTAGAAGGTCTGGAAGATGCCGAAGGAGTTGATGGTGCCCCATGTATTCACGACGACGAGGTGTGCCATGAAGGCTTGCGTCCAGGCTTGCAGGCCGCCGTCTGGTGGTGGTTCGTCGGCGTCAGCAGGGGAGGTCTTGGAGGCTTCTTTTGTCGAGGCATTTTGTTCGATGTCTTCGTCGGATGTGTCGAATATTACGGACGTTGAAGGTGATGGGTGGGAGCTAGAGCTGTTGTCGGTCTGGTGTTTATCTTCCGAGTATTGCCCTGCTCGGGGCTGCGTGGTGTCGTCCATGATGACGGGGACAGTAGTGCAAGCGGCACAGAGAACTCAACAAAGGGGTATCGTCAGAGCAAAGCGTCTTCAGTTGTTAATTAACATACAAACCAAGAGAACAGGCATTATCTCAAGCTAGCCATTAGTTTATATTCTCAGCAGCCGCCGAGGGCACACAGACGGCCAACATCCCATTCCCGGCGTTGCTATCGTCGTGGCACTTACACCTCCCATGTCTGCCGCCGCAAGCCGAAGCGCTCAGCCCAAGCGACCCGATAACTTTTCGAGAACATCAAAGGGAACACTCTTGAAGCCCCGTACTCTGACTCAGGATACCCAAGCTTCCCGGACGAGGGGTTTCCCGCACCAATCCCCTTACACTGCGGGTTTCCCGGCAATTTCCCGGTTAGTTTTCCGGCAACCGGCGAACTTTCCCGCGGGGAAGATAGCGAACAGGGGCACAAGTTGCACTCAACGCCGTCAGAGCTTCGGAAAGCGACGCAAATTTTGTCGTCGGCGGAGATATCGTTGCTTCAGATTTCCACCTAGGGAAGTTGGTCGCTCGGTTTACGTCGGCGTGGGGACTGGTGTCCAAATCTCAGTCTGTCTCCTGACTTGAAAGAACATCTTGGGCCTGCTTTCGGGTGTAAGTGGCCGACAGCTGGTTTCGAACCCTTGAATAAGACGGTGAAATTGTGTTGCTCCGAGTACTTTTCATAATCCCTAGCAAATGTGCGCCAAAAGCTTTACTTGTCGTCTCATATCCCAGGACCTTACACGGCAAGAAGCGTTTTGATAAGTGCTAATTAAGGTAAGGGTAGTCAGTGTATCTACGGGCACCAAGAATTGTTGCTAAGTTTAAGTATCAGAGACGGATAGAGGCCATGCTAAACACAGACAGACACCCACATCATCTATGCTACGTTAGACAGATGAAGGCTGATCAACGTCTAGCGTAGAAAAGTACTCCAATATCTCCATCGCCTTCCGACTTTCATCACGATCTCGGGCCGGGTACGCCTCCACCTTCCGGTGCATCGACGCACCCGCCTCAACAAGCCTTCTAGTGATAGCAACCTTATCATCCATAGCCTCACCATCCAGCGCTTTCTGCAGATAATCAGACGACTTATCCACGTTCGCGGCCTCGACGAGCGCGAGAGCGATATCTAAGTGGTGCCGCTTGCACGCGAACTCCCACATATGGCCGTCGCTTGTCAGCCTCCTCTCCGGGTCTACGTCGTGCTTGAACAGCACCTTGATGCAATGCAGCTGGCCATATTTGATGGCCTTGTCGATCGGCGTGCGTCCGAACGAGTTGGTCACGCTCATGTCGGCCCCGGCGTGGAGGAGCATTTCGACGACGTCCGCACGGCCGTGTCGACATGCTTCATATAGCGCGGTGCCGGCGAAGGCGGAGCTCGCTTTGATTTCCTGCAGGGCTGCCTTCGCGATTCTGGATCGTAGCACGTCGGACGGGTCGCCGATGACGGCGTCGCTCAGGCTGCTCTGGAGGCGGGCGTCGCGCGCACTCTCAATATAACCCTTGGCCCGTCTCAGGATATCCAGTATGTCGGGCCTGTTCCTCAACATGACGATGTCGACGGGAGTCTGCCCGTCGCTATTCTTGATGTCGCACCGCGCGCCCGCGTTAACTAAGATGCTCGCTCCCCGGGCATCGAGCTTCCAGGCGCTGTCATGTAGGGGTGTCTCTCCAGAGCGCCCTCGCAGGTTAACGTCAAGGTCCGTGACGTGAAGGAGGTATTCTATACTGCGCCACGACCGAGTACAAGATGATGAGTGCAGCGCAGTCCGACCGTAAACATCTCGATGCGTGGTGTCGATGCCGCGCTTGACCAATAGCTCGACCGCCTCACTCTCGTCGTAGTCCACCGCGCGCATGAGCGCGTTGCCGCTGTTGTTGTCCTGTTCATTGATGTTGGCTCCGTGATCGAGGAGCAGCTCCATAAAATCCGTGAGTCCGACGCGGGCGCTGTAGAAGAATGGCGTCTCATTGCGCGCCAGGTCGCGGCTGTCGACTTTGATGTCCTTGTGGGCGAGGAGGTGTTTGGCTGCTGGGAGGTTCCGCCAGTACACGGCCGCGTGCAGCGGGGTGCATTCTCCCACTTTGTGGCGGTTTCGCAGGTTGATGTCGATGTCTTGCCGAGCCACGAGCATCTTGATGATGGAGGGGTCGATCAATCTGGTCGCTGTTATGAGTGCAGAATGAACCGCTATGCTTGAAGGGGTTGCATTGATGTTGATGTCGGTTTGGCGCATGAGTTCCGCGACAAGAGTCACGGCACCGAGCTTGACCGCTCTTATCAGGGTCGTCGATCCAAAGTTGCAAATAAGAGCGGGATCGGCCCCGGCTTCAAGGAGGCCCTTCAACTCAGGTAAGCCATCGCTACCCCGAGCGGCAGCGTACATGAGTGGTGTGGCACCAAACGAATCCCGGGCGTTGGGGTCCTCACCCTCGTCAATGAGCTTAGATACAACATCCGTGATTCCGAAGTAGACTGCAACATGCAGTGCAGAAGCGTCCGTGTCATCTGTCCACTCCGCGTCGACGTAGTGCAGCGCCTGAATGAAGGGCTTCAGGGCATCTGACAGTAAGAATTCCACTGTGGGCTTGATCTCGCCTTTCTCCCGGCTTCTTGCAACGTGTTTGAAACAGTTGAGTACCGCATAGTCGATTAGTTGGTATTGGTTGCGCCGAATGATAAACAGAGACCTTCTGTCGGGGCCTTCAAGGGGTGCTCGAAGAGTCTTCATGTTGAGGTAATGTAGACAATCGTGAGCCATGACGCTATCCCCCTTAGGATACAGCTCATGCCTACGTCCCTCGAAGAATCGGCTTGTTGTGGGGTGGATCACGCGCAGAAAGTCGTCGCCGTCGACAAATAGTAGTCCGGCACTCCATGTTGCGATCTGTCGGATGGGAAGAATGTCTTCTTCATCAATGTCCTCAATGCCCGGATATATAGCAAGAGCATGGCCAAGCTCGCTAATACTCAGCGGCCTCTGCCCCCACGCGATCCAGAGGAGCGGTTTCTTGAGGATTCCGTAATGCTTCGGGCGAAGGGATTGCTCCATGCGCTCAAGACTCTTAGTATACATCTGATCCAAGTCTCCGGTCAGATCTCTCAGGGCTCGTCGAAGCGCACCCATTGTGAGGCACTCAACCAGTGAGTCCACATGAAGGCGAGCCAGAAGGAAGCTATTAAACCAGCATATTAGTCATGGTGTGAAATGTCATTCACTGGGTATTTGAGAGCACTGAACATGGAATCTTCGGGCTGGCTCTCGATGAGTTGGGAAATGTACTGACATCTTCTCCGACCTTTCCGTAACAGTGTTTATTGCCAATTTCCTTAGAGAGTCTTGGCCTGAATCATGGCCTATGAGTCGTCGTAACTCTCTGTCGGCGTCGAATCTTGTCGTCACGTAGCTGCATATATCGCTCCCTCTCGGCTTGTATTCCATGTTTTCCCACTTGCAATCCCTTGCCATTCGGTGCTTGGTTTCACCTTTGAAAACTGCGGAGGATTGGCAATGGTCGCAAATTACATAAGACGCGCTATCAATGGACCTCCAGTATACCTCCGCATTCGAATCATGGCACTCTTTGCAGGTCTGCGTTGCTTCAATGGCCTCAGTGATGTCTTCCGAATGTCGTGAGGTGATGAAAACCTTGACACTGGCCCCGATGTTGTGGATCGCTTTGACCATAGCATCTCCCTCAGAGAGGTTGCTCACCTCGTCGAGTCCGTCGAGGATAACATAGCTTTCGTCGCGTGTGTTCAGCTCTTCTCTAAGTAAATCGGTTAGAGCCTCAAGACTTAGCGGTTGACTGTCTGCGCCAGTAACTGCTCTTGAATAATGCTCTTTCAACTTAGAGGGAGCCTGCTTGTCGTATCGCGTTTGCAGTACCTGCTTCAAAAAGCTCGCGATAACACTTCGAGGTGACTGCGACTCCTTATACTCGAAACTGCAGAAGCCTATCATGACTGCGACGTTTTTGGCGGCGTACCTTTTCGTCACATCTGCATACACCGAGGCCGCAACGACGGACTTGCCGGCTCCGGGAGCGCCCCAGCACCACAAAGACCTGAGGTCATGCTCGTGCCACAGCTTAAAACGCTTCGATGTGAGAACATGACAAGTGTACGGATCTGCAGAGCCTAGAATCTCCTGTTGTTTCTGCGAAAAGTTCAGGGGCGTGAGCCAAGCCAGAAGTTTCTTGAGGAAGGTGTCTTCGACGACATTTTTGATACATGATAGCTCCCCCTGCATCTCGCGACTCATGCGGTGGCCGGACTGCTGTATAACCAAGATGGTCGTCTGCTTCAGTTCTTGCAGTCGGGAGACTATTCGCGTGAATTCCTTTTCTTGAAACGGCCATCGAAGATTCGACATGGCTTCGTGGAATCGCCCGATTGGTGGCGTAAGCTGCGCTTCAAGGTCATTCAACTGCTCGCGAATTTGCGCTGAAATGCCTCGGGGGCCGTCAAGGATTTTCAGAGGCTCAACCCAAGGCTCATGGGCCTGTTTTCCCGTTGGCAGATCGATCTCTTCTTTGAGGCGCCGGAAGACAAGCCAAAGGAGTGTTACTTCCTCAAGAAGGGCTCGGCGAGACTTGCCGCCGTGTTTGACGCCCTCGAGGAAGCCTATGACCTTCCAGAACGTCTAGACGACTGTGATTACGCTTGACACAAGTCCGAATGCTTCCATAGTTGCTGCTTGGAGGCACAGATTCAATTATTATCTTGTCAGTTCCTACCCCGCGTGAGGGATGGAGAAAATGATGGAAGGAATCTCCACTGCAACGACTCCCAACTGGGCGTCATTGATGCAATATGATTCGCATGATAAGAGGGGCACTCCGTTCTTGTCTTGGTGCGATAAGCCGCATATAACTCTCAAGAGGGGTACATTTTCAACCAAAATTCTCCCAACATCCGCTTGTTCGATATCCATTCACAATCTCCAGTCCGTGGACCCAGACAACTGTTGTAGGCCCTGGTCACTTTGAGTCGGGTAAGCTTCGGTGCTAGACAGATGACGCCAGAACTAAATATAGGGGACATTCCAGCGAAGTTGCTTAGTGATTTTTGCTTTGCCTACGAAAGCAATGAAATGGACGCTCTCACACTGTATCGTCAAGCTACAGGCACTTTTCCACAGCGTGTTAAGTGTCGAATCATCAGGTGTGTGTTGAGGAGGTTTGGAGCGTAGGGGGCCCCCTTGAAGGCGCGCCAGTAAAAAACGAAACCCTCCAGCATTGGTTAATTTTTCTTGAATCGCACTTGAGCGCTTATTTGCTTTTGGTGACAAAACACGTCGATCCTTGCTGATTGCCGTCTATCCCGCACAGAAGTCCAGCTGTACCCAATTAGTGGGGTGTCAAATGTCACGCAAGTTGGCTGCTTTCACGAGAGCGACAACTCTACCCTGATGTCTTGCCAACCGCAGAAGTGTGTCATTCGAGAAAAAGAAAATAGATGTGGCGTGTTCGGCTTCGTTAGAACAACCATCCATTGGCCTAGTGACAATCCATAGCTCAACTCACCAAGGTGTTCTTGCAAGCTCCTTTTCTTTTTTCTTTTCTATTTCTTCTAACCGCCACCCCTGAAAGCTTTCGTTTTGCAATCATACCGATTTTCAATCCATCAATATTTCTCCACGAAGAGATACGAACTAGTCAACTCAAACAAGGAGAACGCGTCTGCTCAGGGTAAGATGAAGTTGGATCGGATGCCACCGGAGATCATCCTGATGATTTTTAAAATCATACAACCCCGAGACATTCTAGCCTTGAATCTCACCAGCACTACTTTCCACAATTCTTTTCTCGCGCATGAAGGCATCATCATCGGCCAATTGGTGGCTTCAATTCGGCGTATGCTTTCCGATGACCTGCTTCACCTTGCCACGGTCGCCGTCTACCTCCGCTTCATGAACGCCAAAGTCGACTGTATCGCAAACGACATCAACCCAACGGAGCATTCCGAGCGCCTGATTGATTACGTGGAACGCTCTTTCAATGACCCAGTAACGAGATGGCCGCAACAGCAGCTTCATCCGGTGGACGTGCTGGCAATCGGAGAGCTAGTTCACGAAGCCGAGTTGATAGGCGTTGCAAGAGAAGACCGTCTAATGGAAGGCAATGATGTTGACTTTGTGTTTCCGTGGAAGCTTAGAAACCCAACCGCCCTCAGTGTGGCCCGCGACAAGCTTCCGATCTTGATCTTCGAGATCTGTTGCCAATGCGTCCTTCGTCATGGCGAGGTTCTTGAGACGGCCGAGGAGACGCGGTTGCTCGATAGAGTTGCGCGAGCTGTCCGCGACGGTGTCTCAAAGCTCTGGGGCAGCGATGGACGTATCGAGGCCGTGTGGGCGCAAGGTAGTGACCTGATCATGAGACCGGGGGCTTTTCTCCGGTCCCTTGGGAGTTGGCTTTGCATGGCCCTCGCACCTCGTCTCAGACACGCTGTGCGTAAGGTGGTCGAAGTTCAAGCCATTCATAATCGACCGTATGCGCTGTGGCCAGAACGTGTCCAATTTTTGAGTGAGTCTTTGCCATTGCCAAGCGTGCAAGCTTCCCTCGAGAATCCGGCGGTGTTGTCACGCTCAGCAGCCCTTATGCAAAGAGGCCTGTACCATGACGGGAGATTAGGACCGTTGGATTTCCGAGAACGTGCCTGGCTCCAGGATCTAAGCCCGAGTTTGAGCATTGATGATTTTGAGAGGATGCCTTTATTAGTAATCGATAAGCCGGCTAAGGTAGGCCTTCTCCAGTCAGCTCAAGTTGTTGCCTGGCGGGTTCCATCACCAGTCTATCGCATCACTTGTGTGGGCGAAGGCGGCAGCGGCGATCAAGAACTTCTCTTCATCAAGGCTCCTGGAGGCCTCAGGGCAGTGGCCTCACTGAAAACTATATGTCAGCACGAAGATTGGACTCGGTTGGATGAAGTCTGTTGGATATGGCACAAGCTCTCGGCTGGAATCCGGCCTCTGGTGGGACTTTTGCGAGTGGGACAATATCAGAGCCGACAGCAGTGCCTCCGGTCTTTACGTGGGCTCAGCGCGAGGGCCATGCAGAAAACGCTCCTCGAGCTTCAGTCCTACGACCCCTACGAAGGTTGGTATCCCAATATTTCCTCATTTAAATCCTCTGTCATCATGTCGTATGCGCCCAATCAGATCGGAAAGCCTGGGCCATGGAAACCCAAGCCTTTTGTGGAGGAGGTTCGGGATGAGGAAGGATCGAAGGAATTCAGGGCCGTCAAATGGTGAGATGGCCGTACCTGCCTTTTATCAGGGGAAGAGGCAATGCTTAGCTTAACGGCGACATAATCAGTAAAGGAGTGCAGGAATTCGGTTTATGGGCCAAAAGACTTTCAAAAAAGCGCGGTGTGCGAAAGATGGCATGCTTCACAGCGTACGGCGACACTGCGGCTTACCAAGCCGGTCATAGCAGCATTTTAATCGATAGTCTAGGTCCTGGGAGGGCCGTTGGTGACATGTCTTTGAACAGGCATATGAAGAAATCTAACAATATTCTGCGGCACAAGCATCCATGGAAGTGGCATTGAAGAGCGGGGGGAGCAACGGTCGCCTCTAACATTGCCTCGGCTTCGTCCCAGCAAAGCAAATACCAAGTAGTGGCCGCGACTGGCGCAAAAACAATGAAATACATCATCATCACATGTAATGTCCAAGTTACTAACTAACGTGTATTCAAACGCTGGCTTACGTTTCATTCCATGCTGCATCACCCATATGACCTCAATTGCCGAACGGCTCGAGATCTGAACAGCCCCAATTATACACCCTTTCCAAATATTTCCAAGTTGACATGAGATGTCTCTCCAACTGCCTTCTTAGTCACCATCACGAGATCATCGACCGCGCCAAGGAAGCGTGTGAAGGCGTTGATGGCCCCAATCAACTGCCTGCCCTCGTGGCCTTCAAGCTGCTCTCGGACATTCAAGTCATCCTGTTTTGCCCGTTGAACTTCTCTAGCCCTGAGAGCTCTGCTTATCAGAGGCGTTGGCAACAGGGCAGGCAACGGCTCGCCCGAATCTAAAGACTGTTGGACAAGTGATAATGTTGACATTAGATCCACAACCAGGTTCTCTTCATCGATACTCATAGAAGACATGAGTCGAGCCCGGAGCGGAGGTGGCAGCTCAGTCATGTAGAGACCGAGCTCTGCCAAACTTGCATTGATGCTCCTACAAAGATATGTCGCTCTTCGAAGCGTCTCAGTGTCGATGTTGGAAGTAGAGAACTCGAACTTGGTCAGTTCTATAGGCCTACCAATGGCGTCCAAGATCCCATCGCACATGGCTGTCTCCTTCTCGATGAATTGGACGAGATCCTCAGGAGGCATGCGCCAATTCGACACCAGCAGAGCATAGCGGTCCTTTACCCCCAGTAAAGCCGTGGAAAGAATGTGTCGATACTGTCGACTTCCAGTCATTGGCCGGGGGAATAGCCCAATGAGCATTGCACTAGCGTTTCCAACAAGAACGAGAAGAACCCGCCGCCAGAAGATCTGATACCCAACACCGGGGTTGCCGTAGGTCGGCACATGCGAGTCGATCCAGCTGTATGCAACAACCATGTATGCAGTGGCGGCAAGCATGATGCCCGCGGCTAAGTGCTCTGGTGGCGTGAAAAGCCTCCACCACATGAGAGGGATGATCAGCACAGCCATCACAGCAGCGAGGCCGTATGGATTGCCTGGGCCAGACCCAGCACCGATGTACCAGCAGACCAGGCCGATGATGCCACCCGCCACTGTGCTGAGTGTTCGGATAATGATTCCAGACAGCAGGTCCGACATGTATGGCTCGATAGCCAGTTGGCCCATTACCATAGCCCAGAATCCCTTCTCGCGGTAATAAAAGCCTGCAGACGAGGGGATGACGGCCGGCAGCGCCAAAGCGATGGTCACTACTAGTGTGCGCAAAGCGTGAATACCTTCGACGTCAGTGAACCAATGGATTAGGCCCAAAAAGATCATGCTGGGCTTGCTCCTCGTTCGGCTCGTAGGGTTCCTCATGTTTTTTATGAGTGCAGCCGCCGTGTTTGGGTCGTCCGTCTTTTCTTTGGTCTTCTTCTTTCTGCTAAAAAGTCGAGACTTCTTCTCCGGTCGTGAGACTGTGGACATGGTTCGAGCCAAGTCCACTGCTCCCTGTGTTGTGCTCGGAGTTTCAGTTTGGGATAGACCCAGACCAAAAAGGCGTTGCAACCCTTTTGGCAACCAAAGGCTTTTTCGAGGTCGGGACTGATCGATCTTGATTACTGTTTCGAGCATCGTCGCGGTCTTCCGGGATAGGCTGATGAGTCTCTCCTGTAGCAAGAGTCCCAGCATCAGACCGTACAGCGGAGGTACCTGACCATTCTGGTCGTAAATAACTCTACCATCGGCGTCGAATAGATGCGAGTGCAGGGCTGTAAGCTGCTGTGTGGATGTCTCGAAATCGACAAGTGCCTCTTTCAACAATTCCAGGATTTGCTGACGTTCCAAGTCGGTGGGTGGTGTAGACGCTCCTTGAAGTGCAGACAGGATGGCGTCCAAAGCTTGACTCAAAGCACCCAGCAAAGGCTGAGCTGTTGATGATACCACATCTAACGTATTTTCCAGCATTTTTTCCGTGTCTGGATGTTTGACACTGTCGCGGAGATCGATTGCTCTGGCGATGTGATAAGCGAGCGGGCGCTGTTTGTTACCAGAGTCCTTTTGGTCCTCGAGAGCCATGGCAGCTTCGGTGAGAGCACTGGCTTTGAGACTCTTCTCTTCCATGGTAACAAACAGCTGCAAAAGTCCGTTGAAGGCAACAGAAACCTGTCGGAGCGGGTCCTGTAGGGACTTAACATCCTCAGGACTCCATTTACGGAAAGAAAAGTCCAAGGCCAGGAATCCGACGGACGACCCAAGACTCTTGTGCGCCATCGCTAGTTGACTCTTCAACTGCAACAGTCGATCCAAACTGAATCGGCTCTGGCGGTTTGCGAGCTGCCAAGTCAGAGCCTTGACAAAACCCTTCATAGGGCTCACCAAGTCCGCCATGCCGTCCAGCACGATTTCTGACGTAGACTGCGGGAATATGGCAATATTGCAGAATGCACCAATACCCACGGCAATTCCAACCGGGATCAGCATGCTCTTGGGGATCGTTCCTTGGAATGTCGGGATCGTGGGAGCACTCGTGAGGTAGATATCGGCGGTGATGAGGGCGAAGATGCCGACCAGTGTCATATTTGGCGCGGCGACTCGGATACGTGCCTAATTCCCAGTTAGTATGCTTACGTACCAGCTCAAATGCTACCGCCAGACTCACCATTAGATAGACAAACAACCCCATCATGCAGAAGTATGTTGCCGTGACTCGCACGTCAAGCAGACGTCCTTCGAATATGGCGATTTGCAAAAAGTCGGGTTGTCCTGCGTTCGGCGATTGTTGCAATTCTTGAAACTGCCTCATCAAGTCTGCTTGGGGCCTCGTAGCCAATGCGGCTTTCATCGTGATCGTACCCCAAGCCCACCCTATTGCAAGACCAACGCAGATCATCAGGCCGCTCAGGATATGGATGAGGACAACGCCAGAAGGCGGCATCATGAAGAGAACGATACTACGACTGCAGTCAGTACTCTGGATGAGGGAAGGAAAGATACCATGGGTCCCACCATCCGAAGAAGACAGCCTGCCCGATGACAGCCAAAGTGGCTTTGATGAAAATGAAAAGAGTAAGGATCCAAACTGCCAAGGAGCATTTGAATAGGACCTTGAGGTCCTTGGCGTTGAAGTGATCGAGCCATGCGGGCAGTCGTTTGGGCTGATTGAAAACATTGAAGTGGTGCTCGGCATCAGCGTCATCCTGAACGCGACTTTCGTCGTCGCATTTCGGATTGGGCTGTGCCATTCTGGTTCTGGTGACACAGCAATGACTTTGTCGTCGAAGCTTTGGATGCTGGTTGTTGTCGATGGTGATGATGTTGTCGGATGGATGAAATGATGAAGCACGGGAAAGGCATAACAATCAGAGAAAAATCTCGCTAAGTTAGGGCGAACTCTATAGAAGTCTCAGCTCTCTCTTCCGACTTCTGCGTATCGGGCAATGATCAGATCCTATCCCCAGATCTTGGAGGCTTGACGGGGTTAAGAAGCAAGATCCCGAGATTAACGTGGCGTACGAAAGCGAACGCGAGAGCGACCCACTTGAACAACAGAAAGTCGACGCCTTGGCGAGCTTTAAAGTGTGCGAGCCCATGAAGAATGCCTCGCCTGATCACAGCCCAAGCTTATATATACTACGCCAACTTCTGCTCCAGAATGCGGTTCTTTGATTCCCATGAGTTGATGTATGGGCTTTGCACAGAACAAGAGGTGAATTGGGGGTTCGTCCCAGATCTCACGGCGGGGCATGGGTGCCCTGGTACGAATGCGAACGCGACGGCCGCCCCCGCTGCTGTGGAAGACTAGGATTACGGGTAGTGCGACGAACCCGACTGCGTACGATACAACCCTCCTAGAAGTTTGGTATTCTCCGTGCAGCCCAATAAACAGTAAATACCGGTGCTTGACCATGGCGAGCTGTGTGATTGGTTGCTCAACCCTAGTTTGTTCAGGCACTTATGGGTCAAGTACATCTACAGACAATCCGTACAGTACGCCGCTTGGTGTTTCGATTGCTACGAGAGATGCCCTGTAGGCGCTATACTCTCTTGTGGGGAGGCACAATGATCATTTTAAGTGCGGACGGTGATGCAGCCTTGACTCAGATGCAAATACACGTGAGCATCGCGTAAGTTTCGCGATAGTTCATGCAGCCTCAAGCTCTAGCCTTCTGCGCGTCCGGTTCTTTAGCTGACACTTGTAACGGGCTAGAGCCCGGCCGAGATCTCCGGCTTTGCCGGAGCAGCTACCGAGATCCGGCTCCGCCGGATCCACTATTCTGCTGTAGCACACCGCCTAGCCCCGGTCTGCATCACTGCTGCTAGGCGCCTATCCCTGTAAAGTCCTTTCCTCCTTCTTCAGCTTAGAATAGTCAATCGACGACACCTCTACGTTGAACAAGCCTAGGGGCCAGCCCCTTACACTTATAAAGTATTTATTAGTACTACTTAATATTCATTAAGTATATTTACTTTATATACTACTATAGAAGTATTAAATAATAAATAAGTAGAAACTATAACTATATTAAAATATTTCAATCTTATATTATTTATTAAAGTTATATATAAAACTAAAAGGTTAGTTTTGATAATATTATTACTAAAAGTATTATTATCATAAGTAATGAGTATTATAATTTAAACTATTTAAATAGTTAATATTTTATACTTATAATAAAGATAGTTTAATAGTAATAATATGATAAAGATATTAAGTTAGAGGTATAAAACTCCTCTTAATATAATACTTAAAACTTATTTACTAATAATATTACTAAAGATTTAAATACGTATTTAGCTATATAAGTTTAAAACTTAATAGCTAAAAGATATAACTATAGTATTTTTAGGTATTATATATAATATATAGTATATAATAAGAAGAAAAGATTATTAATATTAAAATAATACTATACTTACTATTTAATATAGATATAGCAAAAATCAATTAATAAGAAAATAGAGATCTTTTTAGCTCTCAACGCTATATTACTACCTTTATAGCTATATTTAAAACTTTAATATATAATACTTTTTTACTTATACTTTATAACCCCTTATACTAACTAGTTAGAAGGTATTGCTAGTACCTATACTAATAACCCGCAGCTTTCTGCTTTATTTTAGAACAACTCAATATCACAACTCCTTATACTTTCGACAGGCACACAGACATTCATCAAAATCCATGTCATAACTATCCGATCATGATGTTGACGCTATCGTCGCCGACATCGACAAAATGATCACCGAAGCCATCTCAGCCAACACCGAATGGTTGGCGTCGTACCGGCCAGTCCGTCAATATGAGCATATGGCTACAGCGGCAGAAAATATTGTTGATCGAGTTATCAAAGTTATGAATGAGACGCGCGAAATGTTGCACTGGCATGCGAACAACGGGAAAAAGCTGCGCAAGCTGAAACGCTACCTTGGAAAGAATGACAAGTTTGACAAGAACCTGCGCCGCGCACTTGAGCTACATGACCAGTGGGCTGGGGGCTTGACCGAAGAGCTCAAGGAATTGACCTCATGGCGCGATGAATGGTCAGTCCCTCCTTCCTTTTACTCGCCACTTTACAGAAGCTGACAACAGTGTGCCTGTCGGTCTCGCCCACGCTGCTCGTGAGCGACGCCGCAATGAACAATCCTCAAAGTCTCGTTAAACCAGTACCAGACGATACCGTTCTAACGGCGATGGGAGAAAGAAAATATGAAGGTTGATTCCATCATGAAATAGAAAGAAGGTTGTGCAAACTGAGCCCCTTGAATAGTTGTTGCCGCCGAGTTGGGTGCCTAGCTAGCTTTTGCATTTGGCCCAGTCAATCATCTCTGAGCAACTCTAACTCGATAACATCCAAGCCCCTCAAGTTAAAAGGCAAAAGCTCCTGCAACGATGGCGGTTGACTCATCTCCACGAGAGGTCACAGGGAACCTTGTGTGGAAGTAACTGAAAGCCCATCGGCGATAAGGCCCCAGCATTCTCGAAGTGAAATGAGCAACGACTTGGGCCCACCCTCTCTTCCCCAATTGGCCAAACCGTAACCCGCACAGCAAAGTTCCGATCACGTCACGTGGTGGTTCAGCCCCGAGTCAGGCCACCCCAGGCATCCAATATCCGAAGCTGGGTCCTCACGAAGTCTATAAATATGTGGCCCCCTCGCGCGTCTTTGCTTGTTTTCTTCTCTTCTCTTTTCTCCATACTTACCTTATCTGGCCGTCTGGGGATCAAGAAATCCGGGCGGCAGAGAGGGAGGCCTGCATTGCACATCGCGGAGTCGACCTCTCTCGATTGTCCTTCGGGGCCATCGTGGGTGCAATTTTTGATTTTTGCCTGTCGCAAGACAACCTTTTCATTGTGCGCACTGCCTGGAGCAGTGGTACGAAGAAGAGACCTGACCTGTGGATGTTGTCGTGATGGTGTACAGCCTCTACCTCGCTTGAGACCATGCCAAGTACGCGTTATTGTAGTTGATTTGTCGAATGAATAGAACATGCTGTCGTACCTGCTGTTGCTGTCTGTCGTCCCTGGCGTCGTAGTCCGTGTCGTCCCTGTCTGAGGAAGGAACTCCCGACACTCGCAATTGCCATCCACCTCCCTCAGCCTACGAGTCCAACTTCGTCTCGTGCCTATGTCAGACTACGTTGATAGAACTTGAGCACTCAGATCAGAGATGCTGCTTCGAAAGCCGTCAAGTAGACGGCAGCATCCGCCGTTCTGAGGTTAGCGCCGCGATCACCAAGGGTAACGGTCCAAGACGCCCAATATCGTCAGCGCAGCGGATTTTACCTCGACAACACACCGAGCATCTGAACGTACAATGGGATGTCATTTTCACATAATCTAACATAGCACCACAGTTTCCCAGCGCGGATTACACTCCATCCACCGACTCACCCTCACACACCCAACTCCGATCCTCCTCGCGACAAACTGCTCGTACGGCAGCCGCTCAACAAGCATGACATTAAACTGCCACAATTCATGAAACTGCCCCTCGATAAACGCCCACTGGCCTCTCTCGCTGGTAGCCTCCTGCAGCCCGGCGCTGATGACGATGAAATCGAGCATTCTCCTGCGATCTCTTTTACCTTTCCGCCCGGCAATCCACTCCGGGTCCATCTTGTCAAGGTACCCAACCTGCCGCCCCATCACGTCCAGAATCTCCGCGTCCTCGAACTCGCCCGCCGTCCGCATGCCTGACCTTCGATCACGCCCAATCCGCAACGACGCGACGGTGGTATTGAACACCAAGCACCCGGGAAAGTCGCCCGCAATCTCTACAGCCGCGGGATCCAGCTCCGGGCGCGCGAGGGCTTCCCACGGGCTGTGAGGACACCGGTTCCACATCTCCTCGTACATCCGGTCCGTCTCCTCCGACACGCTGATCCTGCCGCCGCTCATCCGCCGCTGCAGCTTGGGCAGCTTGTCCGGGCTGAGGATGTTCATCTTACGCATCTCCATGCCCAGCCATCGCTCCCTGACGCCCACCCTCCCCAGGCCGCGGCCCGGATCCTGGAAGTGGAACGCGACCAGCGTCACGACGCGGACGAGCTTGGAGTCGTTCAGCTTCTCCTCCCCGTGAATCCATCTGTATCCCGCCTTCCCGACCCATCCCGCCCAGCTCCAGCTCGGGATCCAGGCCGTCTCCTCGCGGCGCGCCGCCCTGCCCGTGTGACTCCACATCAAAGCCTGCGGCAGACACGTCGCAGGCAACCCGTACATGACCTCCGTCTTCATGGCCTTCTTCACCGCATTGCCGACTCCGGCGAAGGCGTTGAGGACGTCGCCCCCGTGCGAGAGCTCGCGCGGCGTGTAGTTTTCCACCCAGAGACAGTAATCCGCCAGCATGGTGTGGTCTTGGAGTTGGATCGTGGTGGACTTGCCGAACCTCGGCTTGCAGTAGAACCCCGTTCCGAACGAGTGTCTGTTCTTCTTCCGTTTCTCGCCATCGTGACTGACCCCGGCATCTGCATCGGCATCGCCACAATCATGATCATCCTCGTGGCCGGCCTCTTCGACGGGCGAGTAATACGGATCATCCTTCAAAAGCGGCCCCCACGTGAGCTCCTCCGCAGCCTGCGCGCGACAACACTCGAACAAGACCTGATACTCCGTGATGAACAACCGTCGCTTCGTGAATAGCCTCTCCTGGAACGTCCATCCCCGCCTGTTCCATAGCGACGGGTCGACGATAGCCTGAACGCCGTTCGGATCGATCCCGCGACGACTGTTCCGATTCCTCGGCGGTCCCCAAAGCGAAGCCCGCGGCCTCCTCTCGTCAATGTACCCCGGCAGCCCCTTCCCCGTGCGGTCGTCTAACGCGGCCATGATGGCGAACGCCGCAGACCTGTAAATCCGATCCATGCCGTCAATCTGGTCCGGCTTCGACCGCTCGTCGTCCTGCACGATGCACAGCCGGTCCACCCACAGATACCGCTCCCCGAGGTCCCTGCACAGCGAGATCGTGTCCGTGATGATCCGAGGCAGCGAGACCGCCGAGAGACTGCCTTCCGCCCCGAGATCCTCCGCGTTGGCATTCACAAGCTGCGCGTGCCCGGCGCCCTCGCTGGCTTCCCACATGTAGCTCAGCGCGACGAACCGCACCGGCTCAAACGGCTGTACGATCCTCATGTCCCGCATATCAATCACGCGAAACCCGCGCGGCAACTCAGCTATACCCCCCATGATCAGCTAGCCATCCATGCTCCCTCCCGAAGTCAGGGAACAACTCACATGTAGACGCATACTCAGCACCGCAAGCATCATGCCACCTCTCACAATGCTGGATCCATCCCTTCAACGTCCCGATCTTGAACCTCTCAACCTCCCACTCCTCAACCCCAACCAGCCGCGGCACCTCGTCCCCTCCCGCAGAATACTTCATCCGGAACTGCGGCGTCACAGCAAACGGCACCGGCACCTCGCCTCCCCCGTCCCTTACAAGACTCACCGTCACCTCCAAAAACAACCTCACCTCCCCGTCCGCCAGCCTCCTCTCCTGGTCGACCTTATACCCCGAGTCCAGGAAAAACGGCCCCTGCACAGCCACATACACTTCCTCCACCTTCGCCGCCCTCAACCACTCTTCCCTCTCACACCCGGACCCGGCCCTCCTCCTCGCCTCCACAGCCGCCCCGACAGCGGCACAGACAAGACATTCGCTCCCGGCCCGGAGAACCGCAGCGAGCGGGAGATAGTAATGCGCCTTAGCTCCGCGCCCCGCGGCGAACTCGGGGACGTCCCAGTCCTGGCACCGCGCGCAGAGCCGCGGGCTCGGATCTTCGGGGCGGCGCGCGGCGAGGTCTCTGGTGTAGTGCTTCGTCGACGGGGCGCCGCCTTTGGGGAAGTCGATGTCTGCGCGGAAGAAATATGTCCGCCCGAGCATTCGGGTCCTTGGTGGAGTTTGAGTTGCGGGCTTTGGTTTGAGAGAGGTGAGGTCACAGTCTGGGGAAAATAAAAGTGGGTAATTGGTGATGTAGTTTCCAACTTAGATATGCAGAAGTAGGTTGACTTCGCTAAAAGGAAGCCCACGGTTGGTTGTGTCGTCTTTGTGTTGTAATCCGAAAGACTCAATTGCCATGGATGAACGTCGAAAAAAGGTGGGGGAGAAAGGGAACCAACATGGTTGTCAGCATGTTGGTACGTTGCAGGAACCGGATCCTTGGACTACGACTCTAGTGTCGCATGGCTTCGAGCTACTCCTGACAAGCTCCGGATAGTGCGTCATGGTGTATTCTCTGTGAAGTCAATGAAAACAGTCGTCGCTCGTGGTTATTCGTCTCTCCCGTCGTTTCGTTGCCTGGATACTGCAGTCCCTGTTACACAGGTCTTCATACCATCCAAGCCACGATGATCCAAATTCAAGAACAGCTCACAGAAATAAGCCAGAGTTGTGCAGATAACGTCAATACATTGTGTAGAGTTGGAGCCTCCGAGGCCACGACACCAGAGGCTCCTCTTCCTGATAACTCCCAACCTATGCCCCTATGGCCAGCACTGTCGCTATTATACATGATCCCTCTCTCACATCTCTTTCTGTTTTTTGCTTTCCGTGGCAGCCGAACGCTGATTTCCCAAGGAGATGCCCCCTCCCCTTAACCGTTTGCTTTCATATGTATGATCCAGAACAATAAGGCAGACTCGACGTCTCGTGTGATCTTTCAGCCATGTGATTCGTACCTTTCCCGCGCCGAATAGTAGAAATCAACCGAGGACCTTTCTGATTAAAAGTTGGTACGCAGCGAATGTGGAGTGCGTCGTTTGTATGGACTACACTAAGAGTAAGGCTGATGGAACGTGTGGAATGCGTATTCTATACAAGAAGGAATTTTAGGAGTCGAAATTGGGTGCAGGACGAATCATGCGTAGAAGGCCTCGATGAAGTAGATGAAGCCGAAAATGAGGAAAGCAACGGCGCCGCCAACGGTGACTGAGAATGTTAGCAGGAAACATTACAAGAGAAAGACACCAAAACTTACCAACTTTCAGAGAGACGCGACCTGCGATAGCACGACCACCAATAACGGCAGCGCCAGTGCAGATGCAGTGACCGACCATGGCACCGAGAATGACCCACCAGTAATCCTGGCCGGCGGCCATGGCGATCGTGGCGATCTGGCTGCGATCACCCCACTCGCCGAGGAAAGTCATGACAAACGTCTGAACCCACGCAGGGCTGAGAAGAAGAGAGAGGAGGTTGTTCAAGCCCTGCAGGGAGCCCCGGAGGCCACCAGGACCCGGAGACAGGCTTCGAGCGGGAGAGGTAGACGGTGAGCGAGGAGGCGAGGGGAACCGGCTCTTAGATCTCGACTTCCTATCGTTCAGGCCCATCTCCAGAGCGTAGGGGGACACGGCAGAGCCGCGACGCTTGCCCTCCTTCTCCTTCTCAGCAAGCTCTCGCTCGACCTCGTGAAGCTCGGCCGTGACACCCTCGTTAGGATCCATGCCGAGACCCTCACGCAGCATCTTTGCGCCAAAGACGAAGAACAGAGCAGCGGCGAGGAAGCTCGTGATGTGCTTGGGAATCAAAGTCGGAACCGCGTGGCCGAGGACGGCAGAAAGGACGGTCATGACCAGCAGAGCACCAAAAGCAGCTGAGAAAACCACCATACGGTCGTGCTTCATCGCCATGAGGGCAGCAACAAGGAAGGTCTTGTCGCCAACCTCGGAGACCAGAATCATGGTCAAGGACAGAACGAAGGAGTGGAAGGGCTGGATCACACCCTCTTCGGCCTCACCGGCAGAGGTGGAAGACTTGCCCTTAGATTTCGGCAGATCCAGATGATCCTTGTGGGCCGAGTTCGGGATCGGGTTGGGCTTGTCGTCGAGCTTGTTGGGGAGATCTGCGGGTTTCTTGGACGTGTCAGCATTGCGCTTAAGATAGCTGAGCTACCACAAGCTTACCTCAAGGCCGGCGACGTGCTCAGGCGTGTAGCGGTCTTCATGTTCCTTGTCCTTGATAGTATCCTTGTTGGCGGTCTTGTCGCTCAGAACCTTCTCCTGCTCGCTGTGTGGCAGAGGAGGCTGCTCTTTCGGAGCTACTGGCTTTGTGTCAACCTTTCCGCCTGTCCTTCCCTCCGCGGCCTTGCGCGCCTTGTCCTTCTCGCTGACACCTCCTTCGGTGCCGGTGGTGCCCTCCTTGGGCTTCTGACGGGTCTTATCGTCCATGACTCCATCGTTGGACTCGGGAATCTTCTGTCCGTCGATAACAGTAGGGTCCGATGGGCGTCCCTTCAAGGGAGGAAGGCCCTTCTTCGAATCGGCGTCGGCGGACTTCTTGTCGCCGTCGCTCTTGTCGACCCAAGGACCCTGATGGGGCATGCCATCCTTGCCGTCGACGGGTGCGTGTTCGGTGCCGTATCGTGTCTTCTTGGCCGAGCCAACGGGCGCATCGGCGGACTTGTCTGTAGACTTGTCGGTGGAAGCTACGGCTTTGGCGACATTCTTATCCGCGGTGTCGACGGAGAGGCCTGCAACAAGACCAGGGATCAGGAGCAGGAGCAGAGGAGAGGGTCGCCTCATGGTGAAGTGGTTCTCGAGGGATCGTGCCTCGAAGTAGCAGCAGCAGCAGCAGGGAGCAATAGGGTGGGATGTGAAAGAAAGTGTGGTGAATGCCCAGAAATTCTTCTGTCCTCGCCAGGGGCAATAGCAAGAAAAGGGCAACGGGTTTCTGATTTACTATGCCAATGCGACTGCAGCTAAGCCACGGGTTTTCTAAAATCGTTACGTATCTTTCTGCTGCACGGCCACGGGGGAGCCATTTGGAGGACGCGCCGCGCGGTGCCCCCATGTTCCGACGGGCTAAACGTGCCCCACAAGGGGCGACTTCAGTCTTAGGTTCAACTGTGAACCTGTCCAGTGTTGGCGGGCCCTGGCGGCCCCCTAGAACACGCCTCTTGCAGCGGGTGAGTCGTTCCATTTCACTGAGGGGGCCTATATGGGATAACTCGATAGAGGACACGGTCATCCACGTCCCAGATACTGGACGGAGCTTCATCAGTGGCGTTGCAAATCATGCTGCTGCTGTTGGCCCGCTGCGACGCGCAAGAGGTACAGGACTGCCTTCACTTCGGACTGCCAATGCCTTATGGACAGGGACACAGTTAACTGAGAAAATAAGGTATTGCTGTTCATCGTGTTTCCTGACAGGTGGATGCAGCCGTGGACCGGGTTGCATCCATTGAACCAACCCCAGATTTGCTCGCAGAATTCCGAGAGCTTGCTTGGCCACAACGGGCTCCAGGATACGTACCGGATCAGCATCATCGTTGTGGGTTGTCGCAGAAGCTCCAGCTGCTGGTGCACTGAGTGCCGGAGCTTACAGCAGCTTCGCTATCTTATCTCCGCCGACCGGCGACTTGCTAGGGAACCCCACCTACCCCGGGACTCTTTATGGATGTCGTCAACGACCGCCTCTTCGTGAAACATAAACCGAGCATCGCTTCTCAACGTGATTCACCTACTAACCGTCCACTTGCACCTGAATTTCACCATAGGACCTCTCGCGCGCCAGACGATAGCGAAGCTGTCACATACGCTCTCGCTGTCAACCCCCATCACACATCGGCAGTCTCATATCCGAGCTCCGTTGTATCATCCGCTGTAATCCGAGCTTCCGTGAACACTATTGGCTCGAAATGCCTCGATTCGGTGGTGACTCGCGGTCGCCTTCTCCTCCAAATATGGCGCCGTCCAGCGATGACGGTGAACCCACGTGGAGGCTGTTCTTCGATCCCGAGGAGGTTGACGAGATGGACAATGACGATGACGAATATGACCCTGATTTCCAAGACGAGCCTAATGAAGAGGACGACGATGAAAGTGAATATCATGGTGAGCCAGATTGCCACCTGCGTTTAGATGCTGCGATCTTCGTTGGCCTGGTCGCTTACACCCCGCAGATGCCGACGACGGTGGCGACGGCAACGTCGAGGTCGAAATGCTTTTGAACGCAGGCGAGAATGACGAGGAAGAAGACGATGACGATGACGAAACTGGACCTGACAATACGATTTCAAGAATTATGGCTCTCTTAAGTATGTCTTGCTCCCATGACCAGTTCTTGGCACCTTGATTGACATGACACAACAGCGGGTGCGCGCACCGGAACGGGCTTTCTAACAAGGGCCCAATTGCTTGGTCTGATTGAGAGGGGGGAAGTGACGTTGCGCGGTGTTGATGAAGACGACGAGGACGACGATGTGAACCCGTGGGGCGCCGGAAGACGCAGGAGGAGGCCTCGGGAGCCGGTCAAATTTCCCAAGGTGCCGAGCGACGAGGGCACGAAGCTGATGCACTCTGGCGCATTTGGTTCAAACAAGTACCGCGTGTCCAAGAAGCAATTGGCAAGGCGGATGCTTGATCGCGAGCTGGGACTCGGTGGCAGACGGGACCGACAACAAAACCAAGACCTCATGGCCCAGGGTATGATTCCATCAACAACACCCGAGATGATTGTACACTACGACGACCCGGTCTACTCTGGCCAGTTTTCTGACGACGGCAACTTCTTCTACGCATGCGGTCATGATTTCAAGGTCCGCATGTACGACACCTCGAATCCGTACGATTGGAAGTATTATAAGACGGTCACCTACCCCTGGGGCCAATGGACTTTGACAGACGCTTCTCTCAGCCCTGACAACCGCTGGCTGGCTTACACATCCATTCAAAGTAACGTATGTCTTGCGCCTACGGATCCTAACGATACCGGCGATCCGTACACGCTTGACCTTGCCCAACAAAGTGTAGAGCAACAGCGCGCCCAGGGATGGCGCACGAGACACGCCTTTGGAATCTGGTCGGTCAGATTCTCAGGTGACGGTCGAGAGCTTGTGGCGGGTACCAATACGCAATCTATTGTCGTCTACGACATTGAATCACGCACGGTACTGCACAACGTCGTTGGCCATGAGGACGACGTCAACGCTGTCTGCTTTGCAGATAAATCCTCCCCGCATATTCTCTACTCCGGCTCAGACGACGCAACCATCAAGGTTTGGGACAGACGCAGTATGGGAGACCAAAGACCTGCCGGAGCGTTCGTTGGACACGTCGAGGGTCTCACATATATCGACAGCAAGGGCGACGGCCGATACATTCTCAGCAACGGAAAAGATCAAACGATGAAGCTCTGGGATCTGAGAATGGTCATGTCCATGTCCAAGTACGACGAAGTCAACCCCACCAGGGTAACCGGCAATAGCGATTTCGACTACAGATGGGGAACGTACAGGGACGAGGACTGGTTCCCCCATCCCAACGATAACTCCCTTGTCACGTTCAGGGGCCATCGAGTGATGCGCACACTGATCCGCTGTCACTTCTCGCCACCGTCCAGCACAAACTCGCGATACGTTTACTCTGGCAGTCAGGACGGAAAGGTGTACATCTGGAACTTGGATGCTACTTTGGCGGGCACGATTGATGTAAGAAAGGCGACTAAAAACTCGCGGCCTCTCGAGCGTAGATATCGCATCTACCACGGGGATGACTTCCCAGGGTGGAACACATGCGTGCGCGACGTAAGCTGGCACCCCAATGCGCCAGTACTCGTTGGTAAGTAACGGTACACCCACGCTCACAGCCTAGAAGCTAACAATGGCAGCTTCCGCCTGGAACGGCTTCAATATGGCTCATGGAACGTGCACCTTGCATTCATACAATGAAACCGAGGACGACGAGGCCGAGCCCGAGATGGGTCGTAGTCTGGACGAGAAGCTGCGTCCGGTAGGCGACGTCGGATTCCACATGTAGATCTCCTGCAGCACACATCACTGGCGTAGAAGGCGGCATGGGATGATTATTTTCGATTATTTATACATCCTCCACAAATGTCAACCCCTCTTTTGGCAATGATACATGATCGATGAAGCCTCTGGGTCCGGGGTATCTCCTGACGCTGCATGCGTCTTCCGCCTCTCGAAGTTGCTGTATTGCAATCTAGCCGTGCGATGCTTTTGAACCCCTTGCTATTCGTATAACGTGTTCATCTTGGCCGACAACAATTGTCGACGCGGTTTTGGTTTGAGAAGCTGGTCCGCTTTACTGGTGCCTCCGCTTGACGAAACGTTCCGCCGTTTATGCGCCTCCGACGAGGATGTTGTTGACGGGGATGTGGATCAGCTTGACGATGTAGCCGACAGCACCCATGATGAGGAAACCGACACCAACAGCCTGGCAGAGCTTCAGGAACTCGACCTTGTCGGCTAGTGACACGTTAGCAATTGGCGCATGAGATGGCGACTGTGATGCGCTACGTACGCTTGGTGCACCTCCTCATGAACTGAACACCGTCCTGAGCGAACTCGGAGGGAACCTCAAGGATCTCCTTAACCTGGTCGGCCATTGTGGATAGAAGCGCGTGGGTATCGAGAAGAGAAGACGGGGTAAAGGTCGCAGTAGAATCCCAATGGGTCGCGATATAGAAGGGAAACCGTCGAGTGGACTAAAGGAGGGCGCGACGTCGAGTGTTTAAGACGTGCAGGTCGGATGGGTGGAAGATTCGAGAGGTCGATGGCGAAGGGAGATGTGTTAAATTGAGAGAGAGCACGCGCTGTCACCAAGGGTCCCAAAATTTCGGGCTAAGCTCCCGCTATGGCAGGAAGCCAGATTGCCATAAAGGAGGCGTGGAGGAATGATGCGCCGGGCCCCGATGCACACACGCCACGGGCTGCTTATCTAAGGTGTCGCAAGGTTGATTGCGCGAATGGAGCCTCCTTCAGTGGAGTGGTGCTCGTGAGCCCCTGGATTTCCCCCGCCAGTGGACAAGTGGAGTGCTGGACTGGGCCTGGTCCAGCCAAAGAGTCCCGCGTCTTCAGCACATGATAAGGTGCTTTAGCGACTGCGGTACGTACCGCTACTGCTAAGCACCTCAAGGCTGGACACGGGCTCCACTTGGGCATCCACCGGCGGCGTCTGTGCCTGCCGCAGCCTGGCAGCCGTGGCCCTTGCCTTGTTCCGCCTGGTTCAGGATGCGACCTCAGCTCTCTCAGGAGCTTCCCCCAGTTTTCTTCTCTTTCCAAACGCTCCTCCGGCTTCCATCCTCAACTGCATTTCTTCATCGCGTCAACACCAAGACGACTTTACCTCCATCCGCTGACCGATACCGATCCAGCACACGTTATCGAATCCGACGCGTCGCTTTGACGCCCTTGAAAATACCAGACGGAGTCGCCAGCAACGCACCTGCGGCTGCTGACCTCGCCCGGAAACCTTAACTGGCTTCCTAGATCCCTTACTAACCACCCCCGACTGACAGCTTCGGCCGCACGTTGAACGGGCAGGCACGCGCAAGGAGGCGACGGCCAAAAGGCGGTGGCAGAACGGGCAAACGGACTCTGGAATCTCGGGATCCTGTTTCCACCTCTCTCCCTCGTCCAACTTCTATCTTTTGCCTGTACCTAAGGCTTTCTGGGGCCGGAAAAACAAGGAAAGACAAATTATCACGCCTTCTGGGAAGACGGAAGACCGAGGCACAGAGCTTCGTCTTCAATTTTTACTTGGCTGAAAGAAAAGGGAGAGGACTCCTGGCTTGGGGCATTCAATCCAACCTCTTCCCATCCTGTCCTGTCTGCGGAACGAGGAGTGTACGTATCAGTTGTTCTCTGCTTCCATCCTGTTCTTTGCTCGAGTTCCATTTGGCTCAAGATTTCTTCTGGCAATGACCCTGTACCTGGCAGCGGCTGATGATCCCGTTCAAAGACTGCAGACGGTCCCTGTATCTTCGCAGACTAATAACAACCATTTTACAACCACAACCAAGCTCTCTACTTCAACTCACGGCTACCAGATACCACCGGCACCATGGCTGAAGAGGAATTCGAGATCGACATCTACGGCGACGCGCCCCAAGATAACCACGACGGCAACGCTGAGGCCTACGATGGAGGTGCCACCAACGGACACGCCGACGATCACCACACGGAGCAGAAGCACGACAGCCACGAAGAGTATCACGACCAGAACGAGCAGGACCAGCAGGACGCACCTGCCCCTCAGCAGGGCGTCAAGAGAAAGGGCGACGACCGGCCTATCGACCCTGGTGCGACGACGGCCATCATGATTTCTGACCTCAACTGGTGGAATACCGACGATGACATTAGGGGATGGTGTAGAGAAGGCCATTGCGAAGACGAGCTGAAGGACATAACGTTTAGTGAGCACAAGGTCAACGGCAAGAGCAAAGGGTAGGTTGCAGAGGTCCTTTAGGGGGTGTCGGCTGGCTAACTCTCCCAAAGGCAAGTATACGTCGAGTTTACCACTCAACAAGCAGCAACAGCAGCCAAGCATGCGATTGAATCAACAGATGGCGTCAACGGTGTCCCAAAGAAGCACAACGTCACCTACTCGAACCCCAACGTCAACCCGTTCCGTACGCTGCCTAAGGATGCACCAAACCGCGCGGGTAAGGACCAGGGATCCTCTCGCGGCGGCTACAACAACCAAGGCTCCTCGATGGGAGGCGAGTTCCGCGGCGGCTACCGCGGCCGAGGAGGTTTTAACGGACCTCGCGCGGGTATGAACCAGGGCTTCAACCGCAACTTCTCAGGCGGCGGCGGCATGGGAGGCGGATTCAACAACAACATGGGCGGTGGCTTCAACAACGGCATGGGCGGAAACTTCGGCGGCGGCGGCGGCTTTAACCGGGGCGGCGGCTTCGGTGGAGGTATGCGCGGCGGTCCTGGAATGCGCGGCGGCCGTGGAGGCGGCATGAACAACCCAATGGGTGGTATGGGTATGGGACCAATGGGCGGTATGCCGATGGGAGGTATGCCCAACATGAACATGATGGGCGGCGGAATGCCTGGTACGACTCCCCTTCCCTTTGGATTTCAGCTTCGTCCTTCACCTTCAATTGCTCTTCCCCTTGGCCAATCCCCTTTTCCATCTGAACCGAGCGTTTGGCCATTTTCGTTATTTTCTTCTTCCGCTCCCGGGCAATCCGTTCTCTCTGCGTCTCATCCCAATCCTTGGCAACCTGCAAAACGGAAGCGTTCACCGGACGTAGTAGCGGAGGCGTCAGACCTGAGGAGCAAACGTGCAGCGGAAGTAATAGCGGAGTTACCAGACCTGAGGAACCGACGTCTGAAAGACTGGCTGGCCAGAATCTCTCCTGAGCCATGACAGCCATGCCTTTTTCAGGCTCCAGGCAACCTCCTGGACGAGCTCAAGCTTTCTTTAAACCTGCTTTTGTTTTGTTTTCAGTTACAGTCATTTCGACGGTGGGGAGCCGCTCGCTAACGACAAAACAGGCTTCCATGGCATGCCCCAACAGTTCAACCCAGCATTCTTTGGAGGAAACCAGGGCGGAGGCAACGACTGGGGTAACCCTCACGGTGCAAAGAGACCTCGGCCGGAGTAGGGCTCCTGGAGAAAAGGCTCTTCGGCAACTCACCCACGCCCCACCTCGAATTAGTGTCTTGGACCTCAATGGGAGAGTTTCAACGAATAATGGAGTGTTGCTCGCGAACAGGTCACCAGTCCCAGCACAATGTACAGCTGGATAGAATGAGACCAATGCTGTCTGCTCGTTTGCTAAGTCACAGGATCGGATACAAAGTGTACTATTAGAATTTTGATTGCATGGGAAGAACGGTTTCCGGCAGCTCGGTCCTGGCGTTAGAGTTGTTTGAACAAACCGCACCTTGTACACACATCCAGGCTGCGTTTGCTTATCAAAGTTACTGTATTCACATTTTTCATCTCGTCTTGAGTTTTTCTATCGTCGTGCGGACGAGCTCTTGTATCTGCCCCCACCGCATCACAAGCATTTCCCGCTGAAACCCCTCGCCCTCCTCCAGCTTACTTATCAGCTCAACCTTGCGGGAGATCTCCCCGTCATACGCCACGAGCACCTCTTTCAAAATCTCATCAACCTGAGCTTGCTCCGCTTCCCCGTCCTCGAATCCATCAACGAACCTCGCCCACCTCCTCGCCGGCAGCACCATACTCCTCAACGCAACCTGCGTCCGATAACACACCGTCTCCGCATCGACCATCCACTTCCCCAGGAACCCCCTCTCCTCGAGCCTCTTCCTCTGCGCGGCGCTTAACCTCGGAAGCAGCGCCTCGTCAAGACACGCCTCGTCCCACTCATTCTCCCCCTCCCCCATCACGAAGCCGTACTCCACCAGCAAAAAGTCGTTGCTGTGCCGCCCGTAGCAGATGTGGATCTCCTCCCCGGGACTATAATCCCTGTCCGCGCGGATGGTGAAGGACTCGGTGTCGAAGGCGACGTTGCACCCGCGCGAGGCGTGGTTGAGCAGGTCCGCGACGGGCTGCAGGATCATGTGGTCGTCGCGGCTGCGCTTGGCCGTGCGCGGGGTGACGTGGTAGAAGGTGCGCGAGTTGACGAGCAGCCAGGCGTGGCGGTAGGCGGCGTAGGTCAGGTCCGGGAGGGCGGCGGCGGCGAGGGACCAGTGGGCCTCGAACTTTTCGGACTGTGCCGCGAGGAGGGCGGCCGCTGTCGGGGGCAGGTGGGCTGTGAGGGCGGCGGGCCAGGTGAGCGGGCAGGAGGCGAGGTCTGCGGGCGTCGGGAAGACGGCGGACCAGGTTTTGAAGGATGGGGAGGTGTCGAGGGCGATGTCGGCGGCGAGGAGGGCGTGGACGGCGGTGTCTTTTGGGAAGAGGCGGGATACGGATTTGGGGACTGTGGCGATTGTTTTTAGGCAGGGGATGGGCACGTCGAGGGCGGCGTCGTCTTTCTGGGGAGTTGTGTTAGTGACGGTGCGGGCGAGGATGAGGGGAGGCTGACTTTGATGGGTGAGGTTGCGACGATGCCTATGCCGCGGCCGGGTAGAGCTCGAGGCCCGACGTTGTTTATCGCGATGCCTTGGGTCTTTGCCCAGGCCAAGAGGTTCTCGATGGCGTCCATGATGAGTGGACGAGTGTTGAAATATAGCTGGAACCACTCCTGTCCGTCGTCCGTGACAGATGGTCCTCAACGGGATACCCTGAATTGAATGAAACACCCCAGAAGTGAGGATAAACGCCCACCAAGCCGCCAACTTTAATCGTGTAACTAAGACTCTTAAACGGTCTGGATGAGTTCCAGTTACACCGGCCGGTCTCTGAAATGAGCGTACACGGCAACCGTATATCAACACGAACAATGCTTCGGAGTATCGTTCATAACATGGCTGGCTGATAAGATCAAAATCACAGCTCCGCAATCAAAACGGTGTTCAAGAATAGAGTCATTCAAGCTTGCAAGTTATGGATGGAGTGTTGAAAGAGACTCAAGCTCAAGATGAGACGGTCACCCGTCAAAAACCAGACTGGCCAATCATACCTCGCTTGCGGGGCCCTGCCGCCCCAGGAAAGCTTGCCAAATCCGAACTTTTGGCTTCTTCTCGACGCAGTCTGAATTTTACGGAAAATAGGTACCCTGGAATGCCACTACCACCCACCATTTCAGGTCGGTGACTAAACCCCGCCGATGCACCGACCCCTCGGCCCCTCTGCAACGCCATTCGGGGGTACTTTGTGAGGTAATTGACATCGTCCGAGCTCCCAAAAGTTGCACGTCGTGATCGAACCACCACCACGCCGAGCTGAGCTCACAGCTCCAAAAAGCTCCAATCCCACCTTCTTGCCGTGAAACGCTTCTTCTGCACATCATATTCGGCTTCAATTACTTCTCACCCCCAAAATGAAAGCTCTCCGCACCCTCCCCCGCGCAAATGGCGCCCTCCCCGCCCTCTACGCCGCCACGACAACGACAACACCATCCTCCCGCCCCTTCTCCGTCCTCAACCGCCCGCCGCCAAACTACGAAGGCCACGTCCCCCTAAACCGCATCGAAAAGGCCTCCCTCGCCATCGGCGCAGGCATCTGGTCCCTCCTCTCCCCGTACCGCGCCGACCTCATCGCCGCCGTCGGCGAGGCCACCGCAACACCCTACTTCATCTACCGCCTCCGCGACGCCATGCTCGCCGACCCAACCGGCCGCCGCATCCTCCGCGACCGGCCCCGCATGACCTCCACCACGCTCAACCTCGATCGCCTGCGGCAGCTGCCGGACAACAGCGTCGGCCGCGCCTACGTCGGCTGGCTCGACGCCGAGGGCGTCAGCCCTGACACGCGCACGAGCGTGCGCTTCATCGACGACCCGGAGTGCGCGTACGTCATGCAGCGCTACCGCGAGTGCCACGACTTCTACCACGCGCTGACGGGCCTGCCGGTGGTGAGGGAGGGCGAGGTCGCGCTCAAGGCGTTCGAGTTCGCGAACACGCTGATCCCCATGACGGGCCTGGCGACGATGAGCTACGTCACGATGAAGAAGGGGGAGCGCAGGCGATTCAGGGAGATTTACGGGCCGTGGGCGGTGAGGAACGGGTTGAGGGCGAAGGAGGTTATTAATGTCTACTGGGAGGAGCAGATGGAGCGGGACGTGGACGAGTTGAGGGCGGAGCTGGGGATTGAGAGGCCGCCTAACATGAGGGCGATACGGAAGAAGGAGCGGGAGGAGAGGAAGAAGGCCATGGAGAAGGCGGCTGCGAGTCCATAGCTTTCCCTCTCGGGAATCGCGACGAGCAATGTGTTTGTAGTGTAGGTTAAAATTGTAGTTTTCGCGGTGCACTGCAATAGTCGCAAACCAATCTGCGGTTGCAGCATGCTAATAACGCCATTCCATCGCCGGCACATCCATCTCGTGTGCGGCAAGTTGCATGACAGATGCCTGACTTTTGTATGGCGCCCTTGTCCCCAAAGAGAACGTCGTGCCTGAAGAATCTCCTCGCGTGCCCCCCTCACAAATCCAGCAAGTCGTCGTCGTCGTCGTCCCATCCCTTCCTCCGGCTGACCACAATCTTCTCCTCCTCCTTGTTCTCCGCGACGGCAGCCAACAGCTCCTTGAGCTGCGCCTCGGTGACCTTGCTGCGCAGCTGCCCCGACTGCGCGAGCATGATGAGCCTGTTCTCGACGTCCTGCGCGCGCTGCTCCTTGACGAGGCGGATGCGGCCCAGCCGGTCCGCGGCCTCGGGGTGGAGGATCTGGTTGAGGATCTGTTGTCTCGCTTCGGCTTCTTGTTGTCTACATCATGCGTCCGTAAAGTCAGCCAATGTTTGTGCGAAAGAGAATGAAGGGGAAGCAAATGACGGAATGACGTACTGCCTCTGCTCGGCCTGCTTCTGCTGGGAACCGCCGCCGCCGCCGCCGGAACCTCCTCCAGCCCCGGCCTGCGCCTTGAGCTGCTCGAGGCGGGCCTTACGAATCTGCGGCGCGCATGTGGTGTTAGCATTTATTTTGCCCCGTCACAACAGCAGCTGCGGAATGGTGGGGGGTGCGCTCACCTGGTCAAGCTCGGAGTCGTCCATTTTCCTGGGGAGTGATGCGTGGGTTGCGCCGGTGTTGATGTTTGGTTCAAGAAAACGCGGGGCCGCCCTGCCTGACGGCAGTTTTTTGGCGGGGTTACCTTGCTCAACTGGCGCCTTACAAATTTCACAGCCAATTTGCTTGGGGGGTCGTGGGTGGTCTGACCGCCAGCCGACGCAGTGACATATCACTGGCAGGACATATCCAACATAGCGTTCTTCGTCAGATTAACAGAATTGGTCTCGTCTGCTTCCAATAAAATCATACAAATCATGTCGCTATTAAAATGCCCAAATGCCTATGAGTGATCTACCGCCTTGAAGTCTCTTCCACATGAACATACGACTGAGTTTTTCTCCAGACGGTCTTATGCTTAGCCTTGACCATACTGACGGCCATTTTGTTCGCAGGCAGCTTCAGGCCCGCCATCTCACCCCTCTGGATGAAGAATCCATTCAGATAGTCGATGTCCGTAAGCGCCCCCCTGCGGATCTGCAATGCCATCCTGCTTGGTGCATCCTTCTTCCCCCAGAGTTGGCTCATGATCATCTTCTTCATGTACCCTCTCCGTAGCATGTTTTGCAGCTCCGGCGACCGCTTTACCTCCGGCATAATCGCCACCACATCCGCGATCTCTTCCAAAAGCTGGTCCATCAGCAAGTTGGCGTGGCGGTTTCTAGTCAGGTCCTTGTACGGCCTATCCAGAAGCACACAGATCGGCTCTGCGACAGCCGAGAACATCAGCGCCGGGATCTTGACCTTCATCCAGTTTTCGAGCTGCATCCCCTGGGCCTTGAGCAAGTCCGCCGTCGCGAACTTCTGCAGCATAGACTGCGTCCTAAGCCATGCCGTTTCCGAGAGGTATTCGTCTCTACCCTCCACGAGCGGTCGCACCCCCGTGAGTGATGTGGCGTAGTCTGGATGCATAACCCGCACCGACTTGGAATTCCTGTTGTATGCGACTGGGCTGCTGAAATGCCCGAGAACGATGGAAGGCCTCTTTTCCTCATCTTTGAAATACTTGTTATTCGCGGCCTCGGCAACTCCAAGCCCGTCTGACATGTAGCAGATGGCGGTCCGGTCGTCCACGCGGTGCCGGACCTTGCTCAGCGCCTCGAGTACCTGGCCAGGTCGTCCGCCCACGATAAGATTGCTGATATGGCCGTCGTCCTCGACAGACTCCGAACGCTCTGCAAACGCATGGTTGCGATCACTCCAGGGTGCTTTTTCCTTCCATTTAGAATCTCTGCTCACATTACCAGTGACGTTCACATAGCGTGTGTCCTTCGGTATATCGAGCGTCTGTACCGAGTCGTAAACACCGTGTAGCGCATGCGATATGAATTTTATCTTTTCGTCTGCCCCCAGAATGTGTACCATCCTCGACGATGGCGGCGGCGGTGAGTCGTGCCCCATCATTACGGCAGGCACGTAGAACCTCGACAAAGAATCCGCCTTGAAAATGGCGTAGAGCTCCTTCTCATGCTGCTCTGGTTGCAGACCCAAGACTTTATTAAACTTCTCCTTCGTCGCTTCTGGCACACCCAGTGTCGAGGAACCAGGTACCGTGGCCATCATCTCGTTGGGCGCCACCTTCCCGGGGGCAATGCCATGGGTTGGTCTCCCCAGGCCGAGTTTGTTCGAGGTGTCTGTCGAGACGCATCTGGCTCCCCGGCCGGCGCAAGTGCTACCTGCTTTCCATATTGACTGTGCTTTAGGTATCCGCGCGGAGAGCCGCGGTCTCGGAAGGCTTGCCAAAGTGACTGCCACGGTGACGGGTTGGTGGGTTCGGCGCATGCGCTGCGCGATGTACGTCGGATTCGCAAGGTGAAAAAGGAGCGTGATTCTTGCGTGTGCCACCAAGATATTTTGTCGTGTATATCGAGGAGCCCCGGAGCGCGAGGGGCGGCCAATTCGTTACTTTAAGACCGAGGGTTGTTATCGGGATTGGAAGGCGGCGAAGACTAATGACGGGGACATTGACCTCAAAAATTTGGCGCTCAACGTGGGAGCCGTGGATTCCCGGCTCTCAGGCCCGGCCCACTGGCCCTGCAGGTACCCCAGCGCCTCGTTAGATGCATGATCATCCTTCCATAACCGGATTTCTGAATTTTCAACGTCAATCTCATCGCGGTCTCAATCAGGGTGACATTCCGTATCAACGCGTCGCTGCTCACTCTTCTTGGTGCTTTCTTTAACTCATCAGAGAAATACCGCCATCATTCAATCTGAAAGGACACAATTTCAAGATGGCAATGAAGGATATGTCAAATGAGCTCGACAAGCTCGAGACTCACATCGACTCTCTCGAGGATGCTCTTAAGCCCCTAGTCTCCGACCTGCCTCAAATGTCCAGCGAGCTGCCCCTTCTCGACAAAGCGAAAATGTTCGCCCTTACCGCCTACGCCATCGAGTCCCTCCTCTTCTGTCAGTACGCACCTCATTTCTCCCAGGCCATCAATTAACCACCTCACAGCTTCCCTCCGCCTTCAAGGCGTCGACGCCAAGGATCACAATGTCATGACGGAACTGAAGCGCGTGCAGCAGTACTTTGCCAAGATCAAGCAGGTTGAGGAAGCACAGAACCCCTCCCAGCGGACTATGACTGTCAACACGGAAGCGGCGACGAGAATCCTCAAGGCGGATCTGGTGAGCTGTTTCCATCACATGTGCTCGGCGAGCCATACTGACTATACCAGGGCGACGACAAGGTTCTGAAGAAGAAGCTAGAGGAGAAGCTGGCCGAGGAGCGCGCTAAGGCGCTTCTCAACTCCATGCAGAAGACAAAGAGACCGGCGCCAGACTCGCCGTCAGCCAGCTCCTCCGGCCCAGAGAAGAAGCAGAGGAACTCGAGGAGAAAGAGCTCCGGCAAGAAGAACAAGTCTTGAGAGCAGCTTTAGGATTGTTTGGCGAAATTTGCGGCAAAGGAATTGCACTCGGTTGGACTGGATCCAGAATGTGACTCAGGGTCACGAGGGGTGCCTGCGTGGGAGACTGCTCGCCGGATCCTGCGGCTGAACAGGTGGCAAGCAGGCGGCCGCAACACGGACATACGAGCTTTAGTCTCGGCTTCAGGCAGAGGGAATCAGCACATTGCAAGGGGGGAAGGAATCATTCACGCATCGATATTAAAAGTTTATACCCTCAGATAGACACGGAATCACTTAATGAAATCGCCAAAGACAGAACCGCATCTCAATGCACCCCTTTTTAACGATATGTCCCTCTGAAGCATACCCACCAATCACAAGAAAACAAGACCCTTCTCCACGCTCTGGACCACGACCGAATTCGCCCTCTGCTGATTGGCCACACCTCGCCACCCCCGGCCGAAAGCCCAGAAAAAAAGCCGAGCTCCAAACCACCTTTCGCATACCCTTCCGGCGCATAACTTCTGCCGACTTCCCTCCCAATCCACGCCAAAATCTACGTATCCCCAAGACATCAACAACCGTCGCCCGCCGTAAACGAACCACACCCGTCTCTACCACACAAACCACCACCACACACACATCCAAGATGCCTCGTCAACGCTCCGTCGGCCGCGCCCCCTCGCGCCCTACCGCCCCGGCCTCCAAGCCCGCTCCCACCCAAGCTCGCCCTGCAACCACGATGGCCGCTCCCCCTCAACACGCCGCTCCCCCCGCCGCTCCCCCGGCCGCCGCCGCCCCTTCTCAGGGCCCCGGTCTCTTTGGCCAGATGGCTAGCACCGCTGCGTACGTCCCGTTCCGTCCTTCGAGATCCTCCTGCCCAAACCTCGAAACCAGAACCTCACCCCGCCCCAAAGCCATAAAGACCATGACAGAATGCTAACAACCCCTCCAGCGGTGTCGCCATCGGCTCCTCCGTCGGCCACGCCATCGGCGGCCTCTTCTCCGGCGGCTCCTCCGAGGCCCCCGCCCAGGCCCAGTCCGCCTCCCCCGTCGCCGAGTCCCAGACGACCTCCCAATGGGGCAACAACTGCGCCGGCGCCACCCAGCAGTTCACAAAGTGCATGGACGAGCAGAACGGCAACATGCAGATCTGCAACTGGTACCTCGAGCAGCTCAAGGCTTGCCAGGCTGCCGCCAGCCAATACTAAGCTTCTCCTGCTCAGGTGCTGATCCGCGGTCCGCTCTCTGTGGTGGACATGTGGGCGACTTGGGTGATGCCGAGTTAACGTCGGATGTTTTTATGTACTTAATGTAACACAACGGAAATGGGAACCAAAATATCAACAAAGGAGCGTGTGGGCTCAAGGCCTGCTCCATTGGGGTTGATTCATCACGGGCATTTTGCATTGGCGGAAGCATTTTCAGAATGAGGGGCTTTCTCGAAAGTATATTACATCTCCTAGGTGTACAATAGATGGAAATTCCCACTCGCCAACCTGTGTTTTTACCTCATCCAAGTTGTTGCTCGTCGTGACCTCGCCCACTCACTCATCCTTCTTCTCGTCAGGTCGTGGCTCAAAGTTGGTCTGCAAGGATTAGCATCCGCCTCGTCCCCTCCCAACGGTGGAAATTTGCACTTACCGAGTTGCCGTTGTAGAACTGTTGGTCCCCCCTCCGATCATCCGCATTCTCAAACTGCGAGAACCTGCCCTTCCGCTGCTCTCTAACCGTGACCGGCTCCGCCGCCCCCTCTTCGTTCCTCCTGCCGAGACCAGAAAACACACCGGTAATCAGTCCCCAGAGCCATTGCAGCAACGACAGCGGCATCATCAAGAACGTGACCAGCATGCCTCCCAAGCCCTCGCCCTCGTACGCACTAACATGCGCCCCGACAGGCGCCAGAACCAGCGTGGACGAAGGCGAGAGCCCCAAGTCCGCAAGACTCTTGCCCTCCTCGGTGTCGTCAATCTTCCGGCTAGGCAGCGGCGCAAGCACAACCTTGAACCGGTAAGGCTCCTTGCTCCCATTCGTCCGCGCCTCGTCCACCCACTTCCTCACCTCAGCCATCTTCTTCCCGCTCGAGAACCGGTTGCGGATCGTCGACCCGTCCAGGAGCCTCACTTGCAGGGCAGTCATACCGCTCGAGGCAGACTTCCCCGGCGCCAGGGAGCTCGACTCAGACCTCGTCAGCGCCGCAGCGACGTCCCCCAGCTTCGGCTCGGCCTCCTTCTCCCGCAGCGCGGCCCGCTGGGCGGCCTTGGCCCGGCGCTCGGCACGGTCGTCCTCGATCTTCTTGAGGATCCGCGCCTTTTCCTCGGCGGCCTCCTGGCGCGCCTTCTTGAGGGCCTCCTTGTGATTGCGGGTGTCCGCCGCCTGCTTGGAATTGTCGGCCTCCGCACTTGCAGCGCGGGCTTTCTTGGCCTTGCGCTCGTTCTCGGCGCGCTCTGCCTCGAGACGGACGGCGCGCTCGGCGAGGACGGCTTGCAGGGCGCGGGCGTTTTCGCGCTCGCGGTCTGTCTGGGTGTTTGCTGCCGGGGTGGGTTCAGTGGTCTGCGGTTGGGTCTGGGTGGTAGTTTGAGGGGCGGAATATGGCTCCTCGTCGTACAGGTCGTCGGCCGGCTGAGCTGCCGGCGCCGGGGCGGGAGCCGGCTGGGCAGGTTGCGCTGCGGCGGGCTGGCCCTGAGCACCGCGGAACGCAGTCGTCAGACGTCGGACAAACTCGTCTTTGGTGGTGCCTGCGACGATGTACTCCTTCAAGTCGCCGTTCTTGATGACCACCACGGTAGGTGTATTGGGGAGGGGGAAGATGGCGGCCAAGAAGCCGGCCTCCTCTGAGCCCTGCTTCAGACGCAGGGCGACGGCTTCATCTTGGAGCAGAATAGCGACCTGATAGTGTGAGTTTATTGCTGAAATGGGTGAAGAAGGGAGACTTACAGAATCCTCGGTGAGATACTCGGTCTCCCAGCGCTGGCTCTCCTCCTGCTCATCTGTGGGCCTGTGAGTGAGTGATCGCACCGTCATCGACGTAGAGGAGCTTACCTGTCACGAAGCAAAATACGCATTTGCTCTGCTGAAGCGCAGAGGCGATGCCCTCTTGCAAGCTTCCCGTGAAGAACATGGCGATACCGAAGCTGTTGGCGCAAATGTTTGGGCGTAGAAGACTGGAGAATCTGAACCTTGAGGTATGAACAGCTCTCTGCTGCCTTAAATAGAGCTTCTGCAAACGCTTCTAGGGCCGCAATGATCCGTTGAAGCTTCGAGATTCACCGCAAGTTTTCGTCTGCCAGCTTGAGTCAAACACTTCAACAGTGAATGTGATCCCGCAGACGAGATATCAAAAACGCACATGCAATGATGACAAGGGACAAGGTGTCGTCCGTTGCGTCCTCCCTTTCCGCTTTCCGTCCGAGACAGCACCAATCCGGCAAGGCCTACACCACACACCACCCCAAGGGAACCCCACACCCAACGCCACGCCACCGAACCTCCCGCGCTGCAGCTCCTCTCGGGGCAGCTGGAGGTACCTTACAGGGGGGCACATCGAAACCCCAAAAATCCAAACCGTCCTGACCTCATCCGCAGCTTCGCGGAAAGCTTCACTTTTGTCCAACACAGCGGTCGTCCTCCCGCCAACAACAGTCACAATGCCGCCGCCAATACCACGAGCCCTCCTCCGGGCGTCAATGCCCAGGACAAACCTCTGCCTAAAGTCAATCGCCCTCCGCGCATCATCACGCCAAACAACACCATCTCAACCAGCACCCTCCTCCCGCCGCCCATTCCACACAACCCCCCGCCGCGCCGACGTCCAACCGGGCCCCGACTTCCACTCGATAGTCGATAACCCCCCCGACCTCGTCCGCACCGGCCGGCGCCACGGGCCGGGCCTGATCATCCTCGCCCTCATCCCCGTGACGGCCTTCGTCCTCGGCACATGGCAGGTCCAGCGCCTGGACTGGAAGACGAAGCTGATCGCAAAGTACGAGGACCGCCTCGTCCGCGACCCGCTGCCGCTCCCGCCGCGCATCGACCCGGACGCCGTCAGCGAGTTCGACTACCGCCGCGTCTACGCCACCGGCCGCTTCCGCCACGACAAGGAGATGCTCATCGGCCCGCGCATGTGGGAGGGCGAGCAGGGCTACATGGTCGTCACGCCGCTCGAGCGCGAGGGCGACGGCACGACGGTGCTGGTGAACCGCGGGTGGATCAGCAAGGCTATGGCAGAGCAGGGCAAGCGGCCGTACGGGCTGCCGCGGGGGGAGGTCACCGTCGAGGGCCTGCTGCGGGAGCCGTGGAAGAAGAACATGTTCACGCCCGAGAACAGGCCGGATAGGTGGGAGTTTTTCTTCCCCGACGTTCACCAGATGGCGGAGCTCACGGGCAGTCAACCGGTATGGATTGAGGCTACTATGGGTATGTTTCGTTGTGTTTCGTTCTTTTGTACAGCATGCTTACGCTCGCGCAGAGCACGAGTTCTTCCGTATCGTCGACCTCAAGTCCAGGGGCATTCCCATCGGCAGAGCCGCAGAAGTGAACCTGCGGAACAACCATGCCCAGTACATATTTACATGGTATTCCTCCCTTTCCGTTCCTGATTTCCATAGGTATATGCTGACATTAATCATAGGTATGGCCTCGCCTTTGCGACGTCCATCATGTTGTGGATGGTCGTCAAGAAGCCTGCTTCCGACATCTCGCGCCGGGTTCGCATGAACAAGCACTGGTAAACTTGGGCTTAATCATTCTCAGCTCACATCCTCGCCGCCGCCTTTTGTGGAGCACCGCTTCTTCCTAGGCTCAGCGGGCGGTAACGGCTTGGGCATTCTCAACTCCTGCAACAGCTCCCGGGGCAGATGTCTCTGCGCCAGGGAGAAGAGCGTAGTCGTCGAGTTGGTCTGGCGTTGTCTGTAAATGTAAAATATCAGCACCACACATGTACAATCTGTGAAGAAGAAAAAAAGTAGATACCCAAAAGGGGGCCACCATGTTTCTCCTAAGGGGCAACATACCTTCGCATGAGTGTAAGCATATCACTCTCGTCGATGGTCTTCCTCTTCGCGTGCTTCGCGTACGCAGAGAGGTCGTCCCCAAGCTGCTCAAAGAACCAGTCCGAAGCCCGCTGAATCTCAGCCAGCGCCTCCGGGCTGATCTTCGTCTTCGTGATACCGCTCGACTTGGCAAACGTCCCCGCCAGCCTCTTCACCACCGCAGGCGGCAGCGAGGGGTATTCCACACCATACCTGGACAGCTTGAGCCCCTTCTTCGACAGCTGCTTCCGCCTCTGCTCGAGATGCACACTCGCCTCGCCGCCCTCCTCCTCCGTCGCATCCGCGTCCACGCCAGTGAGGTCCATCCCTTCCTCCTCCGGCGCCGGCGGTCCGTAATCCTCCGGGCTCGAGCTGCGCAGATCGTACGCCGGCCCGTAGTCCTCAAAGTCCCCGAACGCAGGCGGCGGCTGGTCGCCGGGCAGCGGGCCGATGTTAATGGACGGCTGCTCGTCCGTGATCTCGGGCAGCGGCCGCGCCGGCGAGCTCTGCCCCTCCACGGCCATCATGAACGTCGTCTGGTCCGCGTCTGCGTCCACGGGCACCTGGAACCCGAAGTCGCTCTCCCGCGCCGGGATCAGCGTCTCCCGTCTCGTCGCGTCCTCCTCGATCCTGGCATAATCGTCAGCATCACCGTCTTTTTCCTCTTGTAATAATCATCGGGCTCTCACCTTTCAAGACTCCGCTCCCTCTCCCTCCCGTCCTCGTCAAAATCGACAAAGCCCGGGTCAAACCCGCCCCCATCATCGTCATCGTCCAAATCCCCATAGTCCCGGTACTCCCTCACATCCCCCATCGACAGCCGACTATTCTGCTCCGTGTACGCCCTTCGCGAGAACTCGATCGTCGCATTCTCGTCATTCACATCGCTCAGCCGCGGCGGCACCAAATCCTCATCATCATCCTCGTCCACATCCAGCGGCAGCGACAGCCGCGGGCGATCAATCGGCAACTCATCATCCTCATCATCCTCCTCATCGTACGCAAAGCTCCTATTCCGAATCGGCAAACTCGTCGCGCGCCCCGTCGCCCCGTTCTCGCTCGGCGACGAACTCGACGCGATCGCCTGCGTATCGTGCTTCGCCACCCTACTAAGACCCCTCAGCACATCAAACATGCTCTCCCGCCTCGGGCGTATGCTTTCCCTGCGCTTCTTCCCGCCGGGCGTGAGCGCCGCCGCGCGCCGCTGGTCGATCGTGCGGTACGCCGCCCGCGCATGCGGCGTAGCCGCCAAACTGCGCCGTCCCGAGGCCGAGAGGCCCGGCGTGCCGGGGACGCCGCGGTATGCCGAGCTGCGCAGCGAGGAGCGCAGCGGGGGCGGGTTCGAGGGCGTCTGGAGGGATGCGCGGCTCGAGGGCGGGTCGAGGCTGAAGGCGCGGCCGCGGGCGGTCGGGGTGCGTGCTGCTGCGGCGTTGAGGCGGCCTGTGTGCGTGTCCATGATCGCGGAGGAGAAGAGAGGGTCGTCGTCGTCGGAGAGGAAGGAGGCGCCGTCGCGGCCGGTGGTGGGTGTGTTGAACGACATTGTCGCGGTGTGTGTTGCGATGGGGTGCTACACCCTCGCTTTCGTCGTCGGTTTAGCTTTGTAGGAAGGGGGGCGTGTGTGAGGCCTAGAGCTGAAAAACTGATTCAATCCGTGGCATCACGGCAGCGATACGGAGTCGGGATGCCGGTGGAGTTGTGTCGGTCGTCGGTGTGTGGATTGCGATACTGATGGTTCACTCACTTCCCCCGCGGCCAGACACAGACGCGACTGAATCGACGCGCCCAGCTTCGACGGGATGTCGTCAAACAAGCAGGGTGTGCACGGACCATGTTTTCTCTCGGCCCCACCCACCGGCACGCCTCACCTCCATCAACATGGATCTCTTCCGGCCGGGGTTCAGTTGTCCGGCGCGCCGAGAACTTTATACATTACTAAGGGTTGACTGAAGTTCGTGCAGCAGAAAGTCAATCGGAGGCAAGGGTTGTGCTTCTGGAATAACGTGCGGCTTCTTGTTTTCTTCTTCGGCGGTACAGCTTCTGGAACCCGAAAACGAGGGGCGATTCTTGAGTCGTTGAGGTGTTGACGACGGAGCTAAGCTGGACAGATGATTTCGAGGATGACTGTGGTTCATTGAGGAGAGACATCCCGATGATGTCGATTCGGCATCGTATCGTCGCACCTCCAGCCTGAGGTTGCTACAGACCTTACGGTTTCCACCGCCGACCTGTCAAACTCTAGCGGGATACGCCTCAACTAAGCTTAAGACTGATTACCTCGCAGCCTTCATCATACCACACCACACCACCTCGCCTTTCACTCCCAACGTTTCGTTCTCGTTCTCGAGAAAATCAGCATTGCGAACATATTCAGTGCGCTGAACTCCAAAAAAAGAACACTCAGCCCTGCTAGGAGGATCTTTTCAGTCAAGATTAAACTCCCGAAACCTTGGTGCAAATCACCCCCAATTTCCATGCCATCCAACACGGGTCGGTCCTCAATCCCATCAGCGTAGACCACCATAAGTGCTTACATCAAGCACCCTGGCTTACAAAATCAAGATATGGTCTTCAATCTCGGACTTAGCAGTAAAGCCGTCTGTTCTTACGCAGTCGAACCCGGGCTTTGGCATGTTGCATCAACAGTGTAGGAGCCCGTAAATTTTCGGCTGCAGGTCGGGGCCTCACTAGCCAATGAAGCCAGTGTCTTACAAATACGACGGCATCTCCTCCAGGCAAATCCAGCTGGAGTGAAATGGACTTCTGTGTGAAGATGAGGAATCCAGTAGACTGATACCATAACGTTGTCTTCATGTATGCCGTATTTACGGTATGTCCGCTCTTTGGCCAGTGTAGTGAATTACAGATGCCTAGATCTCATATCTTACTTACCTTTCTTGTAACCCGAAACAATATTTGACTATTAGTTGAGGGGGCGTTTCTTGACCATATGGACGCATACAGCAGCCAGAAACTTACCAGACCTACGTGTTGAACAATCTTGTTCAACGCCCTCTTTCTACACAATGTCAGGCGATCTCGTACTCTTGACCGGTGCAACCGGCTTTGTGGGCTTCAGAACACTTCTGTCAACCTTGAGAGCTGGATATCGCGTTCGATGTGCCGTTCGGTCCCAGTCAGGCATCAAGAAGATTCTAGCAGCGCCAAGTCTGCGTGACCTCGAACCGTCAGACTCACAGCTACAATGGGCTGTCGTCCCGGACTTTACCACAGTGGGCGCCTTCGATGAGGCAGTCAAGGGCGCCAGATACATCATCCATTGTGCGTCTCCCGTGGTCAAGTTCCAACCTGACGGCGGCCTGGGAAGAGAAGACGAGATCTACGTCGAACCTGCCGTGCAAGGCGTCCTAGGCATGCTTCAGAGCGCATTATCGCATGCCAACGACACAGTAAAGCGGATCGTCGTGACAAGCTCCATTGTGGCCATCATGCCGAGGTCATGCTTCCGGGGCGAGGGTTTGGATCGACCAGCTTTCACCGGACAATCCCGACTTCCGTGGCCCATTCCTCCGTACGAGGACCCGTACAGCGCCAGCAAGACTGCCGCCCTCGAAGCCTCTGAGAATTGGATAAAGGAGCACCGTCCGTCATTTGACCTCATATCGATTATGCCCGGCTGGGTCTTGGGCCACGAGGAACTTGCCACGTCGACAGAAGCTATTCTGTCAGGCTCCAACAATGCCTTGCTTTACTTCTTAGCAGGCGGCACGCGCGACTACCCCATTAACACGGGTTACATCTCGGTTGGTGATCTAGCAGACGCGCATGTCATTGCGTTGTCCCCGTCTGTTTCGGGCGGCCAGTCTGTCATCCTCTCTCAACATCTCGATTTCGAAGAGGCAAGGGAAATCGCGAAGAAAACATTCCCCGAGGCGTTTGAAAACGGCATTCTCAGTGACAGCGGCGTGCAGCCAACTGTGAGCATTCCGACGGATGCCTCCGACGGCGAGAAGCTACTCGGACGCAGATTTGCAACTGCTGAGGAGGTAGTAAAGGAAGTTGCGGCGCAGTATGTGAAGCTCGCTGAGCAAAGAAGCTGAGAAAAAGCAAAGCAAGACAGCTCGTCTAGCTCGCAAAGTGTAGTGCAACCACCTTGCATCCATAGAAGGCCACTAGAACCCGTTTGGAAGAAATGCCAGTCGTTTTCCGATTCTCAAACCGGATGCCCACCGCCAGGTTGCATTGGCGAATGCAGCATTGCGAAGCTCATCTCGATAATCGTTGCAGACAACGAACTGACTGCAAGGCCGACGATGCTGTGCATTTCGCATGCAAGCCACGGCGATGTGACGACGTCCGTGGTGCTGTAGTGCGTAATCAGGCGCATGAGGAAACAGGTGCGGTTACATGTGAGAAAGTGATCTGTGCGGCACGCAACAAGTTGGGTCGGTTCGAAGACGAGGTACGGATGAGACCTCTGAATGTTTCGAGGAAACACATGCCCTGGTTCTTGACGTTCCATGACAGCCCCGAGCAGGCCCCAAGGGCAGTGCTCTCGAGAGCCGGGGAAACGTCGTGATGGCCGGGAATGTAGCCGCCAAGCAAACGGATGATCTGACGATTGTTTCTTTCAACTTGACAGGAGTTGCTGGGCAAGGAAGACATAGGACGGGTTGGCGGGATCAGAGAAAGTCAGCAACAAGGTGTGCTTGATGGCAGCCGGATGGACTCCGAAGGCGGCTGGTGTGAACGGCCGGAACAGCGGCGGACAGGGCCCCCACAGCGAATGACTGGAGTGGACGGCGAAGAGGTGGCGCGAAGGGGGATTGCGACTAGGATGATGGATGGAGCCGACTCAATATCCGTGCCTGGCGGACGAACGACGAGGCATGGCCGGTCGGGTATGTGGGCTGGTCGGCGGTTGGAATCAATAGAGCCATGGACCGTTGCAATTCCCAGCAAATCAGACCAGCGGTCCTTCCGCCTTGGGCTCGTCAATCTCACTGCTGCGGAGCCTCGTCTTTCGCGTGCAAAGGTGAAATATGAAGATGGGCGGGTGTGTAAGTGGTTGTGGTAAGGTATGGTGTGGCCAGTGACTGGGCACCCCTTGAAAGCAGGCATGGTGGACACGGGCTGGAAGGCGGAAAGAAGGAGCTTCAAAACGTTCCTCGGGTGTTCCATCGGAGACTGCAGATTGTAACAAGAGATGCGTCAAGTGGCGCTTGAACTCACTCAAAGAGAGTCTGGGGCGGGCGGCGAGGGGGACGGACCTCTCGTTGTTGGTCTGGGTTTTTTTTTTTTTTGTTCGTCGTCTCCTCCTCACCCTCTTGCCCCCCAAACCAGCAGCAAAGAAGGGATGGAGGCAGGGCACATTTTTTTTCGTCGGCCGTCCTAATGGTGGTAGTAATGGTGGTGGTGATGACCATGGACCGTGGTGGACTGGAGACAGCGATGGAGACGGACAAGAAACAAAGGAGGCTTGGGAGAGGAGCAGAGAGGAGGAGAGCAGAGGCGACGACGAGTCGTCGAAACATTGAAGCGACGTCGAGCCGGAGGCAGCACATGGCAGGTGCTAACATGTTTCTGGTGCGGTTGGCGCGACTGGCAGTTACCACAACCAACCCCTCGCAAGTCTCGCAAAGTCTCCCAGTTGGATGGACGGGCCGGAGCCATGCCCCTTTGGGCCACAGACCCGCTTATCTGGTGCTGGCCTCCCTGCCGTGGATGTCCAGCAAGAGCACTGCGAAGGGAAAGAACCCCCTCCCATGCCTCCCAGAAACGGAGGTCCGCCCCGATTAAATTGAGAAACCGGCCATTGGCAGAGTGGCAGACAAACGGGAGGAGTGAAGATTGATTGATGGGGGCCTTCAGGGATCAAGTATCGAGGCTCTCATTCACCAGTGCGCATGGAACACACATCCGATCTCGTGGCCGACGAGTGACGGCGACCACCAGTCCAGTTAGTGGCAGCTCGCAGTCAGAATGCTGGATGTTGCAGCCAGCACTTGCCTCCTGCTGCTTGGTGTTGCCTTACACCACCTCGCTGCCGCCGTACGTGGACTGCCACCCATTCAGGTCGTTGCGTTCCTGGATCGCGTCTGTCAGTGTCACTGTCGGCTTGCATCATCGCACATGGCCTGTAAATCTCATGACAGCTGGTTGGCGCGAAACACATTGCGAGAGGCTAACCTTGAACACACTTTGGTCTGATGAACAGCAGAGTTCTCTTGGGCGGCCATCATCGGACAGCTTTCGAGAAGTGGAAGCCGTCGTGGTAGACTGTCGTAGGCCACACAGACGCCCGGCACCAATCTCAACGTCAATATTGTTCCCTGGTTCGTTGCTGAGTATGCCCGAATCGCGCGCCGTCAGACTTGATACCGTCATTTGTCCGTTCCAAGATGGCTGTTGTTGAACTGTAGCCAATCAAAGCGACGAAATCTTGGTCGAGTCTCGCAAGTGCAGTCAGACCCAGAACGGGCGGCAGTGGCAGCGGCAGTAGCGGGGTGTTTTGTAGAATACTTTTCCCAGCAAGAAGCCTGAGACTGCCAGCCATTGAACCGGCAAGAATGCAGCTTCATGCCGTGATTTGTTGCTGTTTTTTTCTCCGCCAGTGTGCTGCCAATTCCAGTCGCCCGTCTCTGATATCCGGCGCTAAGAGGCTACACTATCGAACCAAAGCGAGGTAAGGTAAGGTTAGTTAGTTCCTTGCAGCATCGTCAGCATCATTGTCGGCTTTGGGTGGCCAGCATCGGCGTCTGTGCCTGGATGCGCCTCGAGATGCCTTACGGTTCTCCTAACCGACTGGAAGGAAGGAACGGCCTCCACCGCGACTTCCAACCACCGGTTTTGATTTGATTCACATGGACCACAACCAGCCTCTCGCCTTCCGCAGGTGAGATACCTTATCCGTAGATGCCTTGCAATTGGCAGACTCAGCAAGGCTGTCAGAATGTCGGCGCATGCTTTGGTCCTCGTACCACCAGCCAGGCCTCAACGTCTTCAACATCATCCACACTTAAGACTATCGGCATCCACAGGGCCACAGAAGCACAATCGACATCCACTCAGGTTGCAGCAGTAATGTGGGATGTGATGTACGTAAAGATTCAATTCCCATCCTGAAATCCACTTCCACACCCTCCCGTCCTGCTCCTGGCACACTGGCTCCGGCACCGTGCCCGCCTGCCGGATCTTTATCACCAATCGAGACAATTCTCCTTTTCCAGTCCAGCGCAGCATCCAATCCCAAGTCATACCAAGTCCCGACCAATGCTTACTACTACTGCGTAAGGTGGTTTCGAGCACCCAAGCAACCAAACCAAGCATCATCAACCAGCGCCGTTCTTCACCTGCCCGCGTAATAAGGTACCTTGGGTGGTGGGCTACGTGCCCTGCCTTGCCTTACCAAAAGGCCAGTGCCGTGCAGCAACAGTCATCAGCGCGCCGCTGGTCTCATCTTCGCCTCGCCTCGTCTCGCCTTGTGCACCACAATCCGCATCTGCTGCATCCCTCATCCACTACGAAGTACGGTACACTGTCCCAAAGTACCTAATTACCTCTGCCGCCGGGCTGCATCTGCATCATTCGTCCGGTCCCCTTTTCCCCATACCTTGCCTTGCTTGCGTTGCCTTACCAGACTGCACTGCAATCCGTCTGCTGCTCTGCTGCTTCTGTTTGTCTGCCCACCACCATCATCGTTTCGCCGCCACCGTCTCCTCTCGTCTTCCCATTGGGATAAAGCGCCTTGACGCCGAAACTGTTGCAGCCAGGAGCTCCTTGCTGCCCGCACCGCACCACACGCTGCAGCGCATCGCATCGCATCGCATCGCAGACCGCACACCGGTACGTGCCATCCTGAACCCGAACCTGCCTGGGTCCGCAAATACTACGCAGTTCTGCTGGGTGTACTTTGCCTGGGTGGCAGTCTGTACGGCTGTTTCCCTTCAGTCCCGGGTACCTATCGCTGTGCTCCCCTTACCCTCTGTACCTGGTCCACACTGCATCTGGCTGTACCGCCGTCCGTCTGCTCGCTGTCGCCGTCTCCAACCACCACCACTACCACTACCACCACCACCACTGCTGCAGCACCCTCCCATCCTTTCCCCCTCCACACTCGAAGCGTCTGTTCTCGCCTTTTGTTTCTGCTTCGTCGCCTTTGTCTCCTCGACATCTACCTATCCATCTCGCCCGCCGTCCTTTTTTCCAACAACGGCCAAACTCCAACATTCAACTGACTTGCGCACGATAACAGAGTCATTCTCTCCCTCTTGCCAAACGGTAAGCTATCCCCCCTCCTCTCTGCCTCTCTCTCTCCTCCAGCCATTATCCTTCGTGACCTTCGCCTCTCCTCCCCCCCTGGCCTGCCCGCCTGCCTGTCCTCTTCCTGCCCGTCCGCTCCTCCTCCCACTCCCAATCGACTGCCTGGTTGTGCCTGCCTGCCCCGGCCACTACTTCAGACAGCAGCAGCAGGTACTGTGCAGCGAGTGCCACCACCAGCGCCAAACACCAAGCATCAGCACCAACCAGCACCCACCAACACCCAGCACAGCACCGCACCACCGCACCAGGTCAGCACCCAAAGCAGACGGGGACCAGACCAGACCAGACTGGACCATACGACGACCCTACCGCGCTGCGACTCTACCTAAACCGATTCCCACCCCGACCCCCTCCACTTCCCTTCCCTCAGGTTTCCCAATTGCCCCCATCCCCACTTTCTTTGCCTGAGAAGAAGGTTAGATATACAGGGTACCGTTATCACCCTTCCAGCTTCACCTCCTGCGGCACTAATTCCTTCCGCTGTGTCAAAACATTTCTGACCTCGACTTTTTATGCAGCCCAGGGAACCCACCAGAGCTTAGACTCCGCAACTGTCTTTTGCTGAAGCTGCTGCCGCGCAGTCTGTGTCTGCTCTGCTCTGCTCTGCATCTTGCCTCTCTCCTTGCTCTGCCTACCTCACCTTACCTTACTCTACCACACACCTCGACATCACACACCATTCCCGCCGACCGCCCACAGAGCCATCGTTTCCCGTCGCTGACCGACCGCTCGAGACTCGCTCAATCGACACCCTACCATCTGCAACGCATTCCGCTCCGTTTGTTCGACACAACGTTCGTCGCCGCCCACATCGTGCCATCCCGCACCTTACTATACCAGACCATCCTATACCTCACACCAATAATTGCGAGCTCCTAGCACCAAGGTCCGAGGGCTGCTGCCGAGAAACATCCAGCCATTTTCCCTTGTCCCTCCAACTCAGCAACCTTGCGTCACACTTGATCTCGCCGTCTCCCCTTTCGGATCGGTTCCCAATTCGACGCCGCCCTTCCTAACCCGCGAACTCTATTCGCGCTAGACACTGTCGTGGAATCGAATCACGCATTCTTCGAAATATCACAGAAATGGCTCAGCCAGGAGTTCAGTCGCTGAAGGTTCGTCGCGATCGCCATCTCGACAGCGCCCGGTGGCAGCAAAAGGCTAATGATCATCTCAGTGTGTGGTGACGGGTGACGGTGCCGTCGGAAAGGTGAGTCTCGACCGGCATCGCGTCTTCCGACTGCCAGCTAACGATGCGGAAAGACATGTTTGCTCATTTCCTACACAACGAACGCCTTCCCCGGCGAGTACATCCCCACTGTGTAAGCCTCGCGTCCTCGATCGACGGCAAGACTCAATCTAACAACCGGAACAGCTTCGACAACTACTCTGCGAGTGTCATGGTCGATGGAAAGCCAATTAGCTTGGGACTGTGGGATACTGCCGGTCAGGAGGATTACGACAGACTGCGCCCGCTCTCCTACCCCCAGACCGACGTTTTCCTCATCTGCTTCTCCATCGTCAGCCCGCCATCATTTGACAACGTCAAGGCCAAGGTTTGACATCCTGCAGCCTCACCGCGTGGAGATCAGCACTAATCATGCGCAGTGGTACCCCGAGATCGACCATCACGCGCCCAACATCCCCATCATCCTCGTCGGCACCAAGCTGGATCTGAGAGAAGACCCCAACACCCTCGAGTCTCTTCGCCAGAAGCGCATGGAGCCAGTGTCGTACGATCAAGCTCTGATCTGCGCCAAGGAAATCAAGGCACACAAGTACCTGGAGTGCTCTGCCCTGACGCAGAGAAATCTCAAGAGTGTTTTCGACGAGGCTATCCGGTACGTCTCAATAATTACAGCCTACCACCACCAACCTGCTAATTCCTCCCAGTGCTGTCCTCAACCCCAGGCCTGTTCCTCAGCAGAAGAAGAAGTCCAAGTGCACGATTTTGTGAACACGTCAATTGAACTTGAGCGTTGCGGGTTTAACATTGGAAACGGCGTATCGGGGTGGATTACATGAACCGATCTTCACTACCTGACCGTCAGGGCTCAACCATGTTGCTCGACCCGCGCCTTGCGCTTATCTTGGAGGAAACAACCAATACTTTTCGGAAGCACCCCACATGACGGCCGAGCTAAGCATAGCCTGCGATGACGGCAACGACCCCCGATTATTACACACTTGCTCAGCCCGCGCTTGTGTGTGCTGGACATGAGAGTATCTTTCAGATAGGTGTGGTGGTGTGAGGAATGGTGGTTTTTTGTTGTCGCTCTTTTTTCCCTCCTTCTCATCGGAAAAGACCAAAGAGAGTTGCTGCAAATGTCAGGGAGGGTGGTTCGTTGGTAGCAGGCAAGCTTTGCATCTCATCACACAAAGGATATCCCAAGCTTTTCTGTAGATAGCACACACAGTCACAAACACACACACACTTCTTTTTTCATGGAGGAACTAGATATTGGGGTCGGGACGGGATACGAGCTTCGCCTTGAGAATTGATTGTCATTGCAAGTGCCCTTTGGTATCTAGACTGGAACCTGCAGCTATTGCAACAAAACAAAAAGGGCTTAGAGACCAACGTGTGTGAATTGCCCTGCGTGCCATTGAAACAAGAAAAAAAACTTTTCTGAGTCCTAATCCTGATCCTGCCTGAAGCTGTCAAGAGTGTATACAAGAGCTCTCTGTCTCCGCCTATGCCCAGACACCTGCTGCTAATTACGAATCATACGTTTTGCGGAACCCCCCCCCCCCAACTAATTACTGGTGCATCAAGGCGAGACGGCTCGGGTGGATGCTATCCTGCTGGGTGTTGCTACCACCCTCCGATACCCTCTGCTTCTTGTACTCCTCCTCCTTCTGCATGCGCTTCACGCGGTTCTCGTCGAGCTGCACGTTGCGGGACTTGATCTTTTCGCGTCGGAACTTGCTCTTGCCGCCACCGCCGGCGCTGTGCGAGAGGAGTCATGGTTAGCATACGGGTTCCGTTGAGGCAGAGACAGAGAGGGGAGACGGGAGTACATACGAAAGCTCGAGGTTGATCCTGCGCGCGGGCGACAGCCCGTCGTCGAACTCGGTGTGGTGCATCTTGTCGAGGCAGGTGCGCATGTTGGAGCCGTTGGAGAACTCGAGGAAGGCGATGCCGCGGCAGACGTTGGGGTTGTTGTCCTTGTTGAGGCAGCGGACGGCGGAGGGGTTGTAGGCGGAGAAGTGCGCGCGGATGGATTCCTTGTTCGCGGTGTAGGGCAGGTTTCCTGGGGACGGTGTGGTTAGTATTTGGGAAGTGGTCGCAGCTGTCTCGGAAAGGGGAGAGACTCACCGACGAAGACGATGTACTTCTCCCTCTTGCCGCCTTCGGCGGGCTCTTCCTCCGCCGCCTGCTCCTCGGCAGCCGGCGCCGGTGCCAGGGCAGTTGGCTCCTCCTTGGTCTTTTTGCTCTTCTTGTCCTTCTTCTTGGACTTTTCCTCGCCGTTCGTCTCGGGCTTGGTCTCTTCCTTGGCCTTGGCCTCCTTCTTCTTGTCCTTCTTCTCCTTCTTGCTCTTCTTCTCCTCCTTCACCTCCTCTTCCACGGGAGCAGCAGTCTCCTCCGCCTCCTCCGTCTTGGCCTTTTTGCTCTTCTTGTCCTTCTTCTTCTTCTTCTCGCCGTCGGCGGGCGGGTCGACGTCCATGGCCGAGACGTCTGCCGGCTCCTCTTGCTCCTCGGCAGCGGCGGCGGCCTTGCGGGCCTCCTTCTCCTTGCGCTTGCGCTCCTTCTTGTCCTTCTTGGACTCCTCGAGCGCGATGAACTCGTCGGTCGCGGGCGCAGTCTCGTCTTCGGTGGAAACAGCCTTGGCCTTCTTTTCCTTCTTCTCCTTCTTGTCCTTCTTCTCGGACTTGGACTTCTTCGCGGTGGCGGCGTCGTCGTCGGCGCGCTTGCGCTTCTTCGAGAGCTCGGCGGAGGCCATTGCGATGTCTTAACCGGCCGCGGGTGATTCAATCGGGTCAGAGACGACTTGGGTCTGCGAGAGGACGGGTTCGGCCGACTTGGTGGAGTATAGAAACGCGAATGCCGCCCCGGAAATTTGGGTAAGGAAAAATGGTTTGGGTTGAGGGACGCAACGAAGGTAGGCCGGCGGACGACGAGACGGCGCTGGGCAAAAAAATCTCTTATCTGAGTCGTCGGAGTGGGGGGATAAGGGAGCGCCAGCAGCCCAGCGCGCGTGAAAATTTTGTGGGGGGCCGCCGAGGCGGTCGGAGGTATGCTGCACCAGGTGGAAAGGGGGGTGGTGGATGCGGCCTGTTCGGCGGCCTGGGTGTGGGGACCAGCGGTTCCGGTAGGGATTTCGCGCCGGAGGATGGGCGGCGGCGGCGGCGGGGATTTGGTGGTGATGCATGGCTTTTTTTGGAGGTGGTTGCATTGCATGGGCAGTACTGTTGGCAAATGAGGAGGTACTGATACCTGCCGGTGTTATACATTCTGCGGTTATCTGGTGAGAATTGAGGCTGTCGTTGCGAGTGCTAGAAGACACTGGAGCGAGCACGAGGGTCTAGTATGTGAACTTGGTTGCAGTGGAGAGACTACACATTTTGATTGTGCTATATGAGCTTTATATCCCATGGCTCCGTCGTATTCTTCGTTGTCTTCATCGCTATCATTGCCTCCTATCGGCTCTCATCAAATCATTCTTGTTGCTTTTTTCTTCCCATTAATTCTCTTAGCCTTAGGCTGGTCGCAAACATAAAGAATACTGGATATTACAGCTACTTATACGCAGAGAATGTGAACTGTAACCCATGAAATGTCTAATGCTTTTATGAGAGTCATGTGTTTATAACCTCAGATGAAAAGAGCAGGCCGAAATTTCCTCGGGCATGCTACTCATACGTTCGGGATATCTGTGTTTCTACGTCTCATTTGACCAGCTTAGACGACGGCCGGCTGGCTGTGTCTACGTAGACCACTCATTAATTAAGTTATTCAGACGTTTTCCACATTCCGAAAACCGCGTCATCTGTAGAACCATATGATTAACGGACTTAGTGTCATTTTCCAAAACCTCAGTCTGAGGCGTTGCCTGGTTTTGGGGTCGCCAACATGAAGTCGAGTCCACGAAATCGAGTTGCCACGGCATGTCACCGGCCGCTTTAGCCTTCCTACCCGCCGCACTGTGCACCTTGTAGCGGTCAAGTCCAGCGGCCTGGCCCACGCTCCAACCCCCCGGATGGATGGTCCCACAGTGCGAAACTGACTTTTTCCCGACATGGATCTGAATTTTTCGTCTCAGCGGCGACACCTTCAGTCTCGTACAACGACTCTCACCAAAATTCCGATATCCATCATCGACCTGCAATTTTCCGCTTAACCTCGCCACTGAACCAAACCACAACAGCCAGAAAGTACTCTCCGAATAATCAAAACCATGCCCAACTCCAAGAAGAGAGCGGCGGCCCCCGATCAGGACGGCGAGCGCAAGAAGAAGAAGAAGAAGTCGGCCTACACCGTCGACGAGACGCTGCTCAACGAGGAGCTGGGCATCAACGAGTCCTTCGCCGTCATGGACAACCAGCTGCTGGCGGACTACACCGCACAGAAGCTCGCGCGGTTCGCGACGGACCTCAGCCCAGTCGAGATTTCCGATCTGTCCCTCTCAGGTGAGTTATTCTCTCTGTCGCATCTCACTCACTTCATGTTCCTCTCACGTGAGGAAAGGTAGAGAATGTACCAACGCTTACACACACACGCAGCAAACGCAATCAAGGACACCACGTCATGGACGGAACCCCGGTCCACGGACAAGCTGGCGGCGTTCCTGGAAAAGTTCGCCGAGAAGCCGGAGAAGCTGCCCACGGCGCCGGAGAAGAAGGGCACGCCGCACACCATCATCGTCGCGGGCGCGGGGCTGAGGGCGGCGGACATTGTGAGGGCCGTGAGGGGGTTCCAGACGAAGAAGAGCACCGTGGCAAAGCTGGTCAGTTTTTTGGTCTCTCCTTGTTTTGTCATCACTAACGGCTGTCACAGTTTGCAAAACACATGAAGGTCGAGGAGCAGGTCAAGTTCCTCCAGGGCACGAGGACGGGCATCGCGGTCGGCACGCCGGCGCGGCTGATGGAGCTCGCGGACAACGGCGCGCTGTGCCTGGACAAGGTGCAGCGCGTGGTGGTCGACGCGTCGCACATCGACTCGAAGAAGCGCGGGGTGATGGACATGAAGGACACGATGATGCCGCTTGCGAGGTGGCTGTCGCGCAAGGAGCTGAAGGGGAGGTACACGGACGACAAGAGGCATTTGGACCTGGTGTTTTTCTGAGGGTGGGGGAACGGCTGGTCATCATGGGAGGATGCTTGGTAAGGGGGAGGAGGCATTTGCTGATGCAGAAGGGCTACATGGCGCGAAGCTTTTGAGGAGTACTGGCGGTGAAGTCCCGTGGGAATCCGGAACGGTGTAATACTGGGAGAGGCCGACCATCTTTATGGGACTGGCATAGAAGACGAATCGGAAGATGAGGCGAGAGCCGGGTTGTTGTTCAGACGTGATCGCCAACATCTCACTGCTGAATGTAATGCCTGTGCGTGGAGTACCGCACGATGTGAGAGACATGAGACGGTGACGGCTGTCACGCTCGGCATGTAGTGGGCCGCCGCTGCTAGATGACGGGCGTTTTTGCGGGTGGTTCACGATGTGCGAACCTGCTGTTTGGCTGACTGACTGCGCCCTGAACCCTCGAAGGTTTTCGCAAGTGAGGGGGGGCGCCAGGGCTTGCTTGCTTGCATTGGCTGGCGTCTGCAGTGTACCCTATGCGCATATGCTTCCTTGGGGGATCATGCACCCGCTCGTCTGAAGGTGGTTTGGCGACAGCGATGGGTGTTATATCAGATCTCTGTTAATCCGCGGCACATCGGTCTGAGAGCATGATGCTTTGAGTAGCAGAGACCACGTCATATTCGAGTGCTGATGAGTTGAGGCGGGTGGATTCCCACGCAACCGGCTTGCGTTCGTTCCTCCCTTCTGGGAGAAGACTCGAGGAGCGAACGAAGGGGTTCCATGGATGGGGACAAACGCCGACGAGTACGGGGTTGGATGGTTGCTGGAATGCATCTTCGGCATGATTAATACTGGTTGTGTCAGTTATCTTAAGGATGATTTCTATCCCTTAATTGCCCACGGTAGTTGTAAGGTTTTAGGTTCCCTGTTCATTCAAAAGACATTTTAATGCTCATTGGTTCAGGTCTGGATACCAGACATGGTGAAAATTGAGCAGGAAATAGAACGCTGCGCAAACAGCGCGTTTCTAGAAGAAAAAGATAAAAAAGTAAAATAAAAAAGGGGGAGGGAGTGGGGTCCGAAGTCGCTTTAAATCGCGATACCCTCACCACTCTCCTTGTCCGATCCTGTGCAAGGTAGCAACCAGAGAATTGATTTAAAACGTCACGACATATTTCATCCTGTTAACTAACTTAACTTTATTATTGCAACCCGACTTATTGCCTACCGGAAAAAATGTCCACCTCCTTGCAATAAGCTAATCTCTGGGCACCACTCAGCTATTTCGTCCAAATTTCCCTGTTGCCATCGGTGTGGTTGATGATATCCCAAAGGCTTCTCGTGGTACATGGTCTCCACCGCAAACTCCATGGCCTGTTCCAGGGTTGGCAACTTCCCACTGCGTTCCCTGACCTTTGCATCAAACCATTGATCCTCAAATTCGTTTGCACCGAGAGCAACGTCTGGATCACTGGTAATATTGAACATCAACTTCGGGTTACGCAACGACAAGCCGCCGTTGTAACCGTGGCCGAACTGAGGAGCGATGGGAGCCCCAATCAGATCCCACTCGAAGAAGTCCTCGATTTTCATTGGAGATTTGGAGCATATCATGCTGTCCGCTTGAAACAACAGCACCCGGTTGAAGGAATACAGTTGTTCCCAAAGCCAAGGTGATGTGAGGAACACAGAAACCGAGTGGTGCTCTGACAAGCTCGTCTCTGATGGAAGGAATATCACCCGTATCTGGTTGTCGTCCATCAAGCGTTTGAAGGCGGGAGAGTCGGGAGGGTTCCAATTTGCTTCAAGTGTCATGAGAACTACCGGCCAGGTAGGTCCCAACACCATGGCAAAATGGAGTACGATGGGCACCAGATTAGGCACTTTTGTGATGTCCGTCTCGATGATGACGGCGACGTTGCTGCTTTCTCGGGGTTGACGTGCACTCAGAGCATCTGAGGTGTAGAAATCGTCTCCGACGAGGACATTCTGAACACCACCACGCCTTGCAAGGTAGCCGCTGTGCTCTGAGGTTTTTTCCTGGATCAAAATATGTCAGTGGGTTGCAAAAGAAGGACCGATCGATCCAACAAAGTCGTACCTTGAGTATCTTCCAGACTGTCAGTAGCAAAATGAAAACGACGACGATTATCAACTGAGTGCGATGCTTCCGCTTAAACTTGCCATGGTCCCAAAAAGGATGCTTACTGGTTAACTTGAACCCCACGATGGAGACCATGGTAAGAACAAGTGAACTGTAAAGAGAATGGACAATAACCAGGCGAATGCGGCAGCAATAATGGGGTTGACACTTTATGCAATCAAATCATGGATTTTCGACGATCCCATTCGAGCTTTAAGCCCACTTCTCTTATACTTCTTGTGTGTCTCTTCTTGTTATTCGAAGCCAGGACTGTAATCAGATGGCGCGACGGAGGGCGCGCCTCTTTGTGCTATCAGCCGTCTCCTAAGTCCTCTTTTTTTCAGCTCCCTTGCCGGGCTTTTCCACACACACACGCATTTGGCATGAGGCTGTCGTGCTGCCATTCCTCACCTGTCTCCCGGCATGGCCACTAATGAATCTAGAATCAATTTACTGATTCGGAATGGGAATCGCGTGCTTATTTACGCCTCGATTGACGCCTTGTTGGTGCGGAAAGAATCCAGGGCGGCCGGGGTTCACCAAAAGCTCCCTTGGCAGTCAATTGGTGGAGTCTATCCCTCCCTTGATCAACGACAGCACAAGAATTATCTGATTCTGTTCCCCTTGTTTCTCTGGTTCCTCTGTGTATGCGTTGCGTGATAGTGGTGGGCGGTGGTGTATGATTCCTTGCACAGTATGCTGAGAAACGCAGTCCTTCTTCTCCTGGCAAACCAGTTAACACCGTCTTTCACTCGTAGTCTCGCATAAACATGAGGGGCCATAAAGGTCTCTCTGTGACCCATCCTGGCCCTCGAGTATTTCCCCGTGAGAGTCATAAGGCAGTCAACAAGGTGCGCCTCCAGGCGGCAGACTGCGAAGGAAAAGTTAGAAGGAAGAAGATGTTATGACCCTTGAAAGTTTATTACACCCTCTATCTGAACCGCCTCGTTATCTCCAAGACAAAAGAATATTTCCTACAGATTGAAGTAGGCACTAAAGAGAGACAATCTTCTAACGAAGTACCGCGCTAACAAAAATTCAAGGTTTGTATTGTACGAGTCTTGATGGCTGGATCGGACATCATCCATTCCGCAGCAAGCCACACGCCCCTTTCAAGGGCAGATCAAGCTATGTATCGTCTTGAAAATTGGGGCAAAAGAATGCCCCTATTTTGATGTCAAGATTAGTGAGCGCACTTTCCTCATGGCGTGGCTAGTCGCTTGAGTGAGTTTGTTCAAGAAAAAAGGAAGGACAAAAAAGGAGGCGAGGAAAGAATGCCCGCTAGCGATACGTAACGTGGTATGGTCGGGGGATCTTTCAGATCGAAGGCTCATATGTAGGCTGCGTTTCTGCACCCTCGCCGCATGTGATATACTTCTTTTGTCGAGGCTCTTTTTTTTTTTTTACTTTTTGGGGAAATAGCATAGGCTATCTGGTCTTTCCAATGTTCTCGACCATTGGGTATCGAGTTGCTGCCTACCGCGCAATCATGATTTTGATGATTGCCGCAGCCCTGCTATTTCTTACCTTGCCGACAGAGTCATTAGTATGTTCACGGTCTCGAGTACGTGGCTCATAATTCACCACTGACTTCTACTAGTATGGATCGCTTCAGCAAGTTTACCAGGACCCTCATGTAGAGGCTCCCATCCCCCCAAAGACACCGGACACAACGAGATCGCCGAATCGACTTTTGGTACTTTATACGTATTACGAATCCGACGAAGCACGAGAGAACATCCGCTTTTTTATCGAGCATGGCTTGCACTCAGCTGCTGATTTCGTCTTCATTTTCAATGGTGAGACGGATGCAAGTGAGATGGTGCCACGCACAGAACCAAATATTCGGGTCGTCAGTAGGAACAACACTTGCTTCGACTTGGGAGCCATGGGAGAGGTTCTGCGGTCACACAATCTATGGAAAAAGTACGACCGGTTCATCACCATGAACGCCAGCATACGGGGTCCCTTCCTTCCATACTGGAGTAAGAATTGTTGGTCCGACTTGTATCTTGATCTTATTACAGATGAAGTCAAGGTAATCGATTTGATTGGTCCGCTGTTTCCATCTGAATCCCAGCCTTATTGACGTGGCACGTAGCTTGTTGGAATGACTGTCAACTGTTCCCCTCGATATCATGTTCAATCCATGATCTGGGCGACAGACACGATCGGCATGGGGCTACTCCTTGACCCGGAATTGAGCAAGCCTTCCGAATCAGATTACTGGGGCACTCCAGACGACGGTGTTGGGCTGAGCGGCTGCTACAACGAATATAACCAGGCTGTCCACGCCGAGATAGGAAGCACCTCGATCATTACGAAGGCTGGCTACAAGGCCGACGCCATGCTGACGTCCTTCCACAAAGACACCGATCCCGAGACATACTGCGCTTCCATTATGCCGAATGTTCAAGATACTCTTAGAGAAGGAGCATACTTCGGCTTCAGCGTACATCCGTACGAGACGATTTTCCTCAAAACGAACCGAGGGATCAGTCCTTCGCTGGTCGCCTCTTTCACTCAATGGTCGGATGATATGGGATACTCAAGCTACGAGAGATGCAAAGCATAGCCTTCATTGTCAAGAAATAAAAGAATTCCCAAGTGTCCCGAAAAAGTCGTCCACAAACAAGAGATGGTAATATCGGAGAGATGACAGCTCACGAAGTTGGCGACGGGCCATGCTTAATTATACTCCATCGACCCGAAGGCAGGGCACGACTCATGCTCGAGGCCGTCACTGGGACATCAAACTTGCCTCGGAGAAACAAAAAAAAACATCTCGTCTCGACACAGATCAGACCTTTCTACCAATGGTTCGCTCAGAGAGTAATGCTTCACCGCCGCCCGACGCGATCCTACGGAGTTTTTTTGTGGCCAAAGAACATGAGGTTGACTCGGATGTTGATTGTCGGATGTTATCTTTTGGTTCCAGCCGCTCTCGCGAGACGGAAGTCGGCCTTTGGCCAATGTGGATCGCCTACGCGTTTTTGTAGCCAGGCACGCCCAGCGCTCGTAGATAGATTAATCAAGACACTTCACGCAGGTTATGAACCCCCTAATCCATCTGCTAGACCATAGGGTTATTCCTTAGTGGCTGTTGAGGCTCTGCTCTCATTCTCCAGCGACTGCTGCAGGGTGCTTGGATCTGCGACCGCCACTTGGGGGCCGTGAGCTGTCACCTTTTTTATGCGGTTAGTCGAGACGAACGGGACTGTGAGCTAACATGGTTAAGTGAGGCGAGTGTTTGGTTGTTCGAGAAGTTAAAAAAAAAGTGCCGAGCAAGTGGGGGTGGGTTGTAAGTTGAGGAGGATTCGAACCGTTTAAGCTGTTCGGTTGCAGTGGTCTGAACGTTGTGGTTCTGCGGTCTGAGAAAGACGGGGGTTTAGTGCTTGTCTGCTGGTGGTGGTGCCGGGGTTCTGGGACAAGGGGGTTGATACAGTTTAACCAAGATCGACGTCGAGGGGACGGTTTTGGGATGAAGAGGAAGAGGACGGCGCCGGTTTGGAGATTTGTGAAGATGCAGCGGTTTGCTCTGCCGAGTTGACGGAGGCCTGCATGAAGGAACCTATGTAAGGTAAGTTGGCGAGACGCGGGAGGTTGCTGGCGTTGAGCAACGTGACGGGGTGCCTGAACATGATGCACGTGTGACGCCTGTAGAGCTTGGTGAGTTGAGGTGTTGAGTGAGAGGACTGAGCACACGATGATAGTTGAGCGGGTTGCAACGGCAGCCTGAGCCGGGTTGATCAGATAATAACTGCGAGCCCTGCAACTCAAAAGTCGCGGAATACGAGCCCTGGAGGCAGGCTGAAGCTGGAATACGGTCCCACTCAGGGTCGTCCTGATGGCAATTAAACTGCGGCCGGGAGCGAACAGGACCGTGAGTGAGACTTGCGAACTTTATTGTGTTGGACTTGGCTTCCCGGAGTAAGCGAGGTGTCACTGGGCTGAAGAGGATCATCGAGTTGGAGAAGCTTTGGTTCGTCGTTGCGACACTGCTGCAGTCTGTGTTGCGCTGGTCTACCATCTTGCTTGGTTCCCCCGTTCCGTGCGGCTTGCTTCAGGTTTGTGTGCGTGTGTGTCGTTCAGCAATGCAGATGATGACGGGCCATCCCACGCGGGCCCCGAATTCTTCAGCGGTGGCTGTGCTCAGCTCTCAACTGAAGGGGCTAGACTCGAAGGGGAGTAGGACACCCGCGATTGGCAGCGGTGGTGGTGCGAGGTCTGTGGTGTTGGCGGATGGGAACCACTCTAAAATGTTCGATGAGTTGTTTTAGCCTACAGAGTGGAGGAATTGGAATGAGGGCGCGCGATCTGCTGGATCATGGATGTTTATCTGTCGCTATTCATAGATGCGGGCTCGTGAGGTTGGTGCCCGATGAAGGAAGCAATTGGTTATGCCCTCCTGCACACACACACATACACAATGATAATCGTCTGTGAATTTGTTTTTGTATGGACCATGTACTTCATCTTACGTGTTGGATTGTGTCGCAGCTCCGGCGGCGCATATCAGCATTCTTCGGTGGTGCTTCGCCTCCGAATCCGCGCGTCGCAAACTGCCAGACATATCTTAGCTAACCAACACAGCTCGCTTCAATGTGTTGTCTTGTCTCGCAAGGCTGGCTGCAGGTTCCGTTTGCATCTGCCGAGCAAACAGGACGAAAGCGCACCACGGTTGCCCAACTGCAGCTGCAACAGCTACTCCCAGCTGGGCTGACTGCAGCAGCATCCAACGTCAATCTGCAAGACCCGACCTGACTTGAACGTTCTTGTCCGTGCGACGTGCAGAGGGAACAGCGGAAGCAGCTTTCTCTCTTTCAAAGTTTAGTAGTACTGCGGTAGGAGTTTGGCTGCGCTAAGGTTAAGGCACAGTAGTCTGGTCTCGTCTCGTCTTCCGAACCCGAGACATTCCATTGCAGATTCCATGCTGCTTCCAGATCAACTTCTCTTTTTTCTCTGTTTTTTTCCCGCTCTCCGTCCGTCCGTCCGTCTCTGTAGACTTTTTGTCTGGACTCTTATCTGGTGGTCGCTGGACCCTGACGTACCTTGCCTTGCCTCCAGGCTCCAGGTAAGGTACCAAGCAGAGCAACCCTCGTCCAGCCCACTCGCCATCACCCACAGCTCCCCTCAGGCGCCACCCCCGTCGCCCCGGCTGCCTTCGAGCTGCTTAGCGGCCTTTACCCCCCTCGTCCTCGTCCTCATCCTCGTCGCTCTCGTCCCACGTTATTCCGTCCTCCGTGCTCCCCGGTCACTGCAGCTCGACACACACAGCACACCACCACCACCACCACCACCTCTCGCCGCGCTCATCCGTGTGCACCGTTCGAGGCCACATTTCTTCCACACGATACCCATCACTTCCCCGTCCTCACGAGTCACATTGGACGACCCATCCTACCCGTCTTCGAGCTTTCCTTCTCGCATGAATCTCCCCCGTTTCACCCCCTGCCTCTCCACCTGATCAGATTCCCAAAGAGCCAGCGCCCGGGAACCTGCCTCGACCAGAGACTGCCACCTCGGCGAACACAGACTACACCACCACACAGCATATTGAGCAATCACACGTCCGACGCTCGAAACCACCGACCTCTTGGAACTTCCTTGTCCAACCCCCCGATTCAAGCCTCCCGCCGTCGCCACTGGAGCCCCGAATCCTCGTATTACCACTCCGTGACACTTGCGCCGAGTTGCCAAACTCTCCCGATCCCTCAAAATGGCCGACGTCCGCCCCCCCTCCGACGACAACCTGCCTGCAACCAACGAAGAGCAGCGCGATAGAACGAGCAGCATGTCGCTCGGAAACACAGAAACACCACCACAGAATGGCGCAAATGGCCCCGCGAACGGCGCCTCCGCTGCCGCCGCCGCCGCCAGTGCCGAGACACCCTCGGCGCCCAACCCAGAAATCTCGCGCCAGGTCCAAGAAGTCCTGTCGTCCGATGTAAGGCGGCCGCATGCCATGTTCCCACAATCCGGACGCTGACAAGCATGCAGATTGGCGTGTCAACCATGTTGAACCAACTCAAGGCGAGCATCGCGTCTGCAAAGGTGAGCAACGCTGGTCCATTCGCGAGTCGCTGCGGCCGCTGACGCATACCCCGCCAGGAATTCGCCCTCTTCCTCAAGAAGCGATCACACATCGAAGAAACACACGCGTCCGCGATGAAGAAACTGTCCCGCATGAGCCAGGAGACCATGCACCAGCCCGAGCACAAGCAAGGCTCATTTGCCCAGGCTTATACCGAAATGATGTACATCCACGAGCGCATGGCCGAGAACGGCATCCAGTTTGCCGTTTCATTGCACCAAATGCACGACGACCTCATCGAGATGGCCGCCATGGCCGAGCGCAGCCGGAAAGGATGGAAGGCGAACGGCTTGGCGGCGGAGCATCGCGTGGCAGACCTCGAGGCCGCCATGCGCAAATCAAAGGCCAAGTACGACAGCCTGGCAGAGGAGTACGACCGCGCCCGTACCGGCGACACCAGCAGGAACAGTGGAAAGATGTTCAGTTTGAAGGCCAAGTCGGGACCGCAACACGAGGAGGACCTCTTGAGGAAGGCACAAGCCGCCGACCAGGACTACCAGGCCAAGGTTCAGACATTGCAGAGCGAGAAGGCCGAGTTGATTGCGAGGACAAGACCCGAGGCTATTGCTGCGCTCCAGGACCTGGTTAGGGACACAGATGCCGGGCTGGCACTTCAGATGCAGAAATTCGGTAGGTGATGTTGATCATCTTGGCCGATTTGAGCTAACATCTTGGCAGCGTCCTTCAGCGAGAAGCTCCTCTTGAGCAACGGCCTTAGTATTAGCCCAATCAAGGGACAAGGTTCTGGAGGAGGACCGCGCAGTCTCCGCGAGGCCGTCATGGCCATCAACAACGAGAAGGACTTGAGCGACGTTCTGATGAGCCACCACTCCAAGCTACCGGCGAACAACGAGATCAAGTACGAGAAGAATCCCATCTTGGCGACACCTCGCAATCCCAACATGAGCCACCAGCCAAATGCCTCGGTCTCCAACGTGCCGAAGATGACGCCCAGCGGTCCGCCGCCTGCGCAGAACCAGCAGCAGCAAATGCCGCCTCCCGCCAGGCCAAACAACTTTCAACCGCCCGCCGAGTCCCCGTCGAGCTTCCAACCGCCTAGCATGCCGGCAGCCCAACAGCAGCGTCCTTCGTCTCAGCAGCAGTCCGCCCCTCAGCCGCAGCAGCATGGCCGTAGCTTCAGCACCAGCAACATGCTGAACCAGCAGCCCAGCCAGCAGCAGCAATTCCAGGCCAACCGCAACTCTGGAGTTCTGCAATCGCGGTACAATGGCGGCGGCAGCACCGTTGCCTCTCAGGGCCCGCCACAGCTCGGGGCTTTGCCCTTCCAGACTTCGCAGAGTCAAACGCCCCCTCCGCAACAGCAGCCCACGCCGCCGGCTCAGAGCCAGTATCAGCAGCCACCTCAGCAGCGGCAGCAGGGTAACCCCTTGCAGCAACACCCTGCCCAAGGGCCGCCTCCCGGAGCTCCTCAATACCAAGCGTACAACAGGCAGTCTCCTCCTCTTGCCGGCAATAACTCGGCACCAGCGCCCAACCCCGCGAGGCCCGTATTCGGGCTCACCTTGTCCCGCCTGTATGAGCGGGACGGTCTGCCCGTGCCTATGGTCGTCTATCAGTGTATCCAGGCAGTGGACCTCTACGGTCTTGGCGTTGAGGGTATCTACCGCCAGTCTGGTTCGTTGACGCACATCAACAAGCTCAAGACCATGTTCGATACCGACTCCAGCAACCCTGCGCTTGATTTCAGGAATCCGGAGAACTTTTACCACGACGTCAATAGTGTTACGGGCCTGTTGAAGCAGTTCTGCCGCGATCTTCCTGACCCCTTGCTTACCACGGAGCATCACAGCGAGTTGATTGAGGCAGCCAGTAAGTTTCACCAATGTCCCCATGCCTTCCCTATTTAACACTGCCAGAACACGACGATGACATCGTCCGCCGCGACTCGCTGCACGCAATCATCAACAGCCTTCCCGACCCCAACTACGCCACCCTGCGCTCTCTCACCCTCCACCTCCACCGCGTCATGGACAACTCCCACGTCAACCGCATGAACTCGCACAATCTCGCCGTCATCTTTGGTCCCACCGTCATGGGCACCGACCCGAGCACGAGCATTGCCGACGCGGGCTGGCAGATCAAGGTTGTCGACACGATCTTGCAGAACTGCTACGAGATCTTCGACGACGAGTAGACGGCCCGCCGTCGTAGTTCTTCGCTTTAGCGTGTTTCCAAAAGCAAAAAAGCATCATGGCGTTGGCGGATCTTCCATCTCTCGCTCTGTACATTCTCGCCACCCTGGTCGGACCGTACATATGAACCACGCATATCCTGGGCACATATATAGCTTGCGTCCTCATGCGGCTGGAACGCTCCCCCTTTCTACTTCCCACTCTTCAGGTATCTAGCGAGCAGGATGCGAGAATATTCGGATCATTGGCTTTTTATTCTACTCTCACCTTGTTTTCCCTTATTCACGGTCATTGAGCGTAAACGAGGGGGCGGCGGCGTTGGGGAGGTGGGTGGAAATGGTCTTCTGTATTTGTTTTCTCGCCATCTTTGATCGGTCGTCTTTTTATTTTCAGGGATACCACCGTAGGCTTTCTGCAGCACAGCGTTGCGTCCTCCTTTTATAGCCAATCCTTGCTGCCGTTCATGATTATTGCCTGTGTGATGTGTGAAGGGTCCATGGTGTGATGGGGGCGTAGGCCAATCCTTCATCTTCGGAGTGAATGTGAGGAAAGGATGACAGAAGACAGGTACCAGTAGACCGAGGGTGAGTGAGTTCCTCTCACCTCCCGAGGTATTGCGGCCTGGAGACTGAGGCAGCCGGCTTAAAAGTTCACCTTGGACTTCACCTTTGAGCGCTACTAGGTATCTCAGGAGATTAGTGCCGAGAGTTCCCAAGAACCGAGCTGGAATACATGGCCGTGAATATGCCCAGTATGGCAGAACTAGTATGCCAGCTGAACACAGAGATCATGCTTATCCTCTTGGGAGCTCAGGGTTCGAATCCTCGTGCTCGATTTCATTTTTGGTTTTTCTCCTTGCACGCTTTCTTCGGATTTGTTGTTCTCTCACCATCCCCCCTTTGTTTTGAAAACAGTGGCAGGCCTGTCTTTGAGTATGAATTATTCCTTTTTTTGCGCATGGATTGAACTCAGAAAAATTATCTGCCGGTTTGTACTTTGTTTGCTACACCGGAAATGCCTAGATTGCCAAATCACGAGGAAGGGGCCGAGTACCGATGCCTACCAACCTAGGTAGTTGCGTTTTCGGCTCTCGACTCCTAGCGGTCATCGCTTTGGCTGTATTCACGATGGATAATCAGACAGACTGCGGCTAAGCTGTCATGTCACGGAGGTTGACGGGAAAGTCTTCTTGCGTTGACAGCGGGACCATCGTTTCCCGCTTCGTTCATCAAATGTGTTCAACGAAGCTAATTCGGTTTCTTCTGCCTTCGCAATTGCAAGAAATGCCGTCACTGATACTTACATGGAAATCCACAGTCTCGCCATCTGTTTCTGGGTACGATGGGAGCTTTGCCGTTGTCTTGCTTTGAAATAGGAGTGGCTTGCCCGCTGACGATTTGTGTAAAAAGGGGGCCTGGCGGGACATTCTCTGGACAAACGGGGACAAGGAAATCGATGAGCATTTGGAGCGTTACCGCAGCTACCTTCCACTGGCTCCTGCCTCGCCATTAGGCTCATGGCGTTTGGACAGAAGACACATGATACGATCTCAAGCATTTGACTTCTGCATGTGGAAGAGTCGAGTATGCGTCAATGAATAGCCTAACGAAAATCACGAGTGATAGAAGCGGCTCATTGCCGAGTGTTCAGACACAAATACGAGCGAGCAATGTCGTGTGGGCATTGCTCAGACGCCTGATAAGTTCACTGCCTGCCATCGGCTACGAGCAAGACAAAGAGGACGGAATTGCGTCTGAGAATGAAAACTTGGGCATGAGGAGTATCCCTGCCTTTACAAGGATGGACTCTTCGTGTAATTGAGCACCGGCATAACATAAAGAGAGCTCGCGAGGGATACTCTGTCTGTATTCTGTACCGCAGAGAATGAACTGAACCGCATCTTGTTCAGACACGGAGTCGAATGTGGGTCCTAATGTCATGTTTTTAGTTCTGTTTTGAGTAAGAGGAAACTACGAGTAGCTGCATGATGGAGGCACTCGCGGAGTGTGTGGGATGAATACCACCTCGGCGCCAGAACTTCTTCACCTCCTCACCTGCAGCTCGGAACACAAACAACCGAGCGTCTTCCCTCAACAACCTCACCAGACTACCACCTCCTACGCCGTTCCCTTCAGAAAACTTCGCCAGACCCATCACCAACCCCTCAGCAGACCCAATCCTCCCGTCCACACACAACTCCCACCCGGCCGTCCATCCCAGCACGCCAATGCGATCCCAAACTCCCGCCTCAGACCAGTCCTTCCCCCCAATCTTCCACGACATGATGTCCAAAATGGCAGACATGAGCGCCGCCGTCACCGCGCAGGTCCAGCTCCGCGACGAGGAGCACCACCACCACCAAGACCGCCTCCGCCACGCCTTCCTCGCCGTCGAGCATGCCTCACGCGAGGTCGGACGTGCCGGCAACGCCTTCGACATAGCCCGGCGCGACCTCGACATGGCCCTCGAGCAACAGAACATCACCATCGCGGCGCTGAAGACACTTCTGGACGCCGATGGGGTTGAGGTGCAGCCGGTACAGTAAGAACGCCAATCTCACGGAGTCGTTTATTCGTCAGCAGCTCACACTTTTCTAAGCAGTCTTGACGAACCCGAGGTCCCTACGCGCGAGCGAGACTCCTACCTCCCGCAGCTCTTCGGTATGCTTTCGAATTTCAGCATCTTTATGGTTCTACATGTCGCCCACACGTTCATTCTTCTCGGCTACTTCCTCACGCAGGGATGCTTCAATTTCTTCAAACATCTTCGAAATGTCTGAGGGAGGTACCAATCCGGATCCGGCAACAACACATCTACTAGATCACAAATCCCGCCTACCGTGCGCTTTCTTCTTCTTCGATTACTTCTGCAAAACGGAATATTCTTCATCAAGGTCAAATAGTCACTGTTCATCAGTATCTCAGCAGCGTTTCTTTCCCCAGTTCAGCCAATTACTTTTACCAACATGCTCATCACGGAAGGAAGCGAACGAGACACACCAACGAGTCTGGAGCACCTGACTTTTCCGGGATCGACTTTCTCATCAAAGGTTCTGGTCTCTCCATCTAAGCATGCGTCTAGAGCCACAAGCGGTATGGCTACGGCAGGCGGCATAGTTACGGAGTTCGGCGTTGATTTTGCGATTTTGCGTTTGGGAAAAGGAAGAAAGGGGAGGGGGCAAGTGTATTTTAGAAGCTACAGACCATACCACAATGCCTTTCCTTATTTCGCATCGCTTGCTATCTAAAATCCTACTCATATTGCCGACCATAATTATCGCGGTGATTGCTTCTTCTTTGGTGATGGTGACGCAGACCGCGACAACAAGACGAACGAACCACAAGCAAAGAACAAAAAAACACCACCAAAAAAGACCAAAAAGAATCCAGTTGAACCCGTAAGGCAGGCAGGCCGTCTGTCCGTCCGCCCTTCACCCGAACGGAGTAGCAGCAGCGATCCGCCTGCCCCTTCCTTACCATGGACATTTCACAATCACAAGTCTAATCATCAAAGCAAGCATTCTCATCTCAAAACACTTCGTCATTAAAAAATCAACAGAAACCGGCCCAGGACGGGCAGTAATGAACCTAGACTCCAAGACCATGCAGCTACCACCAAGACCCGGCATAGCCAAGCTCAGCGTTACGAACAAGGTGTGTGTATGTGTGTATGTGTTGTGTGTGTTTGTGAGAGGGGAGCGGGAGAAATCCAAACGCAGACGGATGCCACGCAACGCGAGATGTTCAATCTCGCTGCAAATTCAAACCTCCAATTTCAAACGTTTTCGTTCAGACCTCCACCACCCTCGTTATGTCATCATCCCATCCAACCGGGAGGCATCTCGAATCTTCCCCGGCGCAAAACACTGGGATGAACACGTCGTGACCAAAAAAAAAAAACAAAAAAAAAAAAAAAAGCAAATTCCAACAGAAACTTTCATCGCATGACTTCCCACTTCATCCCATCATGTCCAGGCGTCCTTACTCATCAATCCTTGGTATTCCCCGCACATGCAGCTTTTCATGACGCCCGCTCACTTTGACATCAAAACAAGCCGAGCAGTAACAATCGCATTTCATTATCCCTGAGTTCAGTTTTCCTCATCGTCCTCCTCGATCGGAGCGGGTGTGCGCCGTTCCGTCCGGCGCTTGGGTCGGCGGTGTCTCGAGCTGCTGATGTTGCTGGCCGAGTCGTCGGGAGCGAGCTCGAAGTCGTCGCCGCCCATCCAGTCGTCATCGCTGTTGTCCAAATCGCCCTGGGCCCATCCCGGGCGCTCGTAGCCTGAAGACTGGGAGTTGCCGGAGCCGGGCAGCACATCGATACGCCGGCGGCTCTGCAAGCTGTGCGCGAGGCCTGCGCCTCTGTTGCGCAGCGCCGTCCGGACAACTTCCGCCCTGAGGTGAAGTGCCTCGAAGGCATCCTCCAGCACCTCCATACCCTGGTAGATCTCACGCTCCACTTCCGCCAAGACGGCCATCTCCATCTCCTCATCACGGGACACTGCCTGACGGTTCGCGGCAGCTGACATACCGCTTACGAAGGAAGCTGGAGTGGCGCCACGAGAGTACGGGGTGGCGTTGCGAGAAGGCCCTCCAGTCGAGGGTCGAGAAGGGAAGTAGCCGCTCGCGGGAGTGGCTCCCCGGGAGTCGGCGATCGGGGTGTTGACGTCGTCTCCGTCGGCGCCAGACCACAAGAAGCCATCGAATCTTCCCGAAGTCAAGATCTCCCACTCCTGGGTGTTGATATCGGACATTGTCACAACGAGATCGTGGGTATGAGGGTTCTTGACAAGGTACATTGCGACTTCGGCATCGCGGGGCGTCTGTTGCAAGCGATACAGACGCTGGAGGGAAAGACCGGCCTTGATAACGAAGTCGGGGCGGGGACGGTGAGAGTGAGAGGGTGTAGGGGCTCTCGTCGTGGGCTTGAGCTGGCTAGAGCCGGTGAGAATGGCGTTGAAGTACGGCTGGTCCTCAGGGTCCAGGTTCGTAAGCATGGCGAACGTGAGTGTGTCGTCGTCAACGTCTTGTGGCGTCGGGGCGGTCGAGTCACCGCACTTGTTCAACCACTTGTCCACAGCTCCCCTGACCTTCTTAGACCGTTGGAGGTAGTGCTCGCGGAACTCCTCGGCGATATCGGGGTCGATCTGGATGGGCGAATCGGGACGAGGGGGGAGATCCGCGGCAATGTCCGCAGCGGCAGACCCCAAGGTCGCCAAGTCAAAGGGAGGCCATTGTGGGAGCTCGATGCGACCGCTAACCCACTCAAGAACCTCGCCCCAGCCCAGGCCGCGGTGCTGGATATCGGGCCCTCTCTCGCACAAAACGCAGGTGCATCCATACTCGGGCAGCTCCCGAGAGAACACATTCTCAAGGCGGTCCAGGAGTCTGCGAGCAACCGATCGGTGACCGGTTGCAACGGCTACCGAGCCATTTCTGTTTAGCACCGAGTTGTACTGATCCAGCAAGTTGAAGAAAGGGGCGAACAGCGTTTGTGCGCCAACGAGAGGGGGGTTGGAAGGCCTGGCGCCATTCTGACGAGGAAGAACAGACAAAAACGTCTTTGGTAGGGGTTGAAGCAGTCCGCCGTTCTGCAAGAGGTAGTCGACTCTAGGCGCCTCGTGGACGTCCAGAGGCGGAGGAGGTGGCGGCGGGGGAGGAGGTCCAGGGAGGTCGGTCGCTGGGGTGCCCGAGGGCGTGATCTCTTCAGCATACACTTGAGCCAATCCAGGGTGCGGCTTCTGGTCCGGCGGCAAGGGCGGGGGGTAGTTCGGGCATTGGGTCGGGGTCTTTGGGGACGAATCCATCACGCTCTCAGGGGACGAGTCGCCATCTTGGATATCGGATCGTCGGCTCTTCTTGCTCGACGAACTGCGCTTGGAGGAAGACCTGCTCGGCTTGATGTTGAGGCTCTCCTGCACGCCGGGAGGGAAAGAGGGCGACTTGACGTAGGTGGCCTGACTGCTACTCTTGGACTTGAAGCTCACCCGGGATCTTTCGTCGGCTCTAGATCCCGACCTTGAAATCGAAAGGCCGCTCAGTCGCGAGATCGGTCGGTCATCCCTATCCCTCTTCTCGGTTAATCTTGAGCTTGAACGCTCCTTGCGCGACGACTCGGGCGTCTCAGATCGTCTCTTGTCGGACAAATCTGTCTCGGGCGGGCTGGGAGGCCTCTCTTTGGTCGAAACCTTGCGCGAGGCATCGTTCACGCTCTTGGATCGGTGGACGTCGCTCTGTCCGAGGTCGGTCGCCTCGGGGGTAAAGGGATCTCTCTGCTTTTCTTTCTCGGCGACGGCCGAGACGTCATCTTTGCTGCGGACAGCCTCCTTGCTGTGCGCCTTGCTAAAGGTCGGGTAGGGAACGGAAACGCGATCGGTAGAGTTGGTCAGGGAGGTTCTGGCCAGCTCGGGGACGAGGTCGGTCATGGAGGAGGAGCGGTCGTGGCCACGTTCTCTGTCTCTGTCTCTGTCTCTGTCCCTGTCCCGGTCTCTGCGGTCGCGGTCTCGTTCTTCGCGGGTGCGGTGACGGCGGTGAGAGTGGGAACGCGAGTGGGTATCGCTTCCGAGGCCGCTGCCGTCAACCATCTTCGACTTCGAGGATCGTGAGCTCACACGGGAGGAGCGGTGTTCCTTGTCGCCTTTGTCGGATCTGAGGCTGCGCTCCGACTTGCTGCGGGAGGACTTCTTCTCGCGGGGGAGCTTGTCAACGTCGTCGACGACGGTATCGACGTCACGGTTCACGGAAGACATGGTGGCTGGCGCATGGAGGCGAGCCCGGAAGCTCAGGTAGCTGCGCGGCGAGGCTTAGGCTTAGGCGTGGACGTGGGCGTGGGCGTGGGCGTGGGCGTCGTCGGGCGACGGGTGAGGAGGGATTGAATAAACCTGTTTGTCGAGGGAGGAGATGGTGGGTAGGAAGGTTTTGGGGCCCGTCGGCGGGCGATCCGTTGTCGAGGTCAAGGTTTTGGACGAGTTTGTGAAGAGGTGCGGGTAGGAAGCAGGCAGGACCTGGTCTGGGGTTCACCGATCAAAAGAGGTTGAAGGCGACTCGGCAGTCGTTAAAAACCGGGGATTGCGGTGACTTTTTTTCCTTAGCCCCCCCTGTTTTGAGCGAGCGAGCGTTGGTCGAGGGTTCAGGGTTCTGGAAGATTTAGTTAGTGCCTGTCCCGTCGTCAGTGACGTTCGCCGTCGAGGCTGGTTTCAGCTGTCGGGATGATGTATGGTGAGGTAGTAGAGCTTCAGGAGCGAGGCAAGAGCGGCCAGAGGAAGACGGAGGAGAGAAGGAGCCGTACGTACGATGGGCGGTGGGCGGTTGCGAGGGAGGAGGTGTTCGTTGACACAAGGCAGCTCGGGCGGGTGTGATTCGACCAAAAAAAATTGAGAATGGAACAGCACACAGCAGAGTACCTTACTCTGTACTGTATCCGTACTGGCGTACCTTCCACGAGTGAGTGTCCTTTCTCTTGTGGTAAGTGGTCTGCAAAGGCAAAGGCAACAACCCCTGTCGGCTGCTGCGTTGCCAGCGTTGGTGCTGCGGGCTTCGATGTCTGGGACGGATGATGGATCTGGTAGGCTGGACAGGCTGGGCAGGGCCGGCAAGTGTGGATCACCCGTCACTGAAGAGGGAAGGGAACGAACTTTGGGAACGCACTTGGGAAGGGGGTGGACGCGGAGGGCGGTGGGCGGTGGGAAGGTGCTGCACACTAGACGCTGGCAACCTGGCCGTCGACGGGCTGGGCTGTGGGGGCGAGTGGGAACTTGTCCCTCCCGTCAGGATGTGAAAGGGCTGGGGCGGTGACACAAGTCACTCACTTTGCTGCTGGCTGTTGGCTGCAAACTGCTTTCCTTCCCTCTTTTCTTTCCTCCCGCCAGAAACAAACCATAAGACAGACACAGAGCAGCTGACTTGTACAGTGGCCAGATCCTGACGTGGCGGGCGCATTCAACTTCCCGGGCTGAGCATTTGGCAGAGTCGCAGGTTTAGTGCATCCGTACTGGGCTGAGTGGTGGTGTGTGTGAGAGGTGAAGTGGTTCAAGTGGTGAGGTCCCTTGAGCCCCACAACGGCCACTGCCAGAAGCTCGGGCCTGGCCCAGATCCAAGTCACCCGGCAAAAAGGTCAATCACTTCAGGCACTGAACCACCGCATCGTCATACGCACTGCACACTGCACACTGTAATCCTTCATCCGACGGCGTGGCTGGCAGGCAGTGGACGGTCGCCGGCAAGAGGCGACCAAGGAAGCCCAGCGAGTGGCGCATTTTCCGCATGTTTCCGAAAGGCATAACATTGGCTGAATCTGAAGAAGCCTCCGGGGATGGCGGAAAAGGCCCGTGGGTTTGCGTTCCTGAGCCCCGTCTGAGCTGCTGGTCAAGGCAAGAAAGACACACCTGGAGACGGGTGAGAAGCTTCAGGCACAGATGCTTTACACTACGGCCAAGGTAAGACAGGCAGGCAAGCAGGACACCGCCCATTGGATCGCATCTGCAAATCATTGGCCCGTACATCGCATCGCTTTGCTGCAAACCAACTGGTCTTGGGCCCCACGTCAGGTACGCGGAGCTGTCGGCTACTTTACACAACGAATGTCTCTGGGTAAGGTAGCAGATGACCATCTGTTCCTGTTCGAAGCCGCAGACCTGAGGTAGGTAACTGGCAGCTCTGTCAATGGTCGCGATGCCATGTCTCGGCCCAAGGCAAACGAGCCACGGGTCTGACACCCCGCGAGACAGCTCTCGTAGCTTCTTTCTGGTACCATGGTAGTAACGCGGCAAACACCACCAAATAATTATCTGCCTCACACAGCTCTCTCACCTGCCATCCCGAAGCACTCGTCTCACTTCACCGACCGTAGCACCTGTCTTGCAGTCCTAATCTTCTCTGTCTCTGTGATCCCATAATTTCAAAGAGCACAGCAGGCCACCACCACCACCCATCATCACCAAGATCGGAACTACCCCTCAACGCCGAAAAGAAGGCCGCTTCCTAAAATAAAACACACCTTAACTAAACCCCTCACCAGTTCACATCGGTTGCATGCCCATCCCATCAATACCACCTCTCCATGTGTTGCTACCCGCCAACGAATGCGCCAACCCCATCGTCGGGCACCAAGAATGGCCCTTCCCGCCCAATACCCGCGTCAAGCTAAGCGCCCAACGGTGTGTCTCCCCCACTCCATGCACCACTGCAGCCAGGCCGTACCACACCACCATCACTCTAACCTTGAACCACCACACACACACACACACACACACACACACGGCAGCAGTACAGACACCAACATCTCAAACCGAACCAACTCTCACCCTCCACCAAGTCTGAACTCACGTCTCTGAACCCCCGTCGGCGGGAATGCATCATGCACTTGAGCTCGGCCGTTTGCGATCGTTCGGGTTCCTGGCCTGGGAAGGGGGGTCCGTCCGCCCTGCAACGCCGTGTCGTCCATGCTTATCAAATCTGATCGCCTCGACAATCGGAACTCGAATGCGAGGCTAAACAATACGATCGCGATAAGGAACTCTAAAACACCATCACCATGCAGCGAGACGTGAATACTAACAATTGCTCAATCATATTCGTCAATTCAAATCTGTTCTCCCTTCTCCCTTTCTAAGTAGGAGAAACAGGACGAGACTCTGACCTAGATGCCAAATGCCATCCATATCCATATCCATGATATTCATGTCAAGTATATGTTATATATGAAAAAATCCAAAAACACAAAAACCCAACGGCTTTTTCTAAAAACCCATATCCATGTAAGTCTTTTTTCTCATCAACTCCGTGAACAAAAGTCTTTGCCCACCCGGTGTGTTCATTTCATCTCTGATACGCTATGCCCCTCCCAAAAACGAATGCGCTTTCCCTTTACAATCTGTCAAGCAGACCCTGGCTCTCGAGGAGCAGGACGATCTGGTGGACAATCGAGCGCACAGTCTGCTTCTCAACGTCGACGACGAGGTCGGGCTTGGAGGGGGTCTCGTAGGTGTCGTCAACACCCGTGAAGCCCTTGATCTCGCCGGCGCGCGCCTTGGCGTAGATGCCGCGCTTGTCCGTCTTCTCGGCGTACTCGAGGGAAGTCGCGACGTGGACGAGGAAGAAGGGCCCGCTCTTCTCGACGAGCTCGCGCGCCTGCCTGCGCGCGTCCTCGTACGGCGCGATGGGCGCCGCGATGACGGCGGCACCCGCGCGGGTCAGCTCCGACGCGACGAAGGCGATGCGCTGCACGTTGCGGAAGCGGTCCTCGCGGCTGAAGCCCAGCTCCGACGACAGCTCGGAGCGCACCGTCTCGCCGAGGAGCAGCGACACGGAGCGGCCGCCGCCCTGGTTGAGCGTGACCTGCAGCGCCTTGGCGATCTGGTCCTTGCCCGAGTTGGTGTAGCCCGTCAGGAAGATGGTGAAACCCTTCTGGGCGGGGAGGGGGTTCTGCTCGCGCAGGACCTTGACGACCTCCGGGTAGGAGAACCAGGCGGGGATCTCCTTGCCGGTCTTGAGGCGGTTGCGCAGCTCGGTGCCCGAGATGTTGGCGGTGTGGGTGCCGGCGGCGATCTCGTTGGCGGGCTGGTACTCGTCGCGGTCGGGGATGTAGATCATCTCCTGGAACTCGACCATCTGGATGCCGAGCTCGTCCGAGTACTTCTGGACGGCGTGCTGGGCGTCGTAGGGGCCGTAGTGGTCCTTGCCGTTCTTGTTCTTGCCGGGGCCGGCGTGGTCGCGGCCGACGATGAAGTGGGTGGCGCCGTGGTTCTTGCGGATGATGGCGTGCCAGATGGCCTCGCGGGGGCCGCCCATGCGCATGGCGAGGGGCAGCAGGGCGAGGGCGGCCATGCCGTTGGGGTATCTGGGCAGGAGGGCCTTGTAGACGCGGACGCGGGTGAAGTGGTCAATGTCGCCGGGCTTGGTCATGCCGACGACGGGGTGGATGAGGACGTTGGCTTGTTGGGAGCGGGCGGCGCGGACGGTCAGCTCGCGGTGGGCGCGGTGCATGGGGTTGCGGGTCTGGAAGGCGACGACCTTGTTCCAGCCGAGCTTCTCAAAGTGAAGCCTCAGCTCGGCCGGGGTGTAGCGCAGGTCGAGGAAGTCGTAGTGGGCGAGGCGCTGGATGGCCTCGAGCTTGCCGCCGACGTAGAAGTCCTCCGTGTTGGAGAAGAGGTGCTTGACGCCGGGGTGGGTGTCGTCGTCGCTGCCAAAGACCTCAATGGCCTCGACGGTGCGGTCGGGCTTGTAGACATCCTCGACGGTGAGGATGGCCAGGTTGCGGTCGTCTCTCAGGTCGCGCAGCGTGATGCGGGCGCCGGGCTTGATGGAGAGCTCGTCAATGGTCTTCTGGGACACATCGAGCGTGATGGGCATGGAGAAGAGGTTGCCATCGGCGAGGCGGTTGTTCTTGACGACGCCGTTGTAGTCCTTCTCGGTCATGAAGCCTGCGATGCGGGAGTGCCTCGGTCAGTTCACGGTTCCCACTGTTTTTTCCCACAGCGCAACGTAATCGTGGGGCACGAATTGCCCCTCCAAAAAATCATGGCGGGGTCGTCTCCGTCCAGCAGCAGCAGCAGGTAGCAACAACCCCACCATCGCAGACAAGCAAGGGAGCAGCAGCAGCAGCAGCAGCAGCAAAACACAACGCACCTTCGAGGGGGGAGAAGCCACCGTTGAGCAGGAGCTCGAGATCGCAGAGGTGGCGCTCGGTCAGGACGAGAGAGGGGAGCTTCTCGGACTCGGCGAGCAGCTCAGCGGAACGCGGCGCATCGCG